TAACTTCAAGATGGCTCTCTTACAAAATGACCTAAATAATATTTACGAGTGGTCAGAAAAGTGGAAATTACAGTTCAAGGCCAGCAAAAGTGCTGAATTAACTTTCTCTAACCCTAGAAAATCAGAGTTGCAAACCTCACCAATGATACTTTGGGGTGATCAAATTCCAAAAGTTACCAAACTCAAACACCTTGGCTTAATTTTTGACCAAAATTTGACATTTGAACCACACATTCTCTATGTCACTAATAAAATTGACAAGTTATTAAACCATTTAAAGAGTTTATCCAGAAAAATTAGTGGTAAACACCTCCAGCTTATGTTTAATTCATATATTTTACCACATGGCTGCACAAACTCCATGGTTCTAAAATATCTCGATCATTTATATTATAAAGCAGCAACTATTTGTTCAGGTGTCATACATGGCTCTTTCACAATTAAAACACTTCAAACATTAAATTGGAAAACTCTCGAAATTCGTAGAAAACTACATAGAATGCTTCTGATTTAGACAGAATGTGTTTTTTAAAATATATAGCATTTTTATGTCACCATCAAAAAGTGGTGACATATCGTTATGGTCTCCGTTTTATCGGCGGCGTCTGTAACAAATTATTACAACTTCCAATAACCTAACAAATACTGTTTAGATTGACTCCAATATTTTAAATATCATCTACAAGTTTCCGGAAGTTCAAATCTGATTTTATATTTATTAAGATTTGACCTTCAATGACCTTTTCAAGGTCAAAAAGGGTATTTTTCAACTTGCTTCAAACTGACCAAAAAGTGGTGACATATTGTAATGGTCTCCGTTAATGGCGGTTGGCGATCGGCGTCTGTAACAAATTCTTACAACTTCCAATAACCTGAGACTAACATTAACGGTTTGGACTGACTTCAATCTTTTCAAAATCATCTCAAAATCATCTACGAGTTTTCAGAAGTTCAAATCTAAGTTAAGATTTGAGATTTCACCTTCAACGACATTCTTATGCTTAAAAAAGGTATTTTTCATTGTGGGATCCACAGCCTTTACTATCCTTTTGGAATAGTTCAGTTCTCTCAAAAGCGTTAGGAAAGAGGGGCTCTGATAAATCAGAATGGTCTTTTTATTTCTACTTGCTTCAAACTGACCAATTTATTTTTTCAAAATCATCTGCATGTTCTCAGAAATTCAAATCTGACTTAGATTGAACTCATAATATTGTGAACAACTAGGTGGTGACATTTTATCATGTTAATGCCAAGTGTTATTTCTTGCCTTAACCAGCCGGGAATTTGTTTGACCACACGAACAGACTAGTAGTTCATTTCGTGTATTTCTACTACATTTTGTCCTGACAATCTTTATCTCAATACCAGAGCTTTGAGTTTTTGTTAAGCTAATTGTATCGCCGATATGCTTGTACATAAGACATGTAATATATTTTATCCCATGGTTCCAAGGATATAGATCGAATATCAGGTGAAAATATATTTGATATGTGGAACAAGATATCATATTTTAGCAAAAAATCCCCAAACCATTGACTATCACTTCTCAAAACATCGAATATCACTTCTCAAAACATCGAATATCACTTCTCAAAAAGTTATATTCGATGGTTTCAAAAGTGATTTTTCAATAATCTATTTCAAATTTTTTACTGACTTTTTTGTGAGATAATGTTTGTAATGTAGCCTTTTTAGTATGTGTAAACCTTTAGAAGATGATTGTAAAATCTTTGTTTGTATGATTACGTTATGCCCATGCTTCCATTCTTCCATTGTGATTGTATAAATCGTAAATTCTTATTATGCAACATATGTTCGTTAAAAAGAGAAAATATATCTGAGACCTTGCTGTAGGGCAAATATGAAGAATGCGTATGTCAGATTATTAAATGTTGATGAATTGTGAACATCAATATAAACTGCTGATTGCTTTACTGGAATGGTAAACGATGATGTTTTTAAATGTAAAGAAAAATAGAAAATAGGAACCTACATATTGTTTCATTTGAATATAAACAATTGACGACATTATTGTTAAGTATTGTTTGAAGATTGCTTAGAAAAGGATCTTTAGTGTGATATGAAATGTAAAGTGTTATGACCAGTATGTATGTACATGTGTTTTCGTAAAGAGGAAACGTTAGTCTCATTAGACTTAATTTAAACGAACAAATCTGTATTTTACAATTTTCTGTATTTTACAATTTTCTGTATAACCTTCATCATACATGAGTGTGTTTGATTATATCTTGTGTAGTTTTATGTAGTTTTGTATATCTGATTTTTACTCCAAACATAATGTTGAGATTTATGAATTTTCGATGTAATCATACATCTTCATCAGGTAAGAGATTTGCGAATTTTCGATGTATTCATACATCTGTCGATGTGTTCATACATCACCAGGAACTATGAATACATCAAAAATTTGTAAATCTCAACGTTTTGTTTTTAACAACTTATTAACATGTTACTTGATTTTTGCTCTGTAAAAATGTTTGTATTTTCGATACGACTTTTCTCGTTTCCTTATTTTACACCTTGTAGTCAGAACTCCCACGAAATTTTTTAAACACAAACGTGTATCAGTATCATATGTTTAAGAAAGTATACATATTTGCGAACAAATAGTGCAGAAGACAACAGAACTTAAGTAAATCATTTAAGTTACATAAACGGTTTTTCGAAAAACAGTTAAGATCTGCACTTTTAACCCAAACCGTTTATGTAACTTAAGTGAGAAAGTAAATCGAAGATTCTGTTGTCTTCTGAGCTATTTTTTTGCAAACATGTACATTTTTTAAAACATATAATACTGATATACGTTGTGAGAAAAAAACGTTGTGGGGATTCTGCCTACAACGCGTGAAATAAGGAAAAAAGAAAAATCGCACCTTCGACGTTCCGACATTTTGTTACCAAAACTGTTCGTTTTGGTAACCAGCGTAATCGAGTGGATCACCAGTGGAGTGTGGTATAGTTAAAATTGGAGCGTTAAAATTCATGTTACTGGTATTTTTGAATTAAAAGATACGATCTCCCAATTTACATTCCATGCCTTAAGGCGGGATTATAGTGTCAGTCATGGTCAATGACCATACTTCAAAAAGACTAACATGCTCTCACATTATCTCTTAAGAATAAAATAAAGAACTTAAACAAAATTTTAAAGTAGTCCGTTGATCAGTATAAAGGAATTAAGTTTAAGCCTTTAGCCTATAACATTACTTTTTGTTGCAGGAATTTTTGGAATTTGAAAACTTGAATTTGGGGGACATTTGAAGGGATTCGCGGGACCCGCAAATATGCCTAATTTTGAATTCTCGGGACGACCCCACAAGTCGCGTTACACTTGACAGCCATGGACCATGAACTTTCTTGCTCCTTTGGTTAATAATGTTCATTACATACAGTGAATTAAAATAAATTTTAATTTTATTAAGTGAGAATTCCAGCTATTTTTCATCTGTTGTAAGAAACCTCCAATGATTTAACTGAAGACATGAATATTTATACTTCTACATGTAGGAAGAATTTATTTTGAAAGATTTGACCTTTATTGACCTATTTTATTTACAAAACCAATACGTCTCTGATGACAACAAGAATAACTTGTGACATTATTGAAATCAGACAATAAAAATGATAAATGACCCCCTCGCTTGCGACTTAGTGTTTAAAAAGGTTACTGGCATTAGGTTTAAATGAAAGGACCAGGTACATGTACAGTATGGCAAGTGATTTTGGACAGTGGCATCTTTCACCATGAGTAATTTCTGGACATTAAGTACATTCGATTATTAATTTCAATCAAATTTCTACACTTGGCTATATTAACAACTTCTGAAAAGGGGTGAGTGTTGAAATTTCACAGTATTGAAAACTCATGCCATCCATTGTTTTTTAGCATAATTTTGCCCATCGAAAATTGATATCTTCAAAACTAGACTTTCGATACATTCTATTTTGGGAAAATTCCAGACCCTCGTTGAATAATCCATGGGCTTTCAGTTAGAAAGTTGAAAGCCCATGAATGATCTTTTCATTCAAGTAAAATCAGAAAAAGAATTTCCTCTTTTGAGTAAATAGGTTTAATATCTCGAAAATAATGCCGACATTGGGTCCCTATTCATATTTTTCTCAATCGAGCGCAGCGAATGAGTGAAGAATATATATCGATATGATCCATCATGATGGATAAATTGATGTTTTTGAGGAACCAGTAATAAAAATTCCCGGGGGAATAAGCTCTGATTCATTGCATTCCGTCCAGTGCACATTCTTGAAATTCCTGTATATCAATCCGCAGATTAAAATATGTTACTTTTTTTCTGCTTTATTAACTACACTTGAAACATAATTTAATCGCTTTATTTATGTTGATCAACATAAAGAATTCCAAATAAATATGTTTAACCCTTATTTTGTCCAAGTCATTACACTCAAAATTAGAATTATATATTTCGCGCAGTCAGAAACAGGTGCTTCCTGTTGTGCTGTTCGGTCATAAAGTTTTGATTTTGTCAAAAATGTTTCGTTTTTCGTGAATTGCAGCAGTATTTATCACTCAAATTGTCACAGTTGATATCTGTCGATACGTTATACACCTAGGAGAAACAGGAATTTAGTTGAGGTATGTCGGAATCGGTAATAATCCTTGTCCAAAAAACAAATTCACAACAAACAAAATAAATTCGATAAGACGAAAGCGAATTCCACCCCACATTTAAGGGGGTAACTTACCGTATGCTACGACCCCACTTACGATGTGGTCTATAAGTCCTGCCACACACACAAAATATATCAAAATGGCCTATAATTTCGATTTTCTTAGCCGTATAAGTGGGAATTTCGAATTCAAAATGCCCCAGAAGGCTCCAAATGTAATCTCATGTGCGGGAAGAATTCCCTAAAAAACTCCCTGATTGATATGATGAAAAAATATAGAACACCATTTGTCTGATTTAACAGACTTCAAGTCCAGTACAACATTAATATAGATGACTGGAGGCAGTAGCAATGTAAGGCTATGTGTTAAGTATGTACCCAAACAATTAACTGTATTTGTGGTTTGGTCAAACCTGAAAAATAAGCACATTATCAATAACAATATAAATGGTAATGTACATCAAAACTCTTATTTCTAGAAAACTTAGCCTCTTACAATCTTAGTTCCATTCTTTGTGACCATACCTTCTTCCAAATCTTGTTTCTTGGTTTGAAAGACATCAAGATTTACATTTGAACAAGTGTCTGTACCTTTTTTCTTACAGTCTACAGATAAAGAAGAGGTAAAGAAGGTTGGTCATTTGGGATGCACATTATTATAACTTTATATATTAACCAATCTCTTGCAGGTAATATTCCATGAGAAGGAAGTAGATGTAATGCCCTTTGGTTTAAAGATCAAGCGAACTCGTCGGTACAATGTCTCGTCCAAGAATCTATTTGTTGTTTGTACCCAACTACTTGACACATCCTCCATAGAATGTACATTGACATCAGAGAGCACTGGCTTCGAGTGTCTACAGAGTATAGCACAACGTATTGAGCTACAACAGGTATGAGATGGCATTTATAATGAGTTAATGCATTTACAGCATTTGTAAAATACTATTGTCATATACATGCATATGTACACTGTATATTCCAAATATTTTATTTCATAAAGTGTTGATGTCAGAATATTTTAGAAATCAACTGAACAGTTAAGTGCACCAAGTTGAAACTTCAAAATCCAAATACATTGTGATGCAATTTTTTATGTTGTTTAATTATAATGTCTATTATATCGATCTTCTTTGACCAAATTCACGGGTAGAAGACCACATTCCTTCTCTTTACAACCATCGACATGATTTGTATATTCGGCAATCATTGTATTTTATGTTACACAGATGCAGTGTTTTGGTCTTCGTTACCGCAACAAGAAACTTCAATTTCGTTGGGTTGACCTTGAGCGACCTTTGAAGAGACAACTAGATAAGCATGCTGATAACAACCTCCTCTACTTTGGTGTCATGTACTACATCATTGATGCCCACTTGATAGAGGATGAGATGGCAAGGTACAGTATATTACACTCTACTATACCTAACCCCTAGAAATGTATAAGATACTCTGTTTGTCTAATTGTATTGTTTAGTATATTTTTTAAAGTACCTTATCAATATCTTACAGTCATCCGACTAATAAGCCAAATGGGTTGTTCATGAACACCAAATGCAAGGTATATTAGAGTGATTATAGAGCTCAATTTTATTTATTTATACTCTTAGATAAGAAATGATTTTTTGAATACAGTCCAAATAACTTGCATAAATGGTCATAAAAAATTTTAAAAAACATTTAAGCATCAAACCTTTCACTAATCACTATTATTCCAATAGAGGAATAAAGAGAAATCCTTTGTTCATCTCTTCATTTGTCTGTCTGTGTTATAATTCAAATACCAATTGACAGATTTGGCTTGAATTTTAGTTACCAGTTTTCCTGTAACAATTTTCTATAATTTCAATAAGCTGTTACACAATACACAATTTATAAAAGTATTCATGGGTTACATGAATGTTCTCTTAGATATTTAATTTGTTTGTTATTTGATGCTTGTAGGTACCAATATTACCTTCAATTGAAGAATGACATCATTGATGGCAGGCTACCATGTTCCCATGAGCAAGCGGTCCTTGTGGCTGGTTATAGTGTTCAAGGTACGAAGCCTTGCATAGTAGAAAAGCTTGCAAAATTAAGGGCTCTTGAAATATGGCACTGGGTTACAAGAATTAGGAGGACTTGAAACCTTAAAGCTTAAAATGTAGAATCATTCATTGATTTGTATGATAAGTGGTATCATAATATCTAGAACAAATGATTTACTGGTCAATACTGGAGTATGAATAACAACTAGGTTTTTATAAATGCAGATAGAATCGTAACAAACGTGCATTCTATGATTTATGGCAAATATGTGACGTTAGACTTTATTCTGCCCGTTGCCCGATTGTTCAGTTATATATTCCACCATTAGTCATAGAATCTTGGTATTTATTCAATAATACAATCTAATACAATATTTTTTCTCTTGTAGCTGAGTTTGGAGATTTTAATGAGCAGAAACACACCATTGATTTCTACAGAGAATATGTCCTATTTCCCAGGGTAAGTTTCAACAGGAGGATGCTTTGACTCGTCCTAACATCGCTTTCCTGATCAAATATACTTAGATAAGGATGTCAGTTTTACTTTTGTTGCCACTACATATTGTTATAGTCTTCAGCTTTTTTTGCTGATGGTGTTTGGCGTTGGGTTGTCAAGATTCAGCATCTGTAATAAATGGCAGGTGGTGACATTTTGCATGTTAATGCCTTGTCTTCTCTTATTATCAGTAGGGTTGACTATGATAGCAGTAACCCAACTTTTAATAACCAGAAATATCAAAAAATGATATCAATTTAATCAACCAATACATGGAAGAAGGCAATTATGTGTCGTAATGGTAACATATTTTACACTGGCATTTGATATAATAAAAGCAGCCCAATTTTTATTTGTAGAATATGACAAATGATGAACGAATCCTTGAAGGTCTAACCCATGAGTTGAGAATACGCCACCAGCATCTGTTAGGCATAGAGCCTCAGATGCTAGAGATACAATACATCCTCTATGTACAACAAATGGAGGGCTATGGTGTAGAATATTACCCTGCTAAGGTACAAACTTGTTTCTTTTGTTTTAATTTGAATAAAAAAATGATTTTTAGTTACTAGATTAAATGTTCATTTAACACACATTGGAAGCAGCAATCAGTGCCATGATTTCATTGAACTAGAAGACAGATCGCGAAGGGGCCCTGTGTTTTTTATTGTCCACCAAAACACAATAGTCATGCTACCATACCCAGTCTTTATGTCATCTTTCAGTCAGTCTTTCATTTGGCATCCATAGCATTACATCATTACACAGGTTGTGACATATTGTTACAGTCTTCAACTTTTTTGTGTTCGGAGGGTCGTTGGTGTTTGGCAGTTGGTAGTCGGTGTCTAATAACAAATGGCAGGTGATGATATTTTGCATATTAATTCCTTGTTTTACCATTTGGAATAGGCTATCTGGTACATGTACATATTGTTGAGTTAATGCCTTTTACACAATGTGTGTACTACTCATCCAAGTGCCCTTATGTTGAATTTGTACACTTACAGGACGAGGCCAGTACAGAACTGTTGCTAGGAGCATCTGTAGATGGAATGTTTGTTAACTTCAAACATGTAGATGAGAAACCCTCAATATTCTACAAGTAAGTTCTACCTGAGATTGACTCATCATATATTCAATGTACTTATCTTTCTCTCACCAGATAAGATTGAAAATTTGTGTTTCATAAGTTCAGGATATATGTTTAAAATGAAGATTAATCTATCCTAATAGCTTGAGTCATTGTGAATCAGTGTTTGTTTAGTAAAATGAAATATACAAATCTGATTTTATTGATATTTTTATTTCGTTATATTTTTGAGCGATTAGAAAGGCTGTAAAACTATCATGCTATGTACGCATGCTCACCAGTCCACAATTAAATAAAATTATCTAGTTATATTAAAAGAACATTTATCCGTATTAGTATCTCCCCACATTGAAATCTCTGAGGCGCTGCTCCTTTGTGTTTTTCATTACACCAAAATACTCCTCAATTCAATTCAATTTACCTTCTTAAATGTTGCAATAAAAATTAGGAAATCCTAAAATGTGGCTCAGAACAATAGAAAAACTTAAGTGTTGCCCTTAAAATTACAAAATCATAAAATGTTGCACGAGAAAAATAACAAAATCCTCCACGCAAAAAACCTTAGTGAAAGCGCTGAGTATGTAGTATGAAGACCAATTATCACGTTATATTTGCAGATGGTCCAGTATTAAAAGCCTAGTGAGCAATAAGAGGAACCTAGGACTACAGATCATAGGTCAGAGTAAGGTGGTCATCTATCAAATGGATGACCCTGAGACTGCAAAATATGTCTGCAAATTATGCAGTTTACGTCATCGATTTTACACGCAAACTAAAGATCTGATTGAAGATGGGACTCTTACACATGGAGTTGCATTTGTTAATGAACCAAATTCGACTGAGAGAAGTGTGTATGTACATCAGTTACCACTAATTTTCTCGAATCCACTTGTCATCCAATAAAACTCAATTTTTTTAATACTATTAGAAGTAATATTGCTAATATATGATGGACAAGACTTGATCAAATTTCAGAATGGCCAGATCTGTTCTAATTTCGAATGCATCTGTCAGTAGAAGTACTTACTTACCATCTTTATAAGGTTCTTTACATTCATGAGTTCTTGAAACTCGATCCTTTATACTTTGTATATGCTTTTGATTTTCAAATGTCAATGTGATCAAACCTGTGTACATTTAAGAGGCACTATTTGTAAAAAGGGGGCAGGAGGTGGCACAGGTCAAATTTTATATTTCAAAAATTTTATTCTTATATGAAAGTATGACCATTGGGAAGCCAAAATATGTCATTCATTTTTCTCACAGATGATTGGTTAGTGTGTGACACCGTTGCTAAGCAACCCATGTTTGTTGTCTTTTTACAACCTAGAAAATGCACCAAAATCAGTGAAAAAAGATATATTTCCAGCTTATGGTATGCTAAGAAGATGATCCAAAACCAGTTAATAACTATTTGATTTGTATATGGGATATGTTGAAGAGTTCATATGTATTGTTTATTATGACGTCACAATGGTTGCCATGGTTACGGAGCCTTTTCTGGAGCATGGGTCAATTAAGAGACGAAATGGCAGCCATCTTTGGACCCAGTTTGTTTAATAAGCCAGATGTCCCATGTAGAGTGGGTATTACTGTTGGAAAGAGGAGCATTAGAGCTTTCATAATCTGCAATAAAATAACTGGGATTTTGGGTTTTCAAGATTTTACAAGCATTTTACTTTTAACTTTTTTTTCGATGTTTTCGGCCATTTCTTCAAGGTTTTCGTGATTTTAGTTGTAAACATGAGGGTCAATATAGAGACGAAATGGCAACCATCTTTGGATCCAATTTGCCAGAAAAGCCAGATGTCCCATGTACAGTGAGTATTACTGTTGGAACGAGGAGCATTAGGGCTTTCATTATCTGCAATAAAATAACTGGGATTTTGAGAATTCAAGATTTTACATGCTTTTTACTTTCCCTATTTTTTCGCTATTTTTTGAGTATTTTTCAACTTTTTCAAGATTTAAGTAGCAAACATGATATTGTTTAGATGTAGCAATGATTATCATATTATATCTAAATTTGCCACATATGATATATGGAGAATAAGGATGAAATTACTTGCACAATAAACCCTATTGGCCAAAATGGAAGGATGTTAGGTCAATATAATTGTCTTAATAAAGTTCCCATACCCCATTTTTCATTGCACAAATTTCCCACAAAATAACATTTTTATAACAAATATTGCGTTTTATCAAGCATGATTATTATTCAACCTTCAAATGGAATATAATCCTGTAATGCTAAATATCTAAGTATAAACATCAAATTAGGGAAATTACTAAAAACCTTAAAGAAGCCCAGAAAGAAAAGCAATCTCTAAGTGTAAACCTTATATTGGAAACTATTCTATAGCACAATTTCAAAGAGAGCCAATATTTTAATTTTGCACCATATAATGCAAGAAGAATGGTAAATACAAAGCATTATAACATACCTATGATGATGTATAGTGCAAAGTGTACACAAGACAGCGGGCCAATATAAGTTTTGAAAAGCCCGCGCCCGCTAACTTTCTGATTGGTCAAGGCGCTGACGTCATAACCAATCAATCGAAGATAAAACTGTGCGAGCAATTTTTCTTAACTCATTTCAATTATTTTCAAACCATTTGTTTGTCAATTCTATAAGAAAACGGTACTCTCTGACCAGTCTACATCATCATAGGTATGTTATAAATCGTTTATGTCACTATCGTGGCACGTATGCCCTCGGTTCTCAGAGATCAATGTCCCTCCCAAGGTCGGGCCATATATCACTGAGACCTCGGGCATATATGCCACGATAGTGACATAACCTCTAAATCCAACATCATTTTAGAGCTGTCTAGTGTACTGCAAATGGCGGGATTATTCCGCGAATTTGATCAAAATTAGGCTAATTCGCGTGTCCCGCAATGTCCCACAAAGTCCCGCAATGTCGGCTTTGACCTCCTAATAAAGTATTACAAAAGTTGTACGCATTACACTGAATTTGGTAAACACTAATTTATTATTAAAACCTGTATGCGTTACTTACTCTTCCTCAGTGCTTTCATTTTTCCGGAAGTTTATGTTAATGTAAACGATATGTGAAGATATAACGGAAACTACGTAATAATATTCCTGGCATTTAATGTTTGATGAAAACCCTTTTTAATAAATCCATATGGAAATACAATTTTGAGTAAATAATGACCAGAATGGAAATAACCAATATTATACCATATTTAAATGGGTCGTAGAATTGATACCTAATTCTTAGATCTTCTTTCAATGGAAAATACTGAAGATTTTAACATTTTATTGGCACTAAAGACCGACAAAACTGGTCCTGATTCTATTTAAGTAACTAGAAAACAGCCACTCCACGGAGTAGTAAATCCCACCGAACAAAACATGTTTTGATAAATAGCCCCCATCTTGAAAAAATTGCTTGAACAGAACTCCTCTTTCCCTAGGAATCAGCTTTGAGTCAAATCAGTCCGCTGGTATTTGAAGATTATATTTTTCTGAAAATGGCAGCCATTTTGAAATTCAATGGCCTCTTGAAAAATGTCTTCTGGAGCAGTGCTCCGTTGCCTGAAAATGACAGCCATTTTGAAATTCAATGTCCTCTTGAAAAATGTCTTCTCGAGCAGTGCTCCGTTGTCTCTAGGTATCATCATATCGCGCATACAATTTTAACCAAACCAACTGGTATTTGGGTTATGAACGATAACATTATTTTACAAAGAATGGTGGCCATCTTGCAATTTAGCTAAAATGTTGAAAATGTTTTCGTTATGAAAAATGGCAGCCATTTTGAAATTTATCGACCCTCTTGAAAATCTCTTCTTTATCATAGCTCCTTTGTCCCTAGGTATTAACATATACACTTTGGACTAAATCCATCAACTGAGTGGCCATTTTGAAAATTCCTTCTAAGCTAAATTGTCCTATGCTCGAAAGGCATAAGCCTGTAAAATTTGAATCTAATTTGTCAACCAGTATTTGAGTTATCGCCCAAACACATGGACAGTGGGACAGGAAGATGAATGAACGTTCTGACAGTTTTCCTGTATTCTCGTTTTGATGGGATAATAAAATGTTTAAGCAAGAAGCCATCTCACTAGCTTACGTACTTTTGAGACTTTTTAATAAGATAAAATTAAGCGTGACAGTTGTACGCACAGGGTAAGGTACATCACGAGGATGATGCGATTTGAGCAAACTGATGTTTTCATCGTTTCAGAAAGATTTGGTCTAGTTTCTAGATATTTTAGATGTGAATGTCTGTAACAACATCCAGTGAACAGACAGTGAACTTGACAGTGAATTTCATAATTAAACCTAAATAAATTCCAAATGTAGTATAGGGTATAACGCACGGGTACATTTACCTGAGATACTGTTTAGCGCAAATTCACATTCTACCTTACCGTTACGGCATGTCATACCATATACTACATTGGGAGTTTGTGTAGGTTTAATAATTATGAAATTCACCTGTCAACTGCAGGAGTTCCGCATGGATTTATCTTATGACCCATTTCGTTCTTTTTATACAGTGCGACACAAAACATGTCACTCACTAATTTTGGAATAACTTTTTCAACAATTAATGAATCTTCATATATGTTAGGTGTAGACAGAGTGTTCAATAGAAAAAGATTTCTATGCTTGCATAGCATCATCATTTTCCAATTTTCCGTGTAGGTGTGCTCTGACACAAAATCACTCAAAACTGTTAGAATTAAAAATCGGTTTTCCTTAACATTTACCCAATAAGCGAGTCAGTTAATCAAATTTAACAGAAGATTTAAGGAAAATGGATTAATATGTCATACTATTGATAATATATGTGTAAAGTAGTGAAAGCAATCCAGAAAGGACCATATGCACTCTCCATTGGGATCTCCCCATGAGAAAAAAATAATTCATCTGATTTTTCAAAATGAGTATTCTGCTTTAATTATCACATTTATATGCACACTAGTATCTTGTTGACCTATATTCAGCACTGTTTTGATGTATAGGCCACTTATTAGGGTCATAATTTAATCATGAAGTGTAGAGGCATAGATTCCAAACCAAGTATTTTTGTGTCTGTCAAAATCCATTTGCATCCTACCCATCCCTACATCTTATCCAAATATGTTACTACATAATGAAATATAATGGTGTATCTCATACTAAAGTGGGTTTGGGGTAGATATCACTCGGGAATATATATCATATCTGAGGAGCGGGCAGGATATATTGTATATGTCCCGCTCCAGGCCAAATGCGGGCAGATATAATATATATCCATCCCGCTCCCGGGAATTTTTCAAAAGTTTAAAAAAGTTTAAATATCAAAAGTTTTAAGTTTTTAATTTTAAATTTAAGTTTAAATGTTACAATTTCATTGTATTGAACAAAAAGAATATTACGAAAATGTTAAATATAAATATCTTGTCATTTGAAAAAGGTGGAAAAGGTTATATTTACCCTAAACCCACTCAAGTATGAGATACACCAGTTATGCACGGTCGGTTTGGATACATTGAATATCCCTTGGGATATACAATACATCTTCCCTCGGTCCCTTCGGTCCCTCGGGAAGATATATTGTATATCCCTCGGGATATTCCCTGTATCCAAAACCTCCCAGTACATAACCCTTATATATTCTTTGGTTTTGCATTTGGTTTTGTTGATGGTTTTACAAAGTTGTATGATTTTTAATAAGTGTAAAAGTTGTTTTTGGAGCATTTTTCTATAGCCATTTTGTAAGGAAAAAATGATGAAAAAATGTACAATCTCTTAATTTTAAGTATGACCTGAATCGATTGCAACCTTCATATTTGCATATTTGATGAGATAAACAATTTGTGTCATATTGTGAAATTATTATTATCACAAAAATACCAAAAAGTACACTATGACCAATGAAAACCAATGGCCTCTATTGGGATCTGCTGATATCCTCATGTTGAAGGCTGAATAAATAGTGCAGAGACGTATCCAACGATCATGGTCCCGGTGTCAAAATATATCAAATTTTGGATATTTCATCAAGGCTAACATCTATTTTCATTAGCTACAAAGAAAACCCCCGATCGTACCTAATTTCTGCCGATATTCACAATCACTGGCATCCTAAATCCCCGGGAATCTGCTCCCGACATCGACAGAAAAAATCCTCACGTACCTTTTAATGATTTTCCCGGTCATATTGTCATGGGATTCCAGCCCCGTTTTCACCTAAGGTTCTATCCAACATTCTGTTTCCTATATACCATGCGTGTGTCAAGAAGATCTTGATATGGGCAGATTTGAGGTGTTTTAGTCTTCGATTTTTTTATTTTTCTTCGTCAGTGGACCAGGCTAACTGCAAGAGTCGCCGGTTATAGACCGTCAACGGCAGTCATATCCTGTACATGCATAGGGTTATATCAGACAACCGCGGTTATACTGTATAACATGCTTACATGCGGTCTTACCTAATCTCAGCTGCAGTTAGAATTTTAAATGGCGGACATTCAGAAATGTTTCAAAAAACAAAATGCGGACGTCCAACCTTTCAATTGCTTATTTAGAAGTCTATTTGCAAGTCTGCATGATGGTATTCGTCGACAAGTGCATACATTTTAAGAAAATAGGTATGGCGAAGAAGACATTAGGCCAAACGTTGCACTAATAGCTCGGGAAAGGTAAAATGATTCCCAAATTTCTTCTATGTTCTTTATTGAACCTTTAAGTCAATGATGCACAGCCCCATGTAAGTCAATACAACCTATCTCAGCCAATGTGTGCCAAAGCACTTTAATACTTTTCAAAGAATTTTATGACATTCTATTCTTCATGCTACACTAAAAATGATTCATTTTGACCATAAGGGTATTTGCCAAAAATACACCTCTTCCTTTAAGTAAATTGTATTTTTGAACATTTTTGATGATTTCACTGAGAGCATACCAGGACTGAACATGATAATTCTAAATCATTTTTCCATTGAACACTTTATCTATACAAAAGGCCCATACATTCCTTAATTATTCAGAAAGTTATTCCAAAATTAGTTGGTGGTATTTTTTGTTATCCTGTACATTAAGGACATTGCCGATGAAGAACCCCGAGGAGGGAAAGAGGAGGGAAACCCCCGGAGCTTTAGCAATAACAGACATATTATGTCTCTTGTGTACCACCTTTGTTTGCGCAAATTCTCACCAGTTGATGTTTTAATCAATGTAAGCATATTCCTTACATCTTTCTTCACCATGATGTGAAATAACAAGCTATGATATTGGTTAACACGCCAGAAATTATATTGTTTTATTGTTTATTGTTCCATTCAAATTATTTACAAAACATATTATTACAATTTGACGCAGAGCGTATATTGTGTGCTAAAAGGTTTAAGGTTATGTATAAGTAAGATAATTAATTGGTGAAGTATTGGAACATAACAAGTAATAATATTATTCGATAATAATATTAATGTTTGTTGATTTGGACAAATCAGGACAATAGGTCATCTCAATGCAGATTTACAGCCCTTCACATTATAGAAGTGGTCATCTTTGAACCCTGGGGCTTTTCCCCCTCTCTCGATGAATAAGCTAGTAACAAATGTTTCCTTTTAGCAGAAGACTTATATTTTGCCCCTATAACCCCACTTATTCCATCCATAACCTGGAAATTTTACAATCAGATTAGAGTGCTATATATATATATATATATATATATATAAAATGGTCAGAAAGTTGGGAAATGAACTGCATACCAAGTATATCATGTACAGTTTGCGCCAAGAGTTTGCAGATGTTTTCCAAACATCAATTGTGTTGTATTGCTATGTAATACTCATAGCCTCTTTCTGTTTCACCTTAGGTTTGAGATGTCATGGTTTATCATGATGGATATAATACGCAATAACTAAAAATAGAGGTGTGGATATTTTTTCTTCTTATACTTAAAGTTTCTTGTAAATTGAAACTCTGACTTGAAATGATAAAATGTGCCGACTCAGCACTTTTGAGCCTGATTCAGAACCTGTCACATATCAATTTTTCATGTCTAGAGATTTTTTGGTCAATTCCAGGCTGGCTTAATCTAGTCAATCAAATACATTTCATGTCTTAATACTCCATACATGATATAACTCTAATCTTAAGTGCTACTTGACTTAAATTGCCAATTACGTTGAAAATTTATATTTTGGAAAATGGGGTAGGGGTAGCTTAGTACTATTAGCCAATATAACATGAGATTGGTTAAAAGAAGCATTGTAACTACTTCATCCATCAATTCAATGATTATTATCCATTTGAAGTTTAAATTAATAATCCTGCTTGATAACACACATTTTTTTATAAAAATATAATTGAAAGCCCATGAGTTGAACAATGAAAAATGGGGTATGGGCACTTTATTAAGACAATTATATTGACCTAACATCCTTCCATTTTGGCCAATATGGTTTATTGTGCCAGAAATGTCATCATATGTGGCAGATTTAGATTTAGATGATAATCATTGCTACATCTAAACAATATCATGTTTGCAACTTAAAATCTTGAAAAAGTTGAAAAATACTCCAAAATAGCGAAAAAATGGGAAAAGTAAAAAGCACGTAAAATCTTGAATTCTCAAAATCCCAGTTATTTTATTGCAGATTATGAAGGCCCTAATGCTCCTCGTTCCAACAGTAATACTCACTGTACATGGGACATCTGGCTTTTCTGGCAAATTTGATCCAAAGATGGTTGCCATTTTGTCTCTATATTGACCCTCATGTTTACAACTAAAATCACGAAAACCTTGAAGAAATGGCCGAAAACATCAAAAAAAAGTTAAAAGTAAAATGCTTGTAAAATCTTGAAAACCCAAAATCCCAGTTATTTTATTGCAGATTATGAAAGCTCTAATGCTCCTCTTTCCAACAGTAATACCCACTCTACATGGGACATCTGGCTTATTAAACAAACTGGGTCCAAAGATGGCTGCCATTTCGTCTCTTAATTGACCCATGCTCCAGAAAAGGCTCCGTAACCATGGCAACCATTGTGACGTCATAATAAACAATACATATGAACTCTTCAGTATGTCCCATATACAAATCAAATAGTTATTAACTGGTTTTGGATTATCTTCTTAGCATACCATAAGCTGGAAATATGTCTTTTTTCACTGATTTTGGTGCATTTTCTAGGTTGTAAAAAGACAACAAACATGGGTTGCTTAGCAACGGTGTCACACACTAACCAATCATCTGTGAGAAAAATGAATAACATATTTTGGCTTCCCAATGGTCATACTTTCATATGAGAATAAAATTTTTGAAATATAAAATTTGACATGTGCCACCCTCCAATGGTGTCCTGCCCCCTTTTTACAAATAGTGCCTCTTAAATGTCCCTGCTCAAAATATTTTTAAACAAATGTATCTACGTTTATTTCTTGCAGAGATGTCCACCAAGATTTACCCAGTCTGGATCAGCTTGAGCAGCATAAAGTAAGTAAATACCTGAACAAATTCCTGTATGTGTAAAGTAAGACCTCTGTATATGGAACACACTCTGAACTGGCTAAATTATTCCTCGAAGAAAGGTGTTTCTTATAGAGTGGACTCATTAACATGTAAATGGGACAAGAACTGTAAATTGGGTCTTTTGAAAAATATTCCATAAAGAGAGGTGTTCCTATGGTGTTCCATCAGAAAGGTTTTGCTGTGCTTATTTAGAGGATTGGAGGCCATGTTATCACACCAAGATTTCTTCTTAGCATATAGCTTTACAAATTACTATGGTAATATTCAATATCAGTAATCTCCCCAGCATTAAAGCAAGTGCAAGTGTGCGCAGCACGCGCCTGAGATTTTGAAAATAGGCTGAGAAAAATCATGAAAAATTGACATATTTTGGTCTGAATTGTAAGAATGAGAATGTTGCACCCACCTGAGATAAAAATTCAGGGGAGATCACTGTATATATTATTAAAAAACAATGACCTGCCTCAAGATGAGAAAATGTGAAAACTGAGTATCTAATAACTACTTATTTTGTTTTTAATTTTCTAGGATGCAGTTCTAAAGAACCAAAACAACTATCCCCAGTCAGAGAACCAAGAAACTAGTCATCATCACCCCCAGGGCTACCTCCCCAATGATCCTTACCCCCAGGGCTACCTCCCCAATGATCCCCACCCCCAGGGGTACATCCACAATGAACAAAGCTCACAGTCACCCTCCTCTTCTGAGCCTCACATTCAGTCATATACAGCATCTGACCCTGCACAGTATTTACACAATGATTCTAATACTCAGCATTATATCAATGAACCTCAGGTTCATGGAGATCAAAATTCTCAGTCATATCAGATCACATCAGATGTAAATCCTCAGCTTTACAATCAAAATAATCTTTATAATCAAACAGAAGGCCATCTCCCATCATACAGCACTGCAGTACCCAACCCCCAGTCATACACCTCCTTAGATGTTCTTGGCTCCCAGTTTGGCGCCTCACAGGCTAGCCTAGAGCAACCCCAAGCCGAAATCCCTTATACTGAAGGTCTTTATACTAATCTGCCCAGTACATCTGGGGACATGGTGAAAGGGAGCCAATATAGCGCAGACAGTGTTGATACTCTGGACAGCGTTAACAGTGGGGGGAACCTCAAGATGCAGCAAAAGCAAGGAATGGCTGTCTCAGTCACCTCCCTCGGGTATCCCCCAGCATCTACGCCACCTCCACCAGTCCCAAATATTGAGCTCCCTGCGTATAGACCGAGCCCAGATTATAATCATGTAATGGAATCCAGATTAAGGGGGATGCCAAGTAATCAGAACAGCGTGCAATTCCAACAACAAACCTCACCCCAACAGCTAAATCAGCAACATCAGTTCAGCTTTAGTCAGGTAATCTATATAGGAGATATAATATTTGTGTTTACTTTTTTGCATTATTTTTTCAAATTGAATTTTAAACAAATGTTTTCTAGACTTTTTCACCAACTTTTACTTTCATAGACGCTTAACTAAGATAATATATGTGGGATCATTAAAAGGAGCTTTCTATTATTCCTAAATCAACTGTAATCATGAATGTAATGTTGTCCTTGTAGTGAAACTATGAACTCGGGAATAGAATGTGATTTGTTCTAAAATGATGTTTATTTCCAGGCGGCTAACATTGGAAGCTCCCACGTGTACAGTAGACCAGAGACCATGGCTTACAGCCAGCCAGAGATAGGACAATCCCCACCATTCTACCAGGAATATCTCAACTCCGTCATGAAGGAAAACCCTCAGATCTACGCACAGCCATTCGTTGATGCAAATGGCCATATTCACTACCGTCCAGTAGAACAGGTGTACAGGCCTAGGAATCCTGTTGATAGAAGTAGTTCATTAATTGTGCACTCAACATATGCAAATAGCTCCCCTGATTTACACACTCAGGGTTTACTGGTTAGTTCAACCTCTGAGACAATGATCAATGAGCCCATGTTCACTCAACCAAAGGCTTATAAGCCTCCCCCTCCGTATAACCCAAGGAACAGTAGTAGCACACCTGACTTAGCAGGTAGCCAGCAACTGGTTGCGAGTAACAATGAATTAACATCCCTTGTGTCGCATAGAAACATTAACCTCACCAATGAATTGGTGGTTCAATCCAGACTACACCATAGTGTCGATAATCTTGCAGAGGCTGTAGAAAGTTTAGAAATACCAAATAGCTTGAATGAAATTGATCGTAAAATCAGTGATTCTTCTAGCGAACACTCAAATCTGACATTTGTCACTAAAAATTTGAGTCGACCTAGTTCAGTGTCAGTTTCCCATGATATGTCAATATCGGATATGACCCCGAGTCCAACGACACCTGCGCCAGTGATGGGGCTGAGTATGATAGAGAGGCTTCAGAGAGAGATGCAAGCCCAGGCAATGATAAACCAGGCCCCTGGATCTCAACAACCCCAAGAGAATAACATACAAACAATGAATTCTGAATCAAATATGGATCAGGCAAGTGGTAGTACCCATCAGAATATGAACAATGTTGACCCCAGGTTACCCCCTTCTCTTCAGGCACTGGCTGCCATGGGGGCGCTACCCTCCCCACCCCCATATAGACCACCAGGTGTAACAAAGACAATCAATCAAAATGTCGGCTCATTTGATAGCAGTGACGCCGAGAGTATACAATGTTTGGACACAACTAGGGCACAATCTGAGCCTAGCATAACACATAGCAAAACAAGCTCACTTGACACAACCTCCCTGTCTCATAATGTAGATGCTCAGTCACTAGGACCTGAGACACGATCCCTGGGGGCAGATACCATATCCCTGACCCCCCAGGCTGAGGAGACTGAAGTGGTACAGATGCGTAACAAAAGGGATAGTACCGTAAGCTCAGAGGAGGAGACTCGCAGTGATACTTCTGAAGAGGTGAGTACTTAGAGATCCTTACATTTCATAAGCAAAAACTGATATAATTTCTTTAATTTTAATTTTAAAATTTCAAATGTGTATTCATATTTTAGTAAAAGGTCATTAAGATTTAATAAGATTTAAAATAGATCTCCGCCAAGCAAAACCATAATAGGCTTCAGTTGAAGGGTAGATTAAAACTGCCAAAATGATAAGTAGCAGTAAAATAAGTGCATCTACAGTAAATATAAGAAATGTGCAGCCAAGGCAGAATTTATTTTGTTGATAAAATTGGGTGTGTTGCTCTGCTGTCACGTTTGTTATATGTGGATTGTTTTGTCGGTTGTTAAATTAACATTGAAAACAGGTTGCTCTAGATACAGTTATTTGCATGTTTCCTAAATCAGTAACTTCTATATTGATTTAGAAGGAGAATGCTGATACAATTTCAATTTAAGTATTATATGGCCAATCTGGTGAATATCAGTGTTATATTGATATTTATAGATACAGTACAAAGATTCTTCATTTGTTGCTATGGTGATGATTTAAGAAGGGAGTAAATGTTGATTTAAATAACTAATTAATTGAGATTTCTGATTATCATTAACATGCTTTTTGAAGGGAAAATGAGCAGCAAGTTCATTCATTACTTAGCTTCATATTATGTCAAAGTATTAACTACAGAGAGAAGATGGCCGAGATCTTTAAAATTTTGTTTGCGTGCATTATGCCATGGTTCTCCCCTTGCAGTTTAATACTAGATGAAAGGGGATTAATAATCAAGAAAAGGATGTGTCCGGGCATATGCCCTTTTGGTCCCTCAGTCAAATGTATGTGAAATATGGTTTTTATTACTGTCCTAGTTATATTTGATAAGTATATTTACTCTTTCACGAGATGTGATGCATAATTAACCCCCTGCTGAGAGTCGGAATAAGTATCTTACCAAACAAAAAAATAGTCATCATCATAGAAAAAAACACCAATGGCAACATGTATGACATACAAAGAAGAAATAACTTAAGACATATGAAGAATTAAAAAGAAAATCATATTTTTGAAATATATTTAAGGATTACAATTTTTTTCAAATTTTTGAATTTCCCGCCAGTTTAATTTCAAGGGGGAAAAACAAGATGGCTGCCATTTGATGTAAGAAATATCAGAAAAAAAGTTGCTTCACTTTTAGTTTTCACAATGAGCACAGTTTTCCGGTTTAGGTTTTTTGACTGATTCTGACTCTTCATCACCAGGGTCATGTATAGAGATTATAAAATTGAAACCAAAATGTTGTGCTCAGCATGAATTTGACTGAAATGTGTGTAACTTCACCAACACAATTGAAGTCTCAAAACTGGATGCTCAGTAACTTTGAGTGACTATAATCCCTTGATTACCCAGATAAACACCAATTCACTTATCCAGAAATACCATTCAATGTCTATACAAAGAAAGTAAGCAATGTTTTGGAGGATATGTTTCAAACTTTTTGTATAATTAATTGATTTAATATTTGCCATTGATTTTTTTCCAATTCTGACAAGGTGATATGCACTTTCTTTGATGCCAATATTCTTCATCAATTGTGATACAAATTGATATCTTTGTAATCTCAGAAGAAGGATAAGATATTGAGGTTTAATAATATGTGTGATTGAGTTGGTTTTTCAGACATTACAATTTTCAATATTTTCTAAGTCGATACCCAGACTCATTCCCAGACTCATCCTTTTAAGTTTCTACCTGGTTTTCATTTTTCAACAGTTACTGGAGTGCAGTTTTTCTATACTCATCCACTAACTAGTATATCACACCACCCCATACCTGGTGTATCAAGGTATCAGTTATGTTGTCTGGTGGTATTCAGGTTATGCCAACCTTTTATCAACACCTCCAATATTATACCTGAAGTCTGATTTCATTTTGCTGACTCAGCATAAAACTAAATACAGAAATATCTTTTATCTGCTGTTACGGTTTCAAATAACAAATAACACAGGAGCTCATAAACAAATGGTTTATTTATTTCTTGGGTGTATAGGTTTACATTGTTACTACATTAGCCGGACTCCCTTGCATGATTTATTAATAAGTCTTGTAGACAGAAATATCAAAAGCCGCAGAGTATGTTTTCATGTTATTCTTCTTAACTGAACTTCAGATATTCTGATATTTTTCCCATGAGATTTATCAAAACAAGAAATCTTGAACAAATACCTGATATAATATTACAACTAATCAGTTTTTTAAAGGTTAGAATTCAAATCAAGTATAAGATTAAAAATTCCAAAGAATGTGTGATATACTTGCTTTACATTGGTATGTAGCAAACCTAAACATAGTCTGTTCATGTTTACATTTTTATGGGTGGAAACAGTAAACTGACATTTAGTCTACAAAATTACAAGTTCAGGATTTGTATCATAGATAGAATGATATGATACAGTCACTATAGTGAACTGTATGTAACCTTTTGAAGGTGGTACCCAGAACGATAATTTCACGGTTGAAGCATTTTAAAATGGAAAAGAGACTGAAAGCAATAGAAATGAACAAAAATGATAAAAAGCTGATAAAGTATACAGGCTCCTGTGCTAAATGTGAGAATTTATTACAGGAGATCTAATTGAAATTTTTTAGATGAAATTTTGTGAGTAGGCCTGGACAGAAAATAGGTTTAGGTGTGGATGTTTTAAGTTGAGCAAAGGAGGAATATATTTGCTTCGTATCTCTTAAGATGGGTGTACACCATGTAGAATGGAATAACAGATGAAAGAACATTCCACATGTACTAACATATCACTGGTGCATCTTGTCTGACCATGTTATCTGCAGAATTCAAAGATAGAAGTTTACAAGGATATGATTGAAACCATATTCTGCACTGATGAACCATATTCTGCAACTCATCATAATGATCTGTATATGAAATGTTGTAATTGCCAGTGGAAATATTATTATAGTCGAGAGGAAATTTTATTATTGTCAAGAGAAGTTAATTTTATAAGAACTTAGTCAATTGTTTACAATGAAAGCTTGGGTTTATAGTTTATTATAGCCGCACAGAATCCAGTGACCAGTCTACGAAAATCTCATAGTCAGTGGAAGTTTGCATCACTGAAAGTCATTCATAAATGAACATCTCACATATCTGAAGTTTTTCACTGGTGTTCAAACTTATAGTCAATGATATCCTCCAAATTAGTCAGTGCATGTTTTACAAACTATTGATAGCAGCGAATTTAATCTTAGACCAGACATAACAACTGATATAAATATGATAATCGTAACTCTTTACTCATATTCTTTACATTTTGATTTACTCCCAACTGAAACAAACATTATCTGATTAGATCAGGAATTAAATATTTGATTTGGGGAGTGTCTGGATAAAGGATAACCTTCAATCTTGAGTAATTCTAAGAATATCTTATTGGTATAATTACATAGCTACAGGGAATATATTATGTAGGCAGTCTACATGTTCTACTTGTTTGAGACATGTATGTGCCAAATGTGAGTTATTAATGAATGTACGTGCCAACAAATGTACTTCAATTTGGTATCATCGTGCCATCTGATTGATTCTTAATTATAGCCAGGCACATTGAATGCTAATGATGTCTTGTGGCACCTGATGCTCATTAGCTTATGTTCTTTACAACTCTGCAGTCTAATGTAGTTACATAATATTTATGCACATTTGTGGCATTGTGTATAATGATTAGTAATCTTCATTGGGTGAGGAGGGAATAGGAGTCGAACAAGGCAAAATGAGTTATTGAATAACACCATGGATTAGTGCCTTATCAAGCCGAAACTACAATTGGGTGTCGAGCTATATGTTTTGAGTCATAATCAGTCATAATACACATATACTCTTATCTTAAATTAACATTGTATTCTGGGTTCATCATCTAATCAGTTTGAAGAAACATAATAGCTCTTGGATATCTCATTGGATTAGTTTACATGTAAAGTACTTTATTTAGATGCATCATTCAGGAAAAGTGGTTCGCTAGCTGTATAGGCGATTTGAGTTTACACAAGAGCAACTTCATTGAAATTTAGAGAAAATATCCATTTATATTTTTTTCTGAAAAGTCACATTCATGGCCCTCACCAAAGAATCATAATTTTAAAGTTTATTGCAGCTAAAGCAAATTAACAATGATCAGAAATCACAAGAGCATACAGCTTAGACATTTAATCTGTTATATAACCCTTATATTAGATGATCAGTATTGAGGAATTTTAGGAGATAATTTATTAAATGACAATATACTTCTAATTCCTGAGTAGCATATTATATGAAGGGCTAGACTTCCCTAAGGATATTAGATGTGCCATGTGTGTTATAATTGAGCATCACCAAATTCATGGAAGTCAAGGACTGGAATGCAGGATTTACAGAATTTTGAACACAAGAATATTCGTGGCTGTTCAAAAAAATCTGATTCAGCAATTTTGTAGAAACCTGTTATGTTAACTTTTTGGCTTATGTAGTCTTTATTATAAGAGGGAAGAAGGAATGCTCTGATATCTGAGGCAGCAACCATGTGGATCAGACTAGAACAGTAATGTTTAACATCATTTATCTTAGCTGATGGTGTGTGGAAATGTAGCCTCTGCCTTAAGATCACTACTTGCAATAAAGGTTAGGCACAGGTGGGATACCAGTAATGAACAGTGAAATACTATCCCATCTATTGACATAGCAAGGACATTGTATCATATTATAAGCGAAATGTCAACAATATAAAACCACAAATACAATTGCCTGAAATATAATTGTCATCAATATTGGATAGAACAGCTGAAGCATGTATTACGGAGAATCAAGTAAAGTTAAGGCAACATATACATAGAATACCAAACCCTGGATACATACACTGTAATTTAATAATATAATAAGTGTCTCACAAAGGGTCACCAAATATATTGTAGGAAAAACAAAAACAATTTAAGAAAGTAATAATCATTTAATTTAAGGAGCAAGAACTACTGAGAATAGGGTAACTAAAGGCTGCCAATAAAACATAGGATTTGACAGTCTCAACATTTGTGGAGCAAAAGGTAGATAATGTAGAACAAACAAAAAACAATTCCAAAAATATTTGTCAGTATAAGTCTGAGTGTGCCATCCATACATGTAAGATCCAGTATTGATATGCCACATAGTAGATAGAGTTAAGCACATACTATATGTATGTGTAGAACAAGAATGGATTCAGACAGTAGTTTAGATGACTTTAACTATGAGGTATACTCCAACTACCTAAAGGAGCTCACAGAGAGAGTCCTCAGGTGTCAGGTCTTGGATATAAGGGAAGATGATGATGCGAAGGAAGATGCTGAGGCTGGGGATGATGTACCAGACCTGCTTGGTGATACACTCACTCAAGCTAATCATAAGATTGCTGCTGTCACCATTAATAATGTTAAGGTATATGAAATGAGAGGTTATGAATGGTGTTGGAATATTGAGTTCTCTCCTGAAAATCAAATACCAATATTAGGATTGACCTCTGATGGTATATTTCATTTGATCATATTGGAAATTTTTAACAAGTGTTGGCATTATAATCAGTCTTCAACTTTTTTTTGTGCTCGGTGGTTGATGGTTGTTGTCTGTAACAAATGACAGGTGGTGACATTTTGCATGTTAGTGTCGTGTTAGAATGTTTGTTTATGCTGTTTCATCAGTCATATCTGATATGACTTTAGTCTTGAAACTAAATGATATACTTTGTGACTTTAACTATATATTTACAATTCAATTCATATAGGATGGGAGTTTGATTTCAAAATCAACATGTTTAACTACATGTATGTGACATGTACCAGGTATGCAGTGGTTTCTTTTGAGGAATCAAAAATGAATGCACATTTTATAAAATGATATGTTAAAATAAAGTTTACATTCTGTCAACTTCTATGCTTCCAGGAAGTGAAAGTGAAACGTCGTAGTATGGGTCCTCTCAAGATGGCTGCCATGAATGGTCTGTCGATGTCACGTGCCAGCATGCTATTGGCTGAAGCTGACGACTCTCGTGCACCTACAGATGAGAGGGTAAGAGTAGTTGGGTTAATGTCAAATAATTGCATGAAGTGTCTTTTCCCTTCTTCCTGTATCTTTCCCTATCGGCTTTCTAAGTTAGTAGTATGTCAGGGAAGAGGGCTAAAAGTAATGAAGTGTCTTTTCCCATCTTCCTGTATGTTTCCCTATCGGCTTTCTAAGTTAGTAGTATGTCAGGGAAGAGGGCTAAAAGTAAGACAAATCTCAAGATGACTTTACTGAATTAAGTCTATTGCACCCTGTTATAACCTCCAATTATGATGTTAACTTCCTTTTATGGTAACTCATAAGTGAATGAGTCTATGAATTTTCATTTCAGAAAAATTTACATGATAATTGTTAAATGGATCAATATTGATGTTACAATTATAGAAAAATAGTCTAAAATTTCCTGCAGTCTTGATGAATGAAATACTTCATTAAATTGATTGTGAATTTCAGCGTAAGAAGTTTGAGAACAAGTTAGAAGATGGCCAGGTTTTTATGGAGTTTGAACAGATACCTAAAAAGCGAGAACATTGTACCTGTAATGCTGCTACCCATCCAGAGAATGCTAATAGGAACAGGTTCAGGGAGGTGTACCCCTATGATGATAATAGAGTCAAGATACCCCCAAGTAGGAGCAACAGCCTGGGTTACATCAATGCTTCACATATTAAGGTACAGAATGACCCAATAATCTTTGTAATATTACCCATTCTCCAATTATTTTTATCATGATTGTGAATTAGCCTATTGTGTTTCTAAACTAGTGTATCATGGTCCTCAGTGTGCATCATAAAGGCTTCATGTATAAGACAAATATTATAAAATGTATTAAAAAATGTATGTGTACTGCCAATTTGTACCTGGTCCAGTAGTATTTATGAAAAAATGTTGGACGGGGCTTTTTACAGGGCTTTATAGTACTGCTAGATGATGATGCAGATTGGGGGTGTCTGTGTCAAAATTTTCAACTGAAATGTTATTTTCCTCTATGAGAAGCAATCCGCTTGGCTAAATCACGATGACTTAAGTATTATTGGACGACACTTATGCTGCTCCTGTAGTTGTACTATAAGACTTCTGTATTAAAACTATGATCAGAGTCAGATTTCCCAATAGAATTTACCTTATAATGAAATTAATGAGTATTATATGTTTCTACAGTACATATCTAAGGTACCTACAAATAAGGTATCTCGTAAAAAGGTGGCTAAGACCAAGTCATCTAAGGTAATGTATATTGCAGCCGCTGACAGTACACTGCACTATAACAGTCATCATTCATGTACACTTTTATCACTCAATGTTGAAGGAGCTTGATAATCTCATGTTTCACACGATATTCTATTCCCAATACTGCCTTTGTGGTTGGTGGTCACCATTTGTTGGTGTCTCAGAAATTACCGTTGTTACCATTTGGTCACATTTTCGCATGTTAATGGTGAATGGATAATCCAGCAGTTAGCAAAATGAATTCATGTTTGTGTGGGATTTTAATTTATATCTATCTCAGCATATGTGTTGCTTAGTACTTAGTACTTTATTGTTGAGAATCGAGGCATAGTGCAAAATTTTACAGCGAACTATTTATTCAGGCATTTTCCGACTGAAACTATAGAAATTTGCCTCGCCTATATTTCAGTTTGCCTCATCTAGTTTTAGATTGTCAGCTCCTTTTACATAGAGATGATAATGCCAATTTACTTTACTGGTTCTACATCATGGGTTACACAGTTATGCAATTGACTTGTACATTGCTACAGCCGCACTCTGCTACTAATATAATATTTTAGATACCACATGGATTTTCTTAATAATAACTTTTAGCAATCTTCACTTATTTTACTGGATACCTACCTGGGATTCAGAATATTGATTCTGCTATAAATATATGAAATATTTATAAATGGACGCTGATTTAAATTGAAATATAATATTGTGACTCTTCCATCACTTGCAGTCCAATATTTTCTCTGCTATAATTTAAAATCTAATGTCTTGACTCTGCTTTAAATTGAAATTCTATATCTTGACCTTGAATAAGTAAAAACAATATCTTGCTATACTTTGAGATAGAATGCCTTGTGTCTGCTATAGGTTCTATCCTGGTCAAGGGCTTAGAATATATTAACAATTGTTGCCACTTGGAAACAAAGGAAGACATAGTATCAATTAATTCAACATCAATATTGATAGTCTTGTGTATAATATAAGATCTGTTAGATATATATTTTTAATACTCCTGCTCTGAAATGTAACATTAAAAATTTAGAATTTGATTAATTTGGATGTCTGTAATTTGTATGATTGCATTTTTTGTCATATATCCCTTAGTCTTGCTTCAAGTCCCTGGACCCCCCATTTCAGCTTTAACCAGATGTTGTTGAAGTGGGGGGGGGGGTCTTAAAGCAAGACTATTTATCACTCTGAGTCGGTTGCACTTGAGGCTCAATTAATAATTCAGTTGGTGTATTCTATGTTTCTATTCTCCAGATGCACATAGCTAGCGATGACTGGCTTTACATTGCCACCCAGGCCCCTCTGGACAACACAGTGTCAGAGTTCTGGCAGATGATCTGGGAAAGTGAGGTCTACGTTATAGCCATGTTGACTGAGATACAGGAGCAAGGCAAACAGAAGTGCTGCTCTTACTGGCCAAGAGTTGGGGATAAATCCCCCATGCAGTTTGGTGATGTGAGTTAATAATTGTACGAGGGGGGATTCATAAGTAGTGGGACAAATGCTATAACTTCACTTATATCAACCAGATTTTATTCAAACTTAGAACACAGAACCACAAACATGTTATAATCATTGTGTGAAAATTTCAAAAAGTTCCACCCAACTTCAGTAAAGTGAGAGTTCCAATAATGACGTCACAACAGGGTCCACGGAGCACATTGTTTGTCTTTAATTGCTAGTTAAATATACAAGTCTCAACTGATATTCAGAGCGTGATCTAATCTGTGACTTCTAGGGAGTCCTTTTGTGGAGCACATCAATTCTGTGCAAGACTATTGATTCCTTATCCTTCTGGTGCAATCTCACTCTTTCTCAAAGTATTCGCCATGACAATCAATGCATTTTTGGCATCTCCTCAATCATTCATAGGTATGCACCCTAAAAACCATATTTTCCAAGATTGGTCATCTCAGCTCTCACAGCATATTCAGAATACATATACAAAATACCACCTATATACTGTAGATTTTTTTTACTTCTTCTTTCCCATAGACTTCCAACCAACCTCTATAGGTCTCTAACACTGAAAACTTCTTCAAAGCATTAAATTTAATCACAGCACGGATGTTTATACGTGATTCTTGCTTTTTCATTGCTATTTAAATCAAATTTTGCTCCATCCAAGAAAAACTGAAAATGGCAGTGTCCTGGTGTCACTGCTTTGTGTGACATCACAATAGCATGGTGATGTAATATATGTTACAGTTGTCATGACTACAAGGCTTGGGACAATATGACACCAAATATTTGAAAATAACTGTCATTTTGAGATATTTATGAGCATATTTATGTCGATCAAGCCCTTCATTTTTTAACTGCTCCGTTAACCCCTACTTTTGGTTACCATAGCAACCGTTGTTGCTAGGAAACAAAATGAATTAAATTGAAATTTCACCAAACAATACCTTATATCCTAGTCGGTTCATGTGCCAAATTTGGTTGAGATATGTACACAGGAACTTGCTGCCTCAGAAAAGTCCCACTACTTATGAATCCCCCCTCGTATTATAGGATTTGAGTTGACTTAGCTTTTGGAAATGCAAGCTTGTACAGTATTCAGGCTGATGTGCGTTGATAAAGTACGAGTACTTGGATATGTTAGTTGATAACACAGTAATAGGGGATTTGAGTTGACATAGTAGTGGGAATGCAAGTTTGTATAGTATTCAGGGCGATATGAGTTGATAAAGTACTTGGATATGTAAGTTGATAATAGAAATGGGGAATTTAATTTGATAATGATATTGCAGGATTCTTGTTAAAATACCATTGGTGATTGGATGATACCTGCATATGATATGCTCAGACAATATCATCTTACTTTGGAAAAATATTATATGTTTTCTCATTACAGTTCCAGATTTACATGCAGTTCTGTAACAAAACAGAGTGGTTCAATACAAGTAGGTTAACAGTGAAACATTTACCTTCTAAATGTGAAAGGGAGCTATGGCACCTCCAGTACACAGACTGGCCAGAGAAGGGCTGCCCTGAAGACATACATGGTTTCCTAGGTAAGGAGCAGTGATGATTGATTGATGTGTGATTCAAATATTTAAGTATGTCAGTAGCTGGATCATTACATATACAATAAATTGGCATGGAGGTTTCTGGTTTTAAAGGGGGTTTGTCATAGAGGAAGCGATGCTTGTCATGGCACCATTCTTTTTTAGCTCAGGCCTTGTGCGAGAAATCATGACTCAAATGCAAAATGCTGTTTAGCAAATAAAAACCAGATGATTTTTCAGTCTTTCATTTGTGTCTAAAAATGAAAAGTATGATGAAGCCTTGAAGTAATTTTTGTGTAATTGTTCGTGTTTCAGCATACTTAGATGAGATTGATTGTGTTCGGAGACATGCATACAGTGAGCACCCAGACAACAAGCTTACCCCCATATTGGTGCATTGTAGTGCAGGGGTAGGGAGGACAGGTGTTGTCATCCTGGCAGAGATTATGAAGGCTTGCCTAGAAAGAAATGAGGTAGGACTAATCATTTATGAAATCTTGAATAACTGTGTATGACAAAAAATCTTGTCATCAAGTATGCAAGAAAACCATTTATTTAGAATAATTGAAAATTCTTACTTACAGATGCAAAGGAAGATATTTGATTAGATAGTGGGTTTTTCCTCAAGGTGGCCATTTTGTTCTTCAATTACAATATTTATCATAAAACTATGTATTTGATAAATTGAAATACAGTTAAACATTTTCTCAATTTATTTGGAGCAAATCCCTATAATAATGGCTAAATTGGGCAAAGTTTCATGTCAACCTTTTTGAAAGAATAGAAATAGTTTCCTTCAGGCAAGAGTTTGTTTGGCCAGTAGTACCATGCAACACACTGGGCATGAGAGGGACATACAGGCCCACTGTGATAAATTCCAAACAAATTTGATACATGACATTTTTGGTACCACCATGCCCCTTGGTATGTAATAGCACAGTTACCACCAGATGATTCATCATGATCCCGGTCCTTTGTACTAAATGGCATACCATTGTGGAAACCAAGAGAGTCCCCTGCATCTCCACTATATCCACCAATCGTCAGCTTGTAGTTAGATCGTCCATCACCCAGATTAAATGTGGAATATTCAGCATGACGTGTTTCATTTAGCGGAGGCCACGTGGTTAGATCAATTCTGAGTTTATTGTTCCCTTGTGTTAATAAACCATGGATATTGTCCAGGCCCATGAAATACTCTCCTGCTGGACTCCCAAATCCTTCTTGATACTTGACCCAACCCAGGCAGAAATCGACACTTCCATCAAATCGCCTGGCCATGTAGACACATCCCCCACTGCAGTATACTCTGAATGCATCTTGGCCCTTTGGCTGTATAGTTCTTACACCAACAAAGCTTGTATTGTCACTACAGTCCCGGGGATAAGTAGCTGGAAAATAACATAGAAATTGGCTAGAATCTTCAGGTTTTATCTTTCAACATATACAGTTGCTTTACAGCTTACTTTCAAACTTTCTCTGATTGAGGCACCTTTAATGTTCAGACTATTGTAAGACCTCTATTATATTAGTAGCTCAAATAATAGCATACTACTTTATCTAGCAGAGTCTAGCAGTATCTAATTCATAATTTTTTCTGGAGTCTGCTTTAAACTGTGTTTTAGATTTATTACCTTTTGATTCACATGGTGAGTTTTGCGAACTCTTCATTTGTTCCAAGAGATCTTTCACCGAGGACATATCATTTTTCATATTTTCAGTGTCAGTTTTCAACCCTTGAATGTCACTTTTCATTTCTTCAATGTCATTTTTCACCTCTTCATTATTTTTAATTTCTGCAATGTCATTTTTTATTTCTTCAATTTCATTTTTCACCCCTGTTTCATTTTTAATCTCTGTAATGTCATTTTTCATCTCCTCAATGTCATTTTTCACTTCTGTATCATTTTTAATCTCTGTAATGTCATTTTTTATTTCTGCAATATCATTTTTCACCTTTGAATCATTTTTAATCTCTTCAATTCCATCTTTTATTTCTTCAATGTTGATTTTCATCTCTCCAATGTTATTATCATTTTTCATCTCGGTAATGTCATTTCTCATCTCTTCAATATTGCTTATTGTCTCCGTATCATTTTTCATCTCTGTAATGTCATATTTTATCCCTGCAATGTTTGTTTCCATTTCCTTAATATCATTTTGTATCTCTTTATCATTTTTCATCTCTTCAATGTCATTTTTAATGTCATCAACATCAATTTTCACTTCTTCAATGGTCGTCCTAGCCTTGGTCACATTATTCTTTATCTCTATCAGATCGACATGTAGGGCGGGATTTTCCTCACTTCTTTCGCAGCAACTTTGGGTATCAGTTCTCAGTTCATTCAGTTGGGTGACAAGTTTTTCAATGTCTGTTTTCTTGCATGTAGCAATCTGGTTTCCTGGTTTCTTCTTTCCTTTCTTTTTCTTTGCTTCTGTGTTGTCTACAGCCATTACAAGTAGTGCTATTAGTAGAAGTACTTTGAAATTCATAGTTCTAAGAGAATAGCTCGACTTGATGATTGTGTAGTTGGGGTTCTGCTATTCAGTTGATCTGTTTGAGTTAATACAAAATTCAAGATTTGTGGCTCTCATCTAATCAGCATTAAAAGCATATAATAGTCAATAAAAACAATTTGTGTTCATAAAATATTCTAGAGTCTTTGTGTAAACCTTTGATGTCTAAAGGAAGCTATTAAAATTGTATCATCTGTTTCAAATAACATTTATATTTTGTTTCAACTTTTTTTAAATATGTTTTTGCTAGACGTCATAAAGAGATATGAAGCATACTGAGCCAATTTATTGCCTATTTAAAAGTATTGATCAGTTTAAATGGGACGACAGGCATATAGCTTGGTTCAGGTGTTTGTTAAGAAAGAGTATATGCTGACTTTCAGATGATGTAAAGAGGCAATTAAAATATGGGAAACTATTTTGTTTATTATTGTTTATGGATGGTGCATGGGAAATCATGATCAATCCTAGTTCCTTCTGCCAGTGGAAAGTGCCCAGTTTTAAGCACACAAATCCTAATATTTACTGTAAATGTTACTACATCTTTAAAGAAATTGCTCCCAGTTTTAGCTTCATATTGGAGGCATCTAATCAGTGAACATCTTCTGAAAAATAAAGAGATGAATCTTTCAGTCAAAATGGGCCACTTTTATGTCCTCTATTGACGCCAGTATTGGTGCTCTTTGATTCATAAAAGGACCAATTCTTTATAAATAAAAAAAATTAAATTCAACAATCCATCCTTATGCTATAATACAGCTGCTTGATATCCAGCTGAACAAAGTTCATAGGAACATAGAGTAGCCTCCCAGTCGCTTCTGTGTCCAAGCGATAACTGGAATACTGGTTGACAGATTCAGTTTAAATAGGTTTATGCCTTATGGGTGTAAAACCTCTGCTTGAGAAGTATTTTCATTATGTCCACTCAATTCAAAATGGCCACCATTTTTCTTAAAAAATCCTTGATCACTCAAATACTCAGCTACATACACTATTACTAAAATCTTAATCATTTTGCAAAGACAAACGTTCCTGCAACTTCTTCTTTTCTTAATAAGGGAAATATTATTCGGGCATATTAATGACAGTTACTATGCTTTACTTTCCAGACAATAGAAATTCCAAAGGTGTTACGTCAACTCCGTGAACAGCGTATGCATATTGTACAAACAGTAGGGCAGTACAGCTTCGTCTACAGAATACTCATTCAATATTTAAAGAACTCCAGGCTTATATGATACTGGAGCATAAGTAAAGGTGCCAAAACCTCTGAAGGATTTCCCTTGCTGGGTTGTTCATGTTTTCAACAGACATGATGGGAAATGACATGCCATTATGTGAAACTCCAGCCTACATGAGAACTCGAGACCTTCCTTTATAAAGGATATCATTACATGGATTTATGAACATGAACTAAGGAAGCAACATACAAATTCTCTTGCCAACATTAAAAATGTTTATGAAAGATGCAATGATTTATGGATAAGACTTGTTATTGAATACTGATCTGAATCTCAAGGCTGGAAGTAGGATGGTATATGTATACCTCCTTTGCCTCTTATTATAAGGATTACTACGTGTACAGTTCTAAATATTTCTGTGCATGAATGATTAAATAGTGGCTACTCCCGTGCATATCACTGTGTTTAAAGGAACTAGGATGCATTTTAGAATGCCCGCAGCGCAAGTCAATTGCTATTTCGCAAATCTATATATCCTGATGGTTTGGAATGGTAAAGTCAGTACTTCATGTACTGCACTGTACCATGTAGAGTCTACAGTAAAACCAGTCTTATCTGAATGCAACTGGGATCAGCCACTAGTGTTTGGAATTGCAGGTGTTAACATGGGCATTAAAGAAGACTTCGGATTTTCAAAAAGAATTATGCTGGGATTAAGGTGTTTGGATGTACAGGTTTTACTGTAGGTATATTTGTGTTTTAGTTTTATAGATTGCATGGTCAGCTTGTCCAAGAATCTTTCATTAAGACTTTCAAAACAGTGAAATATTCCTTTGTAACTTCTAAAGGAATAGACTCTTATATATTTACACAGGGGTTTGAAGAAATCACTTTAGAATCAGAGATGATATGTATTCAGCGTACCAAAGAAATAAATAAATTATAGTCCTTGATTTGAATAATACCAAGATATGTCAGGTGGATCCTTGCAGGAAGAAAACTGAAACTTTTTTTGTGTTTATTGGTAAAACTTCATAATTTATAGCCATCATTAATAAATGAATATCATTTATTAAAACCTGAATCATATGGTAGACATGAGCCAGAAATAAACTTTTATCTGTTCTTATTGTTCCTCAAAGTGCAGTATGTATTTTTAGAGAGAATTCAAAACTTATCCAGTGTTTGCATTATTGAGGGATATTTTCCCAAGAGTTAATTGTTTTAGCGCCAAGAAGCAGAAGCAAGTAGATAAAAGACATCATGAGAAATCCATGGAATATGATTTTTATCCCATTTTTGAAGATGCAGTAATTTAAGCTCATTTATCCCATGGATATCATAATATATTGGATATTAAATTCTAATATAAAGGAAATATCAATGTATATCGAATATAGAACTTGATGAATCATGAGCCTGAAATATTTGAAAAATATTTTACAAAATACATGAATGAATATGGAATTATGAATAATTATTTATACATTTGAACATTTGGAATGTATGTACATCTGTACATGAATATAATGTATTATAGATCATTCTGATTTATGATGTCATGCGCTGCCCTTTTATTGCATGAGATACCCACCATCTATTGATTAATCTGCATATGAAAGATACAATCAATACTTGTATCAGCAATTTTGCTTGGAAGTATACCTTGGAGACTTTGACTCGTCTTAAGCGCATGATTGATGGGAATGGTCCATTACTAAAAGTGTGATTTACACTGTAATTTTGTTGTACACTCTTCAAAAAGAGAATTTGTATTTTATAGAATTTTTAGTACACATTAAAGTATTGTTACATACTATATACACATGTACATATCTGATAATTAATGAGAAAATAACATTAAAAAATGTTTCATATATTTTAAAAACTGAGAATTTTTCAAACACTGCTGGATGCTTATTTGTCCAAAATTGAGCAAATGTCAATGTATAATACAAGGTTGTGAAATAATTTCTGTTATGTCATTATTGAATGTTCAAAATTGATCATAATGTTTACAAGTTTTTATTATGTCACCACCACAAGTGGTGACATATTGCATTGTTATTGTTTTCAACATTTTTTGGATGGTGTTCAATTGTCGGAGTTTTGCATCTGTAAAAAATCGCAAGTGGTGACATTTTGCATGTTAATGCCCTGTGTAAAGAACAAGATGCAATGATGATGGTGCTAATTTCTAAGGGACTGTGTCAATATGTCAGTATACACTCACAAATTAACTACTTTACCTGGGATTGATAAGGGTGAAGTCATTGCATTTAGGTACCATACATTAGTTTTTTAAATGATTTGAGCAAACAATATGTGTTAATTATATTTTTAGGGATGAGAGACTCACTTGGTTACTGAATTGTAAATTTTTTATTAATTACATGCGGCTATGTCCTTGGATACATTGAAATATTGACATGGTTCCTAACATTTTGTGGAAGTGTGAAGAGTATGGTGTTAGGGTTTTGTTTTGTGCCTGCTGTTATGATTTGTGTATTATGAGTAATACATAACCTTTCACATACTGATCTTATGCATTGTGTTCATGTGAAATTTACGAGCAATATATCTCTATCAATATTTTGCATTATGAGGGTATGCCTGTATGCTGTCAACAGATGTGGATGAACAAAGTGAATTTCATTTGGGGATAGAGAGTAAATGTCTTGATTGCTACAAGGCTATGAATATCATCCTCCCAAGCAGGTATCCAGAATCCGTACCTCCTTCCGCCTGCTATAACCAATTTGGAAGCAGCCGATTAAACTGAATCATGTGATATAATTATGCGCAATGACTTCTACATGATTTCCGTCGCAGTGTTGCGACAACCAATCAGATTGCGAGTTCTTAATCGGGGAAATGCTAACTGCTTATCGCAGGGGGTAAAAACAAAGAACATATTCTGGATTTTGAACCCCTGTGATCGGAGGATGATGAATATTAACCCTGATATTAACCTATAAATGTGTAAGGTTTCATTTCATTGTTTTTGCACTTGAATGATTTATTTTGTTTACAATACAATACAACAGAAGGGTACAATCAATTTTTCAAGATAGTCCAAGCCATATTTTCTTTGGGTTGTATGCAAGGCTGTGAACTTCATTGTATTGAATCTGTGCTTGCTCTGTTCTTATGGCTGAATACACATAATGATGAAAAAATAAATAATTTATAACTTCAAATACTGCAATCATGTTTTATTTAATCACTTAGTAATTGACATTCACAAGGAATTGAAAACACATGTGACACTCACAAGGCATTCAATTAAATACTTTACCTGTGCTACAATATTTAAACAATTCTCTCCCAACCATACACTGACATGCTTCATTCGAATTAAACTCACAGATCTGTTTATTCCGACAGGAAAAGCATCATCTTTGACAGATAGATAATTCTGCCTGATATATTGTTATGGTCTCATTATCATGTCACCACCAAAAAGTGGTGACATATTGTTATGGTCTCTGTTTTTTTTGATGGTGGTTGGTGGTTGGTGATCAGCAGTAGGCGGTTGGTGATCAGCAGTAGGCGGTTGGTGATCAGCAGGTGGCGGTTGGTGTCTGTTACAAATTCTTAAAACTTCCAATAACTTTACAAATACTGTTTAGACTGACTTCAGTTTTTTTTCAAAATCATGTACAAGATATCGGAAGTTCAAATCTGACTTTAGATTTTACATTTGACCTTCATTGACCTCCAAAGGTAAAAAAGGTATTTTTTCAACTTGCTTCAAATTGACCTTTTTTTTTAAAATCATCTAGAAGTTATCAGAAGTTCAAATCTGACTTTAGATTTGACCTTCAATGATCTTCTCAAGGTCAAAAAAGGTCTTTCAACCTGCTTCAAATGGACCAATTTTTTTCAAAATCATCTATAAGTTATCAGAAGTTTTAATCTGACTAGATTTGAGATTTGACCTCAAGGTCAAAAAAGGTCTTTTTCAACTTGCTTCAAATTGACCATTTTTTTCAAAATCATCTGCAAGTTATCAGAAGTTCAAATCTGACTTTAGATTTGAGATTTGACCTTCTCAAGGTTTCAGAAGTTCAAATCTGACTTTAGATTTGAGATTTCACCTTCAATGACCTTCTCAGGGTTAAAAAGCTCTTTTTCAACTTGCTTCAAGTTGACCTTTTTTTCAAAATCTTTTACAAGTTCTCAATAATATTGTGAACAACTTGGTGACATTTTGTAATGTTAATGCCTTGTTTTAACTTGTGGCTGACATAAATGAATTTACTGGAAAACTAAAAAGTTATGGTTGTCTCTTCTTATGGACCAAAATACATAGAACATTCATCAGATATTAAAGGCAGAATCGGATCTAACAATTACTTTGGTGCTTCATCTTGACGAAAATTATTTCAATGCTTGCAATTTTGCCACTCCCTAAAGGTCTGATTCTACCTTTAACCAGAACAACGGCAACGCCAAAGCGTAGCAAATCCCATCGAACAGAAATGGCTGGCATTTTTACAAACGAATAGCAAATATCATAAAACAACACACCAGAAAGGCCACCATTTTCAAAATGGCTGCTCACTAGCCAAGTTGTCATCAGAAGAAATGCACCTCTAAAATTTTTGAAAAATCTCACACATACTTGTAAAATTACACACATAAAAATAGTGGCCATTTTTCAAAATGGCCAACTACTCCCCAAAGTTTTATTAGACAATGTGCCATGCTTAAAGTATTCAAATATCAAATATGAACAAAATCGCTCCTCTACTTTTCGAGTTATAGTAACATATGTTAAAATGGCAGCCATTTTGAAAAATGGCCACCGTCTACCAAAAGTGTCATTAGAAATAGACAGTGTGCCATGCTTATAGTATTCACATACCAAATATGAACAAAATCACTCCACTACTTTTCGAGTTATAGTAAAATACGTTAAAATGGCGGCCATTTTTCAAAATTTTTTTCAAAATGGCCGCCTCCTACCGAAAGTGTCATAGGACAGTGTGCCATACTTATAGTATTCACATACCAAATATGAACAAAATCGCTCCACTACTTTTCGAGTTATAGTAAAATACGTTAAAATGGCGGCCATTTTTCAAAATGGCCGCCTTCTACCAAAAGTGTTTTTAGACAGTGTGCAATGCTTATAGTATTCACATACCAAATATGAACAAAATCGCTCCACTATTTTTTGAGTTATAGCAAAAATCGTAAAATGACGAGTAAAGGCCGCCATTTTTCAAGATGGCTGCCATGTGCTTCTTTAATATCTACATTTGTAGCATTATTAATGTCCTTTATAATTTTTTTACATTTAAAACATATTGCTATTACAGTTTTACATATTACACCTAAATTACTGTAAAATCGGCACTAAAATGGCCGCCATTTTGAAATGAGCGGCCATTTTGAAAATCGGCTTTCGAGCAGAACTTCTGCCCCCATAGGGTATATGTGTACAAAATATGAACAAAATTTGGCCAACGGTATTTGAGTTATTGCCCGGACGGACGGACGTACGTACGGACGGACGGACGGACGGAGGCGTTCCCTATATCCCTCCGAACTTCGTTCGATGGGATAATAACTTATAATTTATGAATGCCAAAAATTGAGATGTTACTAGCCGTTACATTTTATATATGAACATCTATCGAACTTCATTACTTAGCTTTGCTACATAGTTTAAAATAATTTTGGCTTTTATAAGATTCATTCCTAAGCCATAATGTGTCCCATCAAAACTAAAGACATTTTTTGACAATTCTTCAGTATTCATTACTGGTACACATAGCTTTCTGAGGTACGCATCCACATGTCTGTTGAACTGTTTGGTATGTTGTACATCCTGGCGAACTTGATGGATAGATTTTAGCAGGCCTGGAAGATGGGTATTTAACCATAAAACTTTTGGAACACTCTCATATTTTGTATTTTCCAATAGTTGTTGATCACCACTCGTATCTGATGACAGGAGTGTTCTGTAATGCTTAATGGCTGATTTGTCTTTCTGTTCATTGTCCTTTCCTGGTAAATATCCTGTATTGGAAATTCTTTCTTTGTGATATATTGATTGCACCATGTGAGAATCTGTTTGTATGTTTTTTGTGATCCTAATGTTTTTTAGATCCTTTGTGTGTGGAATTGAAATAGGTCGATCACCATGGTGATACTTGGGGTTTACACCTTGTAGAATCATCTCTAATGTTGGGTTGATATAGCCTAAAATCAGCTTCTCAGCATTAAAATCATCATGTAAGCCAGTTCCCATGATGAGAAAACTTTTGGAATTTAATTTCAGATCTTTTAGTTCAGATTTTCTAGTTTGTAGTTCGTTGATTGACTCTAAGCTGAGCATTGTAACACGGAGATTGCCATCACAAACTGTTGCGTTCCTCCATAAGTTGAAACTGTTGCATTCTTTGTCAAGAAGTTGGTAGTAGCCATGACATTTCGCTTTTACATCTGAAAATAGTTTGAAATATTGAGATATTCTGTAAATGATATATACAGGGTGGGCAATACAAATGGGACACTGCATCATTCATGAAAGGTTTATATACATGTATACTTGTTTAAATAGAATACCTGTGAGTGTCCCATTTTTATTTGCCCACCCTGTACATACTTTACACTATTTCTTCTAATTTCTTTAAGTTAATGATAGACAATACATAATTGCAATAAACACCATATGCATGATCAAGTGCATATTCTTTTCTCATCACGTTGGGAAAATGTGTGAAACAACCCAAACTTAATGATATGAAACTATGCATTCCAAAGTGAACAGTGTATCTGGACCAAATCAAATTTTTAATCTTCATGTCAAAGATATCTTATGATTTTTGAGGCATTTCATTTTCATCCATGACAAGATATTGATGTCTCCACAAGTGAGATGGGTGGTATCCACAAGAAGATAAAAAAATGATAGCCCTAGGAAATCATAGGATATCATATTTATCCTATGGGTATCAAAATTTGCATAACAGATGTTAGGTAAGGTAGCTGAAAATATCAATATGTGATGGTCTGAAGGTCTGTAAGGTGATGCTGTCATTTGGCAAATCATTTTAGGCACTAAACTAACTAATGAAAAAATGGTATCCGTCAGACAGGATTGGATATCAGTCAGATACAATTCGAGTAGTACATACCAAATATATCTTGTGTTGTAATCTCAATATGAATAGATTTAGTATCCATAGGATAAAGCTGTTGTATTCTTTAACAATGTCCTTACCCTCACTGACTCCTGGCTTAAGACAGCTGCCTGCGTTTGCCCCAGTCCTGAGTAATACCAGCAGAGATGAGAAGACATGTCTCATCAGCGAGTCCCCCATAACCACAATATGGTCAAACACCTTTGTTAGTATCCCACATGCCTCATTGGGACTATAATGTTTTACATGGCACTTTGGGTTAACTGGGACCCATTGAGATAGTTCAGCATGGTGTCTTTGTCTCATATCATAACAGTTATCACATTGACATTGATTTACAGGGAGATTCACACAGTGATTTTTGTAACAACATGGGGTAGGCCCATCAGGGTCACAGAGGGCTCTCATGCGGAGCTTAACATCACCTGGGTCATAGACTATATATCTACTAAATGTTTCTTTGAGTAATGACATATCCCCACATCGGCCATCAATTCTATCCAATGTTTGGGTTATTTGTCGAGTCTTTAATGCTAAACTTTCATAATCTTTGACCTTTTTGATCTCCTCTTTTGTGACATTTTTTGGCCTCCAAATACCATTGGTTAACTCATGCAATGGAGAACAGATTTCATCTGAGATTTTGTCACTCTTTGATCTTTTATTTATGATATTGCACATTGTTAATTTTAACGGAGTCGTTTGGTCAGCAAATAAATGATCCAGATTCTGTGGAGGCCTTTCTTCTGTACTTGAATTAAGAGTGTTTGAATGTATGATTAGCTGTATCCCAATCAAACTGCCTGCAAATATCACCATGTATTTACATAACCTCGATTTCCAAACTGAAAATATAAAATCAATATATTAATGATAGCATAATTCACAAATTTTAAAACGAAGTGAAAAAATGTGGTTTTATATGTACATGTAGATTTCAATTATCACTTTGACTAAATTTTGAATATTCTATTTCATTGAGATTATTTTTGGTCTACCCGCATCTTGTATATTCACATGTGAAATCAAATATTTATTATACTTATAGAAAGCATGTTCTTACAGATTATCCTGTGCCTATAGTCCTGGCACGGTACAACTTAGTGTCAGAACCTACCCTTTGACTTCATCCTGCCTCTTAACCATTCTTCTGTTAAACAGGTCTGTGGACAAGAATGATTACCAAGTAATTCCCTTATTTCACACTAATATGAAGTCCATTCACATATGAGATTTTCTTAATAGATGCTGAGTTATAATGCTCCACTGCACCAGTTATATCCTTATGGTAATACAATACTGTATGTGCTAGCTTGTATTTATCCCCAATACAAATGTATAGTGACCTACACATTTAATTCACAAACGGTATTAACTTAGGAATATCTTTAGAATAAAGTGAACAATTCATTTAATTCAAATGCACTTTAATATTGGCTCACACTATAACATATAAACTATAAGCTCAATATCTCATGGAAAGTTTTGATTGGCTAAATTACCAGACTATTAATTTTCTATTGCTTTTCTATTAGTCTTGTGACATTTGTGAATGTTAATTGCATTGCAGGACAGGCCATACTGTACATAATGCCATGTTAAATGACATCACAATCAAATATCACTCTACTATACCTTGCATTGGGTGTTCATGAGCAACCCTTTTGGCATATTAGTAATGATTATGTTATTTGTTTTTATTTGTCTGTTCCTTATTAATGGTTTATCGGATGATGTTAGATGTAATAATAGTCCATTTGTCATTTTCTGAACGTATAAATATTTAAAAGTATGATGTTTTTCTGTGTTAATACTATCATTAGGGATTATTGGAGTGATTTAGCTGGGTTGCCAAAAAAATAACTTTGGGGAAAATTTTTGTATCTATTACCATGGTAACATACCAGGTATATGGTGGTATCCAAACGCTAAGTCAATAGTCAACGCCATGTTAAGCGATTGCACCCCTCCCTAATCAGCCTATATCATTTTTTCCCCAAACAAACTTTTTGGGCAACCCAGTTAAATCACTTCAGAAAACCCTTATTATCATGAATCGACCATAAAACATCGTACTTTTAACAATTTCTAGGTTCACTATTGGATGTATAGGGGTGACAAATGGACTATAAGGTACTTTCAAAAATGTACTAAACAATATAACTGGACAAACAGAGTATCTTATGCATTTCTAGGGGTTAGGTATAGTAGAGTGAATATGGTCATGTAATTGAATACATTCATATTAGTCATTTTGCACTGCATACAGAAATCAATGGCCTAACTTGGCCCTATTACCCTGGGCACTTGTATACAGGCCATTCACAATTAATTTTGTTAAGGTACAGGTGGAAAATAACTATATTGCTACACCTGCACATGTTATTTTCTGGTACAAAATTAAGTATGAAGGCATGCATGTATTTCCTTCCTTTTTTCAGGAAAGTATCATTACATTGTCTACTTTTCATTACATTGTCTACTTTAATAAACCTTCAAACAGGTCAATGGTTGCTCCTGTGTTGTCTGGAAACTTCAAAAGAAAATTTGGAAAAATAGAAGGTGTGAAATATCAGAATTTCCTGGATTCCCTATGAACTCTTACCAGATTTACTGAAAGAAGACAATGTAATGATACTTTCCTGAAAAAGCAAGGAAATTAACCCATGCCTTCATACTTTATTTTGTACAAGAAAATAACATGTGCAGGTATAGCAATTTTTTCCCAAAATGTTATTTTCCAACTGAACCTTAACCTGTTGAGAGGCCGAGGGTTGGAGATTAAAAGGACTCATCATGAGTAACTTCTAGCCATGAATACAATGTTTTCATTTCAATAATATGTTTTCTTTCAAGTGAAGTCCCTGAGATAATAAAACTATCTATCCAACTCTCCGAAAAATTATGGATGAGAACCAATGAGGAATTGTTATGGAGAAAACTCATGCTATCCATTGTTTTCAGCATAATTTTGGTCATCAAAAAATTGATTTGTTCAAAACTAGACTTTCAATATCATTCTACTTTTGAAGAAGCTTTAGACACCTTATTGAATAATCTTTTCATGCAATGAAAATCCTCTTAAAGTCCCCGATAAATCGGGCTACGTATACCGCCGTGTTTACATTAGGGGATTAGAAGAGTTTATTTTTTATTTAGGTATGCACGCTACGTATATCAATATTAGGCCTTCATTCATGTACTCGTGTGCATGTAATCAGCATGCCCTTCAATATTATGTAAACCAGGCTATTCAAGTACTGTATAATGTACACTATTTATGTGTGTGCTACATACAATACAATTCCCTGGGAAACAAAACACAAATACTTTTTAAATGTTCAAAATGAGCCATTTGATTGATGCAAACACTAAATAGCTTCATAAATAACATCTACAAAGTATATCTAATAGTAATTTTCAATTTTAATGGTGAAACTTCCCTGGTTACGATTATATGGGAAATCATCACGAGACGAAGATCGTTCGCCTTCCTGGCTTACCTCTGAATCGTGTACCTGGTAATCTCTTTATATAGTTTAGCGAGAGCGGTGCGCCTGCGCAGTTTTAAACTTTGGCGCACACTTTAAGTAAATAGGTTCAACATTTTGAAAACAAGTTTGACATGGGGTCCCTATTCATAATTTTTCAAATTGTTTGATTGATACTTTTATTATCTTTGGGATTTACTGTAAAGATAACATATTGTGTTGATGAAAATGTCATATTTAAATTGAGAAAGTATTCATGGTAAAAGATATGACTGTCTAAAATCACTTGCCATACTATGCCTGGTCCATTAAAAAAAAAAACTTTCTTCACATATTTTGGGTCATATTGTTATGATCTCTGTTTTTTGATGGCGGTTGGTGGGTGGCGGTTGGTGGGTGGCAGTTGGCGATCGGCATCTGTAACAAATTCTTAAAACTTCCAATAATTGAACAAATACTGCTGACTTCAATTATTTTCAAAATCATCTACAAGTTTTCAGAAGTTCAAATCTGACTTTATATTTAAGATCTCTCCTTCAATGACCTTCTTATGTTCAAAAAAGATCTTTTTTTCAACTTGCTTAAAATTGACCAATTCATTTTTTCAAAATCATCTACAAGTTCTCAGAAATTCAAATCTGACTTAAGATTGAACTCATAATATTATAGCAATTAGGTGGTGACTTTTATTATGTTAATGCCTTGTCTGAAATTTTGTCACAATAAAATAATCTGCATGTAATGACCTCAGGACAATTGCAGACCTCAAAAGTGAGATCATTTGTGTCATTCAGGCCATACTTGCTGAGGAATGCATTCGGGTCATTGACAGCAGTTGTGCAAGTTTGACTAGGCTGAGTGCGATAATGCCCAAACCCAAAGCATGTTGTTCAAAGTGCTGTAAAACTGTGACTATCAGTTTGACGGTCATGAAAATTGGTAGGGTTGTAGGAAAGTGAATGATGTACAAATGTGTGAAATATCGGGGAGTAATTTCTTAAAATGATAAAGATATGAGGAAAATGCAGGGTTTCCATTTTCTGACCACCCTTTACATAGCTCAATTTTTAAAAATCTAGAGTACTTCGGACATTGCAGTGACAGGTGAAATCGATACTATGGATGACTAATCCCTTGTCAATCCCACAGACTCGCTGTGTGAGCCAATAAAACCAATTTTAAATCATTAAATTAAATCCTGCACATTCTGTCCCATTTTGATAAAATTTTATTGCACAGCTCAAAAATATGATCATTCACCTAAATGATGTTTCATAACATATTAATCAAATGATAACAAACACATCAAATGGATTGCCATCCATTAGACTGTCTCCATACATTATCTCCATACAATCTGAACCATCCTTCAAAATTGGGCTTCATCAGCTATGGAAAGAATTGAAATGCCCTTGGACCAAGGATGATCTGAGCCTACACGATTCCTCTCTATTTGGATGTTATTTTGTGAATTATGATTTATTGCCATGTACATCATTTATGTGAATGGTGAAACATAAATTACATGTTCCTTTATATGTAATTTAAATCTACCAGTATCAAAGTTTTAATGATATAACGGTCGAGATGGCCTCCCACATGTAAATGTTTATGGCGTGTCCATCCATCAGAATAGAGTATGTATTACCAGATATGTTGGTTTTTCACTTACTTTTCAATGTATATGTACCAACAATATCATTACTAAAAACATGGATCTGTCTTGGTCTATGCCATTCTATCATACGAATCTCTCTGGGAAGAAAACTTATTTTTGCCCTGCTTTTCTGAGTAGATTAGTTGATTTTCAAATAACACTTTTACAATCCATTATCTCCAAGCTTTAACTGCAATATTTATATAACTTAAAATATTGCGGTTTATAGTAAAACTTGCGCTGGATTAACACCTCTTGGTACAATGCCTTTCCATATTTCAAAATTCAGTATTACAAGTGGACCCCATTTTCACAAATGAATATTTCTTCACAGGTCTTAAATTGGTCTGTGTGTTAGATAAGGTATTTATTCAGTTTATATAACTTAATTGTTATTTAATGTATTAAATACCTCAATGTTCCCCTGAAGAGTTCCATCATAAAAGTGTGTGAAGCTGAAGTTATACACATAATGGGGATACCACTGTTATTTTCACCTCTCACCTCCCATACAGGTATCTCCAAAAGCAGTTTTGTTTGTTGCGTACCTTACTAAGAAATGAGGCACGATCGCACTGAACAAAATGCTGGGAGATTGCTCAACTCCAGAACTAAAGAGGAGTAAAAGCCTTCATCTGCTGGCTTGATAGGAGGAGTACAGTGGGAGAATATGCCACACTTAAGACCCCTCAGTATACAGCACTGTAAATATGTTAATCATTCCTAGGGTGGGAACCATCTCACAATTTTTATCTGAGATTCCGTTGCTATGGCAATGACAGGTCCCTCTCCGTCATCCAAAATATCCAAGGATTTGATTGGCTCTCCCTTGTTTCTGACAGTGGTGTGTGGTTGAGAGTAAAAGCTGCGTCTAATCAGGTCATGCTCCAAGTTGAAATGCAGAAGGAAAACTACTCCTGAAAAAATGCAATTTAAACATATAACACAAATACGTGTTATACAGAGTATGTGCAATATAATAAGGGGTATCAAACAAGGCAATTTGTAATGTTTAGATATGACACACAAGCCACATGTCTTGTGGGGGTGGTCAAATATGTGTGTTCCCCTAGGGATATGACATAAACCCATGTTATATACTGATATAAAACAACACATGTCATTTAGGGATATGAATCAAGCATTCCAACATATATCATGCCATGTAACAGTAGTAGAAACCATTGCATACAGGTAATGTCAGTTTTAGTCACAAGAATAAGTCAATCTGAGCTCAAAAATTGTTTTTGAAAAAACATAAAGGAACTTACCATTTGTGAGCCCAATTGCAAACAGGTGTCCAAACATAGATATCTTAGTGGCCCCAGCTTTGAAAAGTTCCATTGTGTTGATGCTTTTTTCCTCATCTTCTACACACATATGTAACAGGCCATCTCCTAAAATTGAATTTTTAAATATGATAACATTGATTAGATATTGGATTCGCTCTATGATCATTTCAAAATTCTTTTTCATTTTTTACCTGAAATTACAATTTACTTTTTAATTTTCAATTTCATTTTGTTTTTTGATAAATACTGACATAATAGGCATAAAAGTTTTAAGTGTGATTACTGAATCTTAACTCTGGATTATTATCAACTAGGAGGTCATAGCCTTGTACCTGTGATACATATCATGAGCTGGCCTCGGAATATGATATCTGACACCCAAGACTTGAAGTTGCGACTGTTAATAGTCACTGGTTCTATATGTGGAATATGTTTTTCCACATTTGCCTCCATATCATTGTCATTATTGTCTTCTGTCTTTCTTTGTCTTAAAGAGTCGATCTCCAAATCTGCCCATTTCACAAACTGTCCATCTGCTAATATGATCTACAAAAACAAAACAAAAACAAAAAATTATGCAAAGGACTGAATGTCATCCTTGGTCATTTTCATTAATTCAGTCATAGAAGAATATGTATTGTCATCTAGCAAATAAAACAACAGAAAAGCAAATTGCTCTATTTTTGGGCAAATTACTACCAACTTCTGCAGATTATTCATTATACTTTCAAAAAATCTATCAATTCCATGAGAAATGCAGATATTGATCAAAATTCAAGATTCTGGAAATATGTACCAAGATAAAATCTGACTGCACCCTGCAGAAATGGAAAACTGAGAGAAGTGATTCACAGGTCAAGTAGGCTGTCCAATCCATAGTTCTAAATTACCTGATTTCTCCATATCTTGCTGCAGACATTGGACGATGAGCTGCTAAATCCATGTAGATATGCTTCAACTGTGACGTTACAAGATTGCACAAATGTGTCCATGGCCAGCAGGACATTTCCATTACCAACACTATCATCTGCACATGTAAGCAGGTGGTCCCCAAACAAACTGAAATACATGATGTGTATCCAATGAAGCAGGGATGCACAAAAATATAGATTTCTACCAATTCAGTAAAACCTGTCTCAGTGAACATCTCTTTGTAGTGAACACCTGTCCCTAGTGGACACCCTTCCTCTACACATACTCTACTGACTTCTGTATAAATTACCCTCTTTTAACTGTATATGAATGTCTACCTCAATGATCAATGAAAATCAATGGTCCATCAAAAGGTAAGAAATGTTAATCTTAAAATACTTTTACTTAAATCTCAATTAACATCAATATAAGTGACCACCCTTGACCCATTTCATTGTTGTTAAAAGCAAATGAATTCAAAAATGAAGACATTAGTGAGCCATATATCACTTGATAACCAGATAACTTACCTTACAGAATGTACAGGTTCAGAGTGGTGCCTCAGCTTATATGTCCATGTGCTATCATGAAGTTTAACAAATGAAATTGTTGTATCTCTGGATGATGTGCACACAATGTCATAAACATGTTCCACCTTGTTAATAACCATTTCGGAATCAAGCTCCAGTGGATCTGTTGAAACAAAACAAAATTCAAAAAGCAATCAGTTCCCTATAGTATTTGGTGCCCGCTTCCTACTATGTAGTCCCCTATCAGTGTTTGAAAGAGAAAGGAAGGGGGTAGGGGCAACTTGCACAATATAATCTTACTTAGAAGAAAAACCTTGCATCGAGTCTCTATTGTATACTCAACATTTCCCTAACTATTTCCACCTTCAGTGGAGGTGGAGTCACAAAGGTTTGAAGGGCGATTAATTAAAAAAAATGCAAGCACTTACCTATCCTATGTAGGACCATATCAGAGATGGGACCATGATGCTGATGTAGACTGGTTGTATCTGGTATGTCTAGTGACTGACCTGATAGAGCATCCCAGGTTCTCACTAAGCCATTCTCATGTCCTGACAGTACAACATCCCCTGCAATCCAATACAATAAAATTGTTATTGAAACTTACAATGGCGCTGTCCATATTTTGAGCTATTTCGAGAGATAAAAATATGGGTTAATGTCAGTCAAACATTATATCTGAAGTAAAATATGGTATATTCCCCATGCTTTTCAAAAATTTGATTCTGTAATTTTTCCTTTATGAAACCACAGGTTTGTCATCAAAACAGACAGTGAGCAGTTATTATCTCTATAGTACTATATTCTAGTATTAATATTACACTGCACTACACTATATATTCTGAGCTTCGCACTTCAAGTATCTGTGTCAAACCTAACAAAATGATTCAACAAACAGTCCGTTTTTACATATTCTGTACCTCCAATTCTGACACAGTTTGGAGGTCCCACAGCATTATCTTTGCAACATATTACTGTTTCTAGTCGCTCCCAGTGTGTAATGTGTACACCACAATACCATGTCCTATACACATCTCGCCAGAACTCCCAGGACAGAACCTGATCAAATAAATATCAACAAGTATATTAAATAACTGCTGTTATGGGGTTACATAGACAATGCATTTCATAATTTAATAACAAATTTTAGCCTATAGAACATAGACCTTGTGGAGGGGAGGTGAATAAGAGGCCTAGAGCAAGACTATAGGATTAGGTACAATCCTTAGTCCATGAACTGAATAGGATAATTTCAAGAAGTTTTGGGTCATCATGTGCTTTACGAGGGTTGATCCAAAAGTTCTTCACTGTTTGCTTTAAAAATCTTGATACTTAATAAATTTTGTTCATATTTGGATTGTTGAGGCCAAATATGAACAATATTCATAAAGTACTGAGATTTTTAGACCAAACGGTCGATGCAAAAGTTTTGGATCAACCCTCATATATAGGATCAAAGGATTACTGGCCCTTGGAACAACATGTAAGAAACATGTAAGAAAGTTCTGAATGTTAATTCTTAAGAACAGACACACAAACCTCTGATGTAGTTGCTGAGTGAATTGATGTCTTATATATTCCTGTGATCTGGATGAGGACATCAAGATTTATTTCTCGCAGACACACAGTCTTCCAGACTCCACGACGCTTTGGAAGAGTCAACATTATGTTCCTCCAGAGCATGCACACGCTCGCTACTCTAGCAAGTGAAACGCCATCTAGTTGAGTGAACACTTCCTCCAGTAGTTCAACAGCTAGATCAAATAGCTGCATGATTTAAAATACTGGAATAAAGAAACATTACAGGTATAGATTGTACCATGGGCTCTATCAGACCATGCTTGTACACAGGGAAAGTAAGAAGCTTTCTCCTATACAATTCATACGTTCCGAATTATGACAAAAATAATTTTTCGTGAGATTACATGGAGCAAGATGTTTGCATAAGTACCCAAGAAAAAAGACTAACCATGGGCTTTCAACTACATGATGTGAATGAGATCACATCATCGAAAAAACCTTCAAAACAGTCACCAGAAAATAAGATGGCCGCCAATAACTTGATAATATCCTCTCTATCATGAGTGCGAATTAGGAGAAAATCCAATGAGCGGTTTTCTTGAAATGGTGATGACAAAGAAAAACCTTTAAAAGAGGATAAACAGTTTAAAGACTCACTACATTCCCAGGAATTACTACAGTAGATCTATATTTGCACATAGCCATCATTTAGATTGAATCTAAAGATGGCTACGTGCAAATATAGTAACCCAGGAAGAAGATGTTAAATACTTAGTATTTATTTCATAATACTACTGTTTTCCCAGGGAAATATAAAGGAATAAAAATCGTATTGAATTGTATTACATGAAAAAATTGTATTGTCCCCGGGAAAAATCGTATTGGAGCGTATTACATGAAAAAATTGTATTGTCCCCGGAAAAAATCGTATTGGAGAATATTAATCTATTTTCGGTTTCCAAGTTATTTTTCCCCAGTTATCTGCATTTTCCAAATGTAGCATTTTAGAGGGGTGTATTATGGAATAAATAGGTTATTTCTGGTCTGGATTGAATATGGGTTTAATTCCTCGGAAAATATGGAGACCCTATCTGTTGCAAGACTAACGCCTGGCCTAACCGTCACTGTACTATATTATATTGCCACGGTCATGCCAGGCTTTGGAATACACATTGTCACGGTTATAGCAGTCCAAATCGTAAATTTCTACATTACCACTCTCATACCTGAACTTGTCATGCCAGGCCTTGCAGAACTATATCAGGGCTGTCAACTTGGGACCACCTAATATGAGTGACTTACAAATGTTGGACACCGAAGTCCAAATCTGAACACTTTTGTCCAAATTTTGAACACCTTTGGCCAACTTTTAAATACCTTTGGCCAAAGGTACGAAAATTTCCAATGAACATGCGTGACATATACGGGATTCGCGTGACAAATCCGAACAAATTGCGTTCGTTTTTTTCCGACGTTCGTATTTTTACCGTATCATAAACATATTTTGAAATTTTTTTTACAGAAACATATTTGCGTGACAATTACCAGGTAAAATGCGTATTTGCGTGACATTTTGTGTCACGCAAAAAAAACTGGCGTGACTTCAAATTCTTCAGCAAATGCGTGACAAATACGCAAATTGCGGGACAGTTGACAGGCCTGCTATATAACATTGTCACGGTCATGCCAGGCCTTGCAGTACTATATAACATTGTCACGGTCATGCCAGGCCTTGCAGTACTATATTACATTGTCACGGTATTGCCAAGCCTTGCAGAACTATATTACATTGTCCCGGTCATGGCAGGCATTGCAATATAATACAGCATTGTCGCGGTTATACCAGGCTTTGTATAAAAAACCTCCTACCTCATACCCACCTACCCATGTACGTGGGACATGATACAGTCTTTGAAGGGTTCAATTTTAAAGATCTTAGTTTATAAAATCTTAATTTATGATGAATTATAGATGCATTTGTAACGACCCTTGATAGCAAGTTGCTACTACATCCCAGCTGGGTTCGATTCCCACTCAGGGCATCGAATTTAGCACACTTTCTTTCAATTTCTTTATCTGGCTTGTTGGACCTATGCTCCCGGTTGTTACTTATTTATTCCCCTGGGGCGCCCTCGGGTCATTACACATTAAAATGCATCCATATGCGTTTATTTATGGATCTGTCATCTGTCTAGTCATAAAATAAAGCCGGAATCGTAGAAATGTTAATAATTTGAGCTATTTTGAGATTTAATAATCTTTAAAACTGAACCCTTCTATGACTGTATCATGTTCCACGTAGGTGGGTAGGTGGGTATGAGGTAGGAGGTTTTTTATACAAAGCCGTTATACCAGGCTTTCAAGATAACATTACTACGGTCATGGCAGGATCCTTGCGCTACTTAAAAACACTGAATAACATGGTGACGGTTACGCCAGGCGTTAGTCTTGCAACAGATAGGGTCTTCATATTTTCCGTGACAATGCTACATATATATAGTTCTGCAAGGCCTGGCATGACCGTGACAATGTAGTATAGTATTGCAAGTTCAGGTATGAGAGTGGTAATGTAGAAATTTACGATTAGGACTGCTATAACCGTGACAATGTGTATTCCAAAGCCTGGCATGACTGTGGCAATATAATATAGTACAGCAAGGCCTGGCATGGCCGTGACAATGTAATATAGTATTGCAAGGCTTGGTATGGCCACCATGGCCTTGAATGTGATATAGTATTCCAAGTTCGGGTATGAGAGTGGCAATGTAGAAATTTATGATTGCTATAAGTGACCGTGACAATGTGTATTTCAAAACCTGGCATGACCGTGACAATGTATTATGGGATTGCAAAGCCTGGTATGACCGTGACAATGTAATATAGTATTGCAAGGCCAGGAATGAGGGTGGTAATTAAATGTAGAAATTTAGGCTTAGTCCTACTTTGACCGTTATAATGTATTGCAATGACTAGTAAATATATATGACATTAATGCCAGGAATATCCTTAACAATTTTAAGTGATCGTCATTACAATTAAACAGTTTAATACTATGATCATGGACAGGCTTCCACAATAACACTTCCAGGGTCATGACAGGCCTTGCAATATAATACAGCATTGTCACGGTTATACCAGCCTGTCACGGTTATACCAGGCTTACACAATAACACTACCACGGTCATGGCAGGATCCTTGCGCTACTTAAAAACACTGATTAACATGGCGACGGTTGTGGCAGGCGTAAGTCTTGCAATGGATAGCATGTGAAAATATGATATTGACCTTGGGCTATGACACTCGGTCGCAGCTGCGCTCCCTTGGTCAATATCATATTACGCTTGGGTCAATATCATATTGTCCCTCGGAATAAAACCCATATTCAATCCCTCCCAGTAAATAACCTATATGTATCCAACAGACTGATGACAAGTCAGAATATTATTGAGACTAGAAATAACAAAGTCAAATTTCTTACCATTTCTTATGCACAGGAACTTTGATCAGGATTGAACATCTTCTTCCTGGGAATGTAGTGAGTCTGTAAACTGTTTATCCTCTCGTTGATACACGTTCCTGTGGATAATACAGCTATAAATGGAAAATTACCGTCGATTTGTAAAATCATGTGTGCAGCCATATTTAAAAATAAAAATGAGACACCTATAGGTAAAATAAAAGGGGATTCCCCAGGGTGATGAAAGGGGATTCCCCTAGAGCCTAAATTTCACTAGATCTACACCCCCCAACTGGGATGGGCCTAGAAATGTTTTTAAGCCCCAGTTAGTGGGCCAACTTTTTTGGCATTACTGGACAGTGGGGCTTCTTTTAGCTAAATTATCACATAAATGGGCCCAATATCACGGACATCTAATACGTTCTTCGAACGGGAATGATATCTTTGAAATCCCAATCTCCTTTCGCCAGAACATTCTCTCTGACTGTGCCCAATATCACATGGACATAAATATAGTCCATGTCTTCACTTAGATAAAACTGGACATCCTTGTTCAAAGGACTTCATTTATGCTAAATTCAAATGGAAGGAAGTGAAATACCCTTGTACCAAGGTTGAAAACTGGAGTGACAACAGAAAAACCATAATGGATCAGATAGCACATCTTGGAAATAAGTCTAACAATTAGTATTGACACTCCTCCAATAAGTTTGGTAACTGAAAGTCACCTTTTGGATCACATGACGTTTATGTTTCAAATATCCATCAAATGGGTCATACATTTCTTTAACTAATGCAATTAGAAAAAAAATTAATATTCGATCATTGACTATCAAATGAATAATTTTCTGTTTGTCTCACTTATGGAGGGGAGTGTACAGTTAGATTATAAACAAACTATCATTACTGGACATCTTATCTTTTAAAAATTCTAAAGATAGTAAACACATTTTTAAATGAGAGCAATTTTTTACGTGTGAGTTCAAAATTTATTTATTTTCAGTTAAAACATGCCACCTCTGTTGATTTCCAGAATAGCCCCTTGGTATGTGTTTATACGATACAATACATGTACTTTGAACCAGGAAACAATATGGGCAGGTGGAGGATTTTTTTCAAAAATGTGAGCATAGCCAGATATGAGGCAAGGCATCACCAAAAATACAGAAATATAACTTCAAACATTTTTTACTAAAACTGCAGCAATGAGCTGTAAATGCCGTTGCATGTATTTTGCAGTAACAATAAATGATTAAACAAATTCATATATATTTTCCACTTTATGTGGTAATTTTTATTCATCCAATATGAAATGACATGGTTGATTAAACATACTGAGAAATAAAGGTTTGAACACGATGGGCAATATTGGAATTTGTAACTGTCACATGCAAGCATTGGCCTAGAGGCATTTAATTTTGAATGGACCATTTTCAGCATGTTTATGAATACTGGTACTGAATGCTGAATATAAGAGCAAACAAACTAATGGTCCTATATTCAATTCCAATGTCTCTATGAGGCACCTTGGCTTTAATACCAATAGCAAATAGGAAATTATGTTCATATGATTAAATATAAACACAGTTTAGAGCTATTTACAAAATGAATATGAATATATCTCTTTAAAACATGTAAAATGCCCAAAATAAATTGATGGAATTTGAATCATCATGAAGATTTATGGCCAAGTTCTGTAAATTAATACTTATTTATCTAATTGTTAGGTCACAATAATACATTTAGAATAAAAGAAACGGTTTATTTCAAACGGTCTTAGTAAAATGATTACATTGTGTAAATGCAATTTTATTGGAATGTGGCCTTCACATACCGATCACATGAAAGCTACTAGTCTCAATTATTTCGGTGTAAGAACAGCAATGCTAAGGTGTAGCAGATCCCATCTGCCATAAAAATGGCTCCAATTTTGGAAATGGCCTTCTTTTGCCCAAATTGTTATTAGACGGTGCAATATGCTTCTAAGTATTCACATATGAAACAAAATCGCTCCACTATTTTTCAAGTTATAGCAAATATGTAAAAATGATGTACAAAAATGGTCACCATTTTTTAAAATGGCTGCCTATTGGCTAGATTATTATTAGATGGTGAAATATTCTTTTAAGTATTCATTCAGTATTTCAACCAAAAATCACAATCACTTTGAGTTATAGTGAAAAAAATGTAAAAAAAAAAATTCCCACCATTTTTCTAAATGGCTGCCAATTAGCCAAATTATCATTTGACAGAGTAACATTCTTCTTCGTTCGACGGGATATTTAACATGTTTCACTGAACAGGACACATGTATTTACCATTAGATTATGTTATAATACATTTTATAGAATGTGTCCTTCAAAATCATCACCAATGATGCAAAATGACTACGTATCAGAAATGGCTTTTCCAGTAGAGGTCCTATGCCCATTAGGCATCGGCCATTTTGAATTGAGAATCCATATTGGAAATTCTTTCTTGGGCAGAGGTTCTATGCCCATAAGGCATCTGCCCAAAATATTTGATACACCAAATCTGCAAACTGGTATTTGAGTTATTACCCAGACAGACAAATGGATGGATGGATAACCTCTACTAGCGAGATCAATAGTGCAAAAATAGTTCATTCATGGAACGAAGCGTGAAACTTTCCACATATCATCAGAATACCATTCCCTTTGATTTAAGAGCCAGAGCCATTTTTGTAGTTCATTAGAATACCCGAAAAATTGCAAATACCCCCTCCCATCAAATCCTTGGGGGAGGGGGAGGGAAGAATTATTTTTTGGTTGATTTTTTTTTTGAATATGATCTATATTCATTTTTAGTATGTTATTTTCAGTGTTTAAAAACAATTTTCAAGATTGCATCAGTATTTCTCATTGATATTCATTGTTAAAGCCTGACCAAGGGCGACGCCCACTTTATCAACATGTTAAATATACAAGTTAATGAGTCTTCTATTATGAATAGGAAAATTACCTAATATGGCTGAATAAAACTGACAAGATTACTTATGTTAAGATAATAGATGCTGTAAGTAAGTCAATTTCACTGTTGAAGGCTTGTGAAAGGCCACACCCCTTTTAGATATAAAGATATAATAATATATAATTCACAATTAATGATACATAATTTTTAATGAGAGCACTTTGACTAATTGATACAAGTTACCTCATTAAGTATCTTAACTGCAGTTCAAATATCCTATTTTGTGCATTTAAGCACTTCAACACTCTATTATAATTATCACTCACTTAGGTGCCATGTCCATTACAATCCCTGTCACACAAATACAGGGCAATACATGCATAATATTGGCTTTAAAGCACTTGCATCTTTTTGTTGAGCACTATTGTTTGCAGCTACATTTTACTAGCATTTGGCATGCATCTGAAGCTTGGGGCAATGTTTTCCATACTGGCACATAAATCATTTTTCCAGCCTTTGTGGTAATGGATTCCCAACTCAATTTTGAGAGTGAAGCGAGGACTGACATAGGTATAATTGTCTGGACCGAACTTATGCAACTTATGGCGGGATGTTCTCAATTTGAGCTGTTTTCTTTGTGAACATTTCTTGTCTTGCAGCATTTACAGTTGTTTCATTGTTGTCTCTGTTGTATAAAATCACAACAAAATGTGCAGTGATTGGCATAACTTTGGCTTACTTATTGGGATCTTCAGCCAAAGTTTTAAGTGCATTTGTCAACTCGGATAAGTAATCCAATGTTTCTACGCTGTTGTTTTTAATTTACCATGGAATCCGGATATAGTGTCTGAACTTGTGGGGGCATGAAATAAGGGGAGACACATAGTCCTACCATGTCAAAGTGCAGCTACCATTTCATGTGAGATATCTCTAATTTTTTACTTTTCCCAAAGCTATCCATTTTTGAACTTTGAGTTCTGTTCTGATGATATACTGACTGTGAGACAGACAATATCAGTCTACTGTTCTAATCATCAATGTGTTCTACCCAGACTTTACTGCACGGTGGATGTGCTTATTCATGTGTTGATGGGGAAATGTCTTGAATGGGCATCGGGGGATATGATAAAACATCTTACAATACATAATTTACATCATCTCTAATAAATTCCAATTTGATGGTAACATTTCATCTACCTTTCGGCACTTAATTAGTTGTTTTAATTGTTCCATTTTGAGATAAAGAGGGTGGGAAGGATTGGTTTTCACGTTTGAAGAACTCCTCAAGATGACTGTCTCTATTCTGACATGCAATGAACAGTCTTGAAAAGAGAGCACAATCATTTTTTTCAATGCTGTTTCCTTGGTAACATTCACTTTTGTTTTCTGTTCCTTAAATATTAGAAAATTGTTTCTTTTTATATAGATAGTGTCTGTTATTTGTTTAGATTTGTCATCCAGTTTTTCTTTAGTGTACAATTTGTACTGATCCTGGCCACTTTGCTCCATTTCCCAAATATGACCCAGGTTCACAAGCAGAATGTTTATTTATGATTATTCTCTACAAGTTTGGATCGATTAACTTAAATAGTGTTACCTTCATTTAGAAATGATGATGTTGACCTGATGTTAAACTGAAATAAACACCATCTCCACAATTTCCCATTTTACTTTGCGCATGTGCTGCCCTGAGAGACCTCATGCTCATGATTGTGCACGTAATCATGTCCTGCAATTTGATTTTACATCGTATACTGATGGGGGTGATTTAAATAAATTATGTTCATGAGTACGAAAGAATGTGATAGTATTATGGGAACTACTCACTTCTTCTGGACTGACATTGAGGATACAATATCTTTGTTGTCTAATGAGTACAAGTCATTTGAAGTCTCCAGAAAGGATTTCCCATCTATTCTATGGTTTCTGATAATAGTTTCACATTATCTTTGCATCTTTGTTGTATGCTTATACTTTGTTCATGATTAGATAGGTCTTCATCTTGATCATTATTTATATTGTTCTCAAATTCATGATCAGTCTGACAAATTCAGGGCCCCCAACCATCCAATAGAGTTGTCTGGTTGTCAAAGAGCCACACTGCTCCACCGTTTGATTTATCTAGACTGTTATTATCCCATCGAACGAAGTTCGGAGGGATATAGGGGACGCCTCCGTCCGTCCGTCCGTCCGTCCGTCCGTACGTACGTCCGTCCGTCCGTCCGGGCAATAACTCAAATATCGTTGGCCCGATTTTGTTCATATTTTGTACACATATACCCTATGGGAGTAGAAGTTCTGCTCGAAAGCCGATTTTCAAAATGGCCGCTCATTTCAAAATGGCGGCCATTTTAGTGCCGAATTTACAGTAATTTAGGTGCAATATGTAAAACTGTAATAGCAATATGTTTGAGATGTAAAAAAATTATATAGGACATTAATAAAGCTAGAAATGTAGATATTAAAGAAGCACATGGCAGCCATCTTGAAAAATGGCGGCCTTTACTCGTTATTTTACGATTTTTGCTGTAACTTGAAAAGTAGTGGAGCGATTTTGTTCATATTTGGTATGTGAATACTATAAACATTGCACACTGCTTAAAGACACTTTTGGTAGAAGGCGGCCATTTTGAAAAATGGTGGCCATTTTGAAAAATGGCCACCATTTTAACATATTTTACTATAACTCGAAAAGTAGTGGAGCGATTTTGTTCATATTTGGTATGTGAATACTATAAGCATGACACACTGTCCTATGACACTTTTGGTAGAAGGTGGCCATTTTGAAAAAAATTTTGAAAAATGGCCGCCATTTTAACGTATTTTACTATAACTCGAAAAGTAGTGAAGCGATTTTGTTCATATTTGGTATGTGAATACTATAAGCACGGCACACTGTCTAATGGCACTTTTGGTAGAAGGTGGCCATTTTGAAAAATGGCCGCCATTTTAACGTATTTTACTATAACTTGAAAAGTAGTAGAGCGATTTTGTTCATATTTGGTATGTGAATACTATAAGCATGGCACATGGTCTAATGACACTTTTGGTAGAAGGCGGCCATTTTGAAAAATGGCTGCCATTTTTGCTATATACTTTGTTTGTAAAAATGCCATCCATGGCTGTTCGATGGGATTCGCTACGCTTTGGCGTTGCCGTTGTTCTGGTTCTGCTTGTGAACCTGGTCAGTAGCACTAGCAATGGCTGAAAAGCTCCATCTTGGTAACAGTGAAGTGGCCTTTTGTGAAGGCTTCGTAGACTTCTGGATGTATTTGTTATAGTTGTAGCATATTCCTAATGTGAACTGGTACTCATCAAGCATATTGACAAGGTCATAAAACGAAAAACCAGGTGATACGCTTGCTAATTGACTAGAGATAAAGAGGGAAATTGCCCTCTCTGATAGCACACACTTAGTTAAGGCACAGTATTTCGATTCAAATAATCGGAAACCAAAACTTAAAGACTGGTACATTCTGTTCAGCACACCATTCATCAAACTCTTTATCACTTCATCATCTAGATTCTAGACAGCTGTATATGTAGTATAGGCTCTCTTGAGAATTTAGAGACTGCAGGCTGTGACTGTGTGGCGGCCCTTCTGGTTCTGGTTCAAACCCATAAAAGAGGTTTAATAGCCTAAATGTTCAGCATATGAAAAGTGGGTGTCGCACATGACTAGTCTTCAACAACTATGAAAATCAAAGAGAAACCATCTGGAAATAAAGAGGAAAGTTCTCCTCCTGTCCCTCACATAGTCTAGGCACAGTATTTCAATTTAAATAATCAGAAACCAAAGCCTGAAGACTGGTACATTCTGTTGGTCAGCACACCATTCATAAAACTGTTTAGCCACTTGGTCAGCACACCATTCATCAAACTGTTTAAGCACGTCATCATCTAGATTCTGGACAGTTGTACCTGTAGCATAGGTTTTCTTCAGGAGAATATAGAGACTCGACATACATGTACATAGAATAGTGGATACATGTTGTAGATCTGGGACATTTGTTGCTCGCTTTCTTCTTTCTTCTAAACAGGGGTGTAATATGTTATGAGCCTTTAAGAAGTCAAATTCTAAGATTAATTATAGCACCTAACATCAAAAGAGTATCTGGTCTTATCCAGAAAGCTGAATTACATTCATTTATTCAACCCATGATAGAGATTTAATAACCTAAATGTTCAAGATATGAAAAGTGGGCGTCGCCCATGATTAGTCTTTAACAATGATGAAAATTGATGATAAATCATCTTGTTATGTTTGCAAAATTTCTTTACCATGAAAATAGCACACTAAAACTGTGGTATGACCATATTCAAAGAAAATTTTTTATGAAAAAAATATTCCTATATCTCCCCACCCCCACGGGATTTGGTGGGAGGGGGTACTTATTATTTTTTGATCATTCTAGTGGACCACAAAAATGGCTCTGGCTCTTAAATCAAAGGGAAAGGTATTCTGATGATATGTGGAAAGTTTCATGCTTCGTTCCATGAACGAACTATTTGCCTGTTTTCTTGCACTATTGATCTCGCTATATATCCCTACTCGAATTTCATTTGGTAGGATAATCAAACTGACTGTATCTCACTTACTGTATAATGTATATACATACGCAGCACTACATATGCAATATATGTAGCACTACATACAAAACACTCATCACAACATATGTAACACTACATACACAGTGCTTTATCTGTCATATCACTCATAGTCCTACTACATGTAGTAAATAAAACAGCTGCACCTTGTATGTGTAACATAAATAACTCTGAAATTGGTCCTGATGTCCCTGAAGCGTAACTTGTAAAAAAGTCTTCACTAAGTCTATTCAGAAGATGCGAAATGTTCAAAAGCAGGAATAGTGATGGCATCAGTAAATTTGCTGCTTAGATCGTTCATTTCTTCATTATAGTTTATTTCATTACTTTGTATTTCTCCTTCTAGTTTATCAACAAGTGATTTCAATGAGTGAATCTCTCCCTGGATGTCTCTGATTTTATCACTGGTGACCATTGGTTGATAGCGATTGGTTAATTTCACTGGCATAGGGTTTTTAACATAACTGAGTGTAGGAGGGACAGGTCGCGTTGTGGTGGAGGAACTAGGCACTGGGGTCACTTGTTTCTTGAAATGCTGTTCCTGAATGGAGATTTCAAGCTCTATTGAAGCGAGAACTTTATCCAAGTCTTCTTGGCTCACCTCTGAACTCTGAAAATACAAGACATGTATTTATTGGTTAGGCCATAATTACATAAACAGGGCATTAACATGCAAAATGTCATCACCTGCCATTTGTTACAGACGCCAAACAACATCCACAAAAATTGGAGACTATATCAATATGTCACCAATTCTGGTTGTAACATAAGAATCCAATTTTAGGAATATAAAAAATATTTGACCACCAGGTGACCATTGGTTTAGTAAGATCTTATTTCAATGTATTTTTGGATACTTTGAGATTAACCTATTTTCAACACAAAAAAAATAAATCAAGGAGTGACAATTCACTATTTTACAACATTGACATCTTTGAAGATATGAAAATGAATAACAAGAGCTTGTTTCTTACAAAATAATATAGTAGCGCATACTTTGGCCATCAATTTGTGTTTACACCTGCCACTGTTTCTGCAGTTGCCTCGGTAACAAAAACAACAAACAAACACACAGACTCACTTTAATGGCCCATAGGTTTTCTAAGTTGCCTATTATGGATTCATATTTATAAATGGCATCTCGTAGTTTATTGTGAGATTCCTGTAGCACAGCTGCAGGCTCGTCAAGGAGTTCATATGTCACTGAACTGGTGCAACTGGTGTCTTGATTGAAGCCTACTGCCTCTGCAAGCTTACTAGACTCTTGAAGTTTGATATCTAATACACTTTCCTGGAATTAGAACAGCAATGAGTCATGTGTTTGTTCTATCAAGTCACACATCGTACTGCTAATGGCTAAGGTAATGGTCTACTGATTAATACTCTGAAGACACAGTGCCACCACAAAATCGCTGATTTCAACCATAAACAAGGCATTAACATGCAAAATGTCACAACCTGCCATTTGTTAAAGACGAGGAACTCCAAACACCAACTGCCTTACACTGAACACCAACCGCCAAACACCATCCATAGAAAAGTTGATGACTATTACACCACAAGTGGTGACATGATATGAAAATCGCCAAGGGTGATTTCGTAGAATGCCGGTCCTCACTGCAGCAGTGCAAAATTGACTTCCTCAAATTTCAAATTTTCAAGGTCATTCAGAGGTTTGATTCCGAAACCGAAAGCAGATTTGGAATCAGGGGCATCTATCCTCGATACTTGCTAAAAATTTTGATGAAATTCATCCAATTGTTTTCAAATTTGGGTGCCCCATTTTTAAAAATTTTGACAAAAGATAACTACGGTAGCTCCTTGAACATGTAAAAGCAGAAATAAGTTTTGCGTCATTTTATGGTGGAGGTCAAAGGTCAAGGTCAAAATGTTGACCTTATTTACTCTAAGTTCAGTGTAATACAATGAGATCAATTTGGAATCAGTTTGAGCGATTTTGATTTGGGAACTTTTTGACCTTTTTAAGGTCACCCGAACACCAATAACAATATGGCACCTCTTCTTAGTGGTGACCAACTTAGGAGCAAAACATTTTAGACAGTGTCTTACCATCCAACGCCAGAATGTGTCTTCAACTTCCTTCCAAACTAGCAGGTTCCTCAACCGTTCATTGTCTTTCTCTAAAAGCTGAAGATTCTGAAATTAAACATATATGTTCTTGTTATTCATTTAACTATTATAATAATTTTTAACTGTGGCATTGTTCACATGGAGCAGTATATTGAATTTCATAATATGATTAAAACAATAATTTATACTATCAAAGTATTAGAGTTACTGCTAATGTATATACTGGGTTTAAACTAACTGGTTATTTCTGAAACCACATTTCTAGATGTAAATTCCTGGTAGATTTCAATAAAATATCACTTTGACTGAATTCTGAATATTTAATAACGTAAATCAAGATTATTTCTACTTGGATTTAGTGTATTCAAGAGATTGTACATTGATGGAGAACCACAATGCCAACTTGAACTTGCATAAAAATGACTATCACAATCCATTCGGCTCACATGGTGAGAAAGGTTGATTCTTCAGACTTGTATAAAATGAATATGAACAGTAGGTCAAAAGTGTTGATGGACCGACAGACAGAAACACAGCTGAACTTCTTGTTAAAGTTCAACTCATTGATTTCTTCTTATCATAGTTTCTTCTTTTTTTCATTCCTTTTTGCTTCTGTTGTTGTATTTTCTTTTTCTTGATTTATTACTCTTGGTTTTGTTATTTCAGACAGACAGTTGGTGAGTCCACAGACTCACCATGTGAGCAAAGAAAGAAACATTCATATTGAAGAAATATTATAAGGTAGGGTAAGATCTTATCAAATTTTGGCATTAGAGTTTAACAAGGCATCAACATGACACAATGTCACCACCTAGTTGCTCACAATATTATTAGTTCAATCTAAAGTCAGATTTGAACTTCTGAGAACTTGTAGATGATTTTTAAATAAAATTGGTCAATTTGAGACCTTGAGAAGGTCAAATATTTTTTTGACCTTGAGAATGTCATTGACGGTCAAATCTATAGTCAGATTTGAACTTTTGAGATGATTTTGAAAAAAAATTGGTCAATTTGAAGCAAGTTGAAAAAAAAACTTTTTGACCTTGAGAAGGTCAATTCTCAAATCTTAAGTCAAATTAACTTCTGAAAACTTGTAGATGATTTGAAGAAAAAAAATTTGGTCAATTTGAAGCAAGTTGAAAAAAGCCTTTTTCACCTTGAAAAGGTCACTGAAGGTCAAATCTTAAATATAAAGTCAGATTTGAACTTCTGAATACTTGTAGATGATTTTGAAAAAAACCGAAGTCAGTCTAAACAGTATTTGTTAAGTTATTGGAAGTTTTAAAAATTGTTACAGACGCCGACCGCCGATCACCAACCGCCGTCACAAAAAACGGATACCATAACAATATGTCACCACCTTTTGCTGGTGACATAATAAATGCCAGCTACTTATCAAAGTATAAGATTCTGAAATAGCATTTCAAATTGGGTGGCTAGATTTGATTGACTTATTTTGACTGGGTAAGGCTAGATCAAAGGATGATATCTTGAAGCAAAATTTATTGGACATGGCAATAAATCTGTGTTTATATATACCTTTTTCAGAAGTTCTGGGTGTCTTAGCATATACACTTCTAATGCAGAGAGATGCTTCATATCAGGAGAGAGGGATGTACCATATGTAGACTCATGCACCTGAAATACAGAACAAATTATGAAAACTAATTTTCAAATGTACCATATGGAGACTCTGCACCTAAAATGGAGACTCATGCACCTGAAATACAGAACAAATTGTGAAAACTAATTTTCAAATGTACCATATGTAGACTCATGCACCTGAAATACAGAACAAATTGTGAAAACTAATTTTCAAATGTACCATATGTAGACTCATGCACCTGAAATACAGAACAAATTATGAAAACTAATTTTCAAATGTACCATATGTAGACTCATGCACCTGAAATACAGAACAAATCATGAAAACTAATTTCCATAATTGTGATGCTCAGTCGAATAGCATTAACAAGCATTACAGTAGATTTATTTACACACCAAGTGTCATCAAAGAATATAATGTCAAACAATGTAGTTATGTCAACCTAAACTAATGTTAAAAAAGATAAAAAAAATAATTCCAATTCTGGAAAATCACATTTGTAGATCAATGTGACATTTTTATGTGCAACACAAATTCCAACTTAGGTGAGGAGCTAATTGGTTTTTAAAGGAAATTCACATTACAATTATTTCCACCACAAAAAGTTTACTTGTACAATAATACCTTATGTGTCAGGACTGCATTCTGTTTCTGCATTGCAAATAAGTTGCGTAGAGTCATTCTCAGTTTCCCATTCAACCACAACAGGTACTTCACTTTATCTGCAGGGTGGGCAGGGTTGTGACTTACTGGTCTTGGGGTACCTTCATCATCCTTGGCCTAGGGAGTAATAAGGAGATTGATAAATGGTACATTTAAAATATAACACAAAAACATGACAGGTACCAACTAAATAAATGTTGCTAATTGTAATCAAATTTGAAGTAAATGCAATGAACAGTTTTTCTGGAATGATGATGACAAGATTTATCAAAACCTTTCCCTATTCATATTACTGATTACTATTCACCATACTGATTGAAAAGAACCCAACAAATTACAAGCCATTTGTATTTGCATGTATATCTCTTCTCAGAGTATCATTTGTACATCATATAATGATATCATACTAGTACAATGAGTTATATATAGTCCTTGGATACTTCCTATACTTTACATTACAGGGTTCTCACCAAGAAATATTTAGACTCCGGATTTTTCACGGTATCGTGACAACCGTTCCCCGTGTGATATCAAAGATAACCTATTAGTATACTTTTCAAAATCCTATTTTAAGCGCAATACAAAGAAAAAAATTTGACTCCGGAAAAACATTTCAGACTCCGGAAAAGCTATTAGACTCCGGAGCAAGAGAATTTCCAAAGTCAAAAGCCGCGTCGGAACCCTGCATTATGTATTGTTAAATTTTTAAGTCATATTATGATTTTTGGTGACTTCAAATGGTTGTAAAAGTAACATACATGTACTTCAGGTAAGCCCTTTTATTTAAAGACTAACTATGAAGTAAAATTTGCCTCAAATTTCTTCACAAAAATTTACATATTCCCTGCCTATAGTTATAATATTTCTTTTCTTCTCCTCACCTACTAGAATGTCTTCAAAAATGAAAAAGCTGTTCAGGTTGCTCTGAGCTTAACTTACAGTATAGAGATCATCAGCAACAGGAGACGAACAATTCTCCATGAATTTATCCATAATATTTTCCTTGCATACCAGCCATCCGAACGCTAGCAGGAGTTCCCTGGCCCCCTTTGTCATGTCATTAGGGAGACTAGCAAAGTCCCTCGAGTAAAAACCAGTCTTTTGCATCTCTTTCTTTACATAGATCACTAACTCATCTGAAATGTAAAATATTCAATGTTATAAGTACACTATTACGGTGAAACCTGTCTGAGGGAACGCTTCTAGAAAGAATAGTTTTCAATAGAACCAAATATTTTTCCTTAAGTTACATTTTAAATATAAGAATATACTAGAGACATTTGGCATTCCTTATATTGGCATTGTACCAAATAATAAAAAAAATGGAAAAAATAATGAGCAACAGAATTTGTATCATTGAGTCCAAAGTAAGTCCCTAAAAACACTTTTTAAAGTTAATTTTGGACACAGTAAAGAATATGGTATGTCTGATTTAATCATGTATTTTATTTAACAACATAAGCTCCATGTATCATTTGTTTTGCATTTATGTTGCAAATTGTTTTAGTCACTTGTTGTGGTGGGTCATCACATTAATTTTGTCTGGGCAAATAGGAAGCTCTGAAAGGGGAAGTCTGTTCAAAATGTACTAACAATGAACAGTACCATAAGACCATGGACAGGCTTTAAACCCCCTCTGTGTCTAACACTGTCTATGGCCTCTAAAAAGTATATTGACAAAGTTAGCAAAAAAAGATTTTACAAGGTATGATATACCAAGTAGATGTGCCAAGATGTATTAAACCATAAACTAATAAATAAATACATGGAATAAGGAGATTGTGGGTTTTGATTCCCACCAGGGTGGAGTGATTTGATCCCTAATGTTTCAGATTAACTAAACTAATAAATAAATAAACAAGGCATTATCACAACAAAATGTCACAACCAGCGGTGCAAATGAATACAAGTGTATACATTCTGACCATATTCCAGAGGTTTCAAAAGTCATACTGGCATATTTTATGGCAAAAATACTGAAAAATGTAATGACTTACTTGTGGAGAGCTCAGTCACAGCTTTGACGCAAACATCATCAATGATGTGGAACTTGCAGAAGTAAGTCAACTCAAACAACATGATCCATAATGGTTCCACCTGAAATATTTAATCGAACATAAAGAATTCTGTACCATTCTACATTAGAAATTCAAAAACATGAGGGCATGTAATAACCTTCCACATCATTCGTACAATCATGTGGATACACAATATTGATATATGTCAAAATAAAAACAAACAAAAACTACATTGACAAAAATCCACTGCTGGGTTTCGAACTCAGAGCATGCTTACAAAATGAGTTTTACACCTGTAACACCCCCCCCCCCCCTGTAACACTGTCCACTTGATTGACATCCCCCCTGCCCTCTGTGAAACCCTCCCCTCCTGTGACAACCTTCAACAACTACTGTAACACCCCACTCATTGTCACCAGTATTTTGTTTGACACTTCCTCCTTCTGTGACATCCTCCCCTGCTGTGACACCCTTTTTTGTCACAAACTCCTGTAACACCCCTCCTGTAACCCCTAATTAATTGAAAAACTTAAGGTAGTATGCGAGCGAAGGGAGCGCGAAAAATTTAAGGTGTTGTAAATTAGACATGAATGTTCAAAATATGAACTTAGTTGTTCAAAAACTGAACTTAGGTGTTAAACTTTAGTAAGTCACTCATGTTGGCTGCTTTCAGGTTGACAGGGCTGTTGATCTATAACCTACTTTCAGGCATGCTAATTTTTTGGCGAAATATGAGAGACGACACAGTTCAGAGGTTTCACTAGAATTTCTAACAACAGGCCTAAGAAATGAAAACAACAGGCAAAATTAATGGAATTCATAAATTTAACATGGAAAAGTAGAAAAATCCCTAAAAACAACAGGCAATTTTGTGAAAACAATTGGTGAAAATCACCCGTTGCCTGCTGCTAACCCTGCATTTGATAAGCCAAACCCCAAGCAATTAAAGATACAGAAGCATTTTGCAACTGAAATATGAATGTATTTCCCGATATAATATTGCACTTGTGACTATGCCTCGTTTTTAGGTTTGAAAAGTGATTTAGACCATGGGCATTCAATAGATTGAAAGCCCATGTTTAGACTGACAGTTGTAACAGACAAGTAAATTGAAATATTAGATAATTTTCAATAAAGTTCTAGTGGAAAATTATGCAATGTAATCTAAATGGAAATAATCGACTAACCTTGCTAGCCTAAATTATGTGCTCTATCAGAGCCCATGCCTAAATCTAAAATCAAAACACAAATTCTCGGGATAAGTTCATATGGTTAAAATAACGAAATAATGAAATGTTACCGTGTCTACTTAGCAGTTTGTTCTATGTCATCCCTCCTGCTAGGTTACATTGTGGAACTCAGCCAAACACGACACTGAAGGCAGTATTCTGAGGTTATAAAATCTGAATCTTAAAAATTTCCCATTTGCAGCAATGCAGCCCCTTGGAGACTTCCGGAATTGAACAAAGTAGCGAACGTTGTGATCTTTCAACTTTAGTTCGTTGTTTTTCACCACTTTATGTGAAGTGTTTTCATTTAGGAGGCGGTCTTATTTGAATGCATCATTTCAGGTCTTTATGAATCAATAGATCAATAAGCAGACTAAAATTATAATTTAGCAGTTTCGTTGAAAAAATGATTTGGAATACCCAGTGACTTTAGCAGCCCTCCCTACAATGTTTGACATTGCTATCTCGGCGTGCCCTCTTCTATAATCAGTAGCAAATGCTCGCAAAACATTTTCCAAAATATTTACTACTGCTTTCCTTGAAGACATGGTTGGATGACACGTCATTATCGATACAGTAACTAGTCACATGATCAGACACATGTCACGTGATCAGACACAGTTACGCAATCAGTCACGTGAGCTTGCAAAATGGACGATCTAAATTTCCAAAAATTCTGCTAAGATCAATATCGACATGTTGTTGCCTTCATTGTCGTGTTTGGCTGCGTTCCACAATGTAACCTAGCAGGAGGGATGACATAGAACAAACTGCTAAGTAGACACACGGTAACATTTCATTATTTTGTTATTTTAACCATATGAACTTATCCCGAGAATTTGTGTTTTGATTTTAGTAAAAAATTTAATTTAAAAAAATTAAAAATCATAAAAATTTGTGTCTCACCGCTGCTTCGTTATCAAATTTGGCAAGACGGAAGACTTCAGCCTTTATTTTTCTGGTTCCATTGTCTTTAAGGACCCTTGTCAGCAATTCTATAGTCTCTCTTATATTAGCCATCCTATCTTTAATAGAGAAAATCAAAATTAAATCTGTCAAAAATTATATTCAAAATCTCCAATGAAAACAAAAATGGCGGTCTATAACTGAAAATGTCAAACTCTTATGGAAATTTGATCGCGAAAGATCGATCAAGGATGGATTCCTACATGAAGACTGAAGTATTCATTGATATACAAAAGCTTTTTTCTCAAAGAGATTAAATTTTGAATGAAAAAATATTTTATATAAAATATTTGATATTGTTAAATTCAATCACAGTCAGGGATCACAGTTTGCCTTTTATACATAACCTTGACCTACTTCTGAGAAATCAAAACAAAATTCTGGACAAAATCTGAACAAGTTTTGGCTACAGATGTAGACACTGACAGACCTATAGTACTACGATACATAACACAGCAGTGAGCACAGGGATCATATTTTGTTAATTATATTGTGCTTTAGAATAATGGATGAACCGATGGAGTACGAGATGTCAAAACCTTCAGAGTACTACTTTGCTGAAGCAATGTCCACTGACAGGTTAAAATGGCTGGTTTACAATCCAAATAAAACAAATGTTCCTTTTGATCAGTGGCTGAGTAGAGTAAAACCTTCTCAAATCTTTAAGTAAGTATGATGGTATCAATATTTTCTAAAAATTAGCGTTGTTTAGAAAAATAGTGTATACGACTCGATCTTTACACATGTTACCAGGCCTATGAACCGCAGGACCATGGGCTTTCAACTAGACTAGATGAACTAATCGCAAATTCAGTTTTTGTTACCCCAATTTTTATCTATTTTATGAAACCCTGATTTTCTTCCAATTTTCCTCTAATTTTCACACTGATATAAAAAAGATTGAGTCGCATACACAGGGGCGTTAGAAGGATTTGCCAAGAGGGGGGGGGGCGACTTTTGGGTATGGGTGGATCATGCGTGAAGCGCACCGCACACAAAGGGTGCAAAATGCAAATTATATATATTTTGCACTTATTCTTCAAAAAAGAATGAAAAGGTATATGTGTTACAGAATTAAATATAATATCAGAATTGAGATCTTCTATGCTTGATGTAGACTAGATACTGATATAGTATCATTTCAATTTATTAGCTGTATAGAACTTTCAATTCTAGTCTCAGTTTCAAATCTAAAAAAATCTGGGAAAAGGGGGGGGGGTGGTAACCCCCAACGCCCTTCCAACGCCAGCGCATACACCAAGTAAAGAGATCTAATTAAGTTTATTCTGTTGATTATGAAGTTAAAGTCCAAATAAATAAGTTACATCAATGTATTACATTCATCTGTTGTGTATATGTAGATTAAAATGGCATTATGGCAAACTATATCATGTAGAGAAAGTGGTCCAAATATTGATCCAATATCTAGTTTACATTATTTGGGAAATTGGATTAAAACAACAAAATGGCCCCAAAATGAATAGCAATCATCGGATAGACCCTATATCAAATCATTTCTTGGATATCATTTTATCGCCTCATAGATATCAATCATTAACACTCATTCACTTCGCTCACTAAAGATGGTATTTGATGTCAACTCGTTGATAAAAATGATATCACTTAAAATGATCTGATATTCTGTATAGATTTGAGCTGAAGCATTTCGTGATTTTATTTCATGATTTTATACAGGGTGAGCCAAAAATGTTACATGTTACAAGCTCAGTCATCTAGTATGGACTTAAATCATATTTGGCACAATTAAACCATGTCCAGTGTTCTTTAATTCTACAGTTTCATTGGTCTAGTTCTACCACGATTTCATGGCTTTTCAAAACATTCTCATGGGGGGTTGCAAAATGGAAATACCTGTAGTTTCAACGAACCAATCAAATAATGGAATATAGAACATGTATCATTGAAAAGATAGTATAAACATGCAATTGATTGTTCACACAAAAATAGTTGTCTTTCTGACTGGGGGTATGTTCCGAGCATGGGGTTTGTTCTCAAAAAGAGGTCATTCCCTGCCATCTTAAAAAATGTTATTGAGCAGAGCTCCTTTATCTCTAGGCATCTGCAAATAAAAGTTGAACCAAATCCATCCTCTGGTATTTTAGTTATCAAAGATAACGTTTTTTCCCAAAAATTGTTGCCATGTTGTAATTCAATGGCCATTTTGAAAGTGTCTTCTTCAGCCAAGCACCTTCAATCTTTAGACATCAGCATATGAAAAAACCGAATCCAATAGCTGGTATTTGAGTTATCGTTCTTTTTTTAACAATGGTGGTCAATCACTTTGTCTTTATACTAGAAGAGAATTCTACCACTGCTGTCATTTTTATATCAGCCAAAACCTGAAAAAGATGAAACTTGAGTAAAACTTGAAAAAGTTCCAAAATTGGATGTATATTAAATGTCATTGAAATTGCCCCTTTTCCCAGGAGTCAATAGACTAGATTAGAGATACGTCTGTGGTTATATGTCTATGTTTCTGTTTCAGATCTGAAGGATATGGATGGATATGTGTCAGATCCCCAAATGATAACCATGAATCTCCAGATAAAGTACAACTCCAGGAATCATGGGAAATGTTATGTGGATCAGGTAGACCAATTAACCAACAGTCAATAACAGAACTTGCTCTATCCCACAATGCAACAGTTGGAAAATGGCTATTTTACACCCAAACTGGGCTGAAGGTTGATCATTTGTGGAGTCTTGTTGCAAGAGCTACTTATGAAGGTAGTCTAGGAAGTAGTGCCAAAGTGAGCGCTTTTGATGATGTTAATCCAGAAGGAGATCCCAATCATGTTGTTTGTATATACAATCAGAACTTCACTGAGGAAGAAGAAGTATATGATTTGGAGAATAAGATTCGAAACACTGGATTGAAGTGCCAGATGAATTATAAACCTGATATATACACATATATAGGAATATATCGAAACAACGAGTGGAGCTTGAGGCCTAGTATATACAAAAGTGTATATGAATTAAACAAGGGCTCCATAGTGACTAAGATGTGATCACACACTGCACTGTCTTAGGTTTGAACATGTATTATGCACTGCTTTACTCCCGGTTAATTTTGAGAATTCACGAATATGCAGATCTCACAAGTTTAAATTTCATAATTGTCTAAATCCTCAAGCTCTGTAAATTAAGTTACCTTATGTGTCATGATTTCACAGCACTTTGACCTCTATTACATCCCATTTTGTATCTAAGAAGCCAATGTAAGAGACATTGTTGTTAGTATCCCATTTTTTGCCCAATAACACAGGACAAACATTCTAAACAAAACAAAATGCATCTAGTCCCATTGCACAAATCCCGGCCCGGGATTTTATTGGCAAATTTTGCAATGATTAAACCGTGAAACTAAATTCACATGCAAAAAATACCAGGAGTGTAACAAGTAGATGGACTAAAATTATCTTCTCATGGATAAAAACATCACATCCCTCAAAAAGCTGAGGATATCTCATACATTTATACTGAGCCAAACTTTTGCATATTAGTGAATTTTTATATGATCTTGATTCATAGATGACGGTGGATGAAAATCACTTTCAAGGATTTTTAAAGGTCTGCAGAATGGAAATGAAATTTTAGGGGCTTTAGGACGAGAGGCTTGACAATAACAATAGAACAAAAGATAAAATAAGAATCAAGAATATTTTAGTTCAAATGTCATTTATTTCTTAATAAATAAAATATATCCTACTATTTCAGTTTAAGCATTACATAATTTGATACATTTGTACAAAATTTACAAGGTCTAAAAGGCTAAAACAGAATACAGTGAGTAACAAGTTTTTAAGTCAAGTGGAATATCGATATTATCATTAAAGTAATTTGTTGAATCCTTAATTGGTATTTACAAGAGACTGTTTTAAGAAAAGTTGACTGTATAAAGGTCAATGATCTCACTAGCATTGGATGGAACCAGATGCTGCAGGAAAAATGAATAATTACATGACACCATGTTAATTGAATATTTTGTTTGTACCCTATTGGAATGATGAAATATGGAGATATTCAGACCAAAACATGTAAAATTAGGAAAAGGCCTTAAGTGCCCTAAGTCTGGGGAAATCACCACAAATGTAATACATAATGTTATCTAAGATGGTAATCTGTCATCCCACACTGCTAAATATGTATAATTACTAGTGATGCAAGTTGAGGAGAAAATGAGTCAATGATAAATGTGCCTTTGGATGTCCATACTTTTTTTAATAGGTTAATTGTTTTTATTTGCATAATAAATTATATAAAAGTTCATAAATTATTGTGGAGGGCTGATGGTTTAAGCATATTGTTACTATATTCTTTTTACTTAGCACTATTCAAGCCAACAGCTCCATTAATCCTTAATTAGCATTACGCTTACATCATGTTTTTATATTTTCCTCTGCGAGAATCTAACATTAGTTGTGATAATGTTCTCTATTAGACTTAATTAGCAAGTTGCGATTATGTACATTGGAGTTGACAGGATTATTCAAGACCTTCAATGCATCATGTCAATAACGCGACTCTAGAACTTTTTACTGCACCACTAATAATTACCTGCTATTTGTTTTCTGATAGTTTCATTACTTTTTCAACAATAGTCATTTTGAAAAAATGTGGAGACTCCTGCAACAGATTTTGAATTTTTCATAATTTGTGAGGATTATGCAGTTCCTAATTTTTACATTTACGCACAGTGACCTGAACTATTGAAAAACATATTACCTGAAGTGCAAATGCTCAGTAGTAAGAACACTGTCAGAATTGCAACAGTTCCAGTTAATACTATTTTAATCATCACTGTCATAATAATAATCACTCCCATCATCTCCACTGCCATATATTTCACTTTCCTCATCATTATTTTCATTGACACTATTACTATCCTCATCGTCGCTGTCACTATTTCCATTGTCACTATCATTTCCCGCATTGTTGCTATCATTATCCTCATTGTTAATATCATTATCATCACTGTCACTATCCTCATCATTGCTATCACTATTTCCACTGTCACTATCATTATCATCATTGTCTTTATCATTATCCTCATTGTTACTACCATTATCTTCATTGTCGCTATCATTATCCTCATTGTTACTGTCATTATCTTCATTGTCGCTATCATTATCCTCATTATCACTATTATTATCTTCATTGTCACTATCATTATCTTCATTGTCACTGTCATTGTTCTCATTGTCACTATCAATATTCCCATTGTCAGTCTCCTCATTGTCACTTTCATCATCCTCATCATTTACACTTTCTACATCATGAACTTTTTCAACATTGTTCTCATCCTCGCTAGCATCTTCATCATAACTACTATCATCAGTGTCAATGTCATCAGAATCATTCGGGAAAAGATTAGCCCAGTGTAAATATCTACCTATGTCTCTATACTCTAGACCATCATCACTCCTATAACAAACAAACAGGAAAAAGTAGTGACGGTTAGAAGTAGTCCATATATTCCTCCTCATTGCTGTCTAGTTCCTCGTCTTCATAATCTCGCCATCTGTGTCTCCCAAAATCATAGTTGTACCTGCAATGCAATGAGAATCATAAACTGCATGCATAAAGGGACATTCCTGACTAGCCTGTTGCTGTCTTGATATGGCTGCTATAACCAATAATTATAAACTATCAACATAAAATTTTTAAAATAAAGAAAATGTATTGTACACTTCGAATGGGCTGCCATCTTAAAAGATTCCTATCAGGAAGTAGTGTCATCGACTCGAATTTGCTAAAACCCACAAAACCAGCTAGCATTGTTTTAAATTGTCTTGAATTTAAATTTCAAATAATGTTTTTATTTGGTATACTAATACAAGTTTGATAAAAAAGAAAGGACGTAAATAAGCAGCTTTAACAGATTTTTTCCTTTTGTTGTTATAAACAAGTTCAAAAGTTGATGAGATAACTTCCCACTACAAATCTCGAAAGGTGGCAGCATCCTGGAAATGAGTACTGTTACTGTATAATAACTCAGGACTCTGGAGAATCTCAGATATAAGAGGAAACAGATTATTTTTAAAAAACAAGAAACAGGACATTTTAATGGAAATAATAGAAAAAGAGGAAACTCCTCTCTAAATATGAGAAATTATGCGTGATAAACTGCAGCTGATTGGCTGAAGGATGGTCAACATACAAACAAATAATGTCTGAACGTTAATGATGAAAAATTGCAACATTAAAGAGAATTGCATCAAATAAACAATAAACATATTGACCATTAGCTTATACTAGTTTCTGAGAAAGTAAAACATAATGGATATGTTGACCATTATACTAATCTCTTAGAGCGTAAAGCACATAGTGTAATGTGATACAGCAGAAATATTTACTCACTCATCTTCATCCTCATCATATTCTTCATCACTATCAACATCGTCATTGTCAACATCATCATAACCATAGAAAGGATGTCCAATTCCATATCCCTGTGGGCCACGATTTTTCTGCTTACCTAAATTTAAAGAAAAAATGCCAACTCAAATAAAACAAAAATTAGAAAGAGATCACATACCTGTAGATTGCATCAAGTTATCAACAATCGTGTCAGGCATATGAGTAAATATTTTTAATTTAGCCCTTATTTGGGAGTTTTAGATGCAATATTATTTAGGCAGGGGGGGGGGTGGTGTTTTATAAAAAGGTTACCGCACAAAAGAGACCAATTACTAATTACTCAAATTGTTCAAAATTCATAAATTTTACATGTCACAAATTAGCAAAATATAAGGGGTTAAATGTACTTCAATGTAATACAGTACACATTTATCTTCAACCTACACATACCTATGAGCGCCATGGGGTCATGTTTCATGGTTGAGACATCAACATTGTCTTTAGCAAACTTCTCTTTTGCCAGAAGACCAGCCTTTTCCATCTCCTGTCTGTGGAGCTCATGTATGTCAGTATCCTGAGGGCACCTAGAAAATATAATGGTCATAGTTAAGCAGCAAGTCAACCATACCTTGTCTAGAAAAAACTGTTAAATGACTGGTTGGTTTTTTGGTGAGGCCCTGTGATGTAAGTTAGACACAATCACTTCTCATCTATCCACCAGGGCACGCCTTAAGCGTCAGACAGCTGGTCATTATCTGGTTACTTTTGATACTGACCAGTTGATTTTTTCACTAGGTATAGGAAAATAACATTGCAACTGGTCAGTAATGCCTTTTTGACCAGCAGCTCTAGAATCCTTAGGGCATACACTGCTATCCACTATATCATAATACTCTACTTTTATACCCTTCATGATAAGGGTGAATGAGAAAAGCTGATTAAAGCTGTAGTAACTGTGAACTGTACAATTAACAATAAGGAGAGGGAGGGGGTGTTCATCAGAGGTGCTTTGAAATTAAAAATTAAAATATCTTGTTTTAGAACACAGGCAGAGTTGAAATAGCTTTTAGTTCAAAATGACTGGCATCTCTTACCAATTTGATGGTTGTTTTTTGTTTCTATTACAATATATTTGTAGGTCTGCTGGAAACAATGTTATGCACAAATAGTAGTTATGCTGGATGAAAAAATGTTGGGCAACAAGGGAAAATAAAGACTTCTTTGAAATACCCAAAAATTAATACACTTACTTATTTGGGCCTGTTCCAAAATGTTCATAGCCAATCTTTGGTTTTCGGCAAACATAGCACATTGTCGCCCCACATGAACATGTCATTTTGTTGCACCCTTCAATCTGAAATCATATTAAAATATAGACCAAGATGTTATTTCTGATAATAAAGTCACTAATTAACATACTACGTGTAACTCGTATGCTTTTTAAGAAAATTCAAGTTCAAATTGACAAGAAATTTGTAACAAGTGATGCAATATTTAATAGGACTTTGAGGAGCAAAAGTGGCTGCCAGGAAATTTACCCAGCATGCCCAATACCTAATCAGATATTGACACTAGTCTGCTCTAGCATATGCAAATTTCTAAGTTGAGAATCTAAGTGTTTATTTTAATTATAAAGCGTTAAAGCAATACTTGCGATTGCCTGACTGACCTTACCTTGAAAAATCGTTTCTTGCATCTCCAGCATTCCCGGATCATTGCTTCAGTGATTTTGTTTTCTATGAAAGTTCTTATGTCTGTTTCTGTCTGTTTTTCAACCTCATTACATCTCAGAGGAATATGGTTGACTTCTTTACATAATCTATGGGGAAAAAATAGTGCATGTTACATTGTGTCCTGACACAAACACAATTTTATATTATCAGTAGGAACAAGTAGCATAAAAAGTTTTACTATACCTTTCAAGGTTCTAGGTGCGTAATGTAAAACTTTGGAACCTTAGAACCTCATGTATATGATTTTGTTTTTAATGGCCAGTTTTGGAAAGAGGTAAACAGACCCTCAGGAGATGCAAATATTTCGGCAGGGATAAACCCTGTATCTAAAACCTATAACTATATTACCCAAGGTTACGTATCTGTGTATTTATTCATTTATTAATGTTCATTGTCACAGACTATTTTACAATTTTATTACCAGACTATGAATTTAATGTAATCAGAAACATAACTGTGTATTTATTGTTTTAACATGTAATTCTGCTGCACTGAAAAGGTGTATTCTAATTGATGTGTTGCACATATTTGCCATTTAAAATACCTACCGACAAGACTCCTTCAAGCACTCTGGGTTGAGACATTTGAATATTTTCTCATCAGGGTTGTCAATAATGGTGGCAAAGCTGCAGAAAGGGCATGATTCTAAGCCTTCTATATCTGCCTGCCGTATTTCCTCCTCTTGAATTTTCCTCAGCAAGTTTGAAAAAACTTTGGATGGAAGCACACTTTGTAGAACCTGAGTGGGAAATTGTGCCTTGCAGTCACCTGTTGATAAAATGAACAATATTATGTTTTCGAACATGACTGTATTCATGCCTTCTATAAACTGTACAAAGTCAACATTTCACCCGGGGTATATTTGCGAAGAATACCCTGGGTAATACATGTAATGTGTGACGTCATAACAGCTGGTCATAGTAATGGCGGACCATAATGAATATTCGAAACATTTTGGTGAGTTTTCATGTTCGAATCATAATATAGACCTCAGAGCAGGGGTAATATCGTAGAATACACCCCATAGGACTAGGCACAAAAACTTTTGAACAGAAAATGTTTGTGCCTAGCCCTGCGGGGTGTATTCGACAATATTACCCCTGCTCCTCGGTGTATATTTCTTAATTAGACAAGGCACAGACATGAACAATATCTGCCTAAAACACAGCATTGTGGTCTTGTTGACCAAGACGTTGATATGTAGAAACATCCCTGAAAATTTCAGATGAATCCCTCAAATGGTTTGGCTGGAAACCTGTAGACAAGTCTTGAAAGTGAAGATTTTAGGACGGAAAATCCAAAATGGCCACCTTAAAATTTACCCAGAATGCCCAAAAACCAATCAGTTTTTGACGTTGATATGTAGAAACATCCCTGAAAATTTCAGATGAATCCCTCAAATGGTTTGGCTGAAAATCTGTAGACAAGTCTTGAAAGTGACGATTTTAGGACAGAAAATCCAAAATGGCCACCTTAAAATTTAACCAGAATGCCCAAAAACTAATCAGTTCTTGACGTTGATATGTAGAAACATCCCTGAAAATTTCAGATGAATCCCTCAAAAGGTTTGGCTGGAAACCTGTAGACAAGTCTTGAAAGTAAAGATTTTAGGACGGAAAATCCAAAATGGCCACCTTAAAATTTACCCAGAATGCCCAAAAACTAATCAGTTCTTGACGTTGATATGCAGAAACATCCCTGAAAATTTCAGATGAATCCCTCAAGTGGTTTGGCTGAAAACCTGTAGACAAGTCTTGAAAGTGAAGATTTTAGGACGGAAAATCCAAAATGGCCACCTTAAAATTTACCCAGAATGCCCAAAAACTATGTAGAAACATCCCTGAAAATTTCAGATGAATCCCTCAAATGGTTTGGCTGGAAACCTGTAGACAAGCTGAAAAGTGAGACGCCGCCCACCGCCTGCCGCCAGTCAAGCTGACTACAATATCGTACCTCTTGTTAGGTACGATAAAAATGTTTAAGGCAATACAAGAGCAGTCTTAGTAATATGGAAATGAGGTTTAATTTCAATTTTTTTAAATTTTTTTTCACCATTGCACATTGGCAAGAACATATAAAGAGAAATCAATAGATGTGTTATAATTGAGAACCTTGTCAGCCTAATTAGGCAATGGTGGCTGATTAGTTCAAGACATAATTCATTTACCTGTTAAACAAGGGAATTTGATCTTGCCACTGCCAATATTCTCCTCTGATGACCGTTTGATGCACTCCCTGCAGAACAAACATCCGTCCTCACAGGCTGCTAGCTCTTCAAACAGAAGTTCATCCTCGCAGCAACAAGGACACTCATGGAGCTCTCCTTTCTCTTTTGCCATCTTGAACTTGTTGGCTTTCTCTCGTTTTTGCACTTCAAAGTATTCTGAAAATTTCAGTGGTAAATAGAATTTGCACTTCAAAATATTTTCAGCAAATTCATTTAATCTAAAATCTCTGGTAAAACCTGTCGAATTCGAACACCTCTGGGATCAGCCAAAAGTGTTTGGATTAGCAGGTGTTCATATTTCAAGGTTTTCTTAATGTGTGAGTCTGTGGGAAGGTAACAAAAAAACATTGAGAGGTGTTCAGATGAGAGGGGCATTCACTGTACATCTTTTGTAAAACAGAATTATTCAAATATTCTCTTCATGAGAGACTGTAAACAAAGCACTTTTTAAAGACACAAAACAGCTCTTAATTTAAAGGAATTTGATTGTTTGTTCAGAGAGAAGATACAGAAGTCATGCCTGGATCAACAGTTTGTTTGCACATTCCTGATATCCAGTCACTAATTTTCAGTTCATCACTACAAACAATCAAATCTCCACATGTCTGTTGAAACACCAAAAGAATAGACAACCATCCTTTTGAGCTGAGCTCATTAATGTTGAAAGGTTCATCCCCCTCCTTCACAAATAACATTGTGTTTGGACGAAGAAAACAATTATAGAGTGTTAAACACAATAGGTTGATCCCGTGTATCAAAAATTAATACCTTTAATTTCTTCCTCATGTTGCAAAAAGAGCATCTCCTTGTAGAAAAGTTCATCTGGTTCCTCTGGTATAAAATGTTTGACATTTCTGGCTCTTCTCATAAACACACCCTTCTTCTTGCTCCCTGAAAAAGTGATAAACGTCAACTTATCTCTTTATTCCTGTATGGAAGTTTCATCATTAACACTGGATTTGCAATGGAGAGAAATGAGCACCCAGTTAACTAGAAAATGCATATAACATAAACTGTACTGGATTTAACACTCCGTCTCTGACATTCATGGGTCTTCTAAAAATGAGAGTCCTAAAACATAGTTCATGCACAGTTTATTTAATATATAAGAATGGAACATCTCTATTATTAATTTTTCACTATGTCCATAATTTATCAAATTATTGTATTAAAGAGACTCAGTCTCTAACTCAATTGATCCTAAAATGTTCATTCTTCAATCGACACATTCAATAAATTTTGGTACAAACACGGTCTTTTCTTAACTGTTATTTTTGCAGAAAAGATTTGTTTCATTTTTATAGTGCAAGTAAGACTGCTAATTTGGCAGACAAACATTAATGTAATATATCACCTTTGAAAGCTCCAGCTTCATTCTCCAACTCTCTCACAGTGGGGGTCAGATGGAACTTGTGCTTCATAAATGCCTTATTTATATAAACTTCAGTTATCAATGGGAAATAGTTCTTTAACTGGGGCAGGGCATGTTTTTTATAACTTTCTGTCACTGGTTTTTCCTCGTTGTAAAATAAGGTCAAGCAATCAGGAAACATTTGGATGAATTCTTTCAAATTAAATGTCATATTTTGGATCTGGTGTTTCCAAGCAGCTTGTTTTTGTTTCCCTTGGACTTCTTTAAGCTTTGGGTATGCTTTAGTGTTGAATAACTCTGCAGCTAATGTCTGGGCCCTCTCCTCCTCTCCAGCCTTTTCTTCCAGACGTGCGTATAAGTAGTTAGGGTCAGCATCTGGGAAAATACTGAGTAACGCATCCATGTCATTTTGAGCAACAGCAGAATGTTTTCTGGAAATGTTTGTTTTAGTTTGGGTATTGTTGTTTTTCTTAATAAATTTATCATTAGCTCCTGATGTGTTTCCAGCAGTGTCATTTGGCACAATTGTGTCTTTACTCTGTTCTGGATGGGTAGCAGGGTCGGTCTTAACATCTACTGCATGTTCTATATTTTCAACTTGGTTGGTTGTTTTAATGTTAGTTTTTGATGTACTTTTTGGTAAGTCAATGCTTAGAGTTGAATCATTACGTATGACTTCACCAGTATGTACCATGTTGCCAGGGATGTCAAAACTATCACCTTGGCTCTCATTTCCCCCTGCAAGCAACTCCTCAGCAACCAAAGCTATTCTATTAGGGTTATCATAATGTGCCTCAAGGTAAGCATAAATCTCATTTCGATTTAAATTTGGGAACATCCTCGAAATGGTCATCATATCTTTATACAGAGGGTGATTTGTAAGCTCCCCTTCAGGATTGGCCTGAACATCAGTTGTAATTGTTTGATCATTAAGATTTGGCACATTTACATGTCTTAGTTTACTGATAGTGATAGCTATCCTATCAGCTTCCTTAGAGGAGTCTATGTGTTCTAATGTATTAAGTACATCAACAGGGTCGGCATGTGGTAGTACTTTGAGCACCTCTTGGACATCTTGTACCAAAGTGTCCTCTTTTGAAGGTGGGTTGGCAGCTTTCACAACTGTCACTTGGATAATATCATCTGATGCATTAAGAAATTGGTTCAACACTTGGTTTACTCTTTCCGGTTTATGACCAATAGCTTCTAATGCTTCATACACTGCATTGGGGTCTACATCATTGTCTGGCTTTAGTCTTTTCAATCGAGTTAACACTTCATCAACATCGCTAAATATATCACAGATAAGAGTTTCTGGACTTTTTTGATTTTGTGTATTTGCACTTGGCACTTCATCAAACTCAGCAGTCACTCCTTCTAGTATCTCGTTGGTAACTAGTTCAAGTCTATTGGGTGTTTTACGGTGTTTCACAAGTTTGTCATATATCATGTCAATGCTGGCACCAGGAAACATACTTGCTATCATTTCAGCATCATTACGACAAGATGATATTGGTTTTATCACATTTGTAGGTTTATCTGAGTTATTTGCTGAACCAGATGCCTTAGTTTCAGTAAATGCTATGTTATTGACTGTGTTCAGTGATTTGTTCTTTGTGTCATTTTGAATACTTTCTGTATGAGAAGACACATTGTTTGTGTCATATGACACATTGTTTTTGGCATGACTAGATATGGCATCATTTGATAATTGCACTATATTTTCACCACTATGTGTATTGGGGTTTTCAGCAGAGGTATTCCCTTTCTCTTGAAAATTAGAATCTGATAGAGCATTACATGGTGAAACTTCTGGAATATTTAAATCTGATGGCACTTCACATGATGAGAACTCTGGATCTTCCAAAAATGCAAAGTCATCATTTGAATCCCTCGGCTTAACTTTGCTTTTTCCTGATGGACGGGCATCAATTTCGTCCTTTTGTTTTTCAATATTATCAATAAGAATTTTGGCACTTTCTGTGGCTCCATCTATAGTCTCTATTGCATCTTTATAACTTTCAAGTTGGGTTCCATTCAAGGAATTGCCCATTTCAAATCCATCATGATAGGACAATGTGTTTGAAGCAGCAGTTGAGTGGCCATCAATGTCATCTAATCCATATTCAGGGCTGTGACTTAGCGAGTATCTCTGAGTAGGTTCCTCACTGTCACTGAGAATATCTGTCGCTTGAGAATCTAAAGATTCTTCAGTTCCATTCAATAGTTTATTATCACCACCTCCCTGTCCATTGGTTAACTTTGGTCGCTTTGATATACTTTGTTGTTCATCATTGGATCTTCTACGTTTATCTAATTGTATATTGTTCTGGAGTGTCTGGGATAGTGACATGCTGACACTGGCTCCTTATTTAGCCACTGTTCTTAAGCTGAAATGACATTAAAATTAACATCTATCATCACAGTGATGCAGTGCATTCAAAAGGTTTTAACACAATTATAAAATTCTAGAGCAGACCCACTAAACTGAGATAACATCCTGCTACCCATGCAGTCAATGTTGAAATTATTTCAAAAAATTCAATGTAGCTCATCAAATTCAATTGAATTAAGCAGTAGAAGAGCCCCAGAGCAAAGAGATGACAAACATAATTATGTCTCTTGCTTACCATCTCATCAGCTAGTTTTCGAATATAACACGTCGCTGTGATGTTTTAATCGATGCATATTTCTTACACTTTTCTTTATCTTGATGTGAAATAACAACCTATGATATTGGACTAGTATTGGTTTAAGCACACCAGAAATAAATATACCATATTCTCTAATAAACGCACAGTGTGTCTCCCAAATTCTCCTGGAGGAGATGTCTCAAATAACAAAATCCACCAATGGTGTCATCTCAGTGCACATTTACAAATAGTAAATATGTCCTGAACCCTGAGGTTTTTCCCTCAATAGAATCAAATTATTTCATGAAAATTTTTCTTTTGAAAAAATTGAATTTTTCTTCAAAAAATTATATAATATTAGCTAACCTTAGACATCAAAGCATTTTATCGTGCCATGATGATATTGAGATAAGAATGCAATAAAGTATACACTTACGTCTATTTCTGAAAGTGAAAATATTAGATTTATACACATATTTATGCTTATATTAGGGTAAATAGCATCTTGCCAGGGCACATTCCGGAAGTACTTGTGAATAGTGACACGCCACAAATTATTTTTATAGGGGTAGTCTTTGATGTATACAAGCACTAAATGTTCTCTAAAAGAGATGCAATCAAACACAGCAACAGTTTACACCTAATTTTAAAATCATATTATAAAGAATATCATAATGTGAAAATAAATACATGCATAAGGAATTTTAAAACGTAAAAATAAGGTTTATTTAAGGTCAAGCTGCTTACACTATACAACTACTAAACTCAGAAAACAAAAAACAATGAAGGTGGCAATTTTCCTGCTCCTTTTGCAGCTTGTTTCCGCGCAGGCAGTGGGTGGTAAGAAGCGTGTTGAAGTAACAGATGGAGATGCAATACATGTTGCAGAGTTTGTTGTGAAATATATGAATGAGAGAGACCACAGAAGTACTAAACTTGACAGTTTATTGAAGGTTGAAAAACAGGTAAAATTTTGTCAATAAAAACATCACATGACATACAATTGAATAAAATTCCTTTATGAAGGCAGCTTGGTAAGGGTCATTTTGACCATGACCATTGTGATCCTGACCAAGTAAATGATATATGGGAGTAGTACAACTGACTGAAGATCAAAGCAGAACTCGGTTATCTTTATCCCGTTCCCGGACTATAGTCCATAGTCCGGGAACGGGATAAGGTTATCTTACTTCAAAAAATTCTAAAATCCACATTTTTTCATTTCCTGTTGTTTGGTGTAAGTTTCTTATCCCGTACCAGCACCATAGTCCTGTAACGAGCGCATTATTTTGCCTGTACGATTACAACTTGGGAGAATATTATCTACGCCCCTTACACTTAAGATACCTACTTCAATAGATTCCGGGATATTTTAGCATTTTTTTCGTATAGTTGAATCCACAATTGTTTGGGTATATCAGCAGAATGTGAACATTTTCTTTTTCATCGAGAGATATTCCATCACTTTCCAAGATGGTGGTTGGATTTAAAAGGGGATTTCCCGTTTGACTGGCCGGGATGTACCAATAAATGGAAAAATTTGACGGTTGAAATAAGTTAAATATTACATGCAAATATTGCGATCAAAAATGAAAATTTCTTTGTTCTGCCGATAAACCCAGACAATTGTGGATTCAACTACACGAAAAGAATGCTGAAATACCAAGGAATCTATTGAAATATGTATCTTAAGTGTAAGAAGCGTAGAAAATTCTCTCATGTTATAATCGGACAGGCAAAGGAATAAGACGTTCGCAGGACTATAGTCCTGGCACTGGATAATAAATTTCTGATAACTACTCCGAGACCTTATTAAGTAGTAAGGTACAATTAAACCCCATTAAAAGTAACACAGCAGATTGTGCTATATATGTCATGGTATAGGGAGAAAATCAATAAACTCAAGGCCTGTGTTACACTTGCTAACTGTATATTGAATGCTATTACTATGCTAGAATATTTTCTCTCCCTATATCTTGACACTGTTAACATCTTAGACTGAGACAGTCTAAGTTATCCCGTACCATGCCAGGACTACAGTTCTGAGAATGTCTCAATCTTTTGCCTGTAGGATTACATCATGGGAGAATTTTCTACGCCTCTTTCACTTAAGATCAGTGCTCTCTTTATGCGTCGGACCATGGGACAAATCCGACTACTTTTGCTCTGGGCCGACCAGGACTAACAGACTGTCAGTCTGAGTGTCCGGCGTAAAAATACTCACCAAATTATGGGCCAAACTTCGGTCCGATTGTCCTTTTATCCATCCCCGAGGATATGACTGTAATACAACTAATTGTCAGCGGTAAATTACAAAAAAAAATTCAAATATTTCAGAATATTTTCAACAATTTACGTTATCGGTTGGTGTTGTTTTTTGTTTTCTTTTTGGAGAGTAAAGGGCGCCACCTGGCAAGCGAATCTACTGTTCAAAAATTGAACGTTTTTCAAGTTCAGAAATTATTACGTTAAATATCTGGCTGTGGATGCATTAATTCAATACAGGAATTAATGATAATCAAGTAAGGCATTGTTATATTATAGACATAAAAGGCATTTGTGTGAAAATGACCCACAAAGTTCATAACGCAATCGAATTTCTGGGTGGCTCCAGTATTTTTAGATTTGTTGTAAAGCATAATTTTTTCACAATCATTTCATTTCGCGAGTACTCTACACCTGGCAAAATCGTGAAAAACACATGCAAGCAAATTCAATGTGTTTGACAGTCTATTTGGATCACTGAGAATGAGAAAATACGTGTACAGCATGAATACGAGTAGGCCTATGTAAAATTTGAATGCTACTCCGATTTTTCATTTTTTCCTGGACTGGCAAGAACCAGTCTGGACTGGCTACTAATTAAAAGTAGTCAGTCCAGGGACTGGCTTCTTTTGGTCTGGACTGGTGAACTCTTCAGACTTGTCAGTCCGTTGGTCCTGTGACTAATTTTGCCTTAACCTCTTGACTACCCAGAATGACAAGATTTCTCGTCACCTCAGAAATGACCTTGAAACCCAGAGGGACGAGAAAATCCGTCACAAAATTTTTCACAAAAATTGCTCTCATTTGAACAATTTTCATCGAATTTACACAAATTTTTTTTAAAACATGTAGAAATGATCTCTGCCATCCAATTTTACTAAGTTGAGCATCTAAAGTTGTATAGGTATGTAGTAAAATGTCAAAAGGTGGAAAAATGAAAAATTCTTTGGTTTCATGCCAATTTTAGAGCCTGGGATTCAAGAGGTTAAGGAGAGCACTGCTTAAAGGGAATGCGAAGTTTCATGTTCTAATTTACACGCTGGCTACTTATAACCATCATCTATCACTTCAGCTCACTCATGGGACATATCGTGTTTGAACTAACATATAATTCAAGTTCAAAGTACCCATATCTGGATCGCTGCGGATGCCGCCATTGTTATGTATCAATGACGTCATTGATGCCTTAAAATTGATGCCTGGGAAATGTCGCTATATGATCACGTCATACTCGGATCGCAGAAATAGAACACGATTTCACTGATATTGTATAACTATTTCTGTCCGCTTGACATTGTTGCCGCATGTTCATGTCCATATCATATCATATATTTGGAAAAGTTGTTTCAATATATTCTTCATAGAAATTGAATTGTTGCAATGTATTTTTTCAAATGTTTGTATTTATTTTCTCCAATGTGATATAGTATAGGCTAGGTAGAAAAATCACTAAACTTATGAGATATCGGCTGCGCGATTCGGAATTCATCGCATTATATTCCACTTGAAAAATGTCCACTAGAATTATTTTATATAATGATAACATTGGGTCAAAAAGGATAAATCTGTTCAAATCCTGTAAATGCTTTCTTGTATATTTAACCAATAAATGAGGTAAATGCATTAATATATACAAAATGGCATTTACACATAAATACATTACTTTGCATCAATGGTGATTTATTTAACTAAGATTAATGTGGCTAATGTGTTGGCGTATTTGTGGTGAAAATACATGTAAGTAAGTTATATCATCGGCTGAACGCATCCAACAAATAGTTGCATTTACCATATTTATGTAAATACACGACATACCATTTAAAATATCAAAATCTATGCTAATGTTCATTAATGCGCTGATGAGCATTTACGGCACATCATTATTAACCTTAAGGTTTACGTCGGCAAATAGGCATACTGCCGCAATTGCATGCTTTCTTACCTAATCATAAGTGGTAGATTTCTTCAATCTGTAGTATTCTATTCAAATATGAATAGGTGCATATTGGAGAATGAAAGAAATAAAACAAAAAGTAGCAATCCAATGAAACAGTAACTCCCTAAAGTGTTTAGCCATTTAAATTCTGATGAAAAACGCAAACAAAAAAACGAAAAATCGATGTCGTCTAAATGATACATATGTAAATGTCAATCTCCTAAATACTAAGATTGGCAATAGCTTTACAAGGACATGCCACTGTCATATTTTCAAAGAATAATACGTAATGTTTAATTTCTCAGTTGTCAAACGACCAATTTCAATATATCATATCACCGTAGCGACATTAGATATGACAAAAAAAGCTTTTCAAAATTCAATGGTATTTCACCTTGGATCATGACAAGAGAAGGCTCATAACATTCAGTGATGCGGGGAGACGATGGGGTCGATTGTAGTATGATATTTCATTTCCACGACGATGAGGCAATTGCCGTATTGATAGTACGCCAATAGTTTAATATTTATTTTATTATATATTTATTTTTTGTTAAAAACAATTCCTGATTTCGAGCTCGAATTTAATTATATAACATCCGTGGTAAGTACAGTTCTACGGTATTTTCGAAATAATGATTTACAATTTAATGGCATACAACCTTTTGTTTTTCTATATCGGAAAATAAGTGGAACTTTAAAAGCTTCAGTCACATTTGTTCAATGCGACCACACGTCGATCGTATTTCCCTGAAATCAGTAAATTTCTGCGGCAAACATAGGAAAACTACAGTCGACTTAAGGTCACTGCACCTTGCTGTCTACGTACACGACATATCCAGTTTTTACCAGGCGTAGAGTCGGAGTTATAACTTTTTCTTTCCTGTGGTCACTATAGATATCAACAAGCAGCAGCCAAACCGTAGGTCTCACAACGGCCGTACGTCGGGTTCACGGTCGACTTGCGGCTGCGCTTGGATTTCATAGGTTTCAATTGACCTTTCCGAACCATAGAACCCCTTGTGGATGCCTTCAAGAAAAAACTACGCACGTCGTAGGGCCACCCTACGCTGATCGTGCGTCATCATTTATCAGCCGTACAGGAATCGTAGTTTTTCCTCATAATCAAGATACGCCGTACGGCTATCTTAGCAAATGTGACTGCTAAATTATCTGGCTGCAGAAATACTTAGGCAACCGTGGAAATCCTACTTACCACAGAAATGATAGACCGTACGGTCCCCGTAAAAATGTGACGTGAGGCTAAGAATCCATGATAGTAATTGAATACGGAATTTTAATTTCTTTGAATACCTGTTTTAAAGATAAACATAAATGCAATGAATATTAAAGTACGAACACGTGTTTTTGTAATGAGACTAGCAAATTAAACAATTGCATTCTTGGAAATTCAAGATGGGTTGGTTGAATTAATTTTATTTTGTTTTATTCGAATAGTTTGTATTCGCCTGATAGAATTAGCATTCTCTGTTCGCATTTAGCGCTAGACCTAATAAAAGTTAAAAAGTCACGAATCCCAGATTATTTCAAGTGTAAATAAAGAATAAATCTAACCCGCATTCCATGTCTAGATAGGTAAAAAGCAATTCCGAAAATGCCGGCGTTAATATTCAATTGAAATCGTTCTTTATTATGGGTGGTATATACGTAAGCCTATTCTTTTAGTTCCTTTGAAATGATTTCTTTGGTTTTGGAATGGCAACAACTCGGCATTCATTTTTTGATTCAAAAATGGCGCCACAAAACTTTTGGAATGCCAAGGCATCAATCTGGCATCAATGACGTCATAACAATGTCGTAAAGAACCACTTTACGGTTGAAATGGCAGCTCCGTGGTCCAGTTCATATGCAAAACCCGGGGCTCAATAACAATTAAAAGGATAATGATAGAACAATAAAACTAAGTTGGATTGAAAGATATATCTTTATTCTAACTTATTATCAAGTTTAAGGGACAAAACTTCTCATTCCCTTTAAGATACCTACTTCAATAGATTCCTGGGTATTTTAGCATTCTTTTCGTGTAGTTGAATCCACAGTTATCTGGGTATATCGGCAGAACGGGAACATTTTTCTTTTTCATCGAGAGAGATTCCATCACTTTTCAAGATGGCGGTTGGATTTAAAAGGGGATTCCTTGTTTGACTGACCCGGAAGTGGCCCAGAAGTACCAATAAATGGAGGAATTTGATGGTTGAAATAAGTTAAATATAACACACAAATATATATCAAAAACAAAAATTTCTTCATTCTGGGGATAAACTCAGACAATTGTGGATTCACCCCCCCCCAAATTATGACTTTTGAGGTATGACAATGTCGGATTGTTCACTTTCAGGTATGAGAATGGTCATGGAAAATATGTTAACTCACACTTGTGGTATGGAATTGGTTTAGGAATTCCACATATCCTTAATTTGAGGTTGTTTTGGATCATTTTCTTCATAGATTTGCCTTCTTCTCAAGGCCTTCTTCAGTTTGAATATTAGCTTTTTTCTACTTTGGATAGTAGACACGAAAATGACACTGCTTTGAGTGATAAAAATCGAAAGAGCTACCAACCTAAGATTCAAAAACAAAATCAATGTTGAGGGTTGTCTATCATCTACTGAAAAGGAAAACACTTCAAAACCACCCCAAACCCACTCAAGTATGAGATACACCAGTTATGTATGGTCAGTTTTGGATATAGGGTATATCCCTCAAGAAATATACATGTATAGGGAGGTATGGATATATCCATCAGGATATACCCTATATCCAAAACCTCCCAGTTCATCACCCTTATTTATTTACCTTTCTTTATCACTTCCTTTCCTGGACATAAAGTACATATTATAACCATCCTATATTTACAACAGATGCATGGTGCAAGTTTAACGTCTAATGTTACTTTTACCAAACGGGTTGTGGTTGAATTTAAACTTTTTTCATATAGATATTGTTTCTTAGCCTGGCTCCTTTGATCAAAGGCTCTCGTACAAGAGCTTTTAGCTCTTAGAGATCTACCAACAACTCCAATACTACTAAAAAACAAAAGAATATGAAATAATTGGTTATTTCAAATATTTATTCCAAACATATCTGAAAACCAAATTTCTATTTTCAGACTGTAGCAGGCAATAAATGGTTCCTGAAGTTTGATGTAAATGACCCAGAGAAAGGCCAGGTATGTATATGCATATTAAAAGAAGAGTTAGTAGATATATATTATATTCATCCAATAATTAGTAGGATTTTCTGGATGTAACATCATCACAATTGTTAAATTGATCAATGAATTTTGGAACTGTAAAAAATAGCAGGAAAAGCCAGGAAGTATTCCTTCCCCAATCCCCAGCTACCATATTATAAGACTATATGGTTCATCATGGAAGAAAGCGTTTTTGAAGTCTGCTGCTGGGTTAAATTATATATCTTGATGTGACTTAGTTTGGTTTAGATTAAATTATTACCTCTGATTTTTGGTCCGATATTTTTTCAAGCAATCTCAATTTTTCTTGGTTTAAAAACATCCTTATTAGTATTTATATTTTTTCAGTTAACAGGTATTTTGGTTATTCTAAGGAAATTTGCTTTATACATTAAATTGATCAGGAAAGGCTCTTTAGAATAAAAATGTTTAAAACAGATATAGAGTTTGTAACAGTGTATATTAAAAAGCATAAAAGTTGAAGGATATTTCTTTTGTCCCCTTATCCCCTTATCTAATGTCCTCATGTTAAGTGGTTGTAAGTTGTCCTTAAATATTACTTAAAATATTGTTACTTTGAAGTAAACAGGAGTAAACAAGTTCTTTTGTTTGTTAAATGATACTCAGACATGAGGACATAACATTTAATGATACTCCAAGGACAAAGTTGCATAGCAGTTGTCTGAGTTGAACAACTCTAAAAGTATAACTTATTTTCTGGCAGACATTAACCCAAAACATGTTTGAATAGTCATCCTAATCATAAGTGTGATATTAGCCTAATATAGATTCTTTGTGATTATGTACCCACCACAAGTAGTGACATAACTTTTTTACGGACAGTGTTCGGCGATCAGTCTTTGGTGGTTGGTATTTAGTGGTTTGTGTTTGGTGGTCAGCATCTCTAACAAATGACAGGTGGTGATATTTTGCATGTTAATGGCTTGTTAATGTATGTTGCAACCCCCCTTTTGGTTCCCAAATCTCTCTTTTTGACAATAAACTCTATTTGTCTGCATCTAAATAATCTGAGATTGTGCTGACATGAAGTTAATTGATGAATCCATCTTGACTAGACTTCTATATCTGTTTCATAAAAGTTGTTTACAAAGCTGAATTCTAAAAAATGGTTCTAGTTTTAACAAACTTTACATGAACTATAAATTTGCAGTTATCAGGTTATTTTAACAGTCATGTAATCTACTTTAGCAATGAAGAGAAATGAATAGACCTTTTGAAATAGCTATGATATCTTGTTAAGGGATGATATCCAATCATCAACAGTCATGAAAAAACAAAGATATTTTGTTATGCTCCCCCTCCCCTCATCTAATGAAATTTTAAGATGTTGATTTGTGTTTCATTTGTCTTTGAAAATTCAAAAATCAGTTATATCAAGAAATTGATTTTAATCAGAAAACAAGAGTTCAAGTATTGTAAACAAATCCCATGTTCAGCAAATCTATCTGTAGTGTAATGAATAGATGCACAGTGGCAATAATGCCCATATGTAGCATGCAGCCCATTATATCTATTATTTTGAAATCTGCCCCCCCCCCTTGCTAAGGGGTGAGATGACAAATTGATCAATGTGGGACTAATTTTAGCATCAATTCATATGTTTATTTTTACCATGATCTGTTGTTCTTACGGTATACATGGTTCTAACCATATACATATTTAATAATTTGTCATAAAACTATAATAAACATTCAGCTTTCAATAGAATGAATTTACTCTCTGAATAGTAATTTTTTTCATTTACAAAGGCGCTGTTATCCATAAAATTAATATAATGTTCATTACACCAGCGCTTGCATTAGGTTAGAAAATTTGTGAGTCCCAAAGACGCAATTTTTTTTTAAAAAGTGTGTCCTTTGAAAAAAAAGTGTGTCCCCTATTTCTAGCCTGATTTGAGGTATAACTTTATTTTAAAAGCATTTTTTACCAAAACACCTTTCAGTTTTTGATTTCTTGCTGCGAATTTAAAACGGAAGTAAACGTTAAGTACGGACTGAATAAATGCATGTTCGTTCATTCGACAATGAATACATTTTATTTCATGAATAACCTAATATTTGTTTCTGAATAGGAAAAACTGTGGCGTGTCATGGTTTCAAATCTAAAAATAAACAAAGTCGAAAAAATTCGAGAGAATCATGATTATTTGTAAATATTCAACATGTTGAGCCTTATTTACAATTCAAATAAAGGTGAGAGATCATAATTATTTGTTTTTGTTAGGTATCGTTGTAAACACATTGTAGTATTGACCTAAAAAAAATTTGCGTCCAAAAAACGGAAATATTTTCAATTTTTGCGTCCTCCAAATTATTTTTGAGTCCTTAACATGTAGGGGATGCCGTTAATGCAAGCCCTGATTACATGCTGGTTGGTTGGCATATCATTTAAAGTGCTAATGGCTGTAATGCTCCTCTTAAATAGATGTTAAATATTTTGAATTCTTATTGATATTAAACTTATACAATCAACTGACTTATACGTTATCATTGGAGCTTGAAAAGCATCGTTCCTGTATAAAGTGAAATGATTTGATCCTGTGATAGTGTAAGTTACATACCATTCTGAATTAAAAATATTCTAGGGTTACTAAGGATTATACTGTAGATACACTTAATTTGGCTACCATTTTAATTTGACGGATTGGTGGATTCAGAAAATCTACCAAATTAAAAATCTGTCAAATTTCAGTGTTGAGGTGTTGTCTAATGCACTTCAGGGGTACTCCAGGGGCCCCTTTTCCTGTCAACATGTCATCAATTCTACATTATTCCAAAAGAAATACATAAAATATCTGAGTAAACACCTGTCCCAATGACATAAACATCTACAAAAATTAAACTTCAGTCCTGAATCCTCCACCAATATTTTAAATTGAGCAAATCCGTCAAATTAAGTAGTGTTAAAATAAGTGTATCTACAGTAAGGCTTTTAATAATGTAGATAACATTGCAGGTGAATCAATAAAAGATGAATATCAATATTGTATTGATAGAAAATATTTTCTGTTTTATATCTTACAATGTGAAAAACAACATGCATGATTTGCAGAATATCAAACTTGATTCTAGATCCAGATTAAACTTCGCTAATCCTTCAGTAGAGTTTTGCGACTGTTCAATTTGAAATAATTGATGCTTCATATTTCATGTTTTTTGTCTCAAAAGCTCAGTACTGTCAACCCCCAAAGATTTTCTCGCGGGACATATTTTTTAGACCCAGTTCCCAAAATTCGCGGGATTTTGCGGGACATCCACCTAAATTCCCGGGATTTCGCGGGACATTTAAGGGATTTGCGTGATTGCGCTAAAAGGAGAAATGTTGATCAAATTCGCGGGATTTCGCGGGACCATTCGAGGGACAAACACGCTACTTGCGGGACAATTAACAGGGTAACCACCAAAGACTTCAGAGAGGGATAATTTTTCTAGACAAAGTGTCCTAAATTCGCGGGATTTTGCGGGACATCCACCTTTTGCGGGATGTCGCAGGACATTCAAGGGATTTTTAATGTAAAAGTACTCTTGAATCAAACTTTCAGATACTGATTTATCAAATATAATGCACTTAACTAAAAGTAAACGTCAACACAATTCCACACAATACGCATAGAACTATTATTAAACTATCATAAACCACGCTTTAGGTGTGAGTACCGTAATCCGACACGAAATTCAAAAATTCTTGTGAATACTTTGCACTTATGGCGTTCGTGAATCGTGACCAACTATGAAACATTTAACCCCATAGTGTAATATATCAAAATGTACCTATTCGTATAGGGGTTCGATTATTCTACATCAAATTATGGGGAGTCAGGTTTCTTTTCGAGATATCAGTGTCCATTTATTGGAACTCGCGTTTGCTAACATTTGTTCAGTTCTGAGATGAAGGCCGTGACACGCGTAGTAAAAAGGCCAACGTTGGAACTAATCGTGACATACATCCCTATTTCCGTAATTAAAATGAAATTTGCACTCTTCCTCTTTATTTTGATACCAAACGGCATGCTAGAAGCCAACTATGGTGTTATTTGGATCAAAATCATAGTTTTATAAGTGTACTATATGCTCCTTCCAAAAGCAGTCTTCGATGATCTGATGCACTGGGAGTTCGGCAGCACTTTTCAAATTAGGTAAACTTGACTCCTCAAAAGTGCAAAAAGCTTAGCTTCTTATATCACAATATAATCACAATTATTTAGCCTCGGGGATTGTTACAATTTTGAAAATTCGCGGAGGTCAAAGCCGTCGTTTGCGGGAATTCGCGGGACATTGCGGGACACGCGAATAAGCCAAATTTTGGTCAAATTCGCGGGATAATCCCGCCATTCGCGGGACACTTGACAGCTCTGAAAGCTGAGCCCATAGAATATACCCCTAGTTCATCCATCTATTCATCAGTCATCCGGCAGTTCAAGAAGTTCGCCATAGAAAAGTTCAGTAAAGTCCTTGAACAATTATATTCATATATTTTGCACTTATGATTGCTTTGAAGAGTGTAAAATTTATTTAATGTATATTAGACTCACTGTCATATTCTTCTTTTATTTTCACAGTTAGAACGATGTGTTGCTGAAGTGCATGAGCAATCATGGCTGGAGAAAATGGAAGTTTTGTCCCTGGATTGCAACGCGGAATCCCAGAATACCCTAAAATATGCACAAATGACTGGAGGGCCTCGACCTATCGATGTGAATGACGCAGGTGTTCAGGGGGCCTTAAAGTTTGCCATGACAACCATCAATGGCAGGTCTAACTCATTGTATAGACATATGCTGACACAGACTGTTGAAGCAACCTCTCAGGTGCAGTGTGCTTCATTAATCTCTTGAATCCCAGGCTCTAAAATCGGTTGAAATCATAGAATTTTTCATTTTTGCCAGCTTTTGGCATTTTACTACATACATACAACAGGTGATGCTTGTTTTAGTAAAATTAGGCGGCAAAGATTATTTCTACACATTGTAAAACAATTTTTATGTAAAGTAGATGAAAATTGTTCAAATAAGAGCAATTTTAGTGAAAATTTTTGTGACGGATTATCTTATCACTCTGGGTTTCAAGGCCATTTCTGAGGTGACGAGAAATCTTGTCACTCTTGGAAGTCAAGAGGTTAATGTAGATGAAGTAGAAATACAGTAGCATCCCCTTTATCATGATTACAATATCTGTACTTTTTGTTGAGGAAACATCTCATGTAAATTTTGACTGAATGAAATAGGTTTGCGTTTCTTGTCATGAAATCAGACTTTTTTGGCTGATTCATAATTTTTTCTTGTTGTTATTTTTATTCATAATGTTACTGTGCATTCAATGTATAGTCTTAATGTACATTTCATGGGCGTAGCGCTATATTTCTAAGTAGTACGCCACCACGGGAACAAGAGTTGAGCGAAGCAAAAAACGGGCGTTTAGGGGGGCTTGGGGGTTCTCCCCCATGAAAATTTTGAAATTTGGTTGTATTTGGAGAGAATTCGCAACCATCTGGTACGCCTGTGCGTACCCAGCGTACTGCCTATGCATTTACTTTCCTATTATTTTGTTTTCAATGTTGTAGTGTTCTCCCCTGCTCTTGATTTTAGGTTGTATCTGGAGCTTTGTATACCATCAAGTTCCACATGGGGCTAAGTGAATGTCTCAATGATGAGGAAACCCAAACTCTGGATGAATGCCCAGTAGAAAAGGACAAGGTACTATCCTGGACCAAGAGTTCAATTCAGTATATTTGATTACAATATCGTAATTTTCATTTGACAATTTCTATGAATTATCTGAAATTGAGATGCCTGTACGATTTAAAGATGGCGCATTGATTTCTTTTGTGTATTATACTAAACAAACTGATCTCACTGCCACCTTTTTAATTATAACAGTGTTTGCTGGTGGTCAGCAATCAGCATCTGTAACAAATAATAGGTGGTGACATTTTGCATATAAATTCCTTGTCCTTGATGATGTGAGTAGAACTATTTCATTGGTTAACCGAAGTACTAATTCTCATCTTTGTTATCTAGATTGAAGAATGCACAGTAAAGGTATGGGAGCAAGCTTGGCTGAAACCGATGTACAAACTCCAGGAATTCTACTGTGACTCAGACGACAAACGCAGTAAACGTGATGTCACCCACATGGATCAAGAAATACACGAGTCAAGCAGGAATATCAACAATAGGGTAAAAATGTTATCTTGTACTTCTTTTTCCTGCACAGAGAAATTAGACACATGTTGGAGACTGGATTCTGATTAGGGCAATGACTTCAATTCTTTGTTTCCTGTCTGGTGAAAATTGCAAATTGTCATGCAAACAGGGAAAAAGACACATAAACCTTTTAAGATATTTCATGATTTCACTTTCATTGCTTTCATTGAATTGATATCTAGGACTATAGTGAGTGCCATATTCTTGTTTATTTCAATTACTATCCACCCAGATGAGCTTTTATGTTAATGTAGAGTTATTAGTAGACATTTTGCTTTAATCATCTGCCGTTGAAACTTCCCCTTGTCATTAATTCATTAAAAGTAAATTCATTCATTTTGGTGGTAAATTTGAATGATTCCCAGGAACATTTTTGTGTTTTTTTGAAAAACAGACAAACCTTGATTGCACACTGACAGAAACAAAGAATTTGAATTCACCATAAAATTTTATCCTTGTGCACACATTAAGACATGTATTTGAATAAACTTGACAATTAATGTAAATCTTTAATTCATGGGGTGGTCATAAACTTATAAAAAATTACTCAGGGAAATAAGAAAAAGAAACGTTTATGTACATGTAAATTTAATAAATATTTATCCTTCTGCTTTTTACATCTTTTAAAAATATTGTTTTTATACAGCCATGGTTAAACTATCCAGATGATGATTTCCATCAACATGTCAAGCAGTTCCACATGTTCAAAGAAAAGTTCAACAAGCAGTACATAGATGAAATGGGTATGTACTTGTACAACCTCACCAAAGTTTCTTAAATGGGCGATAATGGAGTTCTGAAAATTCCTGACTAACCCATATAGCAGTTATTCACCATTAAGGGTTCTTTCCTTTGTGCTTTTTACAAACAAACACTCTTTTATATAATTCCAGTTGCATCATATGAAGCAATGTGTTCAGGATATCATCACAAATTGTAGGAAATCATAAACATATTGCTTCATGATTAACATGCCTTGGAAATCTAAAATGAATGGCATGGGACGCTGAAGTTTATATATAGAAAATTTTGAATTTTCCCAAGACTAATGCTGTTATTTCCAAATGTATGAACCACACATTGTGTGTTTCAGAGGAAGAGCGTAGGTTTAAGATCTTCAGAGTGAACATGAAGAAGGTGAGATTCCTCCAGGAGACAGAGCAGGGAAGTGGCCAATATGGAATAACAGAGTTCGCAGATATTGATGGTATGTACGAGACACCCCCCCCCCATAGAAAATATTATATTTAGGACCACTTTGGACCTCTGAAACCCCTCAGTAAAAACAAATGGGAAAAACAGACATACACTGTAATTTGACATCAACATTTAGTCATTACCCAAAGTAGATTACTTGAGAGCCATTAACTTGTACAAATCATGAATGGACTTCATTTTGTTGACTCAATATGTCATGTTTATTTGATCATTGAACATAGACAATCTACATGAGTTTCATTTTGCTCACAAAAGTGTCTTGTTTCAGTTCATTTGAGACAGGTTGTGAATTGAATTTGTATTTTACCATTTTAAGATTTTTACCTTTACTTTTTCACCATGAAACATATAACATAATGTTTTGTTTCTCTTTTATAATACAGAGGATGAGTTCAGAAAGACACATCTTACCCCAAAGTGGGACCTGAGTGAGAACCACAATCTTGCAAAGGCAGAGATCCCCAATGTTGAAGCACCAGACGCTTTTGATTGGAGGGAACACAATGCTGTCACAGAAGTGAAAAATCAGGTCAGTGAAACTTAAAATTAGGACATATGTGGTGTTGGTAACTTAAGCAATATTTTTGAAATCAGTACATGTACAGGGTGGTCCAAAAAAAATGGGACACTCTTATTTCGAAAATAGCTATTGATTATCTTGATGAAAACATGTCATATTATATACCAGTGGATAGGGAATTTACTCATCTTTAATTTGGTATATCATAAGTTCAAATTTATTTTAATGTCTGTCAACCAGCGTCAATAATATAAAGGACGTCATTTTCGTTTCAAAACAGGTTTTCCAAAAGTAGCAAAAACCAAGTTTTATTGTCAACTTTATTTACATAAACAGATGTTCAATATGTCCACCATTTTGATCAATTGTAGCCCTCAATTTTGGCCTAATTGGTCAATAGCATCATTGATATGCTGTTGAGACAATGAATTTCACTTCCCAATAATTCTGTCCTTAAGGGACTGAATAGATCTTAAGGATTTATGGTATACCGATTCTTTCAGTCCTCCCCATACATGGTGGTCGCAGATGTTGGGTGATCTGGGCGAGGCAGTGATTAAGGGAAATGAATCTAGGCACATTTCCTTTAAACATTTGACACTCTTGTGAGATCTATTGCTTGGAACCCCATCTTGTTGTTAAATGTAATGATTCGAAAATGAGCTCATATCAGGATGGTCCAAAAACAACATAATTGGATCATCCAATGTCAATGTCTGCGACTGGTGCGTATTTGGAGAACTAACAGAATTGGTTTACCATGAACCCCTTACATCTAATTAGTCCCTTAAGGACAGAATTATTGAAAAGTCGAATTCACTGTCTCAACAGAATTCACTGTCGCGTGTCAATGATGCATTTGACCAGTTTAGGCCAAAGTCGAGGGCTATAATTGATCAAAATGGTGGACATATTGAGGTCTGTTTATGTAAATCAAGTTGACAAAAAGCTTGGTTTTTGCAAGTTTCGGAAAACCTGTTTTGAAACGAAAATGACGTCATTTATATTATGGACGCTGGTTGACAGACATTATAATAAATTTGAACTCATGGTATACCAAATTAAAGATAAGTAAATTCCCTATCCATTGGTATATAATATGTCATGTTTTCATTAAGAAAATCAATATCTATTTTCGAAATACAAGTGTCCCATTTTTTTGGGACCACCCTGTATATTCAAAAAAATATTTAAGAGTCATAAAATCTACTTATTTCAGTCTGAGAGAAGCTGTTTTTTCCAAGCAGAAATGCCTTTTCCATATTTTTCAGGAAATAAGATTAGGATTTTAAGCAAGGAAAGCATTGACAGATCATCAGATCAGATCTTCAAAAACTTGTGTCCAATATTTACCACCATCTTATTCTTTTATTCCCCTCTGATTCATTTGGACCTTGTTGGGTACTATTCTTAACCACTAATGAGTTCCATTGAAAGTATAACACATAAGCTAATCCATTGGAATCCAATCTGGCAAATAATAGTCAGAAATATTAACATCTGCAGCTAGTCTACTACCTTTCCTTGGCCAGTGTTTATAATAAATAACAGTCCCTCTGGATAGGAAGCCTGCCCACCATCCGAACGTTCCTGTAGACATGATGACATGGTTACATTTGCTTAAGATTGCCATGTCAACGATGGCTTCATTGCTCTCAGAGAAAGTAACACTTGTTGGTTTGATGTTTTCTTTACACCATTTGATATCATCTGAGCAGACTATAAAGTGCACGTTGGTGAATTTCTCCTGGGTGTATTTCATAGCATTGTTGAAATAGCTTACATGAGGTACGACAAAACCTTGTTCTTCATGTTTAAGAAAATCCCCACGTCTGATGTGTATACCTACAAGTGTGGTATTTAAATTTGGAGTTGCGTTTCTCAAGAATATATTTGCTGCTTCATCGACGGTTTTGCTGAATTTGAATTCTTTACGGATTTCATTTTGCACATTGTTAAAGTATTTATAACTCTGTAAACCACCTGATAGAGTGTAGTTTCTCGTATTGTTTAACTGCATATAGCTGTTCTGAAATATACAGCAACCTTTCTTTAGGCTTACACTTTGAGATGCTATTGGAAGACCAGTGTTTGTAGGAATCGCAGATAAGTGAAAATAACTCCTAAAATCTATTGACTTCCTTGGTACGGATTCTGGCATCAATACACATAGATTATTCTCCCTTGCAATCCCAAATGTTGAGGCATATTGAAACATGATATTTCCAAGTCGTGATCTAAAATATTGGACTCCAATGTACGAACAGTTAATGTTATTGAAGCCAAAGTTTAGTTTTTCTAGCACTGGTTTCTTTGTATTTTTGTGCTCTTTTGATTTGAACATTTCTCTATAAGAAGTTTTGATATTTTTCAAATTAATTTTTTTCATAGTTTTGATTAGATGTATCGTAGGCATGTGTTCCGTTACCTTAAGTCTGTTGATGTAAATGTAGCAGCCTGGTAAACTTAATAATAAAATGAACACAATCAAAATATAATTCCTCTGTAAAGTCATTTCGTAACTGCTTACACCAGCGAAAATCTTTTATTGACAGATCTATACAACTGTGTCTCACTTACGGAATCCCCGTCTCTTTTATCGTCACGTAAAGTATATTTTAGTAAACTTTCCTTAGATCTCATTTCCTCATTTTTAGCTTACATTATATTAGCTATTTTCATCACCCACTTGTTATTTCTTATTTTTAATCTTGATATTATAAAACCATTTATTTTTATTATCCAAACTGACAGCGGCTGACAGATTTCCAATTGATTTTATGATCTCCTGCTGTAGATCCATTGTTTGAAACTGACAAAGCTAAAATGCATGTTTTGATATTGATAATTGTTCACTGTGCCTATTCAAGCGTTTCATTATTCAGAATATCGATATTAAGTATAACAACACTGCAAATTAAAAATGTATGAATACAAGCTAAATAAAACAGATTTTTGTAATATTCAGAGGATATCAATGCAGTCCTTTTACCTACTTGCCTAAAGCCATTAACCAATAACCTAGCTTTACATTTATTAAGTGACTCTGAGGGGTAAAATGTTCATTCACAATGAGACTTGTTATATTACTGCTGGTTAGAGGCCCCATCAGGGGAGAGGGCCTTCTGTTGATTTTTGTCAATATTATGATTAGGAGGCCCAACTGTTATTAAATCAGTATTATTATTCATTTACATAATATTAATATCAGGCGTCCCTTTGGGAGACCTTTTATCATTTTCTTTATTATTCCCCAGAGTTCATAGAGATATAGAGAAGCCATTTATAAAAATGTTGACGGATTTGGTTCAAATTAAATTTTAACTGAATTTGAATTTCAAAATAGCCACCAATTTTGATTGGTGTAATTTTTGATATCTTAAATACCATTTACAGACCAAATTATGGTTCTCAAGGAGGACGAAGGACTTCTGCTCAATGAAGCATTATTCGCAGCTTAATTCAATATGTGAAATTTTCTTCAATAACTCGAATACCAGTTGACGGTTTCGACTCAGATATTATATATGCTAATGCCTAGGGGCAGCTCTGCTCAAGACAAAATTCAAGGTGGCCACTAAATTTCAAAATGGCTGTCATTTTCGAGAAAAATGTAATGTTTGATAACTCAGATACCAGTTAGAGGTTTTTGTTGAACTTTTATATGTTATCTATTTTCATTCTGCTACAATCTCTCCCTCTATCATCTGATCTGATTCAATTAAATTTTTTACAGTACAATTTCTCCCAGTCTAGAGTTGATTAAAGAGAGAATCAGATCTAACGAGCAGGCCAACAAAAAATTGTTCCAATTTTAGAATATTTCTGGCTCATAATATGTCATTCCTTGTCATGTCTATTTTCTAAAATTCCCAAAAGTGCACACTTTATTTCAGGAAAACTAAAGACTTTTACAATAATGTACTATATTTCTATAAGAATGGTTACCATTCTTATTATTTGGGAGAATTTAAACATTTTTCACCCATTTTCGCACTTTGAATCCATGATAACTTCATCAATTTATAACATATCATGAATCTTTTGGGGGATATTGTATTTGATCAATTGTACATATTGCTTGAAATTTTGTCACCCCTATAGATCTGATTCTGCCTTTAATGTTTGTATTTTCAATTATCACCGTGTGTCTTGTTGCTTTCAGGGATCATGTGGTTCTTGCTGGGCATTCTCTACTACTGGAAATATTGAAGGACAATGGGCTATTAAGAGAAGCAAACTTGTGTCTCTCTCTGAACAAGGTATATGACTATTTGTTAAATAAGGAATACTTTTGAATGAATTATGAAAGACGTTCATTCACATTATTTTCTTTTTAAATTGTTTTAGTCTTGTCCAAAAGTAAAATATTGTGATTATAATGTTTAAACTCGATCCATCTAACCTGAAAATATTTTGTTGAAAACAAGCTTTTGATGACATTACAATGTTATTCTTGAATTTGATGAATAGAGCCCTCCAATACAATAAATTTGAATACAATAAAAGTGATGACATTCGTATGGTCTCCAACTTTTCGTGGATTATGTTTGGCTGTTTGTTTTCTGTGGTTGGAGTTCTGTGTCGGTAACAAATGTCACGTGGAGACATTTTGCATGATAATAATGGCTTGTTTGTTTTTGCAGAGCTGGTTGATTGTGACAAGATTGACGAGGGCTGCAGTGGTGGACTACCTTCAAATGCTTATGAGGAGATCATGAGACTTGGTATGTACAAAGTTGCAATTAATATGTATGGTTCAGAAAATTTTAGTTTCGGTTTGAATATCGCAGTTAATTTTGTTGAAGCAGTATTAACATCATCTTTGCACACTTGGTCTTCAGACGTGAACTGAATGAACGAAGATACGAAGATGTATATCCAATTAACAATATGAATTTCTAGCTATACAAATCATCATATTGACATTCTTGATGCATGATTCAGGTGGACTGGAGAATGAGAAGGACTATCCATACGAAGGCAAGAATGACAAATGTGAGTTCATCAGTGGTGATATAAGAGTCTACATCAATGGATCAGTGAACATCTCCAAGAATGAAGGAGATATGGCTGCCTGGCTGGCCCAGAATGGCCCTATTTCTATAGGCATCAATGCCTTTGCTATGCAGGTATGCTTCTTTGAAAATTATATTGAATGTTACATCAAAATACATGAGATATAATCAAATTTTATAGGTGCAGAGGCCCAAACATTAAAAAAAGTCAAAAGAGGATTAAAACTTATGTCTTTGTACTTGTAGTGGCTTGTGAACTTTGTTTGGAGATAATTTTGTTTTCATCAATTTATTTCACATGAAATTAGAAGATAAACACACCTAATTTTACTTGCTTATTTCAGACCCCTTTGACCCCTCCTACACGATTGAAGTGGGGAAGGTCCGGAGAAATGACGCATATTTGACTTATATTTTACATGTTTTAAGTGAAATAAAGGTGATGACGCAGGCATGACATTAATCATTATATGACAACTTTTGACCAATCCATTACTTTGTAACATAATAACAAAATAATCCTTTGTGTTATTAGTTCTACTTTGGAGGTATCTCTCACCCTTGGAGCATATTCTGCAGTCCTGGTAGCCTGGACCATGGTGTTCTTATAGTTGGATATGGCACAAGTAAGTGACAATTGTGTATTATCCAAGGCCTGTATCAAAATTTTGAAATAGGCCTGATAAATAAATAGCTCTAAAAATTAGCATGTAAAGTGTAAACTCCAGATTTGTATATTCTGTGTCCATTTGGTATAAGTCTTACCATGTATAATTACATATGCATATATAGTTGGATATGCCACTAGTATTTGTGACAGTTGTGATGTAAGGCCTATTTCAAAATTTTGAAATAGACCTGACAAATAAGTAGCATTGAAAATTAGCACAGATTTATATATTTGTCCATTGAGTACATTCTGATGCCTATTCTGACCCCTATTCTGACCATGCAAAATTGCATTATGTATATTTATTGTACTGATCTTGTATTTTACCTCAACAGAGAATGGAGAGCCTTACTGGATTGTGAAGAACAGTTGGGGCAAGTCCTGGGGTGAAGAGGTATGTGTTAAGCAAGTTCCTTTTACGACTCATTCATTTGTGACCTAATCAGAGCAACATCTTACAAGACCCTACTATTGTATTGTTTGTGTGCAAGTTATTAGGGAATTGTCTAATAATTATGATCCTGATTTATAGATACAAAAAATCATGGATTTTACAATTGGTGGCTATTACTATTAATGTTTCAACTTGGATTAAGTTCATACTTTAAAGTAAATACTTCCTTAACTTGTTTGTTAATGTTATCTCGAATTGAAACTCAGCCTCAGCTCAATTCAAATTGTGTTAACAACATTGAATCTACTTTGCAGGGCTACTATCTTGTATATCGTGGAAGTGGCGTGTGTGGGCTCAATCAGATGTGTACATCCTCCATCGTCAAGTAATCACAGAAGTCTACACAAATAACTTAATTTCTCCATCCTCACTGACTTTAAATTAGAATGCTTGGATACTCAATTGACTTTAGACTGAATTTACCTCAAGGAGAAATTTTGCAGTGCAGTAAATATTATTAATTGTGATTTATAAAATTAACTAAAATTAAAGTGTCTAAATAATGATATTGGACCTCTCTGTTTAAAGTTAGAGTCAGTAGAAGTGACAGATTCTTGCATCTCTTTCCAAAGACTTGATAAAATTGAACTGATTGCAAAATACACATTCCTAAAATCAGTAATGATTTGATCGAGCCTTTATATGAAAAATCATAGAATGATTGCCAATTGAACAATATAGAGTAAAAGTATGAGCTTTGGTCTTTTCAGAAAAAGTACAAAGTTGCTACAGATCTAACTTTTTACAAATATAGCAATATCACTTAACATAATATATTTCTAACTATGCAAACAGGTTGGATCTTTAGCCATTCTTAAAAATCATTCTTTTTTGAGTAAAAAACAATATTTGTCTTTTTACCGACTACAATTTAACAAAATATGAAGATATTGCATGTACAGGTACATGTATTTGAATAAGTTTGATTCTTACTATAATTGTAAATAGCACCAGATTATAAAAGGAATTTTCAGCCAAGAGATGATCATTAGGCTAATGCAATGTCAAATGTTAATGTCAAATGGATAACAGCTACTTGTGCAAGTGGTATGTGTTTGAACAAATTAATATTTTGTTATACAATGCATATACAAAAAAATATATACATTTATGTGACTTTTATGTTTTTAACATGTCCGAAATGTACATATTTTTAGATGATTTTTTAATATTGTGATTGATGTGTGCATATTTTGACTTGAGTAGGGTAGTCTTGTACCAAGCCCTTGTTTTTTCACCTCCAACAGAAATACCTACACTTTGCTAGTAAAATATTGTATATAATGAGAAACCAGAGACTTGGTACAAGACTGATATAAGAAGGGGCTTAGCTGTCTGTCAAATCTGCTTTGGCTAATCAGTTAATCAATAAAAAAGCTGATTAATATTGTAATCTTAATATTATCCAAGACAACGAATTTGTTTTATCATTAAACACTGGAACAAAATTGGATCTGTTTTTAATGAGTTTTTTTATTATCTCATTTTGTAACTAATAATAATAGCCTACATATTTTATTTTAGAGATCTGTTAAACACAGTAGTTGTAGAGGTTTATCTCTTTTCTATTTTGTAAATAATTTAATATACTTTTAGCACCTTCTCATAACTTTATGACTTTCGGTCTTGTGGCTCAGTAAAATAATTACTACTGCTAAATAAAATGAATAAGATAGTACTACAATATACAATACATTGAAATAAACTGTAAAATAGTTTTAAATATCAATATAAAATAATAAAATATACTTTATATTAGTATGATTTCTCAGTTTCTATATAACAAAATGGTTTAGTTTCTTGATAAATTGTAAAAATAAATGGAAAAAATACAATTGATATAAACAATGTACATAGGTTGTGTTTACACATTACATGGCACTTATGGGCCTGGCCAAAATACCAAATTTTGAAACAAATGGAATTAACATACACAGGGAGATATGCGGAGTACTAAAATAGTACTCATGGCATTTTTGCGCTAATTGAGTACTCATTTCAGCAAATATTAGTACTAAATGAGCACTTATGACATGAGTACTGATTTATTGCATGTTTTAGTACTCAATGAGTGTTCATATGATGAGTGATAAAAATAGCACTAATTTCATTGATTTTTGATTACTCAATGAGCACTCATACTATGAGCACTGATTAAGTGCATGATTTAGTACTAAATGAGTAATCATATCATAAATTAGTACTAAATTAGCACTCGGGGAACGGGTGCTCATGAGCGCGCTTTTGCCAGAGTGCTAATTTAGTATTAATTTTGAACTGTTTTAGTACTCAGCATATCTCCCTGTGTATTTTTAAGAAACCCCACTAACCTCTCCCCTGATGTAAATGATTACTTCAAACATTGGTTTGTTAACCTGCCCTCCAAATACAGTAAAACCTTTGTCGTTGGAACACCATTGGTTCTGCCAAAAAGTGTTCAACTGTATGGTATATATATTTGATTCACTGACAAAATATATGAACTGATCTTTTTAAACAACTGAACACATCTGTATGATCGGAGGCAGACCCTGATATCATAGTGTCAATGCATTGTAATGACTGTTAATTTACACAGGCAATAATTCGAAAAACCATACAAAATTTTGTAGATTTAGTGTTAAACTCAGACAGAGTTTTATGAACTACAGAAGCAAGGTGACATGTAATTTAACGACTGACTTATTTCTCTATTCCTTGACTTATACCTTTATCCCACAGTCTCAATTGACCTGACTTGCACAAGACCAATATTTATAACAGGTAGTTATAGTATTGTATTTTGGCTCTTGGATCAATCCCACATAGCCTAATTTGACCTGACCTACCATCTTTGCAAGCTTGGTCACTGCATTACTGACAGGAGCAGAGTAAACAAAGATGCTGACCTGCATCAGACCATTTATAACATATAGTAGTTATAATGTTGAACTTTGGGTCTTGAATCTTCTTAGATCACTCCCGTAATTATGAATATATGAACAATAAATTCTTTAGATCTATTTTCTGAATAATTTGTGTTAAAATATCAACAGTTGCAGAAAATATATATCAAGCTTACTAGCCTAGTGTACATGATTGAATCTGAGATCTCATTATTCAGCGTTCAATCGCATGTTATTAGGCTTTTACCTGATATTTACTCAATGTCATAGAAACTGATATTATGACATTGACATTAACATCTAGTTAATTAATAATGTATATGTACAATAAAACCTGTTATGAGGAACACCTGCGAGAGAAACACTTCCATAGATAAAACTATGTTAAAATCAACTGTTAATTTAATGTAATTGTATCTCAAGAAATGGGACACTGCCCGAATTAGAATAGAACACCATTTTATTTACCAGAAGTGTTATACAAGTTTTACTTATTTTAGCATAAGGCCTGCACAACTGTTGATATTTCAACATAATCTCATTGTAGCTCCACATATTGTGAATAACTACTGGCACCATCTATACCCAGAGCATATTAGAGAAAGTGGGAACTAGAAAAACAGCAACTCCACAGAGTAGCAAATCCCACCGAACAAAACATATTATGCTTATTATAGCTAGTGTAAATGTTGAAATGTTTGTGTACTTTGTGATAGAAGCATGAAATTTGGCACAAAGTTAGTTTATACCATTGTGAACTAGGCATCATCATAGAATCAAATCCATTCACTGGTATATGAGTTATCAAAGATTACGTTTTTTAAGAATATGGGCCGCCATCTTGAAATTCAGCCGCCATCTTGAAAATTATTTCTTGAACAGAGCTACTGTGTCCCTAGGCATAATCATATAAAATTTCAACCAAATCTGTTCACTGGTATTTGAGTTATCAAAGATAACATTTTTTTACCAAAAATTGCTGCCATTTTGAAATTAAGTGGCCATCTTGAAAATGTTTTGTCGAACATAGCTACTGTGTCCCTAAGCATCATCATATAAAATTTGAACCAAATCTGCTCACTGGTATTTGAGTTATTAAAGATTACATATTTTTACGAGAAATTGTCGCCATTTTAAAATTAAGTGGCCATCTTGAAAAGCTCTTTTTGTGCGAAACTCCTTTGTCCCTAGGCATCAGCATATAAAATTTGAACCAAATCCGTTCACTGGTATATGAGTTATCGAAGATTACGTTTTTTATTATGAATATGGGCCGCCATCTTGAAAATCATTTCTTGAACATAGCTACTGTGTCCCTAGGCATAATCATATAAAATTTCAACCAAATCTGTTCACTGGTATTTGAGTTATCAAAGATTACATTTTTTACGAAAAATTGCCGCCATTTTGAAATTAAGCGGCCATCTTAAAAATGTTTTGTCGAACATAGCTACTGTGTCCCTAAGCATCATCATATAAAATTTGAACCAAATCCGTTCACTGGTATTTGAGTTATCAAAGATTACATATTTTACAAAAAATGGCCGCCATTTGGAAATTAAGGGGCCATCTTGAAATCTCTTTTTGTGCAAAACTCCTTTGTCCCTAGGCATCAGCATATAAAATTTGAACCAAATCCGCAAACTAGTATTTGAGTTATTAAAGATTACATTTTTTAACGAAAAATGGCGGCCATTTTGTCAGAGGCCATATTGAAAATTCCTTCTCGAGCAGAGGTCCTACACCCATAAGGCATAAGCCTATAAAATTTGAATCAAATCCGTGAAACGGTATTTGAGTTATCGCCCGGACAAACAGACGGACGGACAGACGGACGAACGGATGGACGGACGGCTTTCCTATATCCCTCTCGAACTTCGTTCGGTGGGATAAAAATGACTGGCCTTTATCTTCTGTAGAATAACAGATGAACTACAATACTGCCATCTTTATATCAGCCCAAAAGCTAATCTGAAATCGTGTCCATTAAAATATAATTCTTCATCTCTCTTGCTTCTCTTCAAACTCTGGGTACATGTGGTAATATAAGTTAGAGTAAAATAGAAAATGTCATTGTGAAATTCATACTTTGAGCCTTGTATACTTTATTTCCATAAATGTATTTGCATGAAAATTGGTCTTTATCCAAATAATAAAAAAGATCTGCGCTTAAAAGGTACAAGTTCCAAATTGAAAAACTTCTTGCACATTATTTAATTTTTCAAGGTTCAGTAATTACAGAAAATAAGGTTTGTGTCCAGGTCTATTGATTGTTTAACATATTAATATGAAGTGAAGATATATAATGTTATTAGGACATGAAATTCTATCAGAAATCAATTCTCTAAATATGAACCCTCAAATCAACAAAGCAATGTGTTCACAATGACTTTTTCTCAATTTAAATAACAATGAAATATGAATACAATTACAGCGCACATATATACAGATCATTGGCATCAAAGATGAATATTATAGATACATGTAGATAGTATTTAACAATAGACATAACTTTCTGTGAAATATGTTAAATTACATTATATACATAGAGATATTTAGGATATAAGCACTGGTCCCCACCTAGTTAAAAAGATGTCTTTATAACAAAATGACTGAACTTCCATTGGAGAAAATTTGTACGATTTTTTATTTTCATCACAATATCAAGAGTATCCAGTTACTCAAAAGCTAGTTGCGTTGTGTTAACATCCTTGTTTCTAAAGCGAGGAGTTTCTCACTCCTCTTGAGCCCTTGGATGTATATACCCATGACTAATTCATTTTTCAGTAACCAGATGTTACTATTGACAAACTGGTAAAATATTTGGATAAATCAACCTCCTTCTTGGTGAAGATGGTGAAAATAAAAAATTCCTCCAACAGAAGTGCATCCATTTTGTTAAAAAGATGTAAAGTCTTTATAACCAGGTGGGGACAAGTGCAAATGATGTTAGACATAACTTTTGAGAAATATGTTAAATTACTTTATACATTGAATTGTTTATGGCATAATTTATGATTAAACCTCATAATATAACCCTGTAACATGATAGAAAAATAGCAGGGGCTTAAATACTTTATGTACACACATGTATATATTTTGAAATATTTGTGGCTGGCCTTATTTTATGACTACATTCGGCCTTTATGCCCGACTAGTTGTGAGGACCTAAATTACAGGCCATTCTCATTGACATTACATCAAAAATCACAATCAGAGATAACATTGAATTGAAAATGTCAAAGTACAATGTCAACTGACTAGAAATGAACTTTTAACTACAGTATTTATAACACTGAAATGTGATGCAAAAAGTGCATTCTGAGAGCACCTCTATAATATTAAGGAGTATACATGTTCTGACTAGTGAACACATTATCCTTGTTGTTGAACAGCTACAACATGAAATAATCATCAATGTGCATGGAACGAGAAAGTCATGCTGTAACATAATATAAATAAGACATTAACCTGAAAAAATGGTGGCTATAATATAATACCATGTCACCACTCATTGATGGTGATAAAAATGACAAAAAAACTTTATCACTTGCTCAACGAAATAACAACCTGTACAACTTTTCTCCTAATCTTGCTGCTAACCGAGGGTCAAATATGTGTCACTCTCAAATGAAGTCCAGCTTCATTCGGTTTGTTCACCATACAGCTACAACTGTTCAGCATCAACGTCATTGATATCTCAGTCTTGAATTCAGTTATTCTTCAGCATTGAGTTTGAACAGCAGTCATAATATAACTTGGCCATATTTGTTCATTCTCCTCTTGTAAAGTCAGCTGCAAACCTGAAAGATTGTGTGCGATAAAAAAATTTTCAGGTTGATACTTTCACATGTGTATTGTTTCCTTAGAGTTTATCAACAAATAAAAACATTTTACTGAAAAACATGGTCGGCTTCCAAAACCAATGTTCAAAAACATATATTAAACTCAAAATTGTAATCTACATTTTAAGTTTGATAAATTACATTGAATGATACTACCCTACAGTTCTACAACAATAGACACAGAGGTTAAAACTTCTCATGGCCTTTAACCAAATATTCATGGTAGCTGGCATTTGATCTACAGACAGACAAGGTGCTTCAAATAAACTTCACCTGGTATTTTAGAACGATAAAAAAATCAAATCTTGTTTTCTTACCTTGCATATCAAAGCGTGAATTTGACACAACATGTACAGTTTTCACTCTTGGATGAGAGAATTCTGGTGAAGAATCACTGCATGATGAAAGGTACCATGATTCGCTGGAATCGTCAGTGGTGTCTGTTTCAGTATCCTCCTGTGGTGGTGACTTGCACATATGACACTTACGAGGGGACTTATTTGGACCCCTTGGATACCAGTCATCATCTCTTAAGTGGTTCCTTAAAGCTCCTGCATGGTGTTCAGGTCTCTCCCTTCGCCAGATATAGTGATCTCTCTGTATTGCCATAACCTGAAGGACATGTAATTATCTTATTGACATGTTTTTTCAATCGCTCCATGAACACATGCTGAGAAAGAAAAACGTGATTTTTCTTATTTATCAAATGAAGGTGATGAATGATTGTCAATTTTATTATCGCAGATAATACAGCTATATACTACAAAGTCAGCACATCTGCCACGCAATAGAAGAACACAATGATAGCCCTTATGTAATTAGATTGTGCACGATTAAAGATAAAAATCTTTGAGTTATACAATTGATTTACAACTCATCATTGCTGGAGGAAGACAACCGAAGGCAAGCCCCTCGTCTGCCTCATCCTGGCTACACTACAGGATTGAAAAGACCAACACAACTTACATTTCACCTTATTTCTTTACTATCTGCACAAGTTGACTTTAAAACATATGTGCGTTGACTTCAACATGAAATCAAGATAAACAATATTTCTAAAATGGAACATATTGAATCTTAAAGGCAGAATCAGATCTATAGGGGGTGACAAAATTACGAGCACATGTACAATTCACCCACCAATCTATTGCTTACAATTTCAAATTCAATATCTCCCAAAAGATTCACAATATGTTATAGATTGGTGAAGTTCTTAAAGATTCAAAGTGCAAAAATGGGTGAAAAACTTTTAAATTCTCCCAATTATAAAGAAAAATAATACTTTATTGTAAAAATCTTTAGTTTTCCTGAAATAAAATGTGCACTTAGGGGATTTTTAGAAAATAGACATGAAAAGGAATTACATGACACTTCTGATAACTTGTGATGATGATTTTGAAAAAAAAATTGGTCAATTTGAATCAAGATGAAAAAAGACCCTTTTGACCTTTTTGACCTGTAGTGCACTTGTTCAGTACTATCAAAGTATCAATATGTGATTTACCTCTTCACAGCATTTTCTGCTGACAACTGCACGATAATCAATCTTTTGCCAGAACCTGTCCCTCTTGCGTAGAAACCTTGGGTAGTTATCCTTCCAGTTGGTTCCTAGGGCCCATGGGAAAATCTCATATTTAGCATCTTCTTCATCTTCTTCCATGTCATTAGCTAGATATCTGCAACATTGGATTCAAAATGAAGGATTAATAAAAAATGAACATGCACATAATTTATAAACATTATCATTCCAGTTTCGGTTTCATTTGATTGGATTAACATATGCCAGTTCAAATTAATAATAATATATTATTTGGATACAAAAAAATAAAATCCATCTCAAAATCTTTTTGGGTGTAAAATACTTACAATCCAACAAAGAATGTCATTCTGTTGTATTCTTTCACTTCAAGATCTGCTCGTTTAAAGTAGGCAAACACCATTGCTAAAAGATACTGAAAACAAATATGAACATGTTCATATATAAACATTTCTTTAAACTATATTTTTCTTCTGTTCTATTCTGTTCTTTTTGTGTTTGTACCTATATCTACCAAAAATTATATTTAAACATATTCTTACGAAATGGAAAGCAAGTGCCTCCCAATGGTTTTATTTATTTACAGATTAGGTAGAAAGTTGGTCATATCATTATTGTACCTTGTCAGAAATTCTTCTGCATAAGTCCCTCATCAGAAACTCATGGATTACAGTATCATCTGCAACAAATAATTTTGAAAACTTATTCAGTTATTAGTCATTTTGATGGACCTCTATAAACATTATATTTTATTATTTGGAAGCATTTGAATCAAGAGTGAAAAACATTGACACCTGAATCTGCAATGGTTTTTTCCTTTATTACATCTTGCAAATACTATCATGTATCTGTCTGTCAGTGTTCTCTTACTCAGTTCAGAAGTGCGCCAAAACAAAAGTCATGAAGGGATGGATGATATACATTAATCATCAACTGGAGAGAAGATTTCCTATTACCAAAAAATCTAGACACTACCTAAAAGCCTGAAGAATGCTTGCATTTCTCTACTCTTTACAACAAAATTAGGCTTTCTTGCTCTCTTTGCTGGTCCTGCAATATCTCCTCCTATACCAGAATCATGCCTTGATCTTTTTGTATGTATTTTGTTTGTGTTTGGAGTTTCAAACTCTGGAGATGACAGTTCAGAATCTTCTCCATGGTAAATAATGCCATTGTGTTGGAGGGGTAGATGCAGGATATTTTTGGCACCAATATGCTGGATAGATGCCATCATCCTTCCCTGAAGGAAGCAGAGGCAAGTTCCAAGAGCAAGACCAATTTACCAAATCTGAAAGAAAAGATCAAATAAAACTTTTAGTGGAACAAAAGCAAGTGGCTAGAATGAAGCAAACAATATCTAGAAGCAACCCCAGGGGAGCAACTCAGTGATGAATATTTAAATTAAAGACCTTTTTACCAGGTCAAATCTCAAATCTAAAGTCAGATTTGAATTTCTGAGAACTCTTTATGATTTTGAAAAAGAAATTTAGCCAATTTCAAGCAAGTTGAAAAAATACCTTTTTTACCTTGAGAAGGTCATTGAAGGTCAAACCTCAAATCTATAGTCAGATTTGAACTTCTGAGAACTCGTAGATAATTTTGAAGAAAACATTTAATCAATTTGAAGCAAGTTGAAAAAACACCTTTTGACCTTTTTTAATCTAAAGACCTTATTTTGACCTTTTTTAACTAAGGTCATTGAAGGTCAATTCTCTTAATTTAAAGTCAGATTTGAATTTCTGAGAAGTTGTAGATGATTTAGAAAAAAAATTGGTCAATTTGAAGCAAGTTGAAAAAATTCCGTTTTGACCTTTTTTTACCTTGAGAAGGTCATTGACACGCCCGGTGATCGTACAAAATGGATGGAGGGGGGGATTAGGCGATTTCTGCAAGAAAACTCAACAAATTTGGAAGATTTATTTTTTCAAGAGAAAATTTACAACTGAATTGCCAAATGAATAGGCGCAGTGCATGGCAAAATATGTTAGGTCATCTAGTATTTTTTTTGAACTGATACCCTTCAAAGATATGAGATCTATTAAAAAAGGCGCATCATCACCAACGTGCAAAAGTCAATGTTTTTGCTATAAATCGGGTAACAATGGTCTACACGACCTGTAATAGATAGGTACACGGGACATTATTATCACAATACTAATGACATTGCTCACTTTTTAAAGATAGTTTCCATGCGTTATACAAAAAATAATCGAAATAAATTAATATTGGATGGAGGGGGGGAGTGGATGGAGGGGGGGATTTATATGTCTTTACGATGGAACAAATTCACAAGAACTCGTATATTTGAAAAAACTAAACGCAGTACACCAGTAAGAAACTGGATATTATATCTCTGGAGAATGAAAAATGGGAAAATTTGGAGTCATAAGAATAAATTCAAAGTCTAGCATGTCTTACATACACGTGATCCCCCCCTCCATCCAATCCCCCCCTCCATCCAATATTAATTTATTTCGATTATTTTTCGTATAATGCATGGAAACTAACTTTAAAAAGTGAGCAATGTCATTAGTATTGTGATAATAACGTCCCTTATATCTATTTATTACAGGTCGTGTAGACCACTGTTGCCCGATTTATAGCAAAAACATTGACTTTTGCACGTTGGTGATGATGCGCCTTTTTTAATACATCTCATATCTTTGAAGGGTAAGCTAGAGACTCGAGTAACGTATATATGTCTCTGGTCTAGGCCTAATGGTTATCCTCTGGGATCCTAGGGTATCTTCTAAAATGTTAGCCAAATCTTTTTGATGATCTGACTCAAAGCAAAAATCAATAGAAAGTGACTTTTCAAATTTTCCGGGTGAATTTAGCAACAAGATCAGATTTTACTATTTGGTCTCTTATGATGGCATTCTAAAGCTCAACCAGTTTTAAGTTTTGACCACGATCAATCTCATAACATATGCTTACCTATATTTAGATGGGTTTAGACGATGGAATATCTAAATCTAACGTGGAGAAAATTTTGAGAAACTTCCCCGGAAACTTCGTCTGCAACCCTGTCCTCATTTTCATATTTGGCGGGAGTTGAAACTATTGGCCAATCAGTTTTCGACACGGCCGGAACGTCCCATATATGGTTAGCTTATCCTTATTTGGAATGCCAACTTGTACAGCAGCCATATTGGTTTTCGTTCACAATATTTGAGGCGATGCAAGTTATTTCATCGAATATGAAGTCCCTTTTGATGACTGCAGCCAGTATTCTACTGACGGGTTTAGTGGTTGGCAATGCGTATTACCAGAAGCGTCAATTTTACCCGTCTGTAGTCTACATAACCAAGTCAAATCCGAGTATGGCGGTGAGTTTTGAAAAAAAAAATTTTTTCAGAAAAATTCAGTGTTTTCATTTTGTTTTGAATGTTTTTGTTTGCCACCAGGTTTAATGAATGTCGTTGCTATTTACCACACATTATATATATCTATTTGTATGTATATTTACATTTTTGCTGGTAGACTAAGTGACACTTGCTAATAGGGTGTTTTCAACATCACAACCGTCATAGAGTTCAACTTCCCAGATATAAGCAGGACCATACTTATCCCGTGCCAGGACTATAGTCCTGGACCGAGCGCAATCTTTTGCCTGTACGATCACAATAGATTCCTTGGTACTTTAGCATTCTTTTCGTGTAGTTGAATCCACAATTGTCTGGGTTTATCGGCAGAACGAAGAAAATTTGGTTTTTGATCGCAATATTTGCATGTAATATTTAACTTATTTCAACCGTCAAATTCTTCCATTTATTGGTACTTCCGGGCCAGTCAAACGGGGAATCCCCTTTTAAATCCAACCACCATCTTGAAAAGTGATGGAATCTCTCTCGATGAAAAAGAAAAATGAAATACCGATATACCCAGACAATTGTGGATTCAACTACACGAAAAGAATTCTAAAATACCAAGGAATCTATTGAAGTAGGTATCTTAAGTGTAAGGGGCGTAGATAATTCTCCCAGGTTGTAATCGTACAGGCAAAAGCAGTGATCTCCCCAGGATTTTTTGATAGCAGGGGGGGATTTTTTAACAAGTTTCGCCGCTGCGCTTGCATGATTTTTGATGGGTCAATTTTTTCATCACTTGCATCACTCGCGTACTTTGTCAATACTGTAGATACACTTAATTTGACGCTACTTAATTTGGCGGATTTGCTCAATTTCAAATATTGGCGGCTATTTATTTTGGCGGATTCAGGACTGAGTTTAAGTTTTATATTGATCTGGAAATAAGCATTTCAAATTCATGTGTACAACTTACAGTACGTCTTGGTATAGCAATGGAATCTAAATAGGAGGGTGAAAACAAGTGAAATCTTAGTTTAGTTTCAGTGATTTTGAGATTTTCCAAAATACACCTGAAAATTGGCGGATTTTTAATTTGGCGGATTTTTTCAATCCGCCAATCCGTCTAGTTCGGCTAATAAAGTGTGTGGCCTCTTATATTTTGATACTTCTCTGCCATAGTATTTTCAAAAAGATTAACATGGCTTAAATTCTTTAAATTACAAGATGGCACAGGCTTATTGCACAAAAAACTAAATACTGTAATCTGAAATATACAAATGTCATTCATGTACATTGTAACAATATGAATATACTTTTCCATATATTATTGTACAATGGTCTCCTGATTTCCGACACTACCGCTGAGCTATAAGAGCTTGGCACTAAAGCTGGGCTGTAGTAGCAAGTTGTTAACAAGGGTCATTACAAGTGGAATTCCCATATTTAGTTTATTCTAGGGTCTCGGAAGTAAGTCGAGAGTCCATGTATACCATTGCAGCATTGCAGAGCCTGAATGTTCAATTAAATGTAGGAATTTGCAGGTTTAATTAAAACGTACAATTAAGACTCTACCAACAAGAATTGGAGAATAGGCCGCAATTTGCAACTGAAAATCTACAATGCCAATATGATTGAAAATCATTTAAATATGTAGTGATGTTTAAGCATTACTATTTTTCCTCCAGGTGCTGTATATACAAGCCTTTGTGTGTGTAGTCCTTGCAGGAAAGCTGATGAGGAAAATATTCTTTGGTCAACTTCGCGCTGCAGAAATGGAGGTACAATAACATTGTAATTTATGATATATTGTAAATAGACCAAAGTGTCATAGGGTAGGGGGTATACATATGGCAATGTCAATCAATACCAAATGTCTAAAAATAGATCCACGTGTCCTGGGGAATTGTAATATGGAACGTGGCCATGTAGCCAATAATTGACAAAAATGTAATTGATCTAGAATCTAGATATCAACTCATTAATTTTGCTCAACAATTGGCACACACTGTTGAAAACGCTCTTTTAAACTAATGTCAGAAATATCAGAATAGTTTTTTAGCCAACAACAGCAGTTTTAGTTGTGGCATCTCATTAAAAATTTCATGAAGAAGCTCACTCCATAGGTGGAATTTGGAATTTTACATTGTTTGGCCTAAAGATGGGATTTATTTTGGCATTATTTAGGTTCTGCTTCATGAAATAAGAACACAAAAGCCTTTGCTTTCAATACATGGGGTCACATGTAACAGTTAGCATATGGTATAATGGCTAGAGCATGTCAACGTTATGCATCTTCCATGTCTAAGTAAGTTGTATTTATATTTCATTTTCAGCATCTCATTGAGAGATCATGGTATGCAGTAACAGAGACATGTCTGGCATTTACAGTGTTTCGAGACGACTTCAGTCCAAGATTTGTCGCTATGTTCACCCTGCTCTTGTTTCTCAAGTGTTTCCATTGGCTTGGGGATGACAGAGTAGATTATGTAAGTATAAGTGTGAACTAAGATATTTACGAGGCTTTTTGTTTCACTCTCGATATCAATATTATATTGATATTAGAAAATAATGATTAAAATATCACTGTAATAGAAAGTTTTACCTCTGAGACTCCACGGCTATCATGTTAGTTAATATTTTAGAATTTTTACGTTAATTTTATTATGTCACCACCACAAGTCTACAACTTTTTCGTAAACGGTGTTTGATGGTTGGTGTTCAGCAGTCGGTGTCTGTAACAAATGGCATGTTGTGACATTTTGCATGTTAATGTCTTGTCATTTTTACTGTTACTGTACTACTGTTTTTTTCTAGATGGAGAGAAGTCCTGTAATCACAATAACTTTCCATCTTAGAGTTCTGTGTAAGTATGCACGGCTCTTGTCAAATTTTTCATTCTTTGTAAAGTTAAAGCCCGTGTAATATAATCATTGTTACTTTATTACTTTAGTATATGTTATGTAAAGCGTAAATTTAAAGAGTACTATGGACTACTATGAACAATTTACATGAACAATTGCGTTTTAAAGTATTATTTCATTATTTTTATCTACCACTAAAAATGTTAAAACCTGTCCACATAATCCATTCTGCATATTATTAGTAAAATTAACAATTTTTTATTACCTTTCCAGCATTATTGAGCCTGCTGGGATGCCTTGATATGTATTTCATTAATCTGGCCTACTACAGTACATTACTGAAAGGGGCCTCTGTTCAGCTGGTCTTTGGATTTGAGGTATACAAGTTCACATATTATATCAATAAGAAATATTTGAGTTGATAAACTAAGTAGAAAATAACTCTGTGACAATACATAGAGCTCAAGTGTAATACTGGGTGGCCCGAAAGTAGGTTTACAGTTACAGTTTACAGATTGCTGAATAATAACTGTAAACCTACATTTTGGCAACCCTGTATAATGTTTGATAGTATTTTTACGCAAAATGATCAAAATTGGATTAAAATCATTAAACATTATTTTTTACAATACATGTATATGTACATGTTTTTACTTCTCTTGCAGTATGCTATCTTACTGACTGTTATCCTAACTATACTAGTGAAATATGTGCTACACACCATAGATCTACAGAGTGAGAATCCATGGGAAAACAAGGCTGTATACCTGCTTTATACTGAGTTACTGACAGGTGGGATATGTACAACTTTTTATGAGTCATGATCAAAATTTTGAATACAAAAACATTAGATTAGGATACATTGTTTAAAACTTAAATTCTTAGAATATAAATATAGGTAGCTACCCTGCGTGCAGAGTCTAGTTAAACTACACTCTGCCTAGTAGAGACCATATTACAGTTTAGTAGCCCCGCCCCCACGACGGGTACCGGTGACAGTTTAAGTAATAAATCACTTCTGACCTATGCGCAGACCTTTCTTCCACCATTCAGCGAGCTTGAAGAAACACGCCAAATGCGTTCTAATTAAATATGCGCATGTCATTGGTCAATTCCGGGCTCAACGATGACGTCAGAAGGAATGACCATTTATAGAACGTCGGTCAAATTTGGCCGACGAACACTGATTGGCGCGGTGAGTTCACAGGTTTATTTTAGTTTGAAAGAGTGAAGACGAAGCTCTCTTTTAAGAAGTGAAGTCAAACGAATGCAAAGGGTAATAGGTAGCTACAGTGTATATAGATATAGCCATCAACTCTGAATTATGAACAACTAGTTAATGAAAACAATTTTTTTAAGAATTTTGAATTTCTTAGATTTTTGAGTCAAAATGTTACCAATTAGAATTTTACCCATTGCAGTTATGGTTTATTTTGATTTAAAATGTATATGTTCTTTAATTGTAGGTTTCATCAAAGTGATTCTTTACATGACCTTCTTCATTATAATGGTGAAAGTACACACATTCCCGCTGTTTGCTATAAGACCCATGTATTTGACTATGAGGTAAGAAGATCCCTGTTTGCTATAAGGCTATGAGATGAATTTATCGTTACTAGGTTTTGTCTATCCACTTGACACAAGAAATCTTTACTCACATATGCCATAGAAGTCTGACATGTGAATTCAGTTGGTATTAATAAGTATAATTTGTGCTAATGCCACACAAATATACATGTACCTTATATAGTTCATTGTTTTATGATTTAGCCTATAGAAATTTCCCCTTGGAATAGTACAGGAGAATAGGTGCACAAGCCCATCAGTCAAAAATGATTTTTCATTGATACACCAATTTTCCCCTTCAAACAATATTTTGATGAAATATAAAGGTTATCAATGATAATTTCTGCATAATGTTATGTTTGTTTCAGACAATTCAAGAAGGCACTGAATGATGTCATCATGTCAAGACGTGCAATCAGAAATATGAACACTCTGTAAGTATTCACTACATGTCTCTATGGTGAACCCATTTTAGTCAATTATAATGGTATGTTTAAAACAATTAGTGCTTGGAACAGTAGTGAAAAGTGGTCAAACTCGAATCGTTGTTGGTAATGCAGTATCACCTCCCACCACTAAAAACAATATTAAACTCGAACATGTCTGATTGCTTTGGATGTTCACCTGATATCTGATTACAACATACAGGGTGTGCCAAAAAAAATTGCAACTTTTTTAAATGGCTAGAAAAGTATCATAACATTGGAGGTATTGACTTACAATTGATGAGATGTTGATACCTTAATGTTATAATACTTTTCTAGCCTTTTGAAAAAGTTGCAGTTTTTTTTGGCACACCCTGTAGTTGTAATATTATGTGTTTAAAGGTACCCAGATGCTACACCTGAGGAACTCCAGTCTGGTGACAATGTGTGTATTATATGCAGAGAGGAGATGGTCTCGGGTGCTAAGAAGCTGCCATGTAATCATATCTTCCATGCAAGTTGTCTACGATCTTGGTTCCAACGTCAACAGACCTGTCCTACTTGTCGTATGGATATCCTGCGTCCTACTGCTACCAGGCAGAACAACCAGCAAGCTCAGCCTCAACAACCACCCGCTCAACCTCAGCAACCTAATAGTAAGTCTCGGAATAACGAAAAATGAAATTAAAATAAGAAAATTTCAAGAGAAAATCTAAATGGAGTAAAACGTGCTTGTGGGAGCATTTCGTGTTCGGCGTTTGGCAGTCGGCAGTTGGCGTCTGTAATAAATGACAGGTAGTGATATTTTGCATGTTAATGCCTTGTTGATATAGTGGTGAATCATTCGATTCCATGAAGTAACTAGCATTGTATTTTCAGTGAATGGTTTCCCGGCTCCTTTCCCAGGATTCCCCCAGTGGCCTCCACAGCATCCAGCGCAACCTCCAGGTAAAACCCTAAATGGCTAATAAATTAATACAACCCACTTAACTTGCTTTAAATAATTTATAGCAACTGTCAGTTACAAGATACAAATAATTTTATTTAATATGAATAGTGACCCGAACCTAGAGGCGAGAATCTGTTGATTCGATTTGATTTGAAAACTCTATTTATTCTGGTTAGTTATAGATTCTTCTTTAGCAAATATGGATACACTCTACTATGTTTTGTGTCTAATACACAATTGCATGAAATCTTAGTTAATTGATTGCAATTGTAGCTGCTGCTGCTCCTCCTGCCTCAACTGGTCCAGCTTCACCAACATCTTCTACAGCTGCAACTACATCAACACCATCAACAACAAGTACAACACCAAGTGCTGCACCAATAGACCCAAGCTTTGCATCATTCATGCCACCTCCTTCATTCATGATGAATCCTTATATGAATATGGGCTCAATGCCATTTGGTAAGTATTACAACAAAAAGGACTTTTACATTGAGCTGATCGAAAACAGATCTCTAGATTGTTAATGTTTTAATAATGGAAGTGATAGCAGCTGATGGCTGATGCTATTAATCACTGAGCAAGAATTGGGACACAAAAAGGAGTAAAACAGCCAATGAGGAATGAGGGAACAATAAGAAATTTCACAAAAAAATTGCTTGACGTTTTACAAAGTCAAAAAATCAATAAGAGATTTCACAAAAGATGTCAATAAGTAAAGCGATTCACACTTGAAATGAACACATTCTTTCTCCCTTGTGCTGCCATGTTCCATCTTTGTTTATTCTTCTCATTTTTTATGTAGGTGTAGCCCCTCCAGCACCACCCCCTAACTTCGCTGGAATGACAGATGATGAGCTACATGCTATGGAAGGCCAAGAGAGGAGCAATTTAGAGGCCAGGATAGAGTGTCTTCGCAATATACAAACATTGCTAGATGCTGCTGTCATACAAATGAATCAGTATTCAAGTATTGTTAGTAATCTAAGGTAGGTGACTACTAGGTGTGACATCATTAACAAAATGTGACATCATAACACTGTTTGGTGTCATAGACAGAGTGTCATCTTGAATCCATTTGTATTTGAAGATAATATGCTGATGTTCTTTTGTCAAATATGTATTTGTGATTTTATACAATATCTGAAAATAAACACAAAGTTATACATTTTATGTCATCACCAACTTTTTGTGGTCAGAAGCTGGTGTTTGATGTGTGGCATATGTAACAAATGGCATCTGTAACAAATGGCAGGTGGTGACATTTTGCATGCTAATGCCTTGTATATATTTTGCTCAGCTCCACTACAATGACATCTTGGAGCTCATATACCAATATTACCAATTTACCAATATATTTATTTCTTCATGTTCTTGTAGCTCAACTCCAGCATCATTCACTGCTACAACTAGTGCATCATCAGCTTCTTCAAGTGCAACTTCTTCCTCTAGAACACCAACTACAACATCATCATCTTCAACAAGTAAACTCTCAACTTCTGCAAGTTCTTCTGGGACATTAACTAGTACTCCTGACTTATCACTTCCAAAGCCACTTACTACACCAGAAGATGAAGAATTTAATAGGAAACATAGATCTCCAAAAATAGGTGAATATTTTTTCGTCATTTTTATGTCAACACTACAAGGTGTCATGTTGTTATAGTCTCCAATTTTTTAGCAGTAAAGTATATTCAAAACATGCAAAGCCTTGTTCTTGTTGGGTTTCAGGGGGAGGAGATACAAGGGCTTAGCAAGATTAACATTTGGCATTTAGCATCTTTAACAAATATATATACGCTGAGATAATTGAACCTGGGTGATGATATTTAATTTTACCGTGTTCTCTCCAGAAATTGATACAAGTAGAAATACCTGCATTGTATTTGTCTTGCAGATTTACCGCCTGCTGCCAAAGTCGCTAAACAGCAGAGTGATAGCAATAGTACCATAAAAGACAGTAATAAGCCAGATACTGACATTCCAAGCCCTGAAAAGCAAGAGCAAGATGAGGTCAGGAGACGAAGACTCCAAAGATTTCAAACGGAAAATACTCCAAAGGATAACCTTGAATTGGATTGAGATCCACAATCAGGATTATTTATTAAAGATGTGGAATATATGTGTACATATGATATAAGAGATATATTTTTATGTTGTTTCAAAAATGTGCAAGGTCATCGAACGTGCAGTGGATTGCTATGAGAGAAGTTATTTCATATTCAGCGCTGACATCTTTTTTATTTTCCTGTTATCAATTACAATGAAATCCAATGCAATCGGTTGTATTGAGATGCTGTTAGTTTTGAAAGTTTCTTTGATGGGAAAAATGAGCTTATAAAGTCTCAAACCACTGACCACCTTCCCCTTCTTACTTTATGTCAGAGGAGAGAAGGGGGGTAACACATATTGATTAAATGCTTATCGTTAGCTGACTCAACTACATTATTTGTGATACATACATCTGCTATGACTATCAGAGGGAGCATGTGTAGAATCTTTGTTCTTATGTCTTTCAATGTGATGATGTGTGATAACTATGAAAATCAAAAGCATGCTACTTCTTTGCTGGCAAAATGAATATTTAGTGAAGTACCAGTGAAAATTAACAGACAGATGTGTATAAGAACAGCAAAGAGGACAAATATGTATAAGAACAGCAAAGAGGACAAATATCTATAAGAACAACATTGTACATGTATAATGTATTTGTGTCATGATATCACCATCCCCTGAACACAATATACTACCTCCTTGGAAGAAGGAAGGAACATAAATGCATGATATCTAGGGCCCTGCATTCAGAGGATGCTTGATATCTAACTTATCTTTATCTTTGATAAGTACATGCTTTGTTAACTTGCATAGTGTAAAGGCATATGTTTTTATGGTGCAGCCTAAATTTAAAGTGAAATTTTCAGTATTGAAGTTTGGAAGGCATGTTTGAACTTCTGTCTGCTTATTAAACTGACAGGATGAATGATGAAAAGAAAATTCTCAACAACAATGGAAAAATAAATTAAGAAAGATCAAATACTGTGATTCCTAGCCAATCTTAAAGCCTGAACATTTGGTAATGGGACCCTCCCCTGTATCACCTCTGTATACCCTGTGTTCACTCCACGAGGTTTCATGATTATATTCATTTTTAGCTAGATTTTATGTTTACAAATCAAGAAACAGTTTTTCTTGAGCAGTAATTCTGTACTCAGTGTTGGTTTACTTCATAAGAGCTAAACATGTTTTTGTGTTTCATATTTTGCAATTTTTTTGCTGGTTCGCTTAAAGTTGACAAAACAAAGCATGACAGCAATGCTATCTTGCTTCTAGACCCTGGACCCCCCCCCCCCCCCCCCATTGTTAAAGGGGGTCTAGAGTCTTGAAGCATGAAGCAAGACTAAAGCAATGCTAACAGTGGGGGATCCACTATTCATTTACTTGAGCTAACATCCTTATTGTACCTAAGTGCTAATGACCAATGGACATCTAGTAAACTGTACTACTGTGGAATTCTAGCCCATGTATTGCAATTAAGTGAAATTCTGTCTTCTGAAAACAACTTGAGAACAGTTTGTGTTATTAATTCAAATACATGTATATTCCATCTCACTGTTTAGAATTTGATAAAGCTGCATGGAAATGCATTGGAACATTTAAAATAAATTTTAACTCGGATGTGGAATATATTTGAATTAATGACAGTTAACTATAGTGATGAAGATCTATCTAACAATTTGAGTGCATTTTCTAAAAAAAAACTAAAAAGTGAAATATCTCATTCTAATGAACATAGAATATCTTACATGAGATGTCAGAAGAAATTATGGTTTCTGGTACTAAGATGAGCAGAACTTGATATCATTAACTGCCAATATCTTTGGTATCACATAAATCTTGTATATCAATCAATCTGGTTTTTAGGCCAAACATTGAAAAAGTCAGAATTTCAAGGAATTGCACCAAATTGAGATTTTATCCGGCAATAATTAGCTTCAGTTCTATGAACTGACAAAATGATTTATGTATTTTGAAAAATGTAAAAACAATAAATTGGTATTTTAAATAAAATACTATAAAATGCATTAATTATGTATTGTTAGATTTCGTGTAGATTTATTATTATTTCCTGTTCCTTTAACTAGTGTGAATTTACAATATATTTGACTTGGAATTGATTGATATGAATACAAATCCTATCATGTTGGTATGTAAACTACAGATCCATATTTCATAATTGTACCCATGGAAATAGAATTTATTTTATCAGACCAAAAATAGAGAAATGTCAAATAATGAAATTCCAAGATTGTGTTAAAGATGCAGTCTTGGTGGATTAATAGTGTACATATTTCTTCAATTATCCTATTATAACCTTTATGCCAATTTGACAAATTGCAATTTTCACATCTGAACGTAGGTCTAGTTGGGCAATTTTTAGACGGACAATGTTTGTGCATGATGTAAGCATACCAGCCTATATATCGAAGGATTTAAGCCTGAGACTCAATGCATTGTGAATGATTTAATTCACTAATGTGTTATTTCCAGACCTTTGTTCGAGTGACACAGCATGAATGTTATGTCTAGGAAACAGCGCATCAGTGGATTAAATCATCCACAATTCATTTAGTCAAATGCTTAGATTTGCTAGCAAGGGTTGTATATATTTTTGTTGTACAGTGCATCTTTTGTGTAGTTTTGAAAAATAATTTATACTTTTGCACTGTTGATTTTGTTCACCATTGTTCAGTGAATAACCTATTGATAATTAGTGGCACACTCTATGGGCATTTCCGTAAGGGGACAATTTTGTCCTATGAGGCCTCATGCATCTTCTCAGAAAGAAAATCAACCTTGATGCTTTTAAAACTACAACCAATGGAATTTTCATAAACAGCTAAACAATTAATAAATGAATGTCGACTTCTAATTCTGCTATTGATCTATAGGAAAAAATTTGGTCTAAATCTGTCAATCTGGTGTTCAAGTTATCACACAAACAGACAGACAGGTGTTCAAGTTATCACACAAACAGACAGACAGGTGTTCAAGTTATCACACAAACAGACAGACAGGTGTTCAAGTTATCACACAAACAGACAGACAGGTGTTCAAGTTATCACACAAACAGACAGACAGGTGTTCAAGTTATCACACAAACAGACAGACAGGTGTTCAAGTTATCACACAAACAGACAGACAGGTGTTCAAGTTATCACACAAACAGACAGGCAGAAGGGCTGAAGAACGGCCAGGTTTTCTTTATCTCTACCCAAACATCAGAGGGGAAATACAATTCTTAATAATTTACACTATTTTGGTACGAAGTGTGCAAACTGCAACCAGGCTCCAAGTGAACTGGCTGTTATTGCTATATTGATTACAATGTTGCTAATTATTTGCAGCAACAATAGGAGTTGGTTGCAGTGATGTCAGGAGACTGGTTGCAGTTTACAAGGACCAATTTTGATATTCTATTTTTATCAAGAATAACAGTTGGTCTGCCTCTTTAAACTGAATTGAACCAAAGTGCTATGAATTCCTTTAAAATACCTCAGTAAGAAAGCACACCTAGTTGATTTGTGTACTTAGGGGTAGAATATCAAAATATCAGATGATATGATTGATTGACTGATCTTTAGAAGTAACATAGTGAAGTGGATTCCCACCTGAGGGACTGGACCGGGGGACCATCTCAATATGCTCCCCTATACCTGGCTGAGAGGCTTCTCCTGAAGAAGCTGATGGGAACTAGGCCTACTTAACTATAACATTATGAACCATCATATACATGTTTCAGTTCATTTTAAATACTTGGTCTCATTTTAAAGTGTTTTGGATTCAATAGATGTAACCAACTCAGCTGTGTTAAGATTAAGCTAAGTTATAATAACACAACAATAATTTCACCTCACCAGTGATTTATCTTTAAATGATATACCGGTATGAAGAATAATTCTACTGATTCTTTGACTCCCCTTGCTATGAGAATTGAGTGCTTATGTAAGTATGACAAATCTATTTTTACTCTTCATGTGCATCTATGCATACAGTGTAACAGGAGACTTCAATACTTATTATGTCACCACCACAAGTGATGACATATTGTTAGTCTCTTTTAACTTTTTGTGGATGCTGTTCGACGGTTGATTTTCGGTGGTTGGTGTCTGTAACAAATGGGAGGTAGTGACATTTTCCATGTTGATACCTTGTTACCTTTGTTCTAAGATCCATCATCCCTGATTCAGAGTTCAGTGCCACCCCTTCCCTATAAATGAATTCTTCACAAGTTGTGGGATCCACAGTCTGTTTTATCCATTGGAATAGACAAAATGACAAGTTAGTGAAATGTTTCAACGTTCCCCCAAAGTATGACAAATCTATTTTTACTCTTCATGTGCATCTATGCATACAGTGTAACAGGAGACTTCAATACTTATTATGTCACCACCACAAGGTGGTGAGATATTGTTAGTCTCCAACTTTTTTCGACGGTTGGCATTCGGTGATCAGTGTCTGTAACAAATGGCAGGTGGTGACATTTTCCATGTTGATACCTTGTTACCTTTGTTCTAAGATCCATCACCCCTGATTCAGAGTTCAGTGCCACCCCCTTCCCTATAAATGACTTCTTCACAAGTTGTGGAATCCACAGTCTGTTTTATCCATTGGAATAGACAAAATGACAAGTAAGTGAAATGTTTCAACGTTCCCCAAAGGTTCCCTTCAAGTTTCCCTACATACTACTAAGGTTTAGTGTTGGCTTCTTATATCAGATGCAGTCAAGCTAATGGAAGAAATCTAATAGGTTCACTCAAAACACTTCTTTGATCTTTAACTAGGAATTAAGGAAATCAACGTTTAAATTAAGCTGATACTTGGAGATGATTATATTCCAAGTTAAATACACGAAAACACCCTCCTTAGTTTTCTGGGAGTAAACAGGTACAAAATCTAAAAGTGTTTAAATAACTGCGTTCATCGTGGAGTGGTGTAACTAATGTGTACAATTGTATGTTAGAAAAACAATATGTACAATGGTGTGTTGGAATAGCAGTATGCACAATTGTATGTTAGAAAGATAATATGTACAATGGTATGTTGGGATAACAATATGTACCATGGTGTGTTAGAATAACAAGGTGTATAATGGTGTGATAGACTAACAATATGTACAATAGTGTGTTAGAATGACAATATGTACAATGGTGTGTTAGAATAACTATATGAACAATAATGCATTAGAATAACAATATGTACAATGGTTCATTAGAATAACAATATTTACAATGGTGTATTAGAATAACAATATGTACAATGGTGTGTTAGAATAGCAATATGTACAATGGTGTGTTAGAATAACAATATGAACAATGGTGTGTTAGAATAACAATATGTACAGTGGTGTGTTCGAATAACAATATGTACAATGGTATGTTAGAATAACAATATGTACAATGGTGTGTTAGAATGACAATATGTACAATGGTGTGTTACAAATTAAGGTTTGCTAGAATAACAATGTGTACAATTGTATGTTAGAAAAACAATATGTACAATGGTGTGTTGGAATTGCAGTATGTACAATTGTATGTTAGAAAGATAATATGTACAATGGTGTGTTAGAATAACAATTTGTACAATGGTGTGTTAGAATGACAATATGTACAATGGTGTGTTAGAATAACAATATGCACAATGGTTTCTTAGAATAACAATTTGTACAATAGTGTGCTGGAATAGCAATATGTACAGTGGTGTGTTAGAATGAAAATATGCACACTGGTTTTTTAGACTAAGAATGTATATAATGTGTTAGAATAACAATATGTACAATGGTGTGTTACAATAACAATCTGTACAATGGTGTGTTAGAATGACAATATGCACAATGGTGTGTTAGAATGACAATATATACAATGTTGTGTTAGAATAACAATATGTACAATGGTGTGTTAGAATGACAATATGTACAGTGGTGTGTTAGAATGAAAATATGCACAATGGTTTTTAGAGTAAGAATGCGTAGAATAATACGTTAGAAGAACAATGTTCATTTGTCTAGATTATGTTTTGTGGCTAGTGAATCGTGCACTTTTGTTCAAAATCATATTTTCTGAAATGTTCCATGAATTTTTCTTAAAATATAATACTTCTTATTTTTGTTTTTTGAGATATTTGGACAATGTAATAATCAGATAAGTTTTGTAACCATTCTTTCAACTTATGATCACCAGCTTGATAAGTCCCTTTTATATAACCGAGTCTCACTTTGAAAGAAATGCGCCTTTTGATCGTATTTCACTTTCAATTGAGTATTCATGAATATTTATAAAAAGAATATTGTCACATTGTAAAGCACGATCAGCTGTTGTACTACGAAGAGATTTAATGACTCTGGAATGTAGTAATTAACGTCCAAGTTAAAGCCTGTTGCCATATATGGTACCTCATAAACTGTCAATATTCCCTCTGGCCTTTCAACAACCGCCAATTTCTCTCCAAACCTTGCACTTGGTACAAAGTCAAACCCGTGTATGAACGTATGAACACTGGATTGATGTTTTAGGAAGTTTGGAGACGCTAAGATTCAAATCTTTGACAATCTTGATGTGGTTGACCAAGAAAGGAAGCACCGGAAGAAATATATGGATACAAAGTACCTGACTTGCCGCAGATTGGGCATGAGGCTTTAAGGATAACGCGATTAGCTTTAATGATATCGATTAGTATAACACTCTACAAACAGCACGCGAATGGGGTTGTAAAGGGCTATCTTTAAAAATCGCCGAAAACTTACATCGCGATCTTGCTAAATACCAAGATAGGACAGTTTGAGCATTTGGTTTCTTCAGTCGTGTCATTTTACCGTAGAACTTCTAATTCTGCAGCATGTAGTATATACACCTGGAGAGCCCGTCTTTATCAATTAGAAGTTATCAGGATCAAAGGCGCGGACGCGGAGAACAAGCAACAGCGCAATTCAATCCACTAATTCAAGATACGCGTACAACCAGCATCTAAACACAAACACAATTCGTTCTGGTGAGCTGAGGACGCGTTTGATCATAACACCAGAACACAACGGAGATACATTCACTTGTACGTGAAAAAAATTGAAGTCACATAATGGATCAAAAATTAGAGACCTGAAGTTGCTATGGAGATTTACAGGTTATTGATGGTAACCATGGTAACGATGGCATTGCGATGTACCATGACTGAGTCAAAGTGTGGAAGGAGATGTCAACGACGAAAGGTAAGCGTTTAAATTAAATAGACCACCATCAAGTTTATACAGGTGCTTTTAAAAACGAGACTGGTTAATATTTCACATCATGAATGCACAAAATTAGTATAATATCAATAATAGAATCAATCGTTATGTTTTTCAATAATTATAGCCAAAATTATATCTATATGATTAATGGGATTATAAAAATATCTTTCCAAAAATATTATCTATATATGTTTCCATGACAACTGCATCAACTCGTTGCATAATTGCACAGTAACAAAAAGCAAATAAATTGGATTTTTTTTACAAATGATAGTTCAACAAGCATTAAGGGGCACATTGATCAAAAGATACTAAATGTTAGTAAACGTTAATGTTGACAGGACTGCGCTTTAAAGACTTCATTTTATTATCATTCGTACAGTTTACGTTTGCCAAGTATCGGCATACTTCAAAGGCTCACCTTGGCAACACCTGTTGAGTGACCCTAATCATAATATAAATCATAATTAAACAATAAAATGTTCATAAAAATATAATAACTAGTTTATGGAAAAATAATGACAACTGTACTTAACCGCTTCCTGTGGAGACTTGTATTTTAGTGGAAGAGCTCGTAACATAGCCTGGGATAAGGCTATCCTGAAAAAGTTTAACAATATCCAAGAATCGATGACAAGTTAAATTAAATTATAATTGTTGCCTCCGTTTTGTTCTCTGATCTGAAGAACTTGCGTAATTTTAATTAAAAATCTAATTGTCAGATACATGCAATATTTCCGAGTAATGATGTGTTCAAGGAGCACATTTTTGCGGCACCCTGTAACATACCATCGTAACAGGTTGGGCACACACTCTTTGGAGATTTACAGTTAACATCAATGAAAAACATATTTGTATATTTTCTTTTCTTTATCTATCAACTACTTCAATGAAAATGAAATCATTTGAACTTCTTCAAGATTAAAAGAATCGACATTTACACAAAATGCGATTTGGATTCATTGATTTGATTAAGTCTTTCTTCACCTGAGAAGTCAGTTTAGGGATTTGCGCCTAACTAAACACATCTGAAATATCCCTCAAATAAACGATAGTTATCAAAGTCAGCGACTTAGAGCACCGCCGATCAAACATTTAGTAAAGACGGTGGGTTTGGACAGAACGTGGCCCGCTTTTCACAAAAGTCTTTTGCCAACAAAAGATGTGGACTAAAGGATCTAACAACAACTTGCAACCAAAGTTAATATCACTGATCCGAATATTGAAAAATGCTAATATCTCAATCGCCTAGATTAAATGATTAAATACCCTACACACCTGAAAAATGTTGCTATTTCAGTGAGATTGGATTGCAGTTTGCAGATAAAGTTTTAACCTGTTCCTTTATATTATCAATCAGGTTATTTATATATTAATGACAAAAATAATTGTAACAGTTCTGAATGATATAGACAGTACAGTAAAACCTGTCTAATCCGAACGCCATTGGGACCGGATAAAAGTGTTCAGATTAGGAGGTGTTCACATTTCGAGGTTTGTGCAATCGCAATATTCCAGATTCTGAAGAAATGTGAACACATTCTCGGTAAATATTTATCATTCTTTTGACCACATAGCTTTATGGCATTCCAGAAATTTGAAAATTTGATTCAAATGAATCTAATCATGCTGGAAAGCCCCATTATGAATGAGACCATTCAAGATTATTTCCCAAAGTTTTGATATTAAGACAAAATTTGAGCAATTTTGTATGAAACATCAGAAATTTTATGGAAAGTGTTCAGATTAGACAGGTGAATTTTTCAAATATGACTGTTCACTGTTCAAATTGGGAGGTGTTCACCTTTCAAGGTTTTTTAACATGGGAGTCAATGGGAGGAAAAAATGGGACCGAAAAAATGTGTTCAGATTGGTAGGTGTTCGGATTAGCCAGGTGTTCAGATATACAGGTTCTACTGTAATTTCGCATCACTTATTGTTCGTGGAAACAACCTGGTGTAAATATTTGACTTTTGCTGTTGTTTAATTTCTACATGTATTGCATGTAAAATCAGACAGGATGTTATTTTTTCCTAATTTTTCGGGTTCATTCAGTTTATTTTGTGGTTTCCTTGAGAACTATTTCTGTCTTGTGTTACTATAGCAACCGCATCCCCGGGACAAACTTATATATTTATGGCCTCATTTTCAAGCAGTAACTTGTTCAAAATGGAGAAAACTTCAATAATTCTTATTGATAAACACGGGCCAGGTGTTAGACACTGCACTGATAAATCTGGCTTGATCTCATACAGAATCTTTAAAACCCTGAATAAATGAACAACTAAATACGTTTAAATAATTCTCCATCCTTTTCCTAAGCCCATAACATATGAGATACTAGTGTGGTCAAAAACATTAGATTTTCAATGTAGCAGAATGCTTAAATAAACAGTTCTGTGTAATTTGGCTCAAACATAGTAAAATTTGATACTTTATTAAATTTATCAATTAAACGATGGTTATTGAGTCATTGACCCATGGGCGTTTACGCAGTGTATATAATAGCTTATCTCACGAGTCACTAGCCGTCATACAGAGACGGCTTGGAAGAAATAAACTCTACACATGTTATTAAAATATGATGTGCAATCAGTAACTGGAGAGAGATAAAACATATACGTACTTTATGATAAGCAAAACACACAAGTACGTTTTAAGCATAAGTCTTTCGATGGATCAATTAATTGCAATGACTCTTGTTCATTGTGCAAGTATGATGAATCATTGTATCCCTTGGTTTTTTACTGGAAATAAACAAAATACATAAATGTACGCCGCGTAAGAACCTTTAAACATTTGAAAAAATAAAAAAGTGCGCCTTTTGCACCTTACAGGAATTAGAGGGTTCTGCTTTTCAGCTTCAGACTACTCTCCTCAAGGGTCACCATTGCATGACGAAAATGTTACGTGCTACTCATTCTTCAAACCGAGGCTGTTAGATTGAATTGCGGAAGTTTTGAAGTTTTGGAAAATATATCTATATCTATAAGTAGTATAAATACACAGTCTAGTTAGCATGCATAGTTCCTAATGGATTATGTCTAATCAACTGGGAAAGTACATTTTACACAAAACATCACTGAAAAACTTTGAAGATGGTAAATGGTAGTTAAAAAGGCGGAAAATTCAAAATTTCGAAAATGTTTCTAATTTTTGTTATTTTTACTTTATTTTTAGACCAAGATCTTCAACATTTAGAATCTATATTTAGATCTCTCTACTATGATCACATTTAAATTATTTCTTCCTGCTTTGGTATTATTTGTTGTAAGTATAATATTGAATTTTAATTGACTATAACTAGATCTATAATCTTGCAACATGCCCCTCCCCCTCGACTCTACATTGTCTGATTTGGAGGTTAAGTTGGGGTGAGAGACTTGATGCAAGCTTTGTGAAAGTAATGAGACTTGCGTTGCTATGACGACTTTGCAAAACCTAAATATTGATGTGAATTTTATATATACGATAATTTTCCTTGGTTAATGTTTTATCTTTGTACAATTAAGGTAATCTATCAGTAATCAAAGTCACTAATAAGACCACAAGTTTCAAGAGATTTTTGTGAGTACATGGTAAATCCTCGTAAAATGAAAATCTCTTATAAGTATCCCATAATTTAGCTGTATTCAGGGGGGAATCCAGCTATTAACAAGGGGAGGGGGCCCAAATTTTGAGTCTGTAAAAAATTTTTGAGCCCCAAATTTTGAAAAATTAAAGGCCATTTTTTGACACTCTAAAAAGGCCAAATTATGCCCAAAGGCCTGTTTTTTGAGGCCCTTGACTGGGGCTTGAGGCTCACTATGGCCCTGCCCCATGCCCTCCCCTCCCGGATCGACCACTGGTATTTTAGCTGTATGTTAATCCTTGTCATCTATACACCTGTATAAGTGGAACACCTTTTGCACCTCTAAAAAGTATGCCACTTGGGAGGTGTTTCACTTACAGAGGTTCATTTAACATGAAGTCAGTTGGTCTTGAGACTCTGAAGTGTTCCACTAACAGAGAGGTGTTCCGTTTCTGAAGGTGTTCCACTTAAAGGTTTCACTGTGTATAATATACAGCTCTTAGCAACTTTGGTTAATCTGTGAATGGTCAAAATCTACTGGTTGTATGAGGTCAAGGTTGATTAGGTCGACACACCTCTTCAAGCATAAATAAAAATGCAAAGAAACAGGACCTTAATAAACCCTTTGAAGATGGACTTATCCTAGTCCAAAGCAAGCAAGTAACTTTGATAATGCGGATTCGAGATGACATATAAGGAAATAGACCTCAGTTATTCTTTGATGTAGCTTCACAAGTTTCTTACAACAAGCACATAAAAGCTATACATCATTGACAAAAGTTCAAGATACTTAAAATTGTTCAAGATATCTCTATGTATTGCTTTTATCATCTGGATTACTGTTGACAATCTTATACCAAGTGCTGGGCAATCAAATCCCAAGCATTTGTAAACAAAAACAAAGCGATAAAGACCTTTTATGCTTTATTGATGGTATGCATAATGAGTTAAAACAATGAGAACTCTATTTCAAATATTATTGACAGATATAAGATTTTCCGCTTTAAAATCAAAGTTTTTCGTTGAGTAGCAAATAATAGAACTCTTACTTCTTGTCTTTGTTGTACTGGTGTTGCCAATTTTTCTCCTAAGTGTAGTGTCAAAAAGTGCAAAATATGACTTTTCAAAGTCATTTGTCATCAACTGATTTATGAGCTACATGTAAGTACTCTATAACCCATTAATTGTTTAAGTGTATTATTTCTAAGGAATCTTTTCTCAAACTTGGACCTAAATTGATTTTAATAAAGAAAACTTCTTGAGCTCAAAAGATAACATTTAATTAAAAATTTTGATAGTTATACAGTTTGATAATATAATTAACAAATTGATTGAATTCAGTAAGCCATTAAATTTTTTTTAAATTGATCAAGTACAATAAATTAAATTTGATAAATATTTCAAAAGGGAATAACTGGTTGCCAAACTAATGAAGGGGAGTGTACATGAATAATGATTATGTCAAACAGTACATGTATTAAAAATACAGATTTTATGAATGTAAAAAATAATGACCTCGACTAATTAAATCAATTGACATTTATTATTTCAACTTGTTATAAATGATTCACAGGCTGGTCATACATCAAAGAAAATAAATGATGAATAGACTTAACAAAATATCCCCTTAGAGCATTTTCATCACTGTTGCTTTACCTAACTGTTTGTAAAGTAACAAGCTGTTACATCTAAGGATTTTTGGGTATGTCTAGCATACCAAATATATAATTGTCCAGTATCCCCTCCAGTAGGACCATGGGCTTTCAACTAGAAGGGTAGGCAACTTCCCATATTTCATACATAAACATTGCCATGGGTTTTCAAAATTGGAGAATGTACACATTCCAAGAAAATCTTATTTTGTACTTTTTATTGATGATTAAAAGAAATAACTCAAAAATAAAAACATGATCTTCTACATACATCTTGATAATTTAATAAAAATTGGAATTCATCATAATTATGACAATACAGAAAGTGAACATTCTCCCACAAATTATGTTTTTATTGGAATGTGTTCTCGAATAATTACCCACAATGCAATACTCAAAGAGACCATCTTGATAACTCTTATTCTTATTGGTCTCTTTTGTTTACTTTTATATGATATTGAATATATTTTATGCTTAAATCATATTAAAAATTGATTTTTATTCAAAATAATACTAAAACATATACATTTATCTAATACTTTTTGAAATATTACCATAAAAGGGAAGCATGTCATTGCTCATTTTGAAGGTCTCATGTTATTACATAGAGTTGCATACCCTTCTAGTTGAAAGCCCATGGTAGGACTTACTACTGGTCTATGAGGACTCGACTCACCACTCCTTGAGTAAGATTTGCCTCGCCATTCATCTAGCAGAATTAGCCTCACCATTTTTCCCTTCACTTGTTGGAACTCTTTCAGATGGATTCAAAGTCCCATCACGAAATACTGTAAAACTTACTCATCATGATTTTCAATAATTTAGGGCAGAATGGTGATAATTTTTTAAGTTTGTTTGATTCAAAATATTATGCTATCTATTTTTGTACATACTTAATTTCACGCAGGAATACTTTCGTGAAACTTGATTTTCTTTTGAAAAAAACATATAGGAGTAAGATCATATAATAAGCATATTGTATAAAGTGTGTATTTTATATTTGTAAAAATGTATACATACATCTATATCACAGCAGATTTTATTTTAATAAAAATACTCAATGTTTTTCAGTCCAACTTGATCGTTGAGAGTCGAAGCGGTGACAATAATAGTGAGGCTTCCAGTAGAACTTTACAGAACCGTCCTTTTATCAGGAAAAATGATCGTACAAACAACAAGGCCATATTTGATAAAACATTGAAAAATAAATCGAACAAACGAAGACATCGCAAAAGACATAATAATGATAGTGGCAGCTCAGAGCGTCATCATTCAATTGTATACTCGCTACTCACAGATAGCCTCAGGGAAAATAACCAAAAATCAAGACATAGGAAACATACCAGGGAGCCAAAAAATAAGAGGAAATCTAGAACCCGACAGGATTTTGCAATTAAAACCCCCTTAGATTGGGATATACAAGGTGATGCACCATTTATGAGTAGCTTGGCTGAGGCTCTGTCAACTGTCAGCGAAGGTCTCTATACACAGACATATGACTCTGAACATATAAATCCTGATATTCATATCACTATAGAAGTTGTACATGATGGTGACCCTGAGACAGGTGAAGACAATCCTGATGAGGATGTCACGAAAAAGACATCTGAAGACACTTCCACAAGTGATATTATACCTAGTACTAGTTCAACAAAATCTACTAAAGTTCAGACTAAAACTAGGCATAGGAGTAATAATGCCAAACACATTCCCTCAAGGAAAATCAAAGACAATGCACGTGTTGATGTGACACATGATAAAATGACCAAAGAAGGATTTATCATTAATACTACTGAAGACTTCGGGGATGCAGGCTCAGACCATATGTGTAAGTAACATATTTAGTATTTACAGTAAAAATCAATTTCCTAACTCCAAATAAGATCAGCAAGTTTGTTTTCGATTCTCTTCAACAAAAACAAATTCCAGCCAGTCATTTAAGGAGGTTGGTTTTTATGTTATAATCTCCAACTTTTTTGTTGATGGTGGTTGGCAATTGATGTTCGATGATTGATGTTTGGCGACTGTAACAGATGTAACAAATGGTAGGTTATAATATTTTGCAATTTAATGCATCATCTTTAATTTCAACCAAGTCCAAACACATTTTATTATGTCACCTTTAGAAGTGATGACATATTTGTTATATTCCATCCAACTTTTTTGTGGACAGTGTTTGGGTCTGTAAAAATGGCAGGTGGTGACATTTTGAATGTTAATGCTGTGCTTTGATTAATAGAGCAAGCCAAAAAACTTAAGTTTATTGTCGTATTTCAGTAAGCAGTGATTGGTCAGAATGGTCAGCATGTAGTGTGACGTGTGGCTCTGGCAAAAAGGAGAGATATCGTCTCTGTGGAAGACACTGTAATGAACAGGAGACTCGCAAATGTCACCTGCAAAGCTGTCTTGGTAAGCTATAATGAAATGGTTTTTTAAGATGATGCAAGACTCATTTTGCTCTAACTGATTCACTCTATGTGTAGTTACATATACTTTTTACTTCCTCAAATTGTTTATTTGATAATGTTATTGAATTGTAACATCAATTCCTGATTCCTTTAGACACTAGATTGAAAAATAATATAAGGTACATGATAAATGATTTAAATGATAAAAAGACAATACATGATACATCATTCAAATTGCTTGTTAACCATTCATTTGTTGTAAATAATGCATGGGTGATAATGATAGTGCGTGGCTGACCGAAATAAATATCTGTTATTGCATAAGTCTTGGAATCGACACTATGAAAAGAAATAAACAACAATTTGACTTTTCTAATCAGTATTTTCAACAGTACGACAGTTATGTTTAACAATTTTTTTTCATATTCAGAAAATGAAAGAACTGAAGTTAAATTAGAAAATTCACTTCCGCCATACACTATGCCTACAAGTGCAGTTCCACCACCCACCAGTCACACAAGTCTGAAATCTGGGAGTTTACCTAATGATGGTAAGGAAAAGTATTTATGTCACAACCAATGGACCGTGGAATTCACATAGATTTCATTAGAATTTCAGTTAAGAAGCTATTGAAACTAGGCAAGGTTATTGAAAATAATGATTTTAATATGGAAATATTAAAAAACAACCAATTTTGGTAAAAATGCGGAGAGAAAATTGAGACAAGTCAGACACCAATATTCTAACCATATGCGAAGAAATAATCTAAGGTCATTTTTGGAGTAATTTTTAAAATAAATCCGATCAGATTATGTAGTTTCTGTTGTCTCAATTATCAATAGAAACTTCAATTGTCTCAATGAACTTAGTCAAGCCAAGTTGAGTTTAGTGTTCAAAAAGAATTTTGAAGATGCCATGAAGATGATGAAGGTATATTCATGGATGATAGCATTGTGAACTACCACTTGTATATGGTTGGTTCATATCCCTAAGGCAACCACTCAAAACAACAATTATAACTATTCTCAAACATCCTTGTTACAGATATAAAATCTAGATTTATGATTAGTTATCTTGATATGTGTGTAAGTTTATCATCTTCTCCACATTTTGCTAAAATAAATGTACTAATTAGCACGCTATTAATTCTTGTATCTGGCCAATCTTTCAATAAAGCGGAGAAATATAGCTTGACCTGAGACATATTCTTGAATTTAGTATCCCGATAAGTGCTAAGCTCTTAGTTGCTTATACTTTGCTGTTTTATAACTGTTCATAAATTGACTCCGCTGTCTGGCATGTCAAAAGTTTTAAACAACTTAGTTCATGAGTCAAATACCACTTTTGAAATGAAGTAATTTTTCAAAGAGTAGTTTTCAAAGATTTCCTTTTTGACCTGGTCTGATAATGTAAATGAAAGGTTATATTTTTAAACTCTATTTGTTCAAAACTTTCTTATATTTTCCAGATACTCAGTGTGATTAATATGCAGTTACCATGAATATCAAATCAGTTTTGAAAATTGAAGCTTGAAATATGTATTTCATTTTTAGATGGAAATGGCCAAAAATGATCCATTATCAGCATGATTAGATATTATAGTATCTGATGAGTACAACAGGTTTCAAATTAATGCAAGAAACATTTATCTACTAGCAGGCCCATAGCCAGGGGGGGGGGGGGGTACGGGAACCCCCACCTGTCCAAAATTTCTTTCAAAATTACGCAGTTTTTCAACATTCTGATCTTTTTTTTGTGTGATTTTTGGCCGCCAAAGTGATCCCCCTTGATATTTTTTGGAAAAGTGAACCCCCTCGGAAAATTCTGGCTACGGGCCTAACTAGTATTCATTTATTGCCTCTCTTTGATTGAATTCTCAGGATGTGTCTCTATTCAAGATGCAATAGTGATATTATTAAATGCTAAACTTCCAGCAAATGCTTTGATGTAGGGAATAATTAGAAAGAGGTATCACATACATCTAAATCGGGATCTGAACTCAGTTGGTTAAACGACAGTATTACAAAATATCAGCTAACTTTACCTAGCAATTAATTAAAGATCAGTCCCAGTGTAAACACCTGATTAACAAGTCCTTAACATCAAAGTAGACTTGGGATTTCATTAATACTCAATTACTTGCTCTGTAGCTATGAGTTTATTATACAGGACTGTTGACTGCCAATCAAAGATCAGCAAAGATTTCTCGCTGTTGGAGGTGGTGTTACGAGAGCTAAATTTTTATGAGGTTGTTAGCAAATGTTATCAGTGCTGAGAATGAGTGGCCACTTTATAGTTAATTAATTAAATTATTTGTTTGTTTTATGATCAAAAGAATATATGCAATTTGATACAAGGGTTATCTCTCTGAGGTAGGTCAAAAGAAAATTGGCCTTTCTGAAATCTATGCCATGGCAATGTTTTAATTAAATGTAGACTCAAAGTTTAAAGAAGGGAACAAAAACTTTAGATGATTCACTGTCTTTTAGACATTTTTTTCATCCTTTTAGACAATTTTCATGCCCATCTCTGAAGGTTAAGAATACATTGAATATACCCGGTATGAACCATCTATGCATCTAATATATAGACAAAAAATATTTAAGTTTTATGCAGAATTTCGTGATCTCCCAGGAGAATTTTACTTGCTTGCACTTTTATGACAAAATTCTATGATATTTCTTTATCTTGTTTATATAATATTGTATATTTAGCTCCACAAATTTTGATCAAATGTTGAATAATGACCACTTTAAGGACATAAAGCTACATAACGACAATATAAAGATTGATACAATATCATTGTAAACAATCACTTGAAAAGTTTCAAACAATACTTGAGTAGGCCCTTGTTGATTGTAAAGTAAGCCCCTCAGTAACACTCAAGGGGTAGAGATGAAATTACGGCAACAACATAAATCTGTAACCCATGCTTCATTTTGTAACTTTTCAAAAAATATTCATGACAACCAAATAGTACTTTCTGAATAAACTTCTATTCAACGTTCGTGGTATTTAGCATAATTATGTTACCACCTTGCATTCAGCATTTACCATTCAGCATGAGGATCTGTAACAAACATCACACTTTGTCATTGAAACCACATGTCTTACAATGCTTTATATTGTTAATGGAAAAGAATGGGGCTTTTTGACTCACTTCCTTTATCAGAAAAACACAAGAATGCTTTCTGCAAGAGTAGATGGAATGATGTGAATCACACTTTATTTCCAAATGCCAAATGGACTTGCATTTGAGATTATAATGATGTCTTTACACAGAGCCACTAACATGGGCATTCAGTAGATGAAAGCCCATGCCACTAATTAGTAATTAGTGTACACTGTATGCCCACTTATGAAGATTCCAAATAGGTCTCAAAAATGTATCTTAATACAACCATCCTTCTTATAGACTACGGCCCACTCTGATAATTGTAACTCCTTCCTTACATGAAAGGTTACACATTCCAACCTATTTCAAACCATCTGTATGATGATACTAGACACTTTCTGGGTAGTTGGACTTTCTATAGGGGTGGCAGACGGCCCTCAGACCAATTTATACCCCTACCCCCAAAAAACCATGGGGGTACTTTAATACCACCCAATAAAAAGAATACTAATGCATGTCAGATATTCATTGTTTTATATTGGGTAGGGCATGTTATGGTTAGTAAGTGCCAGAAATTTCCAATCTCTAACTGATATGGTTACCATAGAAACAGTATTTATATCTTGAAATATTCTCAATTTGACCCCCTCCCAAATGTGTCCTTTTGATCTCAAAGTGAAATATTTGCAAATCTGTTTGGATTTTATGGCTGCTACTTTGTCAAAAATTGTATCAATATGTATATTTTAACATTTAAACACTGAAAAGTGTTCATAATGATCCTATAAATCAATAATATTTATCAAATATAGTCACACATAGCTGCTTTTAGGGAAAAGTGGGCGTGGCACTTTTTGGTATGTGTGTACTTGTTGCAGCATTAAATGAAAAATACATATTATACTAACAACAATTGACATTTAATTAGCATTTACTTATGTTGTGTAACATTGTAATATGTTCATTATCATTATTAGACACTTGAAATATTTTATATAAGTGTTATCCTGACCCTTCCCTTTATCCCTACACCCTTCAAGGTGGGCATTACCAATCGTGTCAAGTTAACATTTCTGTTTGATTTATTTTAACCATAGACAAGGTACAAAGGCTTTACCATGAGTACTGACCTTATTAGGTGCTAAACTGATGAATGGATAGGTAGATGGCAGCACTTGTGCTGGTTGGACTACACGCTAGCATCTACCATAGACATATTTGTTATTTTGGATTAAAGTTAAACTGCTTTCGCATCAAACTTAATGAGATTCAGATTGTGTTTGAAACTAGATGATCTTCAGATTTTGTGTAAACTTAAATTCATGACAATCAAAAGAATTCAACATTTAGGAAGTCAACATTAAGATTTTTAACATCGTCTCAATGAGAATTTAGCTCGACCTTTTTCAGAAAGTTAAAGATCATAGAAAATTGAACATAATCAAAGTTCCTCAGTAGAACATTTAATCTCCTAAAATCAGATTAAAACTATATCAGCAATATTTCCAAGCTAAATAGTATAAAAACTTCTATCACATCATTTGCAACGTTTTCATTATTCGATAGTTCAACCCTATATGAATTATTGATGATTTTAAAAGTGCAAGGAATCTAAATGAATCAGGGAAGCCAGTGATATGTATTTGCCTTATTAATTGTTGACTAATACAATGAAATAGACTTAGATGCAAGTAGAAATAATCTTGTTTTACATCATTAAAAATTCAAAATTCAGTCAAATAAGTGATATCATATTTGAAATCTTCATGTAGAATTACATTTCTTCATGCAATAAGTCAACCTTTTAGTGAGTAGTTGTGATTAATGTAATCATGTACTTATACAATTTGTCAGTAAAAGTTATTTATCCTGTACTTAGTGTTATAGGTAAATAAAATGCATGAATATAATTGATACCTTAGGTGAGTGGGGATATACATGTACTCCATATCCCGCTTTATCCCATACTTGGTCGTGTTTCAGGTACATAAAGCAGGTTTGTAAAAACTTATATTTTCATCAGCGGGCAGATATAGCTTTACTTCCCGTTGCGAGATATAGTATATCTGCCCACTCCGTCATAATCGCCCTTGGGCAGATATATTATATTTGCCTCGGGATAGTCCCAATATCCTGAACCTCATAGAGGATAATCTCTATGTATCGCCAGGTTTATCACCCGCTCAGTAATCCCCTGCAGGAATTTCATTCTGTGCAATTTCTCATATTTTCGTATTTTGGTATATGATAAATAATTTTGGGTACAAGGTATAACCCTTGGGAAATACATTATTCTACCCTCAACCCCTCGGGGAGGTATATTGTATTTCCCTCACATATATTGTATTTCCCTGTATTAAAAACTTCCCATTAATTAAACCTCATATATAATTCACACCATTTTAAATATGATAGTGATAGTGATATCCATGTTTCTAACGAAAGCATGAATTTGAAAGAAACAAACATTCTACTCATATGGTATAAAGATATTACCAATTGTGTCCATTTTAGATTTGATTGAAGAACTTGAATTAGAGGCAATTTTGAAATTACAATATATTAAAAGAGGCTCTGTTGCTTAGATGGGAGAATCAATTAGCTGCATTGTTCAGTTTATGACAAAATTGATGTTTAGTGTTACTTTCATGAACACCCATCCTGTAAAATAGCATTTGCAATCTAGAAGTTTGTATATAGATGAATTAGACAAGGCATTGTTGAGGAAAAATATCCAACAAGATTACTAGTTTGCTCATGAAATTAGGCATACTTTAACTTGAAACAATTTGTAACACTCAATTTTTGGGGTTTGGAGATCGAAGTAATAATGATGAAAAACAAGCAATTTTAAAATATTTATGTTTTACCAAAACTTTTAACGATTTTTGCTAGCCTTTATTTTGTCTGTTTTATTCTCAAATAAATTCTATTGTGACATAATCATCATTTACCAATTTTAAAATTAAATATTACTGGTTAGAGAATGTGATTTCTTACTTTAGGTTATATTTATATCGCAATTTATATGTATAATAATAATTGATGAAGACGAATAGAGATCATCCTCTATGAGGTTCAGGGTATTGGAATTATCCTGAGGCCAATATAATATATCTGGCCGAGGGTCGTAGGTCCTGAGGGAAGATATATTATATTCGCCAAGGGATAATCCTAATAGCATGAACTGACTATAGGATGATCTGTTTATCCCATATCAATCTTTCTTATCTGGTTCACATTGCTCAATTGGCCAGAGTTAGAAAGAATTCAACCATATGAATGTATTCATGTCTAATTTTGTTTTCTTGGCCTTAGGAGGATTCTTCTGTTTTTAAGTATTCCTCCACATATTCTCGAATCATTGATTATTAACATATGTATTAAGTATGCTACTTCCCTCATTGTTAATCATACACAAATGATGATTATGAGTTAGTGGGCAGGTGTAATATATCTGCCCTCTCAGGCCGGGACATTAGCTATATCTGCCCGCGCGCTGATGAAAATATAAGTATTTATAAACCTGCTATATGTATCCGAAACATGTCCAAGTATGGGACAAATGTATCTACTTTTTTTGATTTCATACACTAAACAGATTTGTTTAGGAATTATTTGAAGTATTTCAAAAACATATACCGTACCACTATTGAAGGAATCATTGAAAATACAGCATCTCAGAAACATGTGTAAATTATTTATCATGCAATTATTTAATAAATACTTATAGTACAATAACGTCATTTCAAAGGGCAATATAGTGAAATATTTCACTATTTTGCGCACAGACGTTATTACTATTATTACCACCATTAATGCCCAGGGCTGAAATAGCAAATTTGAAGTAGAAAATCTTACGCACTGAACGATATCACTTTTCCTGGGAAACATAGCTGGGCGGATAATGTCATTATTGCCTGACTAAAGTCATTAACACCCGACACAATATTGCAAGGTGGTAATAATAGAAATTATACTGTACCTTCCAGAGAATAGCTTTTTTGTTAACTATGAGCCAATGATTGAATGGATGCATTTTATTATAACTGCAAAATGATGCTCTATGCAATTCAAACAAAAAATTAATTTTGCCATATTAGAATCAAGTATAATCTTTAATCCATTGGATAGATCATGCATTGCCTGATGTTGAGGTATTGATAAAAGAATCAGCAAGTGTCGCTGACAAAATAGATTTTAGTGTTATGTATTAGGCAAAGTATTAGGAAGGGTATAAATGGTCTCCAATCTTTCTAGTTTTGAGTATTACGTCTTCTTGCTTTGATTCAAATTATCCTCGGTCACTATTTGTAACCCCTCCCGAGGCTCCCTCCTTCCCCATTTAGGCCATGGATATGAAGATGATTTAGAGGTTATGTGAAGGATACTAGGGAAGGGTTAATAGCCAGAGTTATATTAGTTCATTTAAGTTTAATCATAAATGTTATGCAATTCACACTAGCATCAAATAGCATACCAAAAGGATTGAACTGTTCATTACTTTTCAATTGCAGTAAACATGGTAAAATGGTTCTAAATATTGAACCCTGTGGAACAAGCATATTAATTAATTGTAACTCAAAGCTCTAGATGACTTGAACTTATCCATTCATATTCTAGGAACAAGTCAATGAATAAGTAAGACTTGACTCTTGACAGACTTAAAAGACCGAGGACCCTATAAGACTTAGACTAAAAGTTCATTTGACCATTGATGACCTATGATAGGGAAGGGTCAGGATAACACTTATATAAAATATTTAAAGTGTCTAATAATGATAATGAACATATTACAATGTTACACAACATTAGTAGATGCTAATTAAATGTCAATTATTGTTAGTGCAATTTGCATTTTTCATTTGATGCTGCAACAAGCGCACAAGTACCAAAAAGTGCCACGCCCACTTTTCCCTGAAAGCAGCTATGTGTGACTATATTTCATAAATATTATTGATTTATAGGATCATTATATCAACTTTTAAGTGTTTTAGTGCTAGTATAGACATAATATTACACATTTTGACAAAGTAGCAGCCATAAAATCCAAACAGATTTTGAAATATTTCACTTTGAGAACAAAGGGACACATTTGGGAGGGGGTCAAATTGAGAATATTTCGAGATATAAATACTGTTTCTATGGTAACCATATAAGTTAGAGATTGGAAATTTCTGGCACTTATTAACCATAACATGCCCTACCCAATATAAAACAATGAATATCTGACATGCATTAGTATTCTTTTTATTGGGTGGTATTAAAGTACCCCCATGGTTTTTTGGGGGTAGGGGTATAAATTGGTCTGAGGGCCGTCTGCCACCCCTTTAGAAAGTCCAACTACCCAGAAAGTGTCCAGTATAATCATACAGATGGTTTGAAATAGGTTGGAATGTGTAACCTTTCATGTAAGGAAGGTTGCATTTCTAGAGCACTTCTACAGAATGGATTACAGTCTATTACAAGGCAACTAAATCATTTCAACAAGTAAATATTTCAATCGTCATTAAATTCTTGAGACAACTATTTTAATTATCCTCATTAATATATATTTTTTCATTTCAAGTCAGTCGTACTTGTCTCACTATGGAGGGGCTACTTGATTTTTAGAGTCACATAAAATTCTTATGAGTGTTTCAATGTAATGCTGTCTCCAAAAAGGTCATGGCTGATAAAAGATTATAAATTGATTCATCATTCACTTGTATTTTCAAAAAAGGGTTCTTCACTTATGATCAACTTTGTCCATACACTACTAACGGATGATAGAAATAATTTTTAAATAAAGATGGTAGGGCATGTCAACCTGTTTTATATTCTACTATTGCTGCCATCTTTATATCAGCTAAAAACATATGACTGTTAACATTTGGACAGAATGACCACGATGTACTTGTATATTTCAGAACTGGATTTCTGTGAGAGATGGATGAAATGTGAGAACCCATTCCTGCGTGAGTACATTGCCAACCTCAACAAACTCCCTAGCTGCCCATGTACATACCCCATCAACATTCCGTATGAGAATGAGATATGGGATGAGCACAATCAACGGTTTTTCCAATGGCGTGATGCAAGTGGACCATCTGAGAAAATTGGGGTTTATAAGCCTGGGGCAGCTTACTGTATCAGGTCATATCTGGTTCATGGGTCGATGAGTCTTGCAGCACAGCACTGTTGTTATACTGCCCAGAGGGAGCTGATCACTCGTGGTCGCGCAGCTGGAACTCCCAATCTGATCAGCCCAGAGGTATCACCTGACCTCCATTATAAAATGGATATCGAACCGTGGATACTCTGTAAAGGAGATTGGACAAGGTAATAAAGGAGAAATATTTTTTCTTTTTGCATCACTATCAAAATCCTTCAATTTGAGATATTCATACACATCATATGTAGTTTCAACATTACATAATAATTTTTCTCATTTAACCTTTTTGCTATAATGTAAATATAAATATCAAGTAGCCATTACCTGAACTTAGCTTGTTTGTTTTTGTTATTTCAGATACAATCAAGTTCTCCCACCAAATAATTTCAATCAGTGTTCTCAATTCCCAGATGATACAGAATTCATACGCCAGGCTCACAGGGCAAGGGACTATTGATACAAAGGTTCGCACTATTGATACAGAGGTTCAAACTATTGATAGAGAGGTTCGAACTATTGATACAGAGGTTCGAACTATTGGTACCGAGGTTCCAAATATTGATACAGAGGGTCAAACTATTGATACAGAGGTTCAAACTATTGATAGAGAGGTTTGAACTATTGGTACAGAGGTTCCAAATATTGATACAGAGGCTCAAACTATTGATGCAGAGGCTTGAAATATTGATAGAGAGGTTCGAACTGTTGGTACATAGGTTCCCAATATTGATACAGAGGTTCGAACTATTGATATTGAGTTTCGGAATATTGAAACAGAGGTTCGAACTATTGATACTGAGGTTCGGAATATTGAAACAGAGGTTCGAACTATTGATACAGAGGTTCGAAATATCGATACAGAGGTTTCAAACTAATGGTTGAAGAGGTTCAAACGATTTACACAGAGGTTCAAATTATAGATACAAAGCTTCGAACTATAGATACAGAGGTTCAAACCATTGAAACAGATGTTCGAACTATGGATAGAGAGGTTCGAACTATTGATACAGAGGTTTAAACTAGGCCTATTGATACAGGGGTTCAAACTATTGGTACAGAGGTTCGAACTATTGATAGAGAGGTTCGAACTATTAATACAAAGGTTCGAACTAGGCCTATTGATACAGGGGTTTGAGCTATTGATACAGATGTTCGAACTATTGATAGAGAGGTTGAAAATATTGATACAGAGGTTCAAACTAGGCCTATTGATACAGGGGTTCCAACTATTGATACAGAGGTTCGAACTATTGATACAGAAGTTCGAACTTTTGATACAGAGGACATACACTTTTATGCTGATTTAGAATTTGTCCAGCAGGCCCTCAAGTTTCACATTCAGTGAAAATAAGGAAGCACATAATTTGTCAATCAGATTCTGCTAGCTATAGCACATAGGTTGTACATTTTGGAGGAACCCACTGCGGGGTCTGTGTTAGACAAAATGAGTTAACTCATTCAAAGTCACAAAACCAATATGAATAGTGTACTTGTGTGACTGGATGCAAGATATGTGTTTTGAAAAATAATGCAATTTCAGTTAGTTTGGTTAATTTTGTAATTATTTTTGGAGCATATTTCAGAGATATTAAAAAAAATTGCTGATGCTCCAATATGTTTTTATTTTGTTTCAGAAGAATTACTTCAAAAACTTAAGTAATTTTCAATTAGTGTCAAATATAATTTCTTACAATTAATGATGAGTATACTTACTATATATTGTCTATTATTGAAATTGTGCATGCCTGTGCTGATATGTACACAGATGGTTGTAGGTACATTACATAGTTGAAATAGTATAGACTCACTTTCACGAGAAGTTACACTCATACATGTTATGCTATTGTAACAACTCAACTTCATGTTACTTTTACACCCCTCATTTCTTGCAAATGTTGCACCCCCCATATAACACAAGATTAGATGTTTTGTAACTTTTACTTGAAATACATGGTTTTATCCCTCTGAGCATGTGATACAACCTTGCGTATTAGGGAAAGCTAGGGTCACTATAAAACTGAAGATATTTGCCTAGATAGTTACATGTACATATATGCATATTAAAATGCTTCGGAGAAAAGTCAGTTTGTATATATCTCGGATTTGTGTACATATAACCTTTACAATATTTGCATAAAATGTTATATTTTTGTAAAATTGTTATACAAAGTACAATTTATTCTTGTAGAACTTGTGTTAGAGCCTTAAGTGCATAGAGGTTGTCCTCCATGAGGTTCGGGATATTGGGATTATCCCGAGGCCAAAGGATAATCCCAAGTGAACCATGAAGTCTATCCTAAACTATGTGTTCTTTGTACATTCATCACTAGTTAACATCTTCCAGGTGCATCTAAATATACTTGAAATTATGTTTTAAATTCTGATAGTCTCTGCATAAGAAAGAGTTGCGTTGTTTCCGTAATGAAATACTAGAATAGTATTTTTCACCATTTTTTATTTCATTTTTAAAAAACATTATTTTGTTCAAAATTTTATTTTGTCCAAAATTTTTAATTTCCCCATGGTTGGCAGATATAATCTGCCAGTCATAGACCAGCACCAACTCCTCGTTATTATAATTATTAATAATATTTCCTTTGTTTATGTAAACATAGTCTTGCTCAAAGACTGTATCCACCCCCCCCCCCCCCTTGTCACCTTCACTCTCTTTACCTGGCAATATACCTAGAGAGAAGGAAGGAGAGAAGGGGGGGGGAGTACAGGGTCTTTTAAGCAAGACTAATGTAAACATTACATTCTCTTACAGTATAAATTGATATAAATGAGCAAATTGACAAAATTCTCATGCTTATTTCTTATTTCATGATAAGAGGGGGCAATAATTTGAATAAATAATTTCAATATAATTGGATAACTTAAGATTTGTGAATTAGCATGAGTTGCACATCTCCCATCTAATGTGATTTATAAGGGAAGTGCTCAATAGAGGATCTTTCTCCATTACAGGCTCACAAATTATTTACATGTGTTACAATATTATCTCCTGTAAGTAAAAAGAGTTAAGTTAATGATACAAAATATATAAACAAGTATTTATGTATTATATATATTTATCAGATTATTATACCTAAAATAAAAAAGTATGTAAGAACAAAAAAACATTGAAATAATTTATTGTGCTTGATTCAATGCTAATAGGGTCATTGCCATCCTAATATGGTCATATGACATGTTATTATTACCACCTTACTGGGCCTGTTCTAGGGGTATTAGTGCTACCTTAGAAGGCATTTATTTTACTATATCGACCTGAGCAGTATGAGAAGTCATAGTGGCGGGCCATATTGCCGGTCAATTATGCATTAACGACCAGCAATTTTGCCCTGGAAATTTTATTTTGTTCAGTTCTTGTTATTTCAACCCTGGGCATTAACGGTGGTAATAATACTAATAACGTCATTTCTGCGGGCAATATAGTGAAATATTGGATTTTGGGCCTTCAGCCCCCGGTCCAATATTTCACTATACTGCCCTTTGAAATGACGTTATTGTACTTTTATAACGTTGTATGTTTATAAGTGTTAAAAACAAAACAAAACAAAATGTCGAGATTTACGAATTTTCGATGTATTTATACATCTTCATCAGGTAAACTCAAACTATTATAATATAAAATAGTCAAAATTACTATAAATATTTTTGATATTCTTCTGACTTGTTTGTCAATAAGCAATCAATAAGAGCTGATCTAATGTGATGAACATGTCTATTTTATTTTAAATGGATGAAACTGCCCGCTTGGCTTGGGAGCATCTACATATTATCTTATATCACTTGTGGCTGGTGAAGAAAGGTATTCAAAAATTATATAGCATTGATAGCAGGATATTGATAAAAGCACTGACTTGAAGAGTCATACGTTCATGTCCATTGTTAAAAGCTTGCAATTTTAAGTCCTGGACCTCAAGCCCATTATGACAATTTAAATTTGAGCAAAATGATTGTACATCTAGTTATCAGCTGACATCTATAGTTTCTATGGCATCAGCTGGCAGGCTTGGTACTGTTGGTAGGAGGTTTTGGCAATAGAATTTTAGCAGTTCCCTGTAACACAACCTGAAACATGAAAATAAAAATTTACAGTTAGAAAGGTGGCAGCACGTCAAAATAAACTCAATAATATTGATGCAAGGTTTCTTATTCATATGTCTTGCTAAGGTTTTGACTTATCTTATTTCCATATCAATGTTAGTATATCAGCTAATCGAATGATAAAACAAAATGACATTGCATACTGTAATATATTACATGCAATTTAGATAATATTCCATCACTTGCAATCCTGTATAACCATGGGCATTCAATAGAAAGCCCATGGTATAACCAAATAAATGAATGTACCCTCTGCAGGCCGAATAAAATATAGTTTCACTTGCATGGGAGGCTATTTAGCCCATATTTCCAGTGGCAAAGACTTCATGCTTTTAAAACCTGACACTGCCAAAATATAGGGCTCATATCAAAGGATTTTTGCATTATGCGTCTTCATGTCATAGAGATAGGAGCCAACACAAACATAGCAGAGATACGATTTGATTTTGGAATGGATACAAATTTAATATTTTGACACTTTTTAGTATATGCTAGATTTTATAAATCCAAACTTTACTATTGCAAAGAGATTAAACCAAAACCAAAACCTATCAACTCACTTCTTAATTTCATCAAATAATATTTATTTTAACAAAATGTTAATTTCCTAAAGAGGGCTCTGTCTATACCATGGTAGTGGCAGCTGATGGATTTCAGGGTAAATAAATGTAAAATTCACAGATTGTTCTTTGATTAATTGAACAACCAAGTGGAATTATATGACATGTTTAAAACTATACCTTCTTATCATCAGGTTTAAAGCATATTGTTTGGAATGTGACTAGACGCTTTCTTATTTCAAGAACTTCAACTTTCGCTGTAACAGCCTCCCCAACATACACTGTAAATATAAATCATACTTTATAAATAGAAAATAGAACAATGCATGGAAAAAAATCGAGTAACACCATACAACAATATAACTGAGAGTAGAATGGGGAAGTCTTGCACCATGTATTACCCCCCCCCCCTTCCCTCAAACATATAAATGCAGTTATCTGTAAAATCTGGCCTATTACCCCCCCCCCCTTCCACATTCCCTCAAACATATAAATGCAGGTGGGTATGGGGGCTTGAGCAAGACGAAGAATGAGTAAGAAAAAGGCACTCCTTTAACAAGCTGGGTATTATTTATTACACTGTGGGAACTGAGCATATGCTTGGTACAGTAGAACTTTTGAGATTTATTACATAGTACAGTACACACATATTCCATATTCTATTCAGTACATGTACACAATACTCACATGGGTTGGGGAACTCGATTTGTTGAGAGATGAATATCGTTCCGAAACCAGGAAGTTTATTACCCAATACAGACGATATTAACCTGAAATCAAATTAATATACAACCATGAAGATGCAACTAAAAATAGTAATAAAAAGATTTTTAAAAGGCCCACAGCTTATCCCGTTCCCGGACTATGGACTATAGTCCGGGAACGGGATAACCCACAGCCAGCTTTTGCCAAAGGGGGTTAACTTTTCTAAAAATTCCAGGGAGGGGTTTACAATTGACAATTTGGCCCAAAATCACTTGAAAGTGCTCAGGATGATGAAAAACAACATAATTCTGGGAGAATTTTTGGCCAGGAGGGGATTCACTCAAACCCCCCGAATCCCCTAATTCTCTCCTGGCCTGAAAAATCACTTTCTAAAGCAGGTATCACGAGAAAGCTGCATGCTGGTTGAAAATATATTTATGATAGTCAGAGTAAAATTGGAAGGGCGGGATCAAGGTTGGTGTTTAAAACTGGAATTTTTGGTTACTGGGTAACTGGGTACATAATGTTCATAGCAAGGTTAACAAATGTTAAATTCATTTTTAATATTTCATGCACATCCACATTCTCCATTCAACCATTCTAGTGTGTAACACTCATCACAACACCTGAAAAAAGGTACATAAAAAGAAAGTATGATGTGATTTCTTCATTTCTGTAGCACCATGCAGAAGTAACATTTTATTTAAATTGAAACAATTTTCATGTCATGTGGCCTTATCAAACTATTATACATAAAACACATCATGTAAACAAAATAGATCTAATTGTGAAACTTTACAAAAGAATATTTAATTTTGAAATAAAGCACAAGATAAACTTTCCAATGGTGTGCTGAATGTGTCGCTAGCTGTTTTAAATCTTATGTTATGTTGTCAGAAACTCTATAGATATTCTATGCATTGCATTTTATTTGATTTGAGTCTGGTGCAAAGAAGATTAAAGAAAATGAAGAAGATGAGATAAACTTTCCAATGGTGTGCTGAATGTGTCGCTAGCTGTTTTAAATCTTATGTTATGTTGTCAGAAACTCTATAGATATTCTATGCATTGCATTTTATTTGATTTGAGTCTGGTGCAAAGAAGATTAAAGAAAATGAAGAAGATGAGATAAGCTTTCCAATGGTTTGCTGTATGTGTGGCTTGATATTTTAGATTACAAGAAAATACTATGAAAGGTGCCTTCACTTCACTTAATCTACTAGAGTCCAGACATAAGTTAGTACTCCAGACCGGGCAATTTTCTAAATGATGCTTCTTCAGTGAAGAAAACAATAGCATGTGCCAATACCCGTACTATGAGACAAAGTGAACTTATAATTGCTTGACAAATAAATTCACTGAACTTGCAACTTTGAAATTTATCAAACCTGCTAAACCTGCCTAAGTACTGTATACTCAATTACTTAGTACCTAATTCTCTGGTGATCCGTTTTTTTACCAGAGCTTCCTACATGTAAAGTTATAGATGCATCCCAAAAACTTATATATAATTATAAATGATAGCCTACATATACGATTGGCTTGCCTCACACTAAAGAGGATTGGCTCCAAGAATGCAATCGGGCTTGACCTTGATTGATATCAACGTTGAAAATTTTGTTATTTTCTGACATTACAACTGAACTGACTATCACTGGTGTAGTGCTATTTTTATGAGGCTTTTGAGTAGTATGCCACCAAGAGAACACGAGCTGAAGGAAGCATAAAACGAGCATCCAGGGAGTTCTCCCCGCAAAACATTTTGAAATTTGGTTATATTAGGGGGGGGGGGGGGCATTAGGAGTGTATTTATAACACGGGTAGTGGGAAGTCCTCGACACGACAAATAATATAAGTAATATATGGAGGACTTCCCATAACCATGATTTATAACCATCTGGTATACCAGGCATACTGGGTGCTACGCCTATGACTATAAATTCATTATAAGCGAGCCGAAAGATTTGAACTAGTAACTTGATCATTTCTTATGTTTTTAATATTTTTGTATGGAAATTACGAAAACTAACGATTCAAATTTTGATACAGGTATCATGGTAGTCTATATCCAATTGACTGAATATCCAAATTTCAAAAAAAATTCAGACTACTATTTTTTTCAAGGCCTGTCTGCGTCGCTAACATGCTAAATATAAGAGTTAGCTGACGTTTGGGAGTCTGACTTACCTTCTAAAGGTTAGAACCCGAATCTTAATGAAACTATATCACCTTTGTTGCGTCGATGATGATGCATAAACATAGCATTTGATAGAAATTAGCGTAAATGCTTTTCCGACTTTTTCATTTTTCATCAATGTTGACTTCCGGGAAGGCGTTGTAGTTATCACGAAATAACGCATTGACCCTTGAACTTTACTTTGTTGACGTGTCAACCAAGCATGTCTGGTGTGAGAATTAAAAGAATATTAAGCAATGTTCTACATCCGCCAAGCTAAGTGAAGTAGTCAATATTAAAAATTACCAATTTCAAGTGAAGTACGCAACGAACGAAACTGCGTGATCTACACTCCCACTATTGGTCTGAATGAAATGCTACGTAGAAATATGAGCCGTCTGCTGTATTAGTCGATTAATAGAGAAAGACCTGTTGGTGATGCTTTATAATTTAGACCAAAACATTGAAGAACAAACGAACCTGTAAATCGTGAAAACAACGAACAAATATTCGGTTTTCACATATGTTCGGTAATTTTTCGTATTGAAACTTCCGGAACTTACAAGGAAATCATTCATTTTCTCGATCCATGATTTACCTCTTGGATGTTGTGGCAAATGCTCCATGGTTGACGGAACAAAGGTGATATGGTTTCATTAAGATTCGGGTTCTAACCTTTAGGAGGTAAGTCAGACTCCCAAACGTCAGCTAACTCTTATATTTAGCATGTTAGCGACGCAGACAGGCCTTGAAAAAAATAGTATATAGTCTAGGTATCATAGGGTCAAAGTTTACTCCTCCAATCTTCCATGGGCTTTCAATTCTAGTTGAAATCCCATGAATCTTTCAATAACAGCCTTTAGAATTGTAGTTTATGTAAATATAGACATATGAACATGCAATTTAGTTATGTTGCCACTACCCACCCATTCGAAAGAACTCCATGTACAATACATCGTCCAAATTGACTTGTTTTGGCATATTCTGTATCCAAATGTACTGGGTTTCTATCTTCACTAATTTCAGAAAACAGCCTCACATCTTCAGCTGTGAATGTCTTAGTTATCTCCGCTGTTTCTCCAATGTGTATGAAACGACGTGATAGATTGCATACAGTCCTCAGATTATTCAATAAACCACTAGCAAACATGATATTTTATGCTAATCTACCAAAATGGAGGAAGTAATAATTCACTTCCGGTTTTTGTAGAAACTGAAACTGGGCCACCTAGTTAGTATATAATGGTCTTTAAATGACTAAACACAATCACTGCATATTATTATACATAAATACAAATATAATTTTGTTGTTGATTGCTCATTTGATAGCATTGTAGCTTCGGAAAAAGCCACTTCTACACACTGAATAAGATTAGTAAACATGATCAGGTGATAGTAAAAACATGTGCATTTGTTATTGTCACGTGACTTCATTCATTGGTTATTTCTTCAATATCTTTGCAGTTGTTGAGAGTCATTGAGGATATCACATAACCACACAAGCAGACATCGTAATCTCAATATACATAAAAAGCTCCACAGATCTTACTAGCACTGTACGTGTATTTGATTTAACATGATATCAAAAACGTTTTCTTGTCTCGTTTGAAGGTTAAAGTTGAAACGGGTAACGTGGACCATACAAAAGCAAGTTTTCCTCACTCCTCCATCGAGAAAGGATAAATATCACAACTAGAAACATGGAATCTAAGCTAGACGTATGGGATTTTGTCGCTGTAGGTTTATACTTTGCCGCCGTCATCGTGGCAGGTTTGATAGTAAGTAAACTTTTTTGTTTTTTGAGGAAAAATATTGGAATTTTCCAAATGATTTAAATTTGATTGGGGACCTGTCACATTTCAATTTTCATGATGTGATTTGTCAAAGGTCCAAATTGTGATATTATATCACGGATTGTGGGACTTAGTTGCCTTTGTATTATCAATAACTAGACTCTATTAAAAGCCCATGGTATTATATACTCCAACTTTCCACTATATCCTTGTTCGAGAAATTGAAGTCTATCAAAACCTGCCTCAGTTATCTAGCCTACTCAGTTGCTGGAATTACACCTGAAAAAAGCGCCTCAAGTGAAAGCGTTTAACAAAATCGCCAACCTTATAACACCAACATTTCTTAAGCGCCTTAGGAGTTTTATTTTGAAATAAGACCTGTCATTTCTTGCACTTTTAACGAATTAGATATGGAGAACATCCAGCAGATGTGTACATCTACAATAAATGTATTCTTTTAGCATCTAAGAGAAAACGTAACCGAGACTTTTGCAATATAATTTGATGACCTATTGCATTTTTGGGTCCCATCCATCATTTCCTGTATTTTTGTGGTGGCCCAAAAATGTGTAGCATTCGAAATACGTCTTATTTCGTTTAGGGCAAATGGTAAGAACCCGGGTAAGGCGTTTTACAAAAGCTGATCGGTATTACACTACACTCCAAAAGCGCCTTGCGATTTAAGGTGTTTTTTAGTGACTAGGGTTCTAGGAGTTTTGGAAAAGCGCTTTTGTAAATCCGCAATTGTGATTACACCTATTTTTCAAACCGGGTTAAAAGCTTATACGCCTTTCTGAAACGTGTAATTCCAGCAAGTGTGTCATATATCATTCCAAATTTACTGAACACAGCTGGGTGTCAGCTCAGTAGAGTAATTCCAGATCTACGGCATGTCAGAGTCAGGCACAGATCCAGAGCCAGGTCAAACTGGTCAAATTTTTGTACAAAGGGGTGGCGCTGAGACTCAAAATATCTACCCCCATCTAGGGATTTTTTTCTCTAAAGATGGACCCACATCTAGGGGTTTTCTTTGAAAAATAGACCCACTTCAATGTAGTTTTTAAAAAACAAGACCAACTTCCAGTGATTTTTTTCAAAAACAATACCCAGTTTTATGATTTTTCAAAAAGTAGACCCAGTTCTAGGGATTTTTTCATCAAAATGGGACCCATATCTAGGGTTTTTTCTTCAAAATGGGACCCACATCTAGGGATTTTTTGGCAAAAAAGTGACCACTTTAGCAGCACGTCCCCATATAGCTAATATATGGGAGTCCCCCCCGGGGCCTGTATCGGCAACATTCCGAAGTCAGTCTGTCAACCGTGTGGAAATTGCAGTGGAATGTTTGGAAAACATTATCAATTTGAGGAAGCATTAGACTCGTTAACAAAAATAAATATATTATTAGTTAAGTAGTAAGTTACAATTAAATACTATAAAAAGTAATACAGCCTATTGTCAAGTGGATATAAAGCTAGGGACAGAAACAAATATGCAAATTAATTCACTATATCGGCCATTTTGAATAGCACTTCCCTTGTAAACAATTGTTTTTTTAAACCAAATTTAACATATTTTGGGCTCCCGGGATTGGGCTTATTGGCTGTCATCTGACATTTTCAGCCAATTTTTCAAAAATGTCAGAACTATAGGATAGTCTAATTATGGCCGTATTAGAAGTAGGCTACTGTAGCTAAAGCTAAAAACGGCATTTAAAAGTGCCAACAAAGCAAAGGAACCACCTTGTTGTATATAACCCAAAGACTATAAGTTTGCAAAGATATCTTTTACTTAAATATGAAATGTCTTCACTCGTTAAGAAAAGCCTCTCTGAAGGGAGGATTTACTAAATAAGTGTTCAAAATGACAGGTGCTTGTGCTGTTGACTTTTGTGGCCTTTACATCATGAATATTTGCCAAAACAGGCCACTAGAGATGAGCTGATTTCAGGTCCATTATGATTGCTAAAATTTACTTGTAAAATTTCTCAATTTACTGCATAAATCTTCTGTTAGTGGTATATTTTCAGAAACAACTGAGCAAATGGGCAAGATTGTGGTTTTTCTGGGCACTCTGACCTGGAATGATCAAAAATACCCCCATTTGACCATCATATGTAGCTTCATCATTTCTGATGGGCCTTCAAGAAGGCAATTAACTTACTAACTACTGTAACTCTGCAAATTATTTTTATTCAATATTTTCTTTGGGTGGGGGGATAAGAACCACTGATGTTGACTTAGCCAAGCAAGCATCTCATTGATCTATGAGGGAATCTGTCTTCAATGCATAATGCCTATGTCCATAGAGGCATGGTATCTACATGCTCGCCCATGCCTGAAAAGCATGTAACAAAATATAACAGAGTGGTCTTCTCTATTGATATCCTCTGCTCCATGCCTTGTGAGCATGCACAGGGGATACTGGCTGCAGAATGGTGTTTTCCATTGATACATTCTTTTGTACTATTATACTACAGACTGATTTATCTTCAGGTTGCTCTTAACTAATTTTGTAATTTATAGAAGTAAAGTTTCCTGTCTTTTTTCTGTGTTTGTACTTTTGTATACTGACTTATGCCTTGAATGTTATATTCAAATGCCTATTGAATTATCCTCCTGAATACATCATAGAAGCTTAGTAATTATTCTCAAGTTGATGACAATAAATAAGGAATGGGGCTTACAGGGTGGACCCTTCAGTAAAAGCAAGTCTGTAAGATGGGAGCATGATATATAAAGCCTTCCTTCCATAAACATAGATCCCAGAATTATGTGAGCAAAAATGTAATTATGCAACAAAAAACACAACATTTTGCGTTTGAAAATGCAATTTATGCGACTGTGTTGCGTCCTAACACACCTTTTGGCAAAACAAATTTTTGACACTATCCCTTATAAGAGTGATTTTGTGGTTGTTTGCAAGCCATAATTCAAGAGTGATTAAGTGCCTATGATTAACATCTGAATGCAAAAGACAAGAGATGATGTGACCAATACCAGGAGATTAAATGTGACTTATTGGCCTGTCAGGCTCAAAATTTTATATGGGGGGGGGGTTAGTTGATTGAAGTTTAAAGATTATTAGAATGTTATCAGAGGATTATATAGCACGTGTGGCTTCTATTTGTTTCTAAGGAGATTTATATACTATACCTAACTAAACATCTGTATATACATGTATATATTGGGGTACCGAGCCAACGAACCCCTAAAAGGGGGGTATTGGAGTTTACCCCAGAATTTTTTTAAAAATTAACATTATATATGGTGCATTTTAAGCATTTCAAACTATGCATTGTTTGTTTTTTTCAAAAAGTTTTACAAAATTGCTTTTTTCTTTTGGGGGTTGGGGGGAGGTGTTGCGATCGCACCCACCGCACCCCCTGGCTTCACCCATGTATATAACTAATGATGAGACAGTCTTCATTTAGGTTTCAGAGAGTTGGGAGTTAGTTTAGTTAAACAAGAAGATATTCTTAAATCCTATCATGCTAGTGCATAAACCAATAATCAAAATCAAAATATGTACATGTATCTTTTTTATTTATTGTCCACTTGATTTATTCAGATGAGGCCCTCCAAAATGTAAATGGTTTATGTTTTTGAGGTGTATCAATTAAATATAAGGTTAAAGAAATGAACAAAAAGTTTCTCTTTTTTCAAAGATTGTTATGCTGCTATGTTTTTTGCATATTATGTTTTGACCTTTACTATTTAAGCAGTGGTGCTTGCTTATTTTGTGAAGCCTTTTATTTTAATCTTCGTTGTCCTCCCATCCTCAGGTGAATGTAATAAATGGAGACAAGTTTCAGCATTCATGAATCTCATTGATGTGTTAAAATTGTTGGGACAAGAAGAAGAAGTTTGATAAATAATGTCAAAATATGTATATAACCAGGGGCTTCATTAGCACCAGGCAACAGGCGATTTTCACTGGTTGTTTTCACAAAATCTGTTGTTTTCAACTTTTCCATGTTTGATTTATTATTTCCATTAATTTTGCCTGTTTTCATTTATTTAGCCTGTTGTTAGAAATTCTAATGAAACCCTTGTATAACCCCAAGACCCAATAACGTGTTTTAGTTTCATGCCTATAAATGCTTTTTATTTATGATATTTTAACATACCCAGCTTACTGAGCTGAAATAACATTGTAAGACAGGTGCATTTTAAGTGGTCAAATGTTTCTGTGGATTTATGGTAAAATGTATTTAGACGGCCTTGTGTCCAAGGTATGATATATTACAAGATGGGCCATAAAATATGGAGAAATGTTTTAAGAGGGAGAAGTGCCCTTCAGAAATACCACTGAATGAATTAAGATCTACCTGTTTTCTTGCATGCAATGATTAAAGATATCATTGAAAGACATTCCACAGGGTGCATTTCTTTTACCTATATTCTTTAGTTATATTCTTTATTTGGATGAGGACTTTTTATACCAAATTTTTGATTTGTTCACAAGTTGTTTTTAAGTAAAACTATCATATGGTGATGTCCTCAACACTGAAACAACAGGGTGTTACCCCCAATTAAACTGAGTACATGTACTTTGCAGCCAGGAGGTGAAAATAAAAATACATGTGACTAGTTAAAATTTTTTAAAACAGCTTGATAAATTTGGATTTGAAGATGGTGTGTACTAAATTAAGATCCTGTTTTTATTTGATTTGAAAACTATATTTTATTCTGCGTAGCTCAATCAGTAAAAAAACTGATCTTCTTAGAGGCCCAAGGAGAGTTTACTTCCACATAGCCTAGTTTCACAAATGGGTAGACCTAGGTTGATTTTGATAACCAAAATAGAAGCCAATCTACCCTTTCATATCTTATCAAATCTAAGTAACACATGTAGTCACAATCATTGTTTGCCATTAAAGCCTCATAATGATTGTAAATAAACATGTTAAAGATCTTAACTTTATTTTTCACCTCCTCTTATCAAATATACGTACATGCTTCAGAAGTATGACACAGTAGTTCCAAATAAGTAGGGTAAAAACAATAACAGACAATAACAATACAGATGTACTGCCTTTTTCATATCTTTGTTTACATGTTTTACCTTGGATTTTAAGCTACATTGTGGATGGAGCTTCTTCATACTAAGTTAAGATGACACCAATGGTACTACATTGACATATCTATTTCATGTGACCTCAATTTTGATTGACTTTGTACCTTTCAGTATTGCCTTAGTCATAAATTTTCATTTTGATTGAGATAAATATGATTTAGACTTGTGGCCTTTGAAACGACCATTACTCTATTAAAAATACGTAAACCCCTTCATTTATGATAGTGTGGGGACATACACCTCTCTGTGAAATGATTAAGGTGATTGTATACCTTATGATATCGTTACAACTACAATACATATATTGTACTTTGTTACCACAGATACAGTGATGTTAAATCAAGATGTTACCATTGTAGTTCATTCTGGTTGTTTGCACTTTCAACATTTTCCCAGGTTAAAGCAAAGGAACAATGATTTTATGAGTGTTTAGTTTTTGTCCATACAATTGTGTGATGTTGTCCTTAAAACATGTTGTGATTTTCATGAATGTATAATTTTGACAAATGCTATTAATGCAATTGATGTCCAAGTGTCCAGAAACAAATCTTACCTCTGAAGCTCTTATACTCATTCTCTCTCAAACTTTAATTTGATGCAAAACGAAAGTATTAAAACTTGACCGAAATACTTATAATTTCAGATAACTTTTCCAATTCTACCTTCTTCATATATATCTTTTTTCAACTTGATACATAAGAGTTTTCATAATTCTCAAATCATCAATGCATGGCATATTAGATATTCTCTGTATGATTTAATCTTATACCATAGTCCTTAACCCCATTTTTGTATTACAAGTTAAAATAACATTCAACTCCATAAGTTTATTAAAAGGAGCTATAATGACCCTAATACAGTTTTAAGATTTTGTCTTTTCTTTGTTTTTTAGTCGATGTGTCGGAACAATAGAGGGACAGTGAGTGGATACTTTCTTGCTGGCAGATACATGATTTGGCTCCCGGTAAGTTAACATGCCTGACCCAGGCCCGTAGCCAGAGTATTCGATATGTTTGAAACACCCCACACCCCCACCCCTCCCCATTGCTAAAATTTCTTTCGAAATCAATGCAATTTTTCACCATTCTGAGCACTTTTTAAGTGATTTTATCCATTTTGGCAAAAGCTGGCTTCGGGCCTCTTACCAGTTTGATCAATACATGTAGGTGTTATTTGATTGGAGGGAAGGATATGTTTTTTACTCTGAAGGAGAATGTGTTACTCTACTTGATCCATGAGTTAGGTCTTCCAAAATTTTAAGATCTTGATTCAAGAATGTTTATTTTGAACTTAACTCAAGCATCCCAACCTGTTACAATATTTTTATAGATTTCCCATATAATGATGCTTTAGTACTTTATTTGTAAAACATGCAAATATTAACACAATGAGTTAGTAAAGTGACATAGTTGTGTGAATAGTTCAAGATGATCATTTGATTTAGATTTTACATGTGTACCTTTGTAATTTAGGTAGGCATTTAGGTATGTTTAACATGTGAAATAATCTTCTATTAGATATTAATTGTAACTTAAGCCATTTGTCTATTGTTTTCCTAAAGGCCCTGTGAAATGTTATTCCAAAATTTTTGAAAACAGTTTTAGCATTCAATTAGATCTTAAATTTTTAAGTACAGATCTTTACTGAACCTGATTTTCATACTTGTGGGTTATTTTGTCACTCATTTCAAGTATTTTCATGATTTCTATTCTGAAATAGCCTAGGATGATACTTTTATTCTATTATCAGTGGTATTGAACACTGTTTATTACAAGATGTATGTGTTTTTTTCTGACATACAGTTTAAGGAAAAAGCTATAAATCAACATTTTGGACAAAAAAGTTGTTTCAAACATACTTTTTGAAGTTTTAGACTGAAGTTACACATATCATATCTTGATTCTTGATTTATTCAATATAATCCAAAAGGTATAACCCCAATATTGGCCTAGGTATATATACTTTTGAAAAAATCAAAAACATCATCCATCATCATGTCCACATCATTTCAAAAATGGACAAAAAAAGTATTGGACAGTAGATATAAGAAATTGTTCTTGATATCTCGAAATGTAACCCTACTCCCTATAATTTAAAAGATAAATGTAGATTATTTAAACCCCCATATAATGAACATTTTGATATACACCTGCCATGATTGGGGTTAGCATTCCATAGTAGCCCACAAACTTTATGTTCCAAATATTTGACAGGATTTCTCATTTTATGTAGGATTATGGAATCATACCAATACTAATATTTAATTCAATTGCTCTTGTTCCATGCCAGATCAAACAATAATTATATATTTGCCAAGAATGGTTTGGAATTATCACTGGCGGATCCAGAAGATAACAAGGAGGGGGGGGAGATATTTTTGGGCCCCTAAATAAAACTGGGCCCAAAGTTTGAAAATTTAAGGCCCATTTTTTTATTTTGATAATGTGGCCTAAAAAAGCCCAAAAAAGGCCAAGTAATGCCCAAACTTTTTCTGACTTTTGAATTTTTTCTGCCCCCACCAAAGGGGGGTGGCCCCATGGGCCGCCAGTGATTATACTATGTATTATTACTATATCATCTCATTAGGACATGCATTTTTCCACAATACAATGTCCCAGAATGGGGGAAGTCCTTTACCACAAATAACACTGATATTAACAAAATTATACAGTAATAGAAAGGTGTATTTTATAAGCTACACTCCTATCACCTTTACATGGCTCAGAACATTATTATGTGATCAATAAATTTTGAAAACAGAAACTTTGAACCAATGTTTGAAGTGAAATCAATATCAGCTACACATGTTATGTGACAGTCTCAAGTGGTATGTGTTAATACTATTGAAATCACTTATGTCTTACGATATTTTGGAGAATCTCTACATATTAGAATCAAGACAAAATGTGGGTAAAACTAACTAAAAAAGACTCATTATTAAACTACAGGGTGTTAAAAAAAAAACGCAACCCAAATAAATCGCGATATCTTGGAAAATACTGATCCAATTATGTTCATATTTTCCGGAAAGAAAGAAGAGACTGTGTATGTATAGCCCCTGTTGTTAGTTAGTTGTAAAACTTGATGTCTTGGACATTTGCTCAAAAGACAGTTGTACTAGCAAAATACGAAACACACGAATGGAAAATAACTATATATTGGAAAATACCAATTCAATTATGTTTATTTTTTCAAGAAAAGGAAGAAGAGACTGTGTATGTACAGCTCCTGTTGTCAGTAAGTTGAAAAACATGATGCCTTGGACACCTGCTCAAATGACAGTTGTACTAGGAAAATATGAAAACGCAGTCAGAGGTGACTGCCACAGCAATAAAACCAAATAACTTTCTAACCATGGTGTTTTGGCACTTCAGATTTGGCATAAATTATCCTCATTCAATATGTGGTTAATTTGTGGAGTTTCATTAAAATCACTCCAGGGACTTAATAGTCATGGTCAAAATGCCTTCTTAACTCTCCCTGAACCAGGGCGTTTGACTGTGATTTGAAAGCATTTCAACCATGACAGTGAAGTCCCTGAAGTGATTTTGATTTCACTCTACAGATTTATCATACAGTGAATGAAGATGATTTGTGCCAAATTTGAAGAGCCAAAACACTATGGTTAGGTAGTTATTTAATTTTTTTGCGGTTGCAGTCACCCCTGGCTGCGTTTTTCGCATTTTGCTAGTACAACTGTCTTTTGAGCAGGTGTCCAAGGCATCATGTTTTACAACTAACCATTGACAGGAGCTATACATACACAGTCTCTTCTTTATTTCCTGAAAATATGAACATAATTGAACCAGTATTTTTCAAGATATAGCAATTTTTTGGGGTTGCGTTTTTTTTTTGAACACCCTGTACTAGAAAACGGACCACCTCCAAATTCAAACAGTGAACACTCATATATGAGAAATTAACCTGCCTAACTGAACACTTTTCACAAAATATGACATATTTTTCTCATAAATTTGCTCAAATATTTTATATGTCACACTGATTTCTTATCAAATGGTCTTAATCATAATGGTTCTTTCTAGCATGACTAAATTCATTTGATTTGGATTTTGGAATGCCATAAATCCATGTGGTCAATAGAAATATTAATATTCATTCAGAATGTATTTATATTTCTTCAAAATCCAGAATCTTGCATTTTCAAAAACCTTGAAATCCTAATCTGAACATTTTTAGCTGGTCCAAATAGCTTTTAGATTAGACAGGTTTTAATGTACACCTGTTATATTCCAGATGTATGGATACAATACCAAATGTCTATATGGAATTATAGGGTTTTGTAACACTTGATGCATAAAGAAAAGTATAAATTATCTTGATCATCCCAGTTTTTGGACATCATTATCTTTGTGCAAAGTCCAGGCTTGTAAACCAAGTGAACATACATGTATTTCCTTTTTATAGGAGTATTAATGTACTGTGTTTGTTGGAGGCAATTGGAGAATCCTTGTCTATAGTATTTTTTACAGATTGGGAAAAGTGCCTCAAATTGCTCCAAATTAGCTGGATTTTCTGAGAAAAGATATTTGAATTTCTAACTGTAGCACTAATTGGTATTTAAAAAAAATTGTTGAATAGAAATCTCTTATTTTTGATCATTTTGATCATCTGCAAATTACTTTTTATTGGTTACAAAAAATGTCAGAAATACTAATTATTCAGAATCTACTTTTTCAAAATTTATAAATTTATTTGAATAGATGAGAGAATCATGAATTATAGTATGTAATTTTGTATTTCAGGTAGGAGCATCCCTGTTTGCAAGTAACATCGGAAGTGAACATTTCATAGGCTTGGCAGGCTCAGGAGCTGCTGCTGGAATAGGAGTTGGGGCATTTGAACTTAATGTAGGCATCTTTGTCATATCTTTAGTCTTATTCTGATTCCTTATCAGTTGTTACATGAAAACTACATGAATTATGCAAATGAAATTAAGAATTTAAACTCTGAATAGATGTTTTTATCACACCATCGGTGGGCGTGGGATATAGTCGTCATGATAACTGCATGATTGTGATCGTCATTTCAGGAAAACCACTCATCAGATTTTCTCAAAATTCACACACATGATAGAGTATATCAAGTTTTAGGCCTGATTTACTTTTGGGTGGCCATTTTGTTTTCTGGTGGCCATTTTGAAGGTTTTTTGATAAATCTTGTCATCACCGTTTGTGGAAAACCGCTCATTGGATTTTCTCCAAATTCGCACACATGATAGAGAATATCAAGTTCTAGAGTTTATTAACTTTTGGGTGGCTATTTTGTTTTCTGGTGGCCATTTTGAAGGTTTTTCGACGGTGTTATCTCGTTCACATCATGTGCCTTATTTAAAAAAAGAAATAGTTTTTCGTATTTATCTTTTCTAGTGTCAATCTTTTGTTCATCCTTCACTGAGTGTATAGTCTGATTACAGTGACATCTTTTATTTGCTATTAATTTATGATGAGTAATTGCACTTAAGTGTTGAGAATTGTTTTAAATCACCTTTTGACTAAGAATTTTATCTGTTCGTCTGTCTGTCTGTTAACACATGGGTAGCTCCATGACTATTGAAGTGGTATCAGTGGCATCTCAAAAGGTCATCTTGTTTCAAAATGGTGGCCATTTTTTGTTAAAAACCTGGGTGTCAGCTCTGTTTGGTCATATCATAATTCCACAAATATTCCATCTATTTGCTTGAAATTGTACTGGTACCTTAATTTATAGGTTATCAATGATGTACATATTTTGGCAAAAGATGTAGCAAAGATTCAAGATGGCCTCCATTTATTGTTGAATCAGGTTTTCAGCTTTTTTGGTCATAAATCCACTAATATTCCACCAATTTTCTTTAAACAATATTGTCTCAAATTTTCTCCAAAACATGTCACAAAGATTCAAAATAGCCATCATTTTTATCATTGAAATATCACTTTTTATATGTTAAGAATCAAAAAGTATTACATTGATTTGCTAATTGTACAGACAGCAAAGTGTATAGGTTAACAGTAATATCTAGAATGCACTTTCACCATGTGAGCTCAGTACCCATGGTACTATTTATTAAAATCTCAATTAGGTGCATTGCACATTTGCTTTACTGCTTGGAGATCACTGATTCTATATTCTATCATGTGACGTTGGCTAAGATGTTCAGATGACCTAACAACAATGTAATAATTCAGGTTTTTATGTTACCTTGCAACAATTTGTCATGTTCCATCAATGTTTTGGAAAAAATGTCAACCTTTGATCACAATACATGTATTTTGTTTTTGAATGTTCTATTGTTCACCCATAGTATGTAATTATAATTATTATTTGTTTAAATAATTGATAGAGTAACAATAATAAAGGTACATTTATTATATGAACTACATAAAAATATGAAAATATTATCTAATTCGTTAATTATTGGTACATGTAATTATATACGTGAAAATTTAAAAAAAACTACTTTGTTTAACATGAAAACTGCCGACTTTAAGAAAGACATAATGCTCTTAAGGTCTTGAAAATAATTTATAACTATGTAATTGAGAGATGTATGCCTCTGAAAAGCAACTCGTATAATTTGTCTTATGTTCCAGGCTGGCTTCCTGCTGCAGTTGCTAGGGTGGGTCATGCTGCCTGTCTATATTGCCAGTGGGGTAATTGATAATTTTTTTTCATGTTATCATTTTATGATTATGTCACTACTTGTCAAAAGTGGTGACATATTGTTCCCAACTTTTTGTGAATGCCATTCAACATTTGGCATCTGTAACAAATGGCAAGTGCTGACATTTTGCATGTTAATGTCTCATTTCAAATATTAACATATTAAAATATTAGTTAAATTGAAGTTAACAGATAAATTATATTTATTTTACATCAAGAAATAAATTAAGTATGTGATGTGTATCATGGAATCTTGAAGGATTCCATTTTCATCTATTATCATTTTTGTTTATTTGTATTATTCATTTTGTTGATATCAATATTAGCACCAGTCATAGTCAGGAACATGAATGAAGTTGATAAAATGATATTTGATAAAAATCAAGTGGTTATCAGTATTTTCATGAGTTGAGAACATTGAATGAGAGAAAATGTTGAAGTCCATACTATAGAATATATAGAATTTAGCTTGGGTTATGCTATGATATTAAAAATAAGAGGGTAATTCCTTAAATATATTTTGGATATGTTTTTTTAATTTTAATCCATTCAAATTGTAATGTGTAATGTGATATAAAGTTATGGAATTAGAAAATATGGAAATCATGGCAATAACAACTACATGTACTTACCGATATTAATTTAAAATATTTCAACTTTTTTAACTTTTTTTGCAACTAAGCGCAGTTTAAGAAACATGAAAATATAAATATTGCATACAGTACATGTAGTTTTCTCAAGAGATATTCATGTTTTCTTCAGAATTAGATTCTTAATTCATAATGAATACTTAAAATTCAAGGCAAGCTTAGTATTGGATTTGGGCAAGAGTTGAATTAAAAAAGATTGAATTTTGATTCATGGTATCAATAGCAATCTAATAGCTTTTAAATCCAGTATTGGATAGACATACATCCAATGCTAGTTCTTCACTCTGCTGTAGGTCAGAAAATCTATAGAAATCACTTTCAACATTTCTCACCAAGATCACATCGGTGTGAAATCATCAAATAAAATGCAAATGGCCTCCGACAGGCTACTTTTAAGCTTTTAGTATTGTTAATAATTTAAGTTAGTATGGGTAAACATACACTTTATCAAACGAAAGAAGTAGCAAAAAACACACTGTGAATGAATGAATCAGAATGAAAATAATTTTTGTTTTGAACAAAAATGTCCAAAAATGACTTCATTTTGTTAGAAAGAAACAGATCAAATATTCTAGATGTGCTTATTGTGTCAGTAGTTTGGTAGCTTTTAAGTAGCTTACCTCAGTGTATCCAATTTCTTATCGAGGTAGGATTATTGATTTTCCCATGTTTGCAATATAGAACAGCAAGTGGTTAGAAAACTGTATTCACAGATTGATCAATCCCCATAATTCTAGAACATTCTACCCTAGTCAGCACTTACATTTAGGAGAATAGATTATGATAATGCACCCTATTTCACAACAATACCCTCTAAGCACGGGGATTTTTATTCTTCCACGTAGGCAGTTTTGATTTTCAATAACAAGGTAATACAATGTTGTTTTGCAATGAAAGCTTTGTTATGAATGGAGTCATTTTGTCCTTGTGTAGGGGTGACAATGACGGAAATTTCCATTGAACCAGTTCAGTTTGGAAACAGAACAATCAACCAAATGTACTTTATGATGGAAAGATCCAGTTTTTGCCCTGTCATCAACATAAGTCACCTTGATTACTGTTGGGAAGATTGTGATATTACACAGTATCATTTACAAGTTGTGTAAATTGTAATTTTCACATCAAGTTTAGTCCTTTCAATGAATGCTCAAGTAAAAATATTACCCAATGTTATCTTTCTCACACAAGGTTGCCACTCTCCCACAATTCATGCGCAGGAGGTTTGGTGGGACCAGGATCCAGATTTACCTCTCTTGTCTCTCACTGCTACTCTACATCCTTACTAAAGTCTCAGTAAGTAAAAACACCCATATACACCCATTAAAGGTTCTGTGTAATGTTTCCAGAAGTGTACATCAATTATTTAAAGGTTCTGTGTAATGTTTCCATATGTTTACACCCATTGTTTAACGGTTCTGTTCTGCGTTCTGTCTCGTTAATTATACATCCATTATTTAAAGGCCTCATGTAACATCTCTGACTAATATCTGGTAATTAATTTCTGGCCAGCATAATTTCTCTATAAGCTTACATCCATTGTTTAAAGACCCTGTGTAATGTAAATGTCAGTAATTATCCATTTATTAAAATAGATCAGGATATCATGCATCTAAAAGTCAACAAACTTTCTTCAAAAACAATTTTTCCAAGCTTCGACAATTATAAAAAGAAGGTTTATATCTAAGTTTATTGATTGAGTTAGTTTCATTACAAATTATATTTTAGGGTTATTTAGAGGGCAATTACGTCTATTAACACTCCAAGTCAGGAAAATATGATATTTTAATGATTAAAAAACAATTTTACATTGGGACTTTAAATAATGATAAATTATAATTTTTGAAAAAAGTTTTAGAGGAGATACACATATACTCAAGCAATGTTATTATAATATTGGAGGGGAGAATGTTTCTTAGACAAATGTTTATAGCAACGTTTTAACTTTTGTTAAAAGGTTATTAATTGTTTGCAGGTAAACCTTTATTCTGGAGCTATATTCATACAACAAAGTCTTGGGTGGAATATATATCTTGCAGTGTGCTTGTTGCTCCTGGCAACTGCAATTTGTACAGTTACAGGTAATTGTTAGCTCGTCATTTATTTAGATAAGTGGGTTATTTCCAAAAACAATGTCAAAAAACTTTGCCCCAAAACAAGGTCAGCCAAAAAGTATAAAAATACATAATAGTGTTTTTTTTTAGTGTTTTTGCTCTCCTCGGAAGAAGTTCAACTATACTGTCTTAGACCTCTCTTGAATCTATAATATCTCATATTTTACTGTCATACTTTTACATAGCAATGTTAGAATATCATGGTTCGCAACCTTGTGTTGAACTCAATGAAAATACCTTCATCATTGTACAAAAATGGATGCTTGTAATACATACAATTCTTTGTGTAGTAAAGTAAAAGAGTACATGTATGTTATGTTAAGCGAAGGCCCTGTATACCCTTGTATACTCTTTCTGCTACTAATATACAAATATTCTATATTGATGTGTGTCTTTCACAAGCAATATTCCCTGAACCCCAAAGGGTTAGGGCCTGTTGAACTTGCGAAAGATCCTTGGGTATTCACCCGAGATAGAATGAAATATTTGTTTTATTATTCACTTTCAATATTCCTCTCTAGTCTAGACCTCTCTAGATCTTCACTGATGTTTTTGATGCTTTTATAATGTTTTTTTGAATGGATATTACTATGAATTCTATCAATTTCTTATGACAGTGAATAATGATTAAAATTATATTGTTGATGTCACATTCCTCACTCTCTGATTGGTATATGTCCTTCACGTGACTAAAAGATAACAGGCGATATTCAGTGGAAGTCACGTGAGTGAATAATAAAACAAATATATGATTCTATTTTCGGTGAATATCAGTGGCACTTTCACAAGATGATATACCACTACAATTGAATATATGTATAATATTCAGTAGCAGTTTAAGCACAATATATATATTGGTATTTATCATATTAAATAGGTGCATCACCTGCCAAAATATAGAGTACATATCGTGCATTTACCTGAAATATTTTAATATAATTGTAGTGTACATTTACATACACATATACATGTACTTTTACCATTCTGGAGGTGGTCGGGTACATTTCCATATGGCATATACATGTACTTTTACCATTCTGCAGGTGGTCGGGTACATTTCCATACACATGTACTTTTACCATTCTGCAGGTGGTCTGGTACATTTCCATATACATGTACTTTTACCATTCTGCAGGTGGTCTGGTACATTTCCATACACATGTACTTTAACCATTCTGCAGGTGGTCTGGTACATTTCCATATACATGTACTTTTACCATTCTGCAGGTGGTCTGGTACATTTCCATATGGCATATACATGTACTTTTACCATTCTGCAGGTGGTTTGGTACATTTCCATACACATGTACTTTTACCATTCTGCAGGTGGTCTGGTACATTTCCATATACATGTACTTTTACCATTCTGCAGGTGGTCTGGTACATTTACATATACATGTACTTTTACCATTCTGCAGGTGGTCTGGTACATTTACATATACATGTACTTTTACCATTCTGCAGGTGGTCTGGTACATTTCCATATACATGTACTTTTACCATTCTGCAGGTGGTCTGGTACATTTCCATATACATGTACTTTTACCATTCTGCAGGTGGTCTGGTACATTTCCATATGACATATACATGTACTTTTCTCATTCTTCAGGTGGTCTGGCGGCTGTTATATACACTGACACATTGCAAGCTTTGGTCATGGTCATTGGAGCATCCATACTGTCAATTCTAGGTAAAATATTTGAAATTCATTGCCATTTTCAGAAGTCTCTTGGTTTGACAATTGACAATTTAGGCATTAAAAGTCATATTTGGTAGCTGTTCACTATGTGACCACATGGCCCTTTATTATCCCAACAAACAAAGTTTGTTAGGGATATACCAATGGCCTCCATCCATCTGTCCGTCAGTTCATCCATCTTTTATTCACTCAGTCCATCTGTCCGTCTGTCCAAATTGGCCACCTAATTCAAGAATTTTCAATGATTAGGAGATCTCTATGGCCATATTATACTTGAATGTAACATATTTCAGATTTATTAATAATTTGTTTGTTGGGATTTGCTACTTTATGGAGTTGCCATTTTCTATTTATTTTTCCTTTTACTCGTGGTAATTTCATTTATTAAACTGACTGTTTTTACCTTTTACCACAAGGAATTGAATTCGCAAATGACTAAAATTTAAATGTGCTTTGTATTATCTAGGCTTTATGCGAGTTGGTGGAATGACTGGCCTTCGTGAAAAATATATGAATGCCATACCTAAAGTTCCAAACTCGACACTCGCATTTTACAACTACACAATGATGCCAAACACTACATGTGGTGTGCCAAAGGACGACTCCTGGATTATGTTACGTAATCCAACCACTAGTGATATGCCGTGGCCAGGTTTCATATTGGGCCAAACACCAGCCTCTGTTTGGTATTGGTGTGCTGATCAGGTAGTAATGTTATATGGGTATTAGAAGTGTAAAAAATAGAAAAAATGATTGGAGTCAAGTTCAACTTTAAGACCCACAGTTTTCATACCTTGGAATCTGAGGCTAAAATTCCTGCCCAAAATCCTATTATTTTGTCATAGATGGAGGGTTATGATGAATGAGATATCATTTTATTCAGCCTACGTAATGGTGATTCTTATGTATTAGATAAATGGAAGTGCAGCAGTCAGCCTCATTAGTTGCCAATTAAGGGCCATTAATATGCTTCAAAAGCAATCTGAATAGAATTGAACCAATGAGATCCCAGCAATAAATTATCTGATCGACCCATGTTAAATCCCACATCAGTCAGATGTTTTGTTTGTTTTTCAAATAGAAAAAGGGTCATGTAAGGTCATATAGACAGTTCCACATTTACCACATCTTCTGAAACTTTACCATGATATACTCAAATATTACCACATTTCAAAAAGAAGCACAACATGAAAATATTGATAGCATCAGATGTACTCAGTACTACATGTACTAAAAAAGTACCAGATGTACTCAGACAGTACTACATATACTCAAACAGTATCAGGTGTACTTGGAGAGTCCTACATGTACTCAAATAGTATCAGATGTACTCATTGAGATCCACATGTACTCAAATAGTATCAGATACACTCAAAAAGTACTACATGTACTCAAATAGTACCAGATGTACTCAGAGTTCTTCATGTACTTAAATAGAACCAGATGTACTCAGAGTTCTACATGTACTTAAATAGTACCAGATATACCTAGAGAGTACTACTTGTACTCAGGTAGTACCAGATAATCAAGTAGTACTCACAGAGTTTTACATGAATTAGAATAGTACCAGATGTACACTGAAAGTTAACACATATACTCAAATAGTAGTAAATGTCCTCGGAGAGTATTACATGTATATAAATACTTTCACTTCTACTCAGACAGTACTACATGTATTCAAACAGTACCACATGTGGTCAGACAGTACTACATGTACTCAAATAGTACCACATCTTCTGGAACTTTACCACATTTTTCAGATGATGGTCCAGAGGGCATTAGCTGCTAAGAGTCTTTCCCATGCCCAGGGAGGTACCCTATTTGCTGGATACCTTAAGCTGCTCCCTCTCTTCCTCATGGTTTTACCTGGGATGATTAGTAGAGTGCTTTACACAGGTAAAATATCATCTTATATTTCTCTTGTTTGGTTCTTATAAGTTGGAGGGGTTTGATTTTCATATGTTGCCCTTTGAGCTTTCCTTCTCATACAATCTGGGTCATTTGATGAATATACAGGGTGAGCCAACTTTAAATCAGGATAAAAATAGCTAGGTTCAATATGATACATTGATTTATATATCATTTTAAAGGTAATCTATTTTCAAACAATTTGGTATATAACACTATGTCATGAAATCAATATTAAAGTTATACTTATTTGGGAGGCCGGGTTGCTATTTGTTGTTATAAACATGTGAAACCTGTTATTGTTTTAGATGAGGTTGCCTGTGCAGATGAGGTGACATGTATGGATGTGTGTCAGAACCCTGCTGGATGTTCCAATATCGCATACCCTAAACTTGTGCTGGGCATCATGCCATCAGGTATTTAATAACGAGTCTCCTTATTTGGATAAGTTACATAGATTTATTAGAGGTGTCACAGGTCAGATATTTTTGGGGTCAGGTTGGGCCAGAAAAAAGTGTGCGGGTCACATAATTTTGGGTTGGGTCACAAGAAAACAGAAAAAGGAATTTGATGAACCAAATGAATTGTTGAACCAACAAAGTTTTTAAAAACATCTTTTAAGAACGGTAAATTATTTTCTTTTCGTACTTTATATATATTTACAAGAAATAGGGCAGCTAGAAATTTGAAACTTTTGCTGGGAATATTTTTTGATAATTTACAATATTCCTGAGTGTCCTGGCCCGACCTGAAATTGGTAAGTAGTTGTTTGTGACCTGACCCAAGCCTTCCGATTTCAGGTCGGTGTGACATATCTACAATTTACACTTGATTCATTCTCTCATCCTCCAAATGCAGGATTCTAGACGTTATCCACTCTTCTTGCCTTGAGAAAAATCAAGAAATGGATGTCTGGAGCCTGCATTCAGAGGACACCATTCTCTTGAAATGCATTGAAATGTAACATCTATTGAATAATCTTCTATGTAGAGTATGTATGACAGTAAAATCAAATTTTCCACTTTTGAGACAAGAAATTCATACAGTCTCACTCAGAGTCCTGAGAAGGTGCGATATTTAGCCAAATTGTCTCTGTTTATACGAGATGAGGCATGTGTCAGTTCATGGCCTGGCTAGATTGAAATGTGACAAATTGACTGGCCATTTTAATTGAATCTATTGACCTGTTATTGCTCATTTTGGGTCAGCATGCTAAACCTGAGTGGAGGAGCCTGTTACCATGGCTACAACCACTTAACTGGCCAATTACCAAGACAAGGCATCCATGTTTGCTTTACACAGCCAGTTCACTGGCCAATTACCAAGTCATCCATGTTTGCCTTCTCAGGGCTCTGGGTAATACTGAATAATACTGAATTTGCAACTTACTACTTTGCTTAAAGATTATAAGTTATGCTTTTTTCCAGATTTCCTGGATCTGCCCAAGCCAGGTTTAATCACTATAAAGGTGTTGAATATTTTCAGATTTACTTTTTAACCTTTTTGATTCTTGATCATTCTTTAAATAGAAATTGGGTTGCATTGGATTTTCTACCATTTCAATGCCATTCATGTTCTATTTGAGGTATATTTCTTGAAGGTGGGTTACCTCTCTCCATTGGCCTGATAAATCTTGAAATCCATTTTGCAATGTCAGAACAAAGGGGTTTTAGTCTGTTTTTGCTTATTACTATGGCATTATCATGTTTCTCAATTGTCAATGTGACCTCAAACATCATTTCCATGGTGTGTCTGTACCTCACTCTGTGATTGGTTAGTAGTGTGTCATGTGACAAGATATGTATTTGTAGTACAGTGGTATTTGAAATCTATTGAAAAAACAGTTCATTATTGATTATCCCATCGAATGAAGTACGTGGGGATACAGAAAACGCTTTTGTCCGTCCATCCATCCATCCATACACATCAGTTCACATATTTCTGTCCCAGTGATAACTCGAATACCATCGGCCTGATATAGTGTTCATACTTTTTACTCATATGCCCTACATGAATACAAGTTTGCCCGAAAGCCAATTTTGAAAATGGCTGCTGCTTTCAAAATGACCATCATTTAATTGTTGATTTTATACTTCTTTGTCAAGACAGAATTAAATGAAATAAAACATGGTGGCCATCTTGAAATATGGTGGCAATTACATGCTATTTTGTGGTGTTGCTGTATCTCAAAAAGTAGTGAAGCATTTTGTTGGATATTCGATCTATAAATAGTTGTATGCATGGCACACTGTCTTTTGATGATTTAACTTTAGTAGGCCATTTTGAAAAGGTGGTTGTTTTCATATGTGTTATTTCACATTGTATGCTGTACATGTAACTGGAAAGATATAATGGAATGATTTTGTTGATATTCTATATGTGAATATTTAGAGGCATAAAAACACTGTCTAGCAATATAATGTAACAATTTCAATTTTTTATGAGATGTTCAATGGGATTTGCTACACCTTGGTGTTGCTGTTATCTTGTTCTTTTTTATGTACAATTGCCAATATAATTGAATAGGAAGCCTTGTAACCTATAAAACTGCTGAATTCCTAGATGATGGTAACAAGTCTTTCTGTACACCTACTATAATTGTGTTCCAGGGTGTTAAATAGGTCATCTCCTCTACAGCCAAAACTAAGATACATGGTATCAATTGTGATATATCATTTTAAAGATCATCCAAAGTAAATTGATCGGTACATGTATAGATCTGATACTTGTCAGTCAATGTCACAAATTGCTTCATCATATCAACTGAGGTGACCATTGACCTAGAAACACAATTTGACATATTTGGCAGGATTTTAAGAATTAGGCATCAGAAAAGTCAAAGGAACTCTAGATGACAACATTTGTGTATGGCAGTAAATTTAACCAATTTGTAGATAAGGTTAGATGTGTAGCATATATGGGAGCAACGGATAGTGTTGAAGACAGTGGAATGCAAAAAATTGACTTTTTGACATAATGCTGAGGTCATATCCTTCTCATTTTTACCAAATAAAAGCTGCTGAAGGAGGGTTCACTGACTATTAAGGACATTATGTAAAGGACGATTCTCGGTTTGGAGAACAGTCTCCTGGGCTAATAATTTTTTCATGAAAAGTATAGAAATATTACCCAAATTAAATTATGAATATTCAAAAGAGGACATTTAAATCTACAAGATGTAAAAATAACAAATTGGTCTGAAGCAGGGATAACACTCAATTTGACCGATTCAATAAAATACAAGTCTCGATTTGGGGAAAGAAGTTCATCAGTGTACTGCGCTAATATTTTTTTGCGAAAAATCTAGAAATATTACCCAAATTAAATTATGACTATTCAAAAGAAGACATTCAAATCTATATTATGTAAAAAAAATCAAATTTGTCCGAAGCAGGGATAATGCTCATTTAGATTGATGAACTTCGTTCTCCAAACCGAGAATCGTCCTTTAGGTAAATTTCATCCAAAATACTTGAGAGTTGGTAAGTTAATATTACTTTGAATGACCTTTTCAATGGTATATCACACAAGATGCCACCATTAAGTTGTATTTAGCTGTAGCAGGGGGAACAGGACTTATTTGACACCTTGTATCTATGTATATACCTTGAAATGTCCATTTTGATAGGTCTGAGGGGTGTAATGCTTGCTGTCATGTTGGCGGCGTTAATGAGTGACCTGACATCTATATTTAACAGTGCAAGTACATTGTTCACTATCGACATCTATAAACGTGTCAGGAAGTCACCCTCCGTCAGAGAGTTGATGTATGTTGGAAGGTATGTAGCTCCCATAAATATGGGTTCTTGTCCCATGATCAGTATTTACATACATGTATGTCTATTAGACTGTTACGTATAGTAGTTGAGCACCTCACATGTGCCTAAGTATAATATTGGTTGTTTACAGTGGTGATATAGATGAAAAGGAAAAATATGAATTTATATTTTCTTTCAGACTATTCAAACCTTTTTGGCAAAATTATCAGTAAAGATCAAATATGAAAAAATTCTGTATACTTTGTAGTAGAACACAGCAATAAGCAAACATGTGTAGCCATGGATTTTCATGAAAATTCATGGTTCAGTGAAAGTCACTGAAAAATTATCTTAGGGATTTTAAACCTCATTTACATTGAACTAAATACAATTGCAGAGGATTCGTTTTGATCATGGTGGTGATAGGCGTTGCTTGGATCCCACTTATTCAGCAGATGCAGGGGGGTGAACTGTATCATTACATCCAGTCAATTGCAGCTTACTTAGCGCCACCTATTGCCTGTGTCTATTTACTAGCTATACTGTGGAAAAGAGTCAATGAACAAGTTAGTATAGTCGTTATATAACATCCATATTTAAACTTTTAGAAAAGACAATTCATGCCTTATTTACCAAAATAGTTGTATTTCTACAAGAAGTTTGAGTTCCAATTGAAGCAGACAGTTTCGCAATTAAACCATTATTATATTTTTAAAAAGTTGATAAAATTTTGCTCATTTCTGCCACCATGGGATTGAAAGCCTGTGCTGCCACTAAATAAGGAGCATGCAAATTTCAGTTCTAAAATAAATTTATGCTCACATTAATTTTTATTAACCCATATACTTCAGGGAGCATTCTGGGGTTTGATGATAGGGCTCGTAGTAGGCATGGTACGCATGGTGCTAGACTTCATCTACAAAGCGCCATCTTGTGGAGAAATTGATACACGTCCTGGTATGATCGCCAAAGTGCACTATATGTACTTTGCCATGTTGTTGTTTTGGATCACAGGCATTGTCATGATAGTCATCAGTCTCCTCACTAAAGCCCCAGATGAAAAATTGGTATGGAATTTTTTCTTTATAAAAATCTCAATTTTGTATATGCACACGCAGAGACTATTTTATATGTCTCTGGCACACATCATGGACTTCCTTGCAAGCCCATTTGTCTATAGATCTCTATAATCGATTAATCATTTAGTCATCAGTTGGATTGGTATAACAAGTGCCTGGTTGTACTGTATTTTACTACAATCACTCATTTTCTGGGCATAATTCAGAAAAAATCATTTTAAAACATCTGAAATTTACGATCAAAAATAATATTACATGTTTTTGCATGTTGAAGCACAAAATACCAAATTGGGCATTGACTTATGCCGAGTATTTTTATTACTTTTTGTAATTGTAGCTTGTCCGAACGACATACTGGACACGGTTTGATAAGACAGTCCTTGCAGAAAGTCCAGTAGCCACTGATGAAGGGAGTGAGGATAGCATGAAAGCAGAAAAGGTAAAACAGTTGCATATTCTATTCATTTGTCAGAATGGTCGCATGTTTTGTATGAGAAATGTATGGAAAATATGGTATGAAAGTAAGTGTACCAGGTTGTTCAATAAATACATATAGTCAACACTCTAGTCTTGCCTCAAGCCTCTGGATGCCACCCCACCCCACCCCACCTCTCTTAAATCCAAAGTACACCAATGGGGCCTGTTGGAACTTCCATAGATTTAACATTGCATGGGATTTCATTGGGTCCCGTGAGACTTGATGGGTCCCACAAAGCCCCATCGAGAATGAACATGTTAATTCTTTCCATGGGTCATAATCAGGAGATGTGTCAGGTGACTTAGGATCAAAATGATGGTGGTAAAACTTTCTAAACTAAATTACATAATTTCTGTGGAGCAAAGTTAACGAGGTCTCATTGGACACGGTTAGACCCTCTGGGGCATAGTGGGATTCATTGCGGCAAGTGGGATTTTGCCCCATTGGTGTATGCTGGACTTTATCTACTTCACCACTAGTGAGGTGTGTAGTAGAGGGGGATAACAACGGCTTGTAGCTAGACTATCAACACTCTAAATTGTACAGAAATGACTTAAAACGAGGCAGGTCATTCAAATTTTAGAGGGAAAATGAAAACGACATCATTTGTACTTTCTTATTTCTTTCAAATATTTCACTGATGTATCTCATCATTTCCAGTTGCAATTGAACAGCAGGGGTGAATATGGTCAAGATGTTCAGGAGCAAGCTGGAGAGACTGATAAACTGACAGATAATCATACAACGAATATAGACAGCCATCTGAATGGGCACGCTGCAAATGGTGACCTGTCATCTCATGCCAAAAAGATTAATAATGATGTTGAAACGGCAGTGATGAAAGAAAAAGGTAATGTTGCAACAGTTAACTTGATTTGACCTGGCAACAGAATGGAATTTCGAAAATGATGCCACAATTATAACACTGCTCAAGACAACAAAATCTTCATCTTGACAAATGCCAATTAAAATGCTTTATTGGGGAAGTCCACTGAAGAGAGTGCCATAAATCAGAAACAAAAAAGTGAGGTCCTTGCATACATTGAACGTTTGATCAAAACCGCTACACATCTACTTGTATTCTGAGGACACTGAACCACATCATCAAAATCATCCATGTACTTTTATTCTTGATATTGCATATCAGTTTCATATTATTTTTGAAATACTTTTAATGTTATAATAATTGTACAATAAACATGCAATGTATTTCAGGAATTACTTTTCATTCATGGTGGTCCTGAAATTTTAGATATGCATAGAGGAAGTGTGAAACTACTATATCTCTATAGAATTTCATGTAAAATAAGAATTTCTGAGAAGCTTGCAAGAATTTTTGAGCTAACCCAAAAATCTCTTAAATTAAGAGTCTCTTAAATAAAGAGATTTTTGGGTTAGCTCAAAAATTCTTGCATATCAGTTTCATATTATTTTTGAAATACTTTTAATGATATAATAATTGTACAATAAACATGCAATGTATTTCAGGAATTACTTTTCATTCATGGTGGTCCTGAAATTTTAGATATGCATAGAGGAAGTGTGAAACTACTATATCTCTATAGAATTTCATGTAAAATAAGAAACTCTGAGAAGCTTGCAAGAATTTTTGAGCTAACCCAAAAATCTCTTAAATTAAGAGATTTTTGGGTTAGTTCAAAAATTCTTGCATATCAGTTTCATATTATTTTTGAAATACTTTTAATGATATAATAATTGTACAATAAACATGCAATGTATTTCAAGAATTACTTTTCATTCATGGTGGTCCTGAAATTTTAGATATGCATAGAGGAAGGGTGAAACTACTATATCTCTATTGAATTTCTTGTAAAATAAAAACTCTTTGAGAAGCTTGCAAGACTTTTTGAGCTAGCCCAAAAATCTCTAAAATAATTTTTTTAAGTCATAAAAAATAGTTAATGAATCATAAAAACATGCATGTATTTTCAAATTTTGCATGGGGCCTTTAACGATGTCATTGTTTTATTATTCAAGGTGGAGGAGATAATGTTGCGCTACAGACAACTGAAGAAAAACACCGTTCTATATTAAAGCGAGGCTATGACTGGTTTTGTGGATTTGACACTACTGAAGAAGGCCTACAAACTGCATTAAAACACGAAGCTCATTTACAGAAAATCACATCCTTAAAACAAGACCCTCGAGCGAAAATATTCCTCAACATAAATTTGGTGATCATCTTCATCATTGGTATATTTCTGTATATCTATTTCTCTATACCCCAGTGAGGTTTGCAGGATTGGCCTCTTGTGTGCTTTGACGTAGCCGATGTCTGCAAATTATGGCTGGAAAATATCAATCAAACCGTACCATGATGATGCAAAGTGATTGAATTAGGGGACATATGGTCATGTGAGAGGACAATGTATACATTACATATATGTGTTTATCTTAAGTTTCAATAGGATAATTTTCAAGTAATGGATAATTATTGTTTAGGATTAATACACGGAAGATAGTTCATTTCACCTTAACATCCGTTTTAAATGAAGATCTAAAAATATGAACAGCTTAAAACATCTTAATGTGAACATTAGTTTTATTGTGTTCTGAATTTTGGAGTAATTTTGAAAGTTGATAGCCTTGTAAGGTTGCCTTATTTTAAACAATTGGTAGATCTTTGATAAATACATGTATCCGATCATGATGTTGTATATGTATTTATATCCTATAAGTGTGAAACTTTAAAGTGGTACTAGTTATTGGATTATCTTGTTAAAAGAAGTTAATGTCAAACTTTGCTCTTTCGTTGAAGCATGGGCTTTCAAGTTGAAAACCCATGATTGAAAGAACTTTAAAACTTAAATGCAGTGTTTTTTTCATTTACATGTAATATGTAATGTTCTTTAATGAAATTGCTATTCAAGATGACATCACTTTGTACTGTACTTTTAGGTTTCTTAACTAAAACTGAAATTTTAACAAAATTAATGCATTCTAAAAGACAGCTGCAGATAACATAAAAATGACTTATAACAGTGGAAGAACAATTGATATGTGATTTACTTTGATTGTGTTCAATCATGAGATTTATAGGTTTAAGAGCCTTATGGAAATTGAAAGAGTTTATTGTACTCTTGCATCAACCCTTCGTATGCCACATTCTCTTTAACACAGCCTATGATAGAGAATAGAATGCAGGTAGAAGGGCTTGATGCAAGACTAGGTTTATGTTAAGTATAAAATGTATGTTATACTTTTTTTTAAAACTATACCTAGTACTGTTTAGTAGTTAGTACAATTGTGGTATACATTTAACTGTGATCAAATAAGAAACACATGTATTGTTACTAAATCTGACTTTGACAACATAACATACATTTACTGTAACTGTACGTTGATTACCTTAAAAGTTTAATACAAGTATCCTGCTTCATCATAATGCAGTATTTGAGTTCATACGATAAGCATCCTCTGATCACATGGCTTCAAAATCCAGAATATATTCTTTCTTTTTACCCCCTGCGATAAGCAGTTAGCATTTCCCCGATTAAGAACTCGCAATCTGATCGGCTGTCCCAACACTGCGACAGAAATCATGTATAAGTCATTGCGCATAATTAGATCATGTGATTCAGTTTAATCGGGCGCTTCCAAATTGGTTAAAGCAGGGGGAAGAAGGAGGTACGGATTCTTGATACCTGCTTAGGAGGATGACGATTAGCAGTTCTTTGTCTAGTCATTGTCAAAATCAGTGTTAGTTATATTGTGGACTGTAAAAAGTTCTGTAAGTCCACATTTATACATGTTATTCCAATATACAAAGTGCTTTCCCTCCAGAGTATGAACCGTAATATATTGTTAATTATATTTATAAAGTAAGCATTAAAGATGGAAAATAAGTGCTCAAAACAACTGAACATATTTTATGTATATGTATACTACTTTAGCTACCATATAATGGGCACATGTAACAGTGTATTCTGTAATTTATTTATATTCTATAGCACAGATAATGGGCTTTTGTGACTTAAGTAGATGTAGGGTCACATCTGGGTTGTTTTAGACTTCATACTAATTTTATTACTTAAAGGAAGATTCAATATGAAGTTGGTTTTCATATTATTGTTGCAATTTGTTTTTGAGGTTTTGTGACTTGTAATTGAAGGTCACTTAATTTGGTACAAGATTGCCATCTATTGGCAGATGCCTCACTTATACCCACTTGGAAAATAAAAAAATATTCTATAATAGCTCTTCTTTTTATTATATTTTATATTAACAAGTTTTTGATTTATTGATTTAATATCCACCGATCTTACATAACAGAAGACATTTTTGAAATCTAATAATTTTTGAAACAATTATAATTTGTTTTGTATTTGACAATCATCCCATTCTGATACTCATCTCTTATATGACTACAAATGGAGCAAGATAGTCCCTGAGCTGATTTTTCTAAGAGCTCTAGACAAGGAATTTGTTGTCCAGGTGTCTGCCAAAAACCTAACATTTCCTACATATATGCCCTACACCCGGGGCACTACACTGGGTTATGTTACATTTTTCTGGAGCAGCTCAGGGACTAAGACATGGACTAGTAGTTAGTTACAAATTTCACTACTAGGTGGCTAACTCACATAACATTGCAGACTATTTAAAATTGAATAGAGATTTAGTGGATCATTTTTCTTCTCACCTTATTAGTATGAAAATCATAGCATTCATGAATTTTATCATTAGGAGGCCCTCAGAAAAAGGCCTCCTATAGCTTTCTTAGTTTTTTATATTTTTTTATTTTTCTTTCACAGCAATTTTCTCATACTTTGAGCTTGGTTATAGGGGCTGCGCTGATATTGGAGAAATATTAGATTTTATATAAGTTTCTTAAAGTTTGAGACTGCAAATCAATAATTTTGACCGAAAGTCAGGACATCCATTCCTCTGAAGTATCTACACATTTTTTCAAATTTGGACCAGTTTTGAGATAAAAGTCATATTTCAAATCGATTATTTCAATTCAAAATAGGTCAAATTGGTCTTTTCTGACAAAATTAGTAATTGAACAAAGTTAGTAATAACTATGTAATTCATTGACTTAGAACATTAGGTAACTTAGTGATTAACTAACTAAATTAGTACACTATTAAGTAAGTAACTAATGAAGTAAGTTAGTAACTTAGTACCTAAGTAACATGTGACTTGGTGATGGATTGTCTATCTTACTTACTAACTTAGAACTAAATGTTTCACATACAGTAATGATATTTAATCAAATTACTTAGTAACTAGCAACAAGTAATTTTGTAACTAGATAAAAAAAATTAGATAACTTACCAATTAGTTTAGTAACTAACTTAGTAAGTAACTTAATAACTGTGTAACTAACTTACTTAGAAGCTAACTAATACATAATAAACTAAATTTATTTTGACAGTTTTTTATTATCACAGTTAAATGTGGAAACTACATCTTCTCTTTGTTCATCTACATATTTCAAGTCCTCTTGAAAGGATGGGTATCGATATGGCGAACCTTTTGAACACACGTTTCTCTTAAACCAGTCATCAAAAAATTCTGAAAATTGTACACAGTGTCAATTTAATGGTCATCTTTTGAATGGTAACAATATAACTTGAAAAATATATATATACTTTCATCTATATTGTTTTAGAAAACACATCAAACACTTGTTTTGTTCTTGGTATCATGTTTCCAGAGTGAAATGAAACATCTTTCCGAACCTCATTGGAACAAAACGACATAAACACAACATGTTTAGGTCTCTCAATATTGTAATTATACAAAGGAAATTTTGGTTGATTTTAAAAAAGTATCTTGTAAATGAAATGAAAGGTTTATCTTGATTTTTATCTATTTTGGGGGGATTTTGTTTTAATTTTTTGAATACTTTTTTAAAATCAACCAAAAATTCCTTTGTATAACTATAATATTGAGAGGTCTTAAAACATGTTGTATATGCTATTTTGTTCCAACAAGGTTCGGAAAGACATTTTATTTCATTCTCAAGAATTGGTAGAAAGGAGCAAAAACAATTGCACTAAAAAAACAAAAAATGTTAACAAAAACAGTTATATAAATTATTTCTAAATAATTTTAGCATTAAATAGTTGTCAATCAGTCAACATTACATAAAATACCGTGTTTTTTTACAGAAAGTCTTCAATGATTGGTTTAAGAGAAAAACATTGTTGAATTCAGTTCTCCATATCGATACCAATCTTTTTGCTAATTTTTGAAGAAATCTCTGTGTAGTATCCTACTCATTTTTATTGCACCACTTTGATAATTAAATTACTGTAATGAAAATGTAAGGAGGAGAAAGATGGATTATTTTGTATTAAAAAGATGTGTTGCCATAAAAGTACTGTTATTCATATTCAAATAAAGATTATAAGATGTTAATTTGAATGTTTGGTCATTATCAATAAAAGTTTCATGAAAATTATATGTAGTTTATTGTTTTTTATGTAGATCATCATTAATTGAATTTTGGTTTTATATCAATTTAATACCTGATAACTAATGACTACTGATCTCTTTCTATATTTCAACTCTTGAAACAGATTGAATCATATTGGCCTTGACATAAAATCAATATTCAGTCCCTCCCGGTAAATAACCTCTATACATATCTACACACAGCATATCATGACATATATAATGCCAAACAATGCCTCCATACATGTACCATTACCAACTACCCAAGGCCCTGCAGAAGCAAAATTTTTTATGATAGACTGATGTTCAATCAACAATACCCACATAAATGTGAGGTTATTTTGAGGATTTATTATCATTTTGACATTTTTAGCTCTGTTATTTGAGAAAAATGTAAAAATCTCAAAATAACCTCACATTTATGGTATGGGAATGGGGGTAATCAGCATTTGCGCATCTTTCTTTTCATCCTTATTCAAATCTATTTCTTTTGCAAATCTATTAAATGAACTTAATAAACAACTCAGTACCCTAGTGATTTTTGGAAACATATATTAATAATCTATTCCTTGGCCTGAGCCAATACAAGAACCAGTAGAAGTACTGTAGCTACTACCTAGAAACAAGTATTATGCATTCCCGGGGAAACATCATTTGCTTGTTATTTCGTTCAGTGTAGGTCAGGGGTCATTTAAAAGCCCGGCAAGAGAAAAGAAGGTGAGGGAATTTTGTTTTAATCCTCTAATATCTGCAACAATTGACCACATTTAATAAAAACTGAGCGTGCATTTATACTAATTTAGACATATTTTAAGTTAGTGGTAGTTAATTGTACGACTCGTATTTCTATTGCTCCTTTTGTTATTATAACATGAAAATCGGAAATTTTGTGCAAAAATTGAATTTGAAGTTTTGAACTGCAACTTTGCATTTCATGATGTGCTGAGCAAGGGTGGTTGAATACCTTTGAATGAGCTGCATGAGATTTAATATTTGCGCCCACTTTTGGAGACTTTTAAAAAATAGGTCAAAGTGAGGCATATCACAGGGGCATATCCACTGGCGGATCTGGGGGGGGGGGGCCTAAAATATTTTTCAGATGCTGTCCGACAGCTGAGACTAACATAAAAATGTTCTCATTCCGCTGTATTCTTTTCACCCCTATATAATAAATTTGACCGATGACTTATCTACACCTTCTTCCTTTCATCAGAGAACTGAGTAGAATTCCCGGGGGGTTTACTGTGTACAAAATTTGGCGGGGGTCCTAGGCTGAACCCTCAGATATCAATATATTCCCATACCAAAATGTTTGGATGTGTTCCCATACCAACCGATATAGTGCCCAAAAGCCATACCAAATGCCCAAATATGAAACCAATGCCATACCAAATGTCAAAATATAGGACCAATGCCATACCAATGCCATGACTGGTCCAAAGTAGAATATTTCCTGGGAAAAAAAGCTATTTATTTAAACTGAAGAAGGTCCCAATATGAAGAAGGCGATATTTGAGGAAAACGAACCAACAACCTCATATTAGTATATGTGTGACTACTAGACCAATTCCATACCATAATTGTGAGATAACATATTTTCCATGACCATTCTCATACCAGAAAGTTGAAAAATCTGACCATTTCTATCCCTTAAAAGTCATAATGAGGGGGCATTCTCATACCACATCCTAAAATGTGGGTCCATTGCCATACCAAATGTCAAAAAAGGTACCCCATGTGCGCTGAGGATCCCCGTCAAGGTTTATATACAGTGAACCCCCCGGGGTAGAATTATGTCCAATTACCTTCAGATTAGAGTCCATTTCACTGTTTTATTGCGTCAGTAGAACCCCAAAAATAAGAAATCGCGAGACCATTGTGCAATAATATATGGAAAAGTTTATTCATATTGTACATGAATGCTGAGTCTCAGATGAATGACATATGTGTATTTCAGATTTTTTAGTTTTTTTGTGCAATAAGCCTGTAGACTATATCCGAATGAGGGATTTGAACTTTTTCTAAAAATTGATTTTTTGACTGTCGGACAGAAACTGAAAAATATTTTAGTATGTATCCAACAGACCGAATTTAATATTCGGTCTGAATTTATTCAGACGAAGGATAAAGTCTAGGGGGGGGCAGAAAAAATTGGGCTCAAAAATTTTTTAGGCCAATAAAAGCCTTGAGGCGGCAAAAAGTAGGCCTTTTTGGTCATTACTGGGCCTTTTAAGGCCTTATTTTTTAATGTCAGGCCAAATTTCGAGGAAAATGAGCCTCAAAATTTTAAAATTTGGGCCCACTTTTCGGTTTTAGGGCCCCAAAATTTTTTCCTTATTTTTCTCAGACCTGAAATTTGCCCCCCCCCTTGTTGGTTCCCAGATCCAGCCCTGATATCTTTGAATATGGCCATAGCCTATAAGACCATTTCTACCCTGAGGACCATCCATTGAGAGAAAGTTGTTCTATAGAGTCATAATTGATCAGGCAAGATATTCTACATTCTACTATGCCCATGATTTTACAGCCAACTGTTTTATTATCCCAACGAACGAAGTTCGGTAGGGATATAGTGAAGCCCTCCGTCCGTCCGTCAGTCCGTCAGTCAGTCAGTCAGTCCATCCGTCCGTCCGTCCGTCCGTCCGTCCGTCCGGAAGATAACTCAAATACTAGTTGACGGATTTTCTTCATATTTAGTGGAATGATGTATATTGGTGAATTGTTTTATGCAAAAAAATTTTTTCCAAGATGGCCGCCACTTTAAAAATGACGGGACTTTTTCGCAAAAATCATAAATTTTTCATTCTAATCTAAAGTAATTAATATTATTGTTTGAAATTTTGGTAGTATATTCGCAACATCTATCCATTTCACATATATTCCGTGTTTGTCATCCTGACCCCCAGGGGCTGTGTATGGGGGGTCAGGAAAATAGAAATTTTTGCTAATTTTTAGATCTTTCTGAAGTATAGCTTTATTATACTCAAATGAAAGGCAATTAAGAGTAGATTGCAAATATTGTATCTTTTTTCTGATTCGAGCCTCGTAAAATTCAAAATGGCCGTCTAATGTACGATTTCGCAATAATTTTTCGATCCCTTCAAAGTATGGCTATGTTATACTCAAATTGAAGGAATTTTGGAGTAGATCAAAATTATGGTATTATTTTTCAGATTTGTACCTCAGAAAATTCAAAATGGCTGCTTTGCAGGAATTCGCAATTGTAAAATCTAAATTTTTCAATTTTAAACAAAGTAATGAGTATAATTGATTGGAATTCGATAATTCCGTGGAGTTGCCATTATCTAGTTGTGTCAGTAGAACCCCTGAAAATAAGAAATCAGGAGACCATTGTGCAATAATATATGGAAAAGTATATTCATATTGTACATGAATGTCATTTGTATATTTCAGATTATTACGTTTTGTGCAATAAGCCTGTGCCCTCTTGTAATTTAAAGAATTTCAGCCATGTTAATCTTTTTGAAAACCAGACTCAAGATAAAGCTTTTCAGTATGCTGGATAGTTTGCAAGGTGGGAATTTTGAATTTCAAATGCCATACTTAACAATATGTGTCTTGTTTCAACTAGGACACAAATAGCCTTTGACCAATCAAATGAAACCATATGTACATAATATGTATAATGCAGTAACATGTCAAATTGTCAAACTAAAAGTTGAGTCCTGGGGCCTTGACATCTTTCAAATGTTGTAATAATGTTTGACTCATAACTCACAGGGTAATAACTCATTCGTAATAACTCAGTTACTCATTCGTTGTGCAGATTGTAAAATCATATTACATGTATGCCTCTTTGCCATTAGAGAGGATCAGAATCTGTAGCTGCCATCACAGTGGCAGATCTGAAAGCTTGCAAGGGGGGTACATTTCAAGTCAGAAGCTTGTGCGTAAAAAATTTTGGGCCCCGAAAACCAGCCAAATTTTGAAAATTTTAGACCTAGTTTTTTGATAATTTGGTCGAAAATTTTAAAAAATGGTCGAGTAATGAATGTATTAGTGATTTTAGAAAGACAAACTATTATGCATGATTGAAACCATTCAATGTTTTTCTACAATTTTGGACATGATGATAAAACAGTGATTAATAGAGATTTATTTGAGCAATTTTTGAGAAAACATGTGATATTTTATGAAAAATGTTCAGATTAGGTTAATTTTACAAATACAGTATGACTGTTCACTGTTCAAATTGGGAAATGTTCACATTTTAAGTCTTTTAAACATGGGAGTCAATGGAAGGAAAAAACAGAACTGAAAAAAATACGGTATTCAGATTGGGAGATGCTCTGATGTACCAGGTGATCAGATGTACAGGTTTTATTGTATTTTTTTGTACTTTATTATTGTTTTGTACTTTATTGTATTTTTTGTCCTATTTCATTAGGGATAGTACCTTTGGGTCTTAGACTGTGTGAAGTCAATGGGCTATCACAAATTCAAATGCTACTGGACATCTGATCTGCATTATCTCCTAGTATATTTACAATTCTTCTTATGTTCTATTGTTATGTCCTATTGTCTCCAAATGTAATGCAGGATTTAACCCTTACTAACTTCAAACTTATTCCCTATTTTAACAATTAAATTTTACTTACAATCTTTTAGTAAAAATGCTATCTCTTTTGAAATTTTGTTCTGAAATATCAATAGAGATATAGTGCAGAGTTACTTGAGAAATAGTGAAATTGAAGAACTCTAATTTAGATTTTGAAATATTTTTAATTTAACTGAAGGTAATGTTACATCAGTGAAGAAATTGGTTGCTATCGCATTTCATAAGATAAACCCAGATTGTGCATTTCAGACTTTGAAATATGAGACATGAATTTAGCCATACCTTGTTTTGTTGAATGGCTACTGTTTGGTCTTGTGAGAGGAAATACAAAAAAATTGTTACCTAAATTTAGATCTGCATAATTCAAAATAAATACAAAATATCCTATGTGTAATTCTTTGATTAGAGAAGTTTCTTTACGATGCCTAGTTACATCATGTATATCAATCTTTGAAATATATGTAACTGAAACTTTCATAAGCACTAGTATGACAAATGTGAATTTGGGGATTTTTTTATCTTTATTGTCAAATTTCAATACATTTCATATTTTCTGAATATGTTCTAGAATTTTCCAGAGAGAGGATATTTTCAGACATAGAAGTGTATTGGCGTTGCAAGTTACATTCTTATAAATTAAAAATATGATAAATAATTAAAATTATTTTAGAATAAGGAATTGCCCCTTTAATCAAATGGAGCAGATCTGGGTGAGGCTTAACCAGACTATGGGGCTGAGTAAATGTTAGAAATTTCCCTATCCAAAATTGCTGTTTTGCCTTTTAATTCAGTTTAGTCTGGCAGTATTTATTAGAATATCACAAGAAACCCTGCTATAACTTGGCAAATTCCAAGAAAATTCATTGTGGGATCCACTACCCTTTACTATCCCTTGGAAGAACAGGCCCTCACAAGCATCAGATAAAGAGGTACTCTAGTACATCAGAATGAAGAAAATGTAACACATTTGAAAGTGATCTCTTCATGATTACTGTTATTTCCTGGTAGTTAATTATTGTGGCTTCCTTATGGTCAGCTAAACAAACCTTATCTTTCTACCACCCTGGTGTATCAAATAAATCTGTTTGCCTTTGTTTAGGTTCCACTTTGATTCTGTTTATTATTCCCCTCTCTTAATTACCAATAGAAGAGCAACATGGAGATACCTCCCAGAAAATTCAACCTCATAATTTTCCATTTCTGATTATTTGCTGTCTTTGTTTGTCTATATGTATGTCAGTGTTTCTAACAGAATCTTCTTGATTGTCTTTTGCTTTGTTGTAAGAAACTGCTTATAAAACTCTTGTTTTATGAATGATCAGTACAACTCATTTGCAATGAAGTATACATATCTATTATAAACTAAATGAACTACTCTACTCTAGAGGTCACAGAAGGTCAATGTTATATTCATAGGGTCAAGGTCAGTGAAAGATCAAGTTCACCTAAAAGGTCAAATATCAATATGTATTAATTCTAGTTTGTACTGACATAAAAACATTTCACACTTTTTTAGATAAAAGTATTCAGTATCATAAACATTATTTAATTCCAAAATTGAATCTTGAAGCAGAGCACCCCCTAATGTGCTGTGTTAGGTCCACATTACCAGCCGGAAACATAGTATAGGTACTTTAAAACTTTTATTGACAAATGGATGGACATTCCATAAAGTAGGAACTCACTTGTAATAAGGGGTGCAACCTTTGGTGTTTTAAGCTTCTAGTAACTAAGTGCTAAGGGCACCAAAATCACACATTGCAGTAAGTCTTGTATTACCTAAGGTACTGAGAGTTCATGAACTAAAGCCACACTACTAAGCTACAATTGTATTTACTTATCTAATTCATTATATTTTGGCTTCTTCATTACAGGTTGCGAAACTCAGAAGTTCAAACAATTAAGAAAGCTGACACCCCCTTTATCAGTTGAAGCCATAGATTAGAAGGATCATCAGTCATCCGCCACAGAGGCTTCGGGCTTGTATGTATGTAGAATAACATGTAGACTGTAGAGCCGATCAGCTGTCCAACGTGAATATAGGATATTTTCTGTACACAGCAGACCTGCAGAGAGCAAAAGGATATACAGCTTGACCATTTTAAATAGAGACAATTGGGATTATTTTACTTAAAATTTTACTTCAACTTGGATTTTTAATTTCAAAAATATTTTAATATTTAAGTGTTTTATTGAAAGGTAAGTTCTAATTTTGTTATTTTAAAACATAGTAATTTATTTGTGTATAATGCACTTTACTCGAGTCTCTAGCTTACAGCTAGACGAAACTTCATTGATTTCGTATGTACTGTGCTACACGCACCTACACGCACCTAGAACTCATTTTTAATAAATTTTATAAATATTTTTAAGAATATTAATCATATTTAGGATGAAGCGTTGCTTGTCTGGATTTAGATATTTCAAAATTTCATTTCGGAGTTTCAACACATGGTGAAATTTTCTCGCTGTAGCTAAAAATGGCTTCCGGTTCTGGACGTGAATAACATTTGAAATTATTCTCGCTTAAAGAAATCAAATCTATAACAATAGATTCAGACGGGGATGTGAGCTGGTGTTCTTCAAATCTATACATAAAGGTATATTTCATATTATTATGCCATATTTACTGTGCGTGTGACACAATGATTTACAATATTTATAATACTAACGCAGCTCAATCTTCCTCCTCAAAGCCGGAATATAGAGAAGGCTTTGGACCGAAGTAAAATGCACTGGGACAGTTTAGTTGAACTCAAAATTCCAATTGAAAATTGAGAGTTTAATTGATTATACCAATGTCAAAATATTTACTTTTAACATCTTAAAAGATAAAAAGCTGTTAAAAAATAATTTCGTAATTTGAAAGTTCAACTTAACTTAACATTTAAGAAATTCAATTCAAGTGAATTTAACTTTTAATTATTTACTTGAGTAAAGATTCTAAGGGTTCTCTTGTTAATATGATGTACATGTGTATATTATGTGATTATTTATTGTCCCTCCTGAGGTCAACTGTAGAATTTGTATACCTGAATTTTACATTAAATCTTGAGTCATTTTGTAATTAAATGAAGGATTTTGGGGTTGAGGGTGAAGAGGGAGTTGGGAATCAAAATCAAAATGGGCCAAAGCAATAATTTTTGTGAAATATCAATAGATGTAAAATCTGGAAGATATAAATGTCCGACAACCATGTTGAGTAAGTGTAAAGGGTATAATATGTTTCAATTTGTTAACTTTACCTAAAGAAAGAGGTTTTCACTTGAGGCTAAGTGTTTTCCTAATTCTTCCTCATTAGCACTAAGAATATATGAATTCTATACAGCTTTTGACCCTGTCTGACATTTGAAGCAATTAAACTCATAAAACCATCTAGTGTCTGGTAGACTAAATCTTTTTCCTAATAATTTAAAAATCTATAGTTTGGGGTATTTTAGATACTGATATTTCTTTCAAATGCACAAACCTCTAAAATTTTGTTTCAATTGAATATGTATCTTTCAATTAATTAAAACTGTTCAGCTAACATTTTTATTCAGTTCACTTATTTCTTCGTGAAAAGTACTATTTTAAAGACAAACTAGGATAGCATTGGGTTTATTACGGATTACATTCTACTTCAACATTGGTATATGTCATAAGGCCATGTCAATTGATACTAACAAAATCATTTTCAAAGTAAATGATGGAAATACTGTAAGGGTGTACCACATAACCAATTCTATTTGACAAGCTCATAAGTCACGAATTGCTCAGTTGCTCCTGTCAATTTCTCTTCCGTTTCCAACAATTTCCTAATGTTTTAAATATAGTAAGTGTGTGCTATTTTTATCTATAAAATTGTCATTCATAAATCATGTTACTTTATTTTTTGCCTGCAGATATTTGTCAATGATAAGAACATAATCTTACACAATCGAACAGCTGTTTATTTGTACCATGTAAAACCAAACTCACGTTTTTGAAATCTGTGGGGAATTTTCTAAAAAATGTGCAATTAACTTTTTCATTATATACACTGTACAGGGGTTTCTTAAGTAATATTTGTTTTTGTTTTCTGACTTTTATTTTCTTCCACTTAAATTTTAAGTTTATTTATATGGAAAACATTAATTGAAAAGTTGAAAAAAGAGTTCTTTTAAGTCTGACAAGGATTTTGCTGACTCCCAAACGTTATTAAGTTGTGAATATTTTACAACGAATATTGCAAAATAATATTAACTGAATCTTACAAAAAATCATCACAGTCAACTTTCTCAATACTTAGACCTATTGATGATTTGTAAGTCAGTACCATGTGGTAACAATAACAATATTGCTACAAAGGGCCCTTTCGTTCTCTACTCTTCTCCATAAAGTCCACACCAAATAGGCCAGTTTAATTAGGTCCTTATTTCTTGCAACTTTTGAAAATTCACTCAAAAGCACAAGGGGCAACATTTAATAGACAGAGTTTGTTAACTATCTCAACCAATAAAACTAACATTAAGTCATAACAATTACAGTAAAAATCCATCAAACATCAAACCTTGACTCTGCACCATTTCACTTTTTCAAATACCTGTTAAAACATAACAGAGTGTAAATTGATAAAATAATGCTTGAAAGACACACATTGCAGAAATGAAATTGCAAATGGGCAAACAAATGTATCATTGTTCTCACCCTAGGTGAAAGATCAAAGAATGTTATGTGCTATTCTGGAATGCTCTATTGTGCTTTATGGCTTTTAAATCGACTGAAAGTATATTTACTTAACAGAACCTTTTGAGAAGCTACATAACTTGTAAAAATGTTGCCAATCAAAGAACAATATAGAGTGCATACATAGACTGGACATATCAGATAGATCTTGTAATTTGTCATGCAACATATACATTTTTAATCAGCTACTGGGCCAGGTTTAAAATCTACCACAAAATGTCACATTATACAAGAGACCTGTGGTTCCTGTGGTCTTTAAATATAATGAATTACCGCAGAAATGTATCTTGATCTTTGAGTGGCAAGCCACAAATTGGAACATTATGCAGACACACTTCCTAATTCAATAGACTCAACACTTAAAAAAACATCATGTCGGCACTTAAGAACAATAAAATCAATCACAAGTAGGTATATCAGAGTTTCAGCAAAAAAGATAACTAAATCAAAAAGTTCAAAACAATTTAAATTAGGTATTTATAACTTTCCCAGTATAGTAGAAGCAATAGACTACAACTTGTTGCATTAACTTGAAAATTAGAAATTGCAATAAGTTGATAATTCACTTGCACCCATTGCCAATCTAGTTGCACCATATTAACAATCAGTTTGCACCCAGTTGACAGTTTTCTTGAAGCCAGTTAACAATATATTTTCACCCATTTGAGAATTGGATTGCACCTAGTTGACAATCTCCTTGCTCACAATTGAGAATTTGAATGAATTATAAGCATTTGTAATATTTTAACCAGATTCAAGAATCAAGTCAGAGGAAAGAAAATATAGTAATTGCATCAAGCTCACGTATCTCCTGCATTTTCTCAAACACAGTCTATGTTGTGAAATAAAGTGAGATTTTGCACTTAATGAAAAAATATTTGGAGAAACGAAACCCTCTAGTACATGTTATATTGTACATATGGTCAGATTGGTGATAGTTGCAAAACCTCAAGCCATTCTTATTCTAGTGATTCATTTTCCTGCTTCTTTACTTTCATGGGGCGTAAGGTCACTGCAACCCTAGTCCAGCCTTATACAGGACATACCTTGAGCTTATGGGACATTTTTCTGAATCTTGTCAACCTCAAGCATAACAAATAACTTACATGTACTTTCATATGAACATAAATCATTGTTCATTGTATTCATACATATATTTCTTTTGTAGGTAGCCACCATGAGGTTGTTGTGGCGAATCTGTTATTGTTGTGGCTAATTTGTTATTGTTGTGGCTAATTTATGTACCACATATTGTTATGGTCGTCCACTTTTTTGTGACGGCATTTGGTGATTGGTGTCTGGTGTTCGGCATCTGTGAAAAATGGCAGGTGGTGACATTTGTACCTTAATGCCTTGTTAACTTACTTTGAGGCGGTCGTGGCTTATCTGTTATTATTAATTTTGTAGCCATCATGAGTTTGTTGTGGCTAATTTGTTGTTAACTTCTTTTCTAGGTAGCCACCATGAGGTTGTTGTGGTTAATTTGTTTTTAACTTCTTTTTTAGGTAGCCACCATGAGGTTGTTGTGGCTAACCTGCTTATGCCTCATTGCCATACAAGTAAAATCTCAGGTAAGTTCTACAAGCTAATACATTTCTATTTCACACTTATTGAAACACCCCTACGGAACTTCTCTTTTGTCAAAATATATTTTTTTTAAAAATGAAGCTTAATTGGAAACAGTTAAAATGCTGTTATGTAAAGAAGTGAAATAATACAGCAACTTGCAAAACATAAACATCAAAACTTCAAGACTATAGTGCATAATACCATTCTATTGTTCTTTGAGTTGGACTTTATTAACCATTTGTCGATTGAAAATTACCAAATAGACAGTTTTATGTTACATTTATCTGAGTGTTATACCCAGCTACATCCTATTATATTTATGCCACATGTAAGAATCATAAATGTTGCATTCCAAATAAATAACAACAGATAACTCAGAGCCAGTTGGGGATGTAGAAATTAGTGTTATATCACTTCCATGTTACCTCTGCATGAGTTTGATTTTGAGGTACTAATGTAATTCTCTGGGGTTCATGCAGGGTGTTCTTGGCGTCTTCTTTCGAAGTGGAAAGGAACACAACATGTGGGAGGGGTGACAAGATATTTTTTGCACTTAGTCATGTGATATTGTTAAATGTAGTTAAGTCCCTTGTGAAGAGAAAGGATGAGTAAATGAAATCAGTGCACGTTTATTTGAAATTTTCAACCAGATACACAGTCCATCATCCTTTGTCCAAGGGCATTTCAATTTATTCCATTAGCTGGGATAGACGACTGATCCACAAAGGCAATTATTTTGGCTTGTCTTATATCAGGAGATACAACAGGTGGCTACAGTTCTGGGTTTCATTCAATTCAATCATTACCCTGCGTGCAGAGTCTAGTTAAACTACACTCTGCCTAGTAGAGACCATATTACAGTTTAGTTACCCCACCCCCACGACGGGTACCAGTGACAGTTATGGGTAATAAATCACTTTTGACCTTCGCGCTGACCTTTCTTCCACCAATCAGCGAGCTTGAAGAAACATACGCCAAATGCGTTCTAATTAAATATGCGCATGCCATTGGTCAATTCCGGGCTCAACGATGAAGTCAGAAGGAATGACTATATATAGAACGTCGGTCAAATTTGGCCGACGAACACTGATTGGCGCGGTGAGTTCACAGGTTTATTTTAGTTTGAAAGAGTGAAGACGAAGCTCTCTTTTAAGAAGTGAAGTCAAACGAATGCAAAGGGTATTCAATCATCCAGGTAATCCTTTATTTCTAATTCTGGCCAGTTAGTCTAATTATCTGTATACTGCTCATTAGAAAAGCATTTATTTGTCTCTGAGATGAACCCAGAAGTTTTGAAGATAGGATTTTACACAATCCAGGTGTTGTTCTTTCACCAAGGGCACTAGATCATCATGCTATCTCGGACATTATGTTAGTGTGGAATCATCTATATCTGCTTCAAGTAGCCTCTTTGTTCTTTGTTTCAAGGTGGTCTCGGACAATGGACATATATCAAAGATATTTATTTCAGTCGTTTACATTTATGTTTCTCTTGAAAAATTTTGTTTTTTATCCCATGCTTTTTTGTCACCACCAGAATGGGTGACATTGTTATAGTCTTAACTATTTTGTGGATGGTGTTTGGTGGTTGGTGTTAGGCATTCAGTGGTTGGTGTTTGGCATTTGGCGGTTGCCATTCGGTATCTGTGGCAAATTGCAGGTGGCGACATTTGGCATCTTAATGCCCCATCATCTTTATATAGGTCCTTCTCTGAAACAATAAAGAACTATGCACCTGAGCGATGGATCAAAATGAATCATTTTTCACTTTGCTTTAAGTTTTGTTATACTCTGTTTGGTTATCTCAAAGAAATTATGAAATATTGTTCAAGCCATGATATTTTCTCCGTCTGGTTTTTCAGTGTCAGCGTTTGGTGTCTGTAAAGAATTATTATTACACTTTTGTAATTGCAAGCAGTTGCGACATGTTGACATGTTAATGCCTTGATGTTCTTGTCTTTGTATTTTCTGGTTTTCTCTTGTTATTTGTTTTTCAAAACCTCTGGTTTCCTTTTATAGTCCTGTTTCTCTTAATTGATTATGTCTATTGTATCTTTGCTTGTATTTCTGTTTCTGTTCCAATATTCTGTGTGAGTGAAATTCAATGTTTCAATGGCCTTAACTTAACCTTTAATTAAAAAGTAATTAACAGTTCTGTAGACAACAGGTTCTTTATTTACCAATAGCTCCCATATGTTGATTTCAAGACCATGCTTTCTGTAAATTTGGAAACTTTCATTGTGCTCTTGTTTGAGGAGTATGTCTGGTCTTGTTCACATGTTGCAATAATCTTTCTCTTATTTTGCCATTCATACCAATTGTTTGTATATCAGTTGTTTATAAGCCAACTGTTTGTATATCAGTTGTTTGTAAGGCAGTTGTTTGTATATCAGTTGTTTGTAAGGCAGTTGTTTGTATATCAGTTGCTTGTAGGGCAGTTGTTTGTATGTCAGTTGTTCATAAGCCAATTGTTTGTATATCAGTTGTTTGTAAGGCAGTTGTTTGTATATCAGTTGTTTGTAAGGCAGTTGTTTGTACATCAGTTGCTTGTAAGGCAGTTGTTTGTATGTTGGTTGTTCATAAGCCAATTGTTTGTATATCAGTTGTTTGTAAGGCAGTTGTTTGTATATCAGTTGTTTGTAAGGCAGTTGTTTGTATATCAGTTGTTTGTAAGGCAGTTGTTTGTATATCAGTTGCTTGTAAGGCAGTTTTTGTATATCAGTTGCTTGTAAGGCAGTTTTTGTATATCAGTTGCTTGTAAGGCAGTTTTTGTATATCAGTTGCTTGTAAGGCAGTTGTTTGTATGTCAGTTGTTTGTATGTCAGTTGCTTGTAAGGCAGTTTTTGTATATCAGTTGCTTGTAAGGCAGTTTTTGTATATCAGTTGCTTGTAAGGCAGTTGTTTGTATGTCAGTTGTTTGTATGTCAGTTGCTTGTAAGGCAGTTTTTGTATATCAGTTGCTTGTAAGGCAGTTTTTGTATATCAGTTGCTTGTAAGGCAGTTGTTTGTATGTCAGTTGTTTGTATGTCAGTTGTTTGTAAGCCAATTGTTTGTATGCCAGTTGTTGTATGTTGATATAGACCATAATTTCCCCATGGTCGAATTGTATGTATAGTAAAGATGTGCAAATACTTAAAATGGAGGGGGAGGTATAATTTGAAATGACAAACATCCCGACTTTTGTTTGCTATTTGAATCAGTTTGATAACAGGTATAACCCTCCAGATGTAACAAGAAGCTATATATATTAAGTATATCCTATGGATATCCTGTTATCCCCTGATTACTAGATAACTCTTATATGATTCATTACAATAAATAATACAATTTACTAGTACAACAATCAAGTTGACTTGCATTAAATGAGCATATGATGTAATAAATACACTGCAATATAAAAAGCAATACTATGACAGAATATAGTGCAATTACAAAGCTGTGAAAGCAATACAGATTTACTGTATGAGAGTACTGGGTTTTGGTCATCCCAGACTACTTGATATGTTGTAGTTTTATGTTAGAATCATTTATCACATCAAGTGTAGCCATCTGTCTGTCAACCTGTTTTGAGAAGCCATCATTAATTTAATTACACATGCCCATTTCTGTAGACTTTTTACCACCAGCATGGGAGTGCTTTTGTAGTATTCACTTTTCAGCTCTTTTCAGCTCTACTTGTCTTCCCCCCTACCTAACTCAGCAGATCATTGCTTGTTAGTTATTATGTATATGAGAAGCAGTTGTTCTTCTGTTTCACAACCTGGCCAGTTAGAACTACTCATTTATTACCAGATATCAATGTCTGTCCACCGTGTCCATTACCAGTTCATAAATTTCATGGAATGTCTAAACAATACCATCTGAGGGTGTCTGTTGCTTGACTGGACCTTTGAAGTTCATGGCCTCAGGTGCCTCACTGGTCACCCCTCTGGACATTGGTCATTCTGGCATTGCTTGAGATGATATGAGTCAGTGAACAGTATTGAATTTCCATATAGGGTCAATTGGGTTTGTTTTTTGTTTTTGAATGCTCATACTGTATATCCTACAAGCAAAGGGTTCCTCATGAGGGCCCCCCTCCAAGCAAGCGATGATGTTTGGACCACTGCTTTTGGAAGATGACAATGTGTGACTTCCTTGTGACCAGCAACTGAATTTAAACTTTAAAGTTTTTGTTTAAAAAAGCTCTCACTTTCTCACAGACAAGGGGGTCACATTATGGCAATGTCTCACTTATTTTGTGAGAAAGTATATTTCTTTGAACCATGGTTATAATCTGTTTGAAAAAAAGTTTATTCCTTTTTGCTCTTGTGTTCCTTTCCACCCCAATTTGGTGCTTTATATTTGGTTCTATGCCATTCTTAATGTCAGAATCGAGTATGTTGTGGCAGGGTGTAATGGGGAGGGGAGGGAGGGGGGTTATAAGGGCTTGTGCAATGTAGCTAGACTAAAGCTTTCTTTAAAGAAACTAAACGCAACTGTTAGAAAGGGTAACTCTATGTCATTTTATTCCCAGGAATAGGAGTAATGTTGAGACTAAATAATCTTATTTTAGTCTTGGTTGTTGCTTGCATGTTGACAGGTCTCTTGAATTCATGTTGACAGGTCTACCAAGACATGTTGAAATATCACTGGTATCTCAAGCATCGCTAACTAATACTTCTGATAAAGCTTTGACCATTTACATTTGGGTTTCAGGTGTATTCTCGGACTAGTCACTTACCTTTAAAGGCTTTATTAGGTGCTTTTCTCGTCGTTCTTAATCCTAGGTTTCCCTACATTTTTTAACAATTTGTACTCTGGGAGGCTTAATTTATTTTCTGCAAATATGAAGCATTTAATGTCACTTACTAATCAGCAATTCTACAATGATGTTGTGAGAATTTATTATCAATTTATTTATACCAAAATAAAATGTTACAACAAGAGTCCTTCAATTGGTTTTAAGCATTATAGAAGAGTTATCTTGTGAGAAAATGAGGTTCATATCTTACTCTTAATTAATCAAGCATGCTACTTATACTGGCTGCTTATTGCTCAGTCTTAGGTACATTAAGTGCACCTTTATATACTATATTTCTATAATGTAGTCTTGCATCAAGTCTATGAATCTTACCCCCCCCTCCCCATGTGGTTAGGGAGGTGGAGTGTTAGGGGTCACATTGTTCTGAGGCAAGGTTATCCACATTACAGAGTTCATGTTCATGTTCATGGTCAATATAATTTTGGCATTTACTGTAAAATACACTTGAAATAATCTGCCATCAGCATATTTAAAATCCTACCACTGTTAACTGCACAGGACAGATTATATTGATGCATGTGAAATCTGACTCAAACCAAGTTATACTATATGTTTTTTATGTTTTCAGGAAAGTGATAGAAAGAGCAATTGGGGCTTATTGAAAAATGCTATTAAAATAACCAGTAGTGATGTAAGTATTTTTCTTTCATTGTATTACAATATTCAAGTGTAAAGTGTTCACTAGATTCTTTTATATTCCTTGCTGATTCCACTCTTTTTCACTCCTTGTGCCTTTAGGTAACATTTCTGTTATTATTAAATACGAAATAAACACAATAAGCAACAATATAAAAGCAAGAGAAGAAAACTATGATGCAACCATTTCTTGTACCAAAAAGTTGGAAGAATTGTACTTATAAAATTAGTATGTTGTTCTGTCGACTTAAGAAAATCCTACAGAGAAAACAGAATCATTGATTGCTTTATCTCTGCTCTAAATGATTCCAGGAATCTCCGTTCCTAGAACCTACAGACGGAAAATGGGGCCCTTGGAGTGAGGGCTCCGAGTGCTCTCGGTCCTGTGGGGGAGGAGTTTCTTTACAGGAACGACAATGCCAAGATACGAGGTAAGTCAAAAATAGAATCGGAAGTGTTCATATTTCCAGGTGTGCACATTAAGGTGCTTATATATTCATTACACATCTTTTTCAACAATTAATATGATTTTGTAAAACAGAAGAGGTGATCAGTCAATGTTCTAAGTTATATTTTGGACTAAATGGTACTAATGATATAATCTTGCACCTGGCCTATGCTGTCATTCTGCTTAAATCAGGTTTATGGTCGAGTTTTATTGTTCCTAAAGAGCCATAGAGTTCAAGAGCTGGCAGTATAATTTCAAAGAAAATAGGACTCCATTCAGGATCCATTAGGTCATGTAATTGCTTATATCATCATGTACTTCACATAAGTGTCCTCATCCTATCTTATACAAAGGGGCCTACAATAGAGATTTCCTACCGGACATACTTTGAAAGACATTATCATATTTATGATATCTAAGAGGTCAAACTCATAGACAACAGGTTTATCTCAAGTTATTGTAGAATTTAGTTGATTATTTACAATGTTAGTCTGCTCAATTATCGCAGTTATTAAACAAAAATGCAGGGAGGTGTAAGATCATGTGCTAAGTTATGGGTACTTAATTTGTTAAGTCAGTTGGTGTAAAAAGTATTCATCTTTTAAAGATTTTGGCCCATTTTCCCTAAATTTTCAAACCACTTTTGATAAAATCTAGGTCTTTAAGGCAAATAGGTTTCAGGAAAGGCATTTACACTTTTTGGCTAATTGCATGTACAGTATTTCTATTCTTCTAGTACCTTGTAAGAAAACTCCAAAATGGTGAGATTTGGCTTGAAAAAGTTTATCAATTCAATATCACGCTTTTTGATTTTTTTGTCACCCAGTAAGTCCCTTTGATAAATGCTGGAAGCATTTTTCCATCCATCTGAAATTCTGTCTCCCTCAATGCAAATTGTTATTTCATATGCTTGTGCATGTAGTTAAAAATTTAGAAGCTCCTTGACAGAGATAGATATATTAAAATCAGTGGTATATTTGCACTTACGATATAACACATATTTGAGTAAGCGATCTTTGCACCTCTTAGAAAGTGTTGGAAGTAGATCCTCAAGTGGTATATTGACTACTTTACTGTTCATTATATAACATACTTTAACATCCTTTATATCATTGAACAATAAATATTAAATTGTCTTTAAATAGTTAGAGGCAAACATACCACTATGCACATACCATTGAAAGATATAACAAAGTTTAGTTTTAACAATTTCAAAAATGACCAAGTGTTTTTTGCAGGCTCCTTTGTATGTGTAACAATTTCCCTTGTACAATCCACTGATAGATCTAGGTGGGGGCATGCCCCGTCCCCTGGGTGGGCCCAGAAAAATTTAATATGCCCTTGAAAATTTTGTAGGCCCAAGAAATTGGCTTTTTGGGCATAACTTGGCCTTTGTTTTGGCCAAATTATCAAAAATGGACCTTAAATGTTCAAAATTTGGGCCCAATTTTTTGTTTTAAGTTATTTTTCTTACTTCAAATGTGCCCCTTGTTATTTTCTGGATCCACCAGTGCAATATACATGTACTAATTTCCTTATACATGTGACTAGTCTAACTACAAGCCTCTGTGGCCCCCCTCTACTTGACTAAACACCTTCTCACACTTGTTGTGCAAGGCCTTGTAGCTAGACTTACAAGAGACCATTTATGAAAAATTAGATGTCTTTGAAATACAGTATTAGGGGTGCCCAAAGAGTAAGATATCAAATTGGATACTTATGTTTTCTTTTTTTTTGTTACACCTTTGGATAATATAAATTCATAAATTATCCAATGCTGTGGCTTTCAAGAGATGAGGCCACCATAAAAGGCTTCAAGTCTGGAGAACTACTATTGATTAATTGCATAGTAGCGATTAACACAATTTTCTTATTTAAGACACTTAAAGATACACTGAATATTCATAAAAAGACACTCAAAGATACACTGAATATTCATAAAATAAGCACCAGTATATCTCTAAGTATCCTTAAACCAGCATTTACTAAGGTAGCTATAGGGCCAGTGTACAGCTGCATTCATAAGTATATGTCATCACCCTTGTAAACTAAAATGCACCAGACTCTACCTGGCAGGCTTTAGACTTACTATGGATCGCTTCTGCATTATAGCATGAAACACCCACCTTTTCTATACAAAAACCTCACTCCCATCATGCATTATGAATAACATGGGATTTTGTTGTCCAATCAGAGTTGAGCTATTGAGGAAAAGTAGGGTGTAAATCATGGGAGTTTTTGACAGGTTTTACACACAGCTTGAGGAATTTGCCATAAATAATAGGAGGATCATAATTTTCTCATAAGTCATTTCGAACGCCTGTTTTAAAGTTAAGTTCATCTTCACCAACTCATCACTCATCTTAAAATAGCCGAGTAATAGGCTGATTTAGGGCCATATTCTTCCTGTATTTGTATCTACTATACACTGAAATATTTACTATGTATCATGTACAGTACATTGTAGTAAGAAATATATTCTGTGTCCTCCCAATGAGTTTTCTTAACTGGATACATAATTTTTGTTCCCGGGGGGTTCACTATATATAAACCTTGACGGGGATCCTCGGCGCATGTGGGGTACCTTTTTCAACGTTTGGTATGGCAATGGACCCTTATTTTAGGATTTGGTATGGGAATGCCCGGAAATTTCTGACTTCTGAGGTATGGCAATGGTCGGACTTTTGCTCTTCTGGTATGAGAATGGTCGTTGTAGATACGTTACCTAACATTCGTGGTATGGCATTGGTCCAGTAGTTGCAAATTTGAAGTTGTTTTGGATCGTTTCCCGAAGTATCTTCTTTTCCAGGGCCTTCTTCAACTTTTGAATTTTAGCCCTTTTCCCGGGAAATGAGGACCAATCATAGGCTTTGATGAAGTATCGCGAGATTTTTCGTGATTTCAATACATATTTGGACATTTGGTATGGCATTGGTCCTACATTTTGAAATTTGGTATGGCATTGGTCCCATAATTGGACATTTGGTATGGTATTGGTCCTATATTTGGACATTTGGTATGGCATTGGTCCTATATTTGGACATTTGGTATGGCCTTTGGGCATTATTTTGGTTGGTATGGGAACATATTGAAATTTGACAGATTGGTATGGGAACATATTGATATTTGAGGCTTCAGCCTAGGACCCCCGTCGAGTTTTATATACAGTGAACCCCCCGGGTTTTTGTTTTACCTATTTTGGATTACATTTTTAATGAATGCAGAATTAAAGCACTCTAAATAGCACCACCTTCTACATTGGCACATTTGTGGAGTATGCGTTTAATGTGTTATAAATTGTGATCTTCATGTAAAACTGAATATGAATTAATAAACTGACTAGAATATGCTCTGATAAATAATTTTCTTTATTGTATTTGTAGTAAAACTGGAAGTCACAGCTGTATAGGACCAAGCAAGATCTACATTTCATGTAATATACAGGTAAGTCACAGCTGTATAGGACCAAGCAAGATCTACATTTCATGTAATATACAGGTAAGTCATAGCTGTATAGGACCAAGCAAGATCTACATTTCATGTAATATACAGGTAAGTCATAGCTGTATAGGACCAAGCAAGATCTACATTTCATGTAATATACAGGTAAGTTATAGCTGTATAGGACCAAGCAAGATCTACATTTCATGTAATATACAGGTTAGTCACAGCTGTATAGGACCAAGCAAGATCTACATTTCATGTAATATACAGGTAAGTCACAGCTGTATAGGACCAAGCAAGATCTACATTTCATGTAATATACAGGTAAGTCACAGCTGTATAGGACCAAGCAAGATCTACATTTCATGTAATATACAGGTAAGTTATAGCTGTATAGGACCAAGCAAGATCTACATTTCATGTAATATACAGGTAAGTCACAGCTGTATAGGACCAAGCAAGATCTACATTTCATGTAATATACAGGTAAGTCACAGCTGTATAGGACCAAGCAAGATCTACATTTCATGTAATATACAGGTAAGTCATAGCTGTATAGGACCAAGCAAGATCTACATTTCATGTAATATACAGGTAAGTCATAGCTGTATAGGACCAAGCAAGATCTACATTTCATGTAATATACAGGTTAGTTATAGCTGTATAGGACCAAGCAAGATCTACATTTCATGTAATATACAGGTTAGTCACAGCTGTATAGGACCAAGCAAGATCTACATTTCATGTAATATACAGGTAAGTCACAGCTGTATAGGACCAAGCAAGATCTACATTTCATGTAAGATACAGGTAAGTCACAGCTGTATAGGACCAAGCAAGATCTACATTTCATTTAATATACAGGTAAGTTATAGCTGTATAGGACCAAGCAAGATCTACATTTCATGTAATATACAGGTAAGTCACAGCTGTATAGGACCAAGCAAGATCTACATTTCATGTAATATACAGGTAAGTCACAGCTGTATAGGACCAAACAAGATCTACATTTCATGTAATATACAGGTAAGTCACAGCTGTATAGGACCAAGCAAGATCTACATTTCATGTAATATACAGGTAAGTCACAGCTGTAAAGGACCAAGCAAGATCTACATTTCATGTAATATACAGGTAAGTCACAGCTGTTAGGACCAAGCAAGATCTACATTTCATGTATTATAAAGGTAAGTCACAGCTGTATAGGACCAAGCAAGATCTACATTTCATGTAATTTACAGGTAAGTTATAGCTGTATAGGACCAAGCAAGATCTACATTTCATGTATTATAAAGGTAAGTCACAGCTGTATAGGACCAAGCAAGATCTACATTTCATGTAATATACAGGTAAGTTATAGCTGTATAGGACCAAGCAAGATCTACATTTCATGTAATATACAGGTAAGTCACAGCTGTTTAGGACCAAGCAAGATCTACATTTCATATAATATACAGGTAAGTCATAGCTGTATAGGACCAAGCAAGATCTACATTTCATGTAATATACAGGTAAGTCACAGCTGTATAGGACCAAGCAGGATCTACATTTCATGTAATATACAGGTAAGTCATAGCTGTATAGGACCAAGCAAGATCTACATTTCATGTAATATACAGGTAAGTCACAGCTGTATAGGACCAAGCCAGATCTACATTTTATGTAATATACAGGTAAGTCACAGCTGTATAGGACCAAGCAAGATCTACATTCCATGTAATATACAGGTAAGTCACAGCTGTATAGGACCAAGCAAGATCTACATTTCATGTAATATACAGATAAGTCACAGCTATATAGGACCAAGCAAGATCTACATTTCATGTAATATACAGGTAAATCAAAGCTTTATTGAACCAAGCAAGATCTACATTTCATGTATTATACAGGTAAGTTATAGCTGTATAGGACCAAGCAAGATCTACATTTCATGTAATATACAGGTAAATCAAAGCTTTATTGAACCAAGCAAGATCTACATTTCATGTAATATACAGGTAAGTCACAGCTGTATAGGACCAAGCAAGATCTACATTTCATGTAATATACAGGTAAGTCACAGCTGTATAGGACCAAGCAAGATCTACATTTCATGTAATATACAGATAAGTCACAGCTATATAGGACCAAGCAAGATCTACATTTCATGCAATATAGAGGTAAGTCACAGCTGTATAGGACCAAGCAAGATCTACATTTCATGTAATATACAGGTAAGTCACAGCTGTATAGGACCAAGCAAGATCTACATTTCATGTAATATACAGGTAAGTCACAGCTGTATAGGACCAAGCCAGATCTACATTTCATGTAATATACAGGTAAGTCACAGCTGTATAGGACCAAGCCAGATCTACATTTCATGTAATATACAGGTAAGTCACAGCTGTATAGGACCAAGCAAGATCTACATTTCATGTAATATACAGGTAAATCAAAGCTTTATTGAACCAAGCAAGATCTACATTTCATGTAATAAATTAGTCACAGCTGTATAGGATCTGATGTGAGGCTGAGAAACAGTCATTGTGTGAGGCTAAAACATTTGTTATGTGAGGCTAAGAAGCATCATTATTTGAGGCTAAAAGGATTTGTTATGTAAGGCTAAGAAACAATCATTATGTGAGGCTAAAATATATATTTTGTGAGGCAAGGAAAAAACTGATCATCCAAAATATGTACTTGCTCTATGTAATATGAGGACAAAAGTTTACTAAATAAATTGAAAATTGAATTTGAAATTGCAGGATTGTCCAGAAGGTTCAAAGGACTACAGAGAGGAACAATGCGCTGAATACAACAATATCGAATTTGATGGAAAAACTTATGAATGGATTCCTTATTTAGGAGGTAGGATTTCAAAAACATGCAGTATAACCCCATATGAATTAAAGAACTCGAAGATTGTACAGCTTTTACCATAGTTATCTTAAAAGGGGTGAATTTACCAGTGACAGTTGTCCAAAGAAAGTTGAGATTTGAATATAGAGCTTGTGCTCTTTGGATATGCCTTGCACTGTGTACACATGTATTTAAATTAATATAGACAATAGGGTTCTACCCTCTTGCTTCCAAATTTTCTAGTTATCTTCGATCCCCTTATAGTATAGTTTCACTTAAGATTTTTCTCTGAAGTTTTTATTGCTCTTGGGGACAAATAGCCTAAAGTTTGACATATTTGGGTTGACTAAGAGGCTCATCCCGTTCCTCATGTTGGAATGGTCACCTTATTTATTACAGACTTTTGACTCTATTTCAAAATTGTTATTAGTTTTTGACTCAGCCTCTTGTAATTAATTAAATTAGTTGATGATGACCTTTAGTTGAAATCTTGATGAAGAACATATATTATTCTGTTGATGAAGATTTTTTAGAACTTCCTTAAAACCTCGCTTCATCTATACTTGCAGTAAATAGTTAGGAACACAAATATATCATGCTATGTCCCAGTGAGTTTTAAAAATTTCCAGGATTTTAAAGTTACGCTAAGGATTTTTAGAAAAATGAAAGAATGCATTTTTTCTTCTGCATCATAGAAAAATACTCATATAATGACCCCCCCTCAATATAATCATGGTAAATGTTACCCATTGTACATATTATATACAGTAATAGATATGGTCTTTGTTTATTGCATTTATGCCAAATGTAAATTAAATTGATTTGCAATCAATCAAACGGGACATTAACAACAGTTTGTTTATTGTGTATGTACAGTAGCTGCCAGGACATTTTGGAGTGTTAAGGTGACTTGTACCTCCAGAGTTGTCCTCAAGAAAAATTATCTGATCGTTATAAACTTTGTTTGATCTAAGTTACTAGATGATCAATCCCCCAAAGTGGTCATTAAACATATCCTATACTATATATAGCAGTTAGTTTTGGAGCTGGACTGAAAAGTAAATTCCCATACTGAATAATTGGCTATTCCCCACTCAGCACCAATTATTCAATGATATATTTGTTTTGTTATGTGTTTATAAGCAATGTCAATTGTCCAAATTTTTTAGAAAATGTGGCCAGCTAGAGTATATAATCACACAGGTGTATCTGATGATCACTGGATACTACATGAAATCTCTTTCTAGCCGAGTATTCACCAACTCTTGGTTCCTAAACAGAACATGGGTGTGATTTATTTTCAAATTTTCCCATAAACACAGATCAGGGGTCTCTCCTATTTATGATTACATAATGATTCCAGTCAATAAACTTTACTCATCATGCCTCTAGACTTTCTACACAACAGGCCTGTAGGCAGCTTTTCCCACTTTTTAAAGTATTCCAGGGGGTTCACATTTGACAATTTTGGCCTAAAATCATTTGAAGCTCCCCCCCTGGCTATGGGCCTACACAATCTCTGTCTACCTGTTTTAATGTATCACATTGATTTTGGCACAATGGTTTAATAAAACTTTTGAATTCATCATGCTTTGTTGTTTAACTATAGATGAAGTGCCAAACAAGTGTGCATTGAACTGTTTGGCTAAAGGAGAAAGTTTCTACTACCAACATGCTGTTCAAGTTAAAGATGGCACCACCTGTCAGGAGGACTCTTTAGATGTGTGTGTGGATGGAGTTTGTCAGGTTTGCTCCTTAATTTTGTGACATGGGGGAGTATGTTGTCTTAATGATGTGGGGATGTTCCTTCTTAGGTGAGAGGTGTTTTAGTGAGGTGGGGTGTTTTCAAAGGGAGTTTGGGTTCTTTACGTGAAGTGGAGGTTTTTTAAGTAACATGGAGAAGGGTTAGTGTAGTAATTAGTTTAAATTGCATCAACATTATTGAATCTGGATATTTCTATTTTGAATTTGTGTAATTGAATTTATATTATTTAAAAAAAATTGCACAAAAATACTACAGAAATCCATTTGCCAAAGCACTTTATCTTAATTGAGCCTGATCAATCTGATTTCAACATTCAACCAAGGATTACAAATAATACACAAATTATATTTTAAAATAACATGAAATTCAAAAATCAACCCTCTCTTTGTATATTGTAGCCTGTAGGGTGTGACATGATGCTAGGATCTCAGGCCAAAGAAGATATGTGTCGTGAATGCAATGGTGATGGCTCGTCATGCCAAATTGTGACAGGAGAGTTCACCAAACCTATCCTGGAAACAGGTGAGTGGCAAATCATCCTGAAATATCAAGAATGTGGGATTTGAGTATCCTTATTTTTGTTGGCTTATATGATGAGCCTATGGAAACACACATTTTCTGTCAACCATTATCAGACAAATGAAACGTACATTTTCTGATCAATTGTCAATCTCAGAGAAATTAGCTTTTTAAGTAACCATTTTTAATAAAGAATATCTTATATCTTTGTCAGATATTTTTCATCAAGAACACATATAGGTACATGCAAAAAACATTCAGTTGACATTCCGTTCACATTCCAATTTTTCATCCATGTTATTGTATATTGTGTTATTGCAGGTTATAATGATATTTTGCTCATTCCAAGTGGCTCTACAAATATTAGGATAGAAGAGACGGTTGCCACAAATAACTACCTCGGTAAGACAAAAACTGAATCCCGACATAGTCTTCAAATGTTGCTTGTTGTAATTCAATGCACACCTGGTTCTTACTTATATAAAAATAATACTAGAGTCAGTTTTATACAAATCTTTTTTATGTAATTGCAAAATATGAATTTCAAGAGTTCTTAAGATAAAAATTATTAATTAATAATTTATAATTCCATGTTTGTAGTAATTCTACAATCAGCCTTGTAAACAAATTATTGGATTGCAAAATATTTATGCTTGTCATTTTTTTTTCCAGCAATGAGAAACCTCTCGGGTACTTATTTTCTGAATGCTGACTGGAGGATAAATTTCCCCGCTATGTATAAATTTGCCGGGGCTAACTTCCATTATACACGTGGTAGCATGCCTCTTGACAAACCAGAGGTCATTTCAGCAAAGGGCCCCACTACTGAAGCCATCTATATTGTGGTATGTTATATATATAAATACTGTATTTCAATTCAATCTACAAAGATTTTTCGAATTAGTTTACTGAGTACCATACAACTTGTCAGAGAGCAATTAATGGTGTCAAAGTACTGAATATTTTTTCAGAATTTTGATTTTCATTTACAATGATGTTGAATAATCCATTTTTTACCTTCATAGAAATCTAAACAAAGACATGCTGTTATACAGTAAACCTGTGTATGTTGATTCTCAAGATATTCTTAACTTTGGAGGTGTTCCACTTGAAGAGGTTCATTATAACATTAATGGCCAACAAGACTTGAAGATGTGTTGCATTTACAGACATAGGTATTCGACTTAGAGGTTTTACTGTACATCTTGATTGGTTGATTTTCAGCTTTTGCACCAAGAGAAAAATGAAGGGATCAAATATACTTACTACATTCCAAATGTTGCACAATCTACCTATGGCTGGGAGACCACTGAATGGGGAGAGTGCAGTCAGACTTGTGGTGGAGGTATGGTTCAGTGCCTTATGTTTGGTTTGGCTTTTGGTTATTGTTGGAGTCATATTGGAAGCTTTACAGACTCATGATCACTTACATGTGTATATTTTGAAAATTATACATATAAACATACATATAAGATACATGTTGAAGGAACATAATTTATTTATAAAAGTGTAACCATTCCAAATCTCAATTAAACATGCTAAAAAAGATAATAAAGAAATAATAATAAATGAAAAGATAAAAGCTTAAAGTAGGTTTTCTTTCAAAAACGTGATGAAATATGCATGTTCAAACCATTCTTGCCACATTGTAGGAAGCCAGTCAAGAACTGTGACGTGTCAGAAAGATGATGGTGAATCTGCGGAGAACCTTTGTGATGAGAGCCAGAAACCAGCAACCACACAGACATGTAGCACAGAGTCATGCCCAGCAAGGTAAAATACTATTATATTTATATTTGTACATCCAATTATGTTGGAATAATCAAAAGGTTGTAGGATTGTGTCTCAAAAGAGTTGAGGAACTGTTTCACAGGAGCTCTTCCATTTTCATTGTACCAAGAAAAGGGAACAGAATCTTGTCAGCATGGAGGTAAAGTTATGGCCTCTCGCTTTTCTTATCTGCCCATTTCAAGATAAATTGCTCAAGATTTATTCGTTTTCTTTACATGAAAATCAAGAGTAAAATATTGTTACTATGTATCTTGTTTCAATATTTTTGTGCCTGTGTAGTTTATAGTAACTTTTTTAAATGATTTAATGTTTTAGTTGGGCAGTGGGAGAGTGGCAAGAGTGCTCCACCACATGTGGTGAAGGATTCCAATACCGCATAGTCTTCTGTCAGCAAGTGACCAATGGAAACATTCCTAAGATAGTTGATAGTGATGAGTGTTCAGAGGAGAAACCAACCAATGAGCAAGCTTGTAACAAAGATGTTCTGTGCCCGGTATTTGAAGCTGGACCATGGTCTGAGGTATGATTTCAATGCACAATACAACACATGTTCTAGATAATGTAAAAATAATTTGAATATTCACTGATTCTGAAAAAAGCTGCATATGCATATAGGGCAATATAGCATAAGAATGTATTCTTCAACAAATTTATAAATCTTATTGAGAGAGCAAAAAGCAAAACTTGAAACTAAAATCCAAATTAATGAATTCATTGTAATTTCAGTGCTCACATGAGTGTGGCCCTGGTAAACAAACACGTAAGGTGACATGCCAGGATGTACCAACGAGCCCAGGAAGTAAAGTGCAGTCATATGAAGATGATGCCTGTGATGACCAAGAAAAGCCCAGTGAAGAACAGGAGTGCTCCAATGGTCCATGTGAAGGTGTGGATTGGGTCATTTCAGACTGGACTGAAGTAAGAATCACACTTTGCAAGAGTTTTGACTTCAGCTGCACTCTTGAAGAAATTCAAGAAATACCCATGATTAGAAATAGTACCGCATTACTTGCCTACATTATATTGCTTAATACACTACAGAGTACTTGCTTTAAGAGAATTTTGGTATTTAGAGGCAAAATTGCAATTTTGAAGCTTCAGAAGAAAATTCTTGTAATTTTTCAAAAAATGCCACTTTTTCAGGAATCTGCCCAGCTAATTGTGGACAATTTTTTTTACATTTTTTTATTTCAGCAGTAGTTGAATTTGTGTTTTGAATTTTTCTTTGTGGTATTTGAGGCAGGTATGGTGGTTAACTTAAAGTTTAACATTCAGAATGACAATTTACAATGTATTTATTTATTTACTTAAAGGGGAAAACCGGGTATAAAAGGAAGATGGAACAGCCAAGAACTGTCAATTATGTCTGTTGAAAATGTTTGAATCACTGAAACCAGTAAATTTATTTTGATTTTGCCAATATCATGATTTCTAGGAAGAATCAAAGATCCATATTTGGTACAGTCATGTATAAAACCATAATGAATACAAATATGAGATCATATTCAAGTATTATTGAATATATTTCAAGCATATTTGAAAAGAAATATTTAAAGATCTCATTAAAAATGAGCAGTTGGATGTGGATTTAATTTCAAATTGACCAATAGTCTGCAATGCTCTCAGGTCAGAGGTTAAAACATGTAAACATAGCAGCAATATGCCTTGTGCTTGTGTTTATAAATGACCCCACTACTGCTAAGCCACATCCTCTGCTGACAGCTGATTGGCTGTTTGCTATCTAGTAGGCATTTCACATGTTACATAAGACACCCGGGTGTAGCAATTAACTGAAGTTTTCCTCTTTAAGTAAGCAAACAAATTTAAACAACATTGACACATCTTACTGACAAAATTTATATCTACAGAGTAGAGTATGGTACAACTTGACATTGTCTTATTTCAAAATCTTACAAGAGTTTACAAGTGTCTATTTCAAGAGTTTTGTTTACATAGAAATTCAAGAGATGTTAACTATGTTGTTAACACTATTTTGCCTGTTAAAGAGATGTCATCAAGTAGGTTATTTTTAAAATAAGTTTGTGAGTGTTAATTGTGGGAAGCAGTCATATGTGATGCAAATGTTTCCCTTCAAACTTATTTTATTTTCTGAAAAAGAATTAATATGAGATATTTGATTAAATATAAAAAGTTATTGATCATTTCCATTCTATCTAAGGTGCAGATATGTCAACATTCATTAATTTGACGTAATTTTTTTCTTTTTCACCCGACAACATTAAAAATCAAAGGATTAACCTAAAGTGTTTTTTTTATTTCCTCTATTTTTTATTTTTTATCAATATAATGCATTTCAAAAGTAGCTAAGAGCAAAACGATATTTTATCAGTCAATGATATTATATACATCATAACATGTGTTTGAATTTTAAGATGTATAATATTTATTATGATCGTTACAACATACTCATATACAAATCCATGTATGCATATTTACAAACTCAACAATGAATGGTCTCTAGTTTATAACTGTACAGTTCAAATCAGCTTTTGTGACATTACCTCTATTTAGATCTATAAATCAATTGTGATGCCATCCTAAGGTCATGATGAATTCAAGTCACTGCCAAGTTTATCAGCTTAATTTATTGTCGTTATACTTCATAAGATTGTTGCTTATTGCTTACCCTGTACTAAGTGTTCAGGGGGTGACCACTTTAATAATTTTACCAAAATGTTATTGTCTGGGGCACGCTTGAGCTTTTTGAGGCAAATGCCTCCAAAATTTATTGAGTTGAAATTCAGTCCAAAGTACTGTATGTACATGTATTAAATCCCCCTAAATTAAATAAGCATCGCTTTAGGTCTTACTCAAGCCTTGCTATTACTTTACTTGTTATATTCTTCTAAATTGCAGTGCTCTGGTGTATGTGGCCACTCTATGCAGACAAGGCAGGTGAAGTGTGTGAGCAGGAATGGTGTGGTCCACTCAGATGATGAATGCGAGAGTGGCAGGAAGCCAGAGACTGTCAGGATGTGTGACAATGATAAAGCAGAGTGCAAGGCACAGTGGCATGCCTCACAGTGGGCCCCAGTAAGTAATGTATGCAATGTCAAGGGGGGTTATTGAAGGGCTTAGTGTTTGATATTTTTGAAGGAGGTCAGAGGGGAAGCTATGTACGGTATGTGTTTTATGTTCAACCATTTCATGTTCGTGCAATTACATAGTATCTTAAATAAATAACATATTATATACACGTATACAAGATCACTTTGTTACACAGTAGATGGTTTTGCACCTCCATTTTATGTATACAGTACATGTACATATATTTTAGGCACATTTTTTGTCATATACTTGGTGTTTGAGAATGTGTGTAAGTGCAAAATACATTGTCTTTTCTAGTTATTCATTTAATTGAAAGTGATGCAGAAAACCTGCATCATTATTCGAAATACACTTGTCTATACCTTGCCTTATGTCTAAAGCTATGCTTTTCAAAGCCTGGCTGTCGATGTCTTCCAAGACATTGATTTGTTGGTTGAAGAAACATGGAAGATTTCCGGTGCTACAGACATAGTAAAATGCCTCTAACATATCTACAAATCGTTCAGTTAGTTTTGATTCCATCCACAGACGTACATCGGGATTGTCACGGTTTAGATACAGCATTATTGTTTTGAAACAGTACGAGCTAATACACTGCCATTGCTGACGACGCAGTCTTATTGCTTTCATTATTTTGACCACTTTAGTTTGAACTCCACTCCTCATTACCTGGTATGCTTTTGCTTCTTCTCTACAAGCAGAGATCAACCATCTTTCCTCCAGACTCTTGACTGTATCGGCACGTAGCATTTGTCTGTCCTTTAATTTCGGATGTGGTTTAGCAACAAGCAATTTGTCTCTAAATCTGCATGCAGGAGAAAAATCAATGCTTATTTTTGAGGCATCATTTTGTGGCTGCTTGAGGATCACTGTGAAGGCAGGTCCACTCGTCTCCAAGGTGACATCATAGACCACTCCTTTAATGAACATTGTTATTGTTTTGCCGTCATTTCGTCCACAGTGGAAACTGTTCAACCACTGTTGGAAGAAACTGTGGAAAAAACTATGTGTATCTCCTGCTGAAATTGTTTCATAAACCATGGTAGGTCGCGTGAAAGCTAGCTTATGTATATGTCTAGCCATAGGTGATCTCTGATAAGGGCTATATCTGTTCATACTTGTTCTCGTTGCAGTGTTCATTTGAACAGGAACACGTTGCAGACTTGATTGCTTCAGGGAACAGTAACCCTTTTTATCGATGTCATAAATTTCCCTGGGTAAAGAAACACGCTCATTATTTCGTATGATGACATGATCAAATTCATCAGCTCTTCCTACTTTTAAGTCTTCAAATGAGCTACCAATGTTTAAAAGCTCAATATGTTCACTGTTATTATCCATAAAAAATCTTAAAAGGCTTGTCTTTATTTGACTGTCTATATCTTTGGCCTGGATCATCTCCTGGGGGTTAACATATGCATGGGTATTGTAGAACCGATTTAGATGTTGATTAAGTGGGTCCACCATAGGGTTTACCAATCCATACCTGTAGATGTATTTAGGAGGTTGATTGCCACCACCATACAGGGGACGCTTCATATTCACATGCCTTAACATGCCGTGACTGGAAATACAATAAATATAGTTGAATCCAAATTTAGGAAATATCAGTTTATGTAGTTTGAACTACTTAGTGCTCTAAGTAATGATTCTTACCTCATTTTTATGCATATATCAATGCCTTTGTCCTTTTGCGTATTACTTTTTCACAGGCAGCTACACCTCCCAAGAATCAATATTATAATGCGCATGTTACATTGATGTATAAGTTAATATTTAACCAATGTTGGAATCAGGGTTAAGGTTGGCAGAGAAGGATGAATTTTTGTATCACTAAGTGGTTATGCATAATTAAAGCCAACAAAAAATATCACAAAACTAGAATCCAAAGTTATTCACAGGTAATTAAATGTGGTGTGTCATACGGTTTACTAATGCTACTCCTATGTCGGGGTCATATGTCAAAGAAGCTAATTACATGTACAACCTTTTTAAATTCCTTTCAATATACATTAAGATTTATCTAATTTCAGTGCTCTGTACGATGTGGCAAGGGACTTCAGACACGAATTGTTGTGTGTGCAATATTTGATGGTGAAAAGCTCCAGAATGTCCCAGATGAACTGTGTAACATTGATGACAAACTGGACACAGTGAAGGAGTGTGACGCTGGACAGTGTAAGGGTCAATGGTTCGCTGGACCATGGAGCAAGGTAAAACATGAGTTACCATAGCAACCATAGATTTTGACCTATCAGATTACATTCGCTGATTTTTGGTATCTAATAGCACAAATATTTATACGTATTCTGTGAAAATGGAGAAATAAGAATTTAGATCTGGTTTGTGTGTTTTATTGTTTGTTTCTTGAAATTAGTGTTTATAAACATAATCGAGAGTATCATTTACGAGTGAATCTTAGAGCGGAAATGATTGTATACTTTTGTAGTTCTGTTTTTGATAGTAAATTTCCTGCTATTGAATTTGATACGCTGAGAATCTCTAGCCACCTAAACTCTTGTATCCAGTAATCTGTATTTGTTTACAATTCACAATGTCACGCTAAACTATTGAATGAATTAATTGAGTTAGATCTAGGTGAAGTGGAATTGAATTGATTTGATAGTGATATAAGTGGTTGATAAATATTGTAAGTCTTTTAGGTCATTTTAACCTGTAAAGGGAAGGGAAAGTGGGGGGACGAGGATGATGAAAGTAAAGGGATGAATGAATGAATGGAAGGGAGGGGTGAAATTTTGGGATAGGAGGGGAGTAAAGTGGGGGATAGAAGGAGGGAGTAAAGTTTGGGATGGAGGGAGGGGAATAAAGAAAAGGTTGAACTAAGATATCTTCATCACATGCTTAAACCAGATCAATTTTGACTGTATGCATTTCTAAATAAGATATTGGAAGAAATGTTTGTCTTATTTCTAGTGCTCGGCACCATGCGGAGGAGGCAACAGACATCGTGAATTGATGTGTTTCACCAATGGCAGAGTGGTGACTCATTCTGAATGTGATGCCTCTAAGAGACTTGAGGAGAAAGAACCATGTAATAACACACCATGTGATGAAGGTCAGTACCCTTGATGAGACCTCCATGGTGTCTACCCTCTTTAACTAAGACAAGTTCTTTTGATCTAGCCTTCATCCTTTGGCAATAACGATGGTTGGAAATACTTCACTATGTTTTTGACCACAAATGGCATTAATGGTCATGAAAGCTAACAAATTTTTTTGAAAATCAACAAAAACATTTTTGTTTTGCTAAAACTCAACTAAACTAAAAAGGAATAATTACATTTTTGAGAAAATGTTTATACAATATTTAACTGGTTGAGGTCGATCAAAAAGTTTTTAAGTTTAAGTTTTGATCACATACTGTACGTATTAGTAACCCAATTTAACATTTTGCTTTTTAGACAACTTACTGATAATCAAGGGAGGTTGTAGAGAGAGTGCATATGGCTGTTGTCCTGATGGAATGACAGCATCTAAAGGTGAAAACAATGAGGGTTGCCCCGACGATGAGGATGAAAAGACAGACTGTCAGCAGACAGAGTTTGGTTGTTGCCGGGATGATAAGACTCCAGCTGGTGGACCTTTCTATGAAGGTTGTCCGGATATACCTTGCAAGGTTTGGAATAAACTTCTACATTGAGTTAATAGTGCAACCTTATACCTTATACCTTATGTCAGAGAGACAACCTTAATTGTAAAAGATATACATTTTATTTCATACAATTCTAAATAAACAAAAGTTAGATTAGCCATTGGGCCAATAAACTTTGTTTCGTTTGGGCCAAAATTTAGAATTGTCTTGCAACCACTGAAGGAGGTTATAAGAGGGTACTTTACCAAGTAAACCTGTATTAGATTGTACAAAGCAAGAGTATTGACTTAGTCTTTTTTTATTTTTTTTATTTAGTCACTGGGTAAAATATCCTTAGGTAACAAATTATGGTTGATTTTAGGATTCTAAATATGGTTGTTGCTCTGATGACACCACATCTGCCAAGGGTGAGAACAAGGAGGGATGCCAAGATGAACCAGAAACTGAGGGTGGGGCACCTGTTGAGATCCAACAAGCTCCACCAACACCGATTGCTATACCTGAAGGTGATAAAGAACCAAAAGATGATGATGAAAATTCTGGAGATGGAGAAGATGCTAGCACAGTGTCTCCAGATGTTGTTACTGAAGTGGAACCTAAAACTACAACGAAGAAGGATGTTACCACTGAAAGCCCAATTGTGAAAGTAACTAAGAGTGAAACCAAAAAAACTGAGACAAAGTCTGTAACTGCCGAGCCAACTGCCAAACCAACAACTGAAGCAATAGCAGAAGAGGCAACTGAGACTACAACAGATGCCATCAAAGCTTCTACAGAAGAGGTTTCATTATGTGCAACATTCCAGTTCGGCTGCTGTCCCGATGGAAAGACAAGAGCTCTGGGTGAGTCTTAATCAGCTTGAGAATAAAATGTGCCTTCTCTGATCATTTATATGAATATTTTGATTTCAGGATATGTCTTAAAGATTTTTGGTAAACAGGTCAAAATTGAATAAATGACAGGTATAATGTTCCTTCCTGAAAACTGCTTTCTTTAAGCTAAACCTGGTGCCAGACCTCTGGGTCAGCACTTTTATTATGCCCTGACAGTTGTTTTGTCTTGAAACCGTTGCCAAAAGAGGATTTATATTTCTAAAGGATCCATCAATCTTTTGTTTGTTGAGCAGATGAGAATGGCAGTGGTTGTAAAGTAGAACCATTCTGTGAATCTATGGAATTTGGTTGCTGCAATGGCACAGAGATCCCAGCTTTAGGCTCCAATGGTGAGGGTTGTGGACCATCTATTGTGGTAGGAGATTGCCACGGAGCACCTTACGGCTGCTGCCCAGATGGAAAGACCTCTGCTAATGGCCCAGAAAAAGCCAACTGTGAACCTGCCTCTATTTCTGCATGTAAAACCTCTGAACATGGCTGTTGCCCTGATGGGGAGAGACCAGCTGAGGGAGCAAATAATGAAGGCTGTGAAATCAAGGTAACTATGTTAACTTATACATTAGCCTGTTTTTCATTATCAAAATGTGATGGCACCATCAAAATGGAACATAAGTTATACTTAAATTACACTGTAATTCTACCTACATGAAATCATGCAAATTTACTGCTTTATACCCATAACAACTATACAAGTACTATATACTGTAGAATTCCTTTCTGGAGGTTATCATATCAAATCCCTTCTTATCCTTTCTGCAGGTTATCCTAGGAGGTTGCAGAGGAACTGAGCATGGGTGTTGCACTGATGGAGTAACTGCTGCAACTGGGCCCAATAAAGAAGGTTGCGAAGATGTTGAGGTGGACTGTGAAACAACTGAGTAAGTTTAACAGAATTACATGTACTTTAAAAGATAAAAGAAATATGGAAATATTAAGAAATATGAAAATATTTTCATTTTAACTTCACAATAATATCTAGGAGAAAGTGATATCCAAAGATCGACTAATTATCCCTGGTTTTGGAGTTTTCATTAAATTGCCTCCAATTTGACTGGCTCTAGAGGATTCAACTGGAGACCATCCAGAAGTATTAAACAGAACATACAATGTAGTTGTTAAAAGATATTAAAAATGTTACAGAAGAAGATGAAAGGTACATACATGTACATTTACTTGCAGATATGGTTGTTGCTTAGACTCTAAGATTGCTGCCCAAGGACCTGACAACGAGGGATGTGGAACTGTGATAGTTGACCCCCCTGTCCTAGGGGGCTGCGCGGGAACACAACACGGTTGCTGCCCAGATAAAAAGACAAGTGCAAGTGGGCCAAACTTGCAGGGTTAGTTTCAGTTGAAGTTATAGATATATTAGGGAGTTTAAGCTTGCATATAAAATAGAAACACCAACCTATTCGTATAGCCAATCGCCCATACAAATGCATCGCTTAAATATTTTTCATTCACGTTTAGGTTGTGAAAAACATTGCAAGCTTAAACTCCCTATTATGTGCTGTGCCACATTTATTATTGTGCTAGCTCCATGTTGTATGATGGATGTCTTAGCAGCATTTTGATCTATGTGTTAGTTCTGTCCAGTCAAGGATCACTAGCTAGTTATGTATGCATGATTTCAGGACCATGGGTATGTTGTATGGATGAATATAACTGTTATTCACCTACAAATATCTAGGCATGTATAGTCAATTTTTGACTAGTCTAGTAAATGTGCAATGTTAAGAGCTGTGTACAATGCAAGCCATGCCATTGTTGAGGCTGATGCTGTGAAAAGTATAATCAATGGGCTGTGTTAAGAGCTGCATACTGTACATGTATATGTAACCCATGCATGTCGGCTTCGCTCATGGGTTCTCTATTGCAATACACAGTCATGTTCTATAACTGTAAATGTGTTTGTGATATCCTTGGTTACAGGTTGTGACATTGAGCAAAAAGACCTGGAATGTTCCAAGACAACATATGGTTGCTGCCCAGATGGTGAGGCTACTGCTCTTGGTTTAGACTTTGATGGCTGTGGAGACTCCATAGACACATCATCATGTGCATTCAGCAGACATGGCTGTTGTCCAGATGGTGTTACTGAAGCTCAGGGGTCCAATTTCCTCGGCTGCACCTGGGTACAAGGTTTGTCACCAATAATCATTATTGTTAAAGGCATAAACAATTTTGTTTCAAAAGTGCTCATAGGCTTTCTTAAATTCTAGATTCAGTCTTTCTTCTAAGAAGGCCATGGAACACAGAACTGATAAATCAAGCAAATAAACTCTAGTTTCATTCGTAACAGCAGAGGTCAGGATTTAGAAGATTCTGTGACATTCCCAAATCATTGTTTTCTGATAGTGGCAATAACATTATTTTGCTCATAAAAATGGATTCAGGGTTTCTTATTTAGAATTTATTTTGTACAATAGAATATTTTGAAAAATGTCCCTGATGCAACACCATATATAACGTGTGCGGTTTATTTCTACGCTTAACACCACATTGATTTATATGGTCACCTTTCAGAAAGTTGCAGCTTGCCTTCGGCTCCTGGGACCTGCCGCAACTTCACTATTGGATGGAACTTTGACATTGCATTTGGAGGCTGCTCACGGTTCTGGTACAGCGGCTGTGAGGGCAACAGCAACAGGTTTGAGAATCAGGAGCTGTGTAAGAGTATCTGCGTCCAGCCTGAGGGCAGGGGTATGTCTTTTATAGTTTTGTAATGTTTTTTTATATTAAGAGTGTTATTGGTGATATAGAAAGATGGCAGTAAAACCAACCCATTCATACTTTTATACTAATGCCATCTTTATATCAGATTAAAACCTATTCATCATTTTTCATTTTTTGAAGGATTCAAAAATATTGAATATGTTTTGTCATATGAGTCCATGATCAAGGGCATTCATTAGGTACAGGTGTCTTTCTTCAAAGGAAATTCTCAAGAATAATCTGTTTTGAGAAAATAAAAGCACTGAATAGCCATGGCCTGGAGAGAAAAATTCTTACTCATGCCGAAAACTAATTGTCATTTTCTTTTCCAGCTAAGTGTCAGTTGCCAAAGGTGACAGGTCGATGCAGAAAATCCATCGCTAGGTGGTACTATAGTACAGTAACTGCCCAATGTGAGATCTTTACTTATGGTGGTTGCCTTGGAAACAACAACAACTTTGAAACATTGGCTGAATGTCAAGCAAATTGTTTACCAGTTCTAGGTAGGTTGGAGTATTATTTTTACAATAATGTTTCATCTTATATTAATGTGGCATTGTTGGGGTAATTGTTCTTTTACCTGAAATAAAAATATAGGACTGGAATCTATGCTTTTCAAGAAAATCATAAGAAGTTAAGATCTTTATAAAACTGAGGTTCTATGTACAGTATAAATGTTGGTGAGTTTTCATGTTGAATCGTGATATAGACCTCATAGCAGGTATTATATTGACAAATACATACCTTAAAGCTAGGCACAAAAGCTTTCGAACCTCTCACTCCCTTCAGTCGTTCAGTATGTATTTGTCAGTATAACACCTGCTCTTCAGTCTATATTTCTTAATTAAAAATGCCTAGTAAGTTTCTCTTTTGAAACCTGACCATCATTGTAGATGTATGTAAGATGGACAAAGACCCTGGGCCATGTAAAGGTGATCATAAGTACTGGTACCATGATACTGCTACTAACGAATGTCACGAGTTCAGCTATGGAGGCTGCAGAGGAAATGAGAACAGATTTGACAACAAGGAAGACTGTGAGTTGAGATGTCCTCCTAAACAAGATCCAAGCACAAAGACAGAGGAAACAGAAGGTTGGTTTTGACAGTTCTGTTAAAGGTCCCATGTAAATTTTGAAAATATATTTTATCATCTATTTAATATTGATCATAAATGTGAAAGTTGTTTTGGAGGTGTTTTGATAACATTGAGTAAGACTACAATAAAAGTAGTTTAAACTTTATATGGGGCCTTTAATATAAATTAATTTTAGTTAATTATATTGCATACATTTCAATATTTGTAGAATGTGAATATAATCCATCAAATCTGAATAGAGAGAGAGATGATCAGTTAAAAGTTTAAAAAAATATCAAAAGCATTCCAGACAGTACCTCAGCAAATTAGGTCACTTCTAAATGCTTCATTTTATTATTCATTCCTTTGTTTCTAACGAGACCTAAGTGCATGTAATCCAAAAGTAAGATGCTTCACTGAGTTCATGATAAGATGTCTGATTTAAACCAGTTCAAGTATTGTGTATACAATTGAATAAAAAATAATGGGCCTTCATACATCCTAGTCTATATGTAACATATATGTGATGGAAATAAAAAATGTTTGAATTTCTGATCTGGAAACAAATAAATACATTATTTCAGTTAAAGAATTTCCCATTACATTATGTAATGAGAAATTGAAGTAAAAGCATTTGAAATTGGAGACACAATATCTTCATCTCTGAGCACTTTATAATTTCAGTTAAAGAAGTGAATGTCTGCAAGATGCCAAAGGAGGTGGGACCATGCAAGGCTCTTTTGAGGAAATGGTTCTTTGATGCCCAAGATGGCCACTGCAAGCCTTTCACTTATGGTGGTTGTCAAGGAAATGGGAATAACTTTGAAACTGAGGAAGAATGTCGTACAAAATGTAATGCAAAGTCATCTGAAGGTAAAATCTTACTTTTATTGCTGAATTTTTGTTAATTAAGATATTTTTCCACAGGTAGGCTGTCCCTTTAAGAAATACAAAATTAAATCCGTATGAAATGCTCATCACACTTTGGTTCACTAAAGAGTGCTCCACCTCTGATGTTTCACTTGGGAGGTGTTCCATCTATAAAGGTTCAATTAACATGAGTCAATGGGTCACTTTAAAGTCTTCCACATACTGTATGCAGTGGTGTTCCATGATGGACAGTTGTGTCTGTGTGATATGTTGTGAATTCAATATAACAAAAAGAATAAGGAAAGCATAAGAAGCTATGTTAATTTCTTGTCTTTTCCTTGTAGATATCTGCACCTTACCATCTGAGACTGGACCCTGCACCGAGAGTGTCACCAAGTGGTTCCATGATACAACTGATGGAGAGTGTAAACAGTTCCTGTATGGAGGGTGTGAGGGAAATAAGAACAACTTTGAGACATTTGATGAATGTAAAGGAGCATGCATAGCAACTAAGCCTATCAAAGTCAGGGGTAAGCAATGCATAGCAACTAAACCTATCAAAGTCAAGGGTAAGCAATGCATAGCAACTAAACCTATCAAAGTCAGGGGTAAGCAATGCATAGCAACTTAACCTATCAAAGTCAGGGGTAAGCAATGCATAGCAACAAAACCTATCAAAGTCAGGGGTAAGCAATGCATAGCAACGAAACCTATCAAAGTCAGGGGTAGGCAATGCATAGCAACAAAACCTATCAAAGTCAGGGGCAAGCATTGCAGAGCAACTAAACCTATCAAAGTCAGGGGTAAGCAATGCATAGCAACTTAACCTATCAAAGTCAGGGGTATTCAGTGCATGGCAACTAAGCCTATAAAAGTCAGGGGTATTCAATGCGTAGCAACTAAGCCTATCAAAGTCAGGGGTAAGAAATGCATAGCAACTAAGCCTATCAAAGTCGGGGTAAGCAATGCATAGCAACTAAGCCTATCAAAGTCAGGGGTAAGCAATGCATAGCAACTAAGCTTATCAAAGTCAGGGTTAAGCAATGCATAGCAACTAAACCTATCAAAGTCAGGGGTAAGCAATGCATAGCAACAAAACCTATCAAAGTCAGGGGTAAGCAATGCATAGCAACAAAACCTATCAAAGTCAGGGGCAAGCATTGCAGAGCAACTAAACCTATCAAAGTCAGGGGTAAGCAATGCATAGCAACAAATCTATAAAAGCCAGGGGTAAGCAATGCATAGCAACAAATCTATAAAAGTCAGGGGTAAGCAATGCATAGCAACTTAGTCTATCAAAGTCAGGGTATTCAATGCATTGCGGTTTAGCCTATCAAAGTCAGGGACAAGCAATGCATAGCAACTAAACCTATCAAAGTCAGGGGTAAGCAACGCATAGCAACTTAACCTATCAAAGTCAGGGGTATTCAATGCATGGCAACTAAGCCTATCAAAGTCAGGGGTATTCAATGCATAGCAACTAAGCCTATCAAAGTCAGGGGTAAGAAATGCATAGCAACTAAACCTATCAAAGTCAGGGGCAAGCAATGCATAGCAACTAAATCAATGTCAGGGTTGAGTAATGCATTTAGCAACTGCATTTCTTGAAATAACTAAGAGCTCTATGTTATCTTGATTTGTAGCAAAGTGTTCCCTAAAGCCAGTAACAGGGCCATGTAGGGCTCAACTTAGCCGCTGGTTCTACAATACAGCACTGCGAGAGTGTCAGCAGTTTACATATGGTGGTTGCCAAGGAAATGGAAACAGATTCTTGGATAAACAGATGTGTGAGAATATGTGCATTCATTCTTTCAGAGAAAAGCCACTCTCACCAGGTATGTCAAAGAAATGATCAGTCATTGAATATGGGAATCTCTTAAGATCTCATTGAAAATATAGGTTTTCAATGTGATTATATTACAAAGCTATATGGCAATAGGTAAACTGTCACTATTAGGTTTAACATAATCATATGGAGTGATCCAAAACTAACAATTGTGTTTGGATTTTTAACTTTAACATGCATGCATATGTAGTAGTAAAATACTTACTATATTTTTACAGAATCTTGCCTTATCCCATCTTTGCATGATCTTCAATCTTACCATTGGGAATATTGGGTCTAATACTTGGAACATTCTGCGCTAAAAATTGTCTAAACCAGTTGTCATCTCGGGAGCTATGACATCATAAGAAAAAAAACATACATGTACTTTGTTTAGAATTTTTATTGAGGAATGTTCCAGAAAATCTACCCAAGGGGATTACGCATGAAATGTTGACTTTCTATGAATCCTATACTCTTATTGCACATATTCTGTACATGAGGGTTGATTTTAAAGTTCTCATAATATCTGCTCATTCTGTGAAAAATTCATTTGAATATGTGGCCAATAAAGAAATCTGAGAGATATTATGAGAACTTTGTGATCAACCCTCGTATTTCTTGTCAGTCTTGTGTCAAGACCCTCTGGTACCCTCTTTCTATTCTATACCACTGATTAGGGGAATAGAAAGTGGAGGACCCCTTGATGCAAGACTAACTACTGTACCTTCCCCTGCACTGTAGATGTTTGTTCCCTACCCAAGGATCGTGGCCCCTGTCTGGCTTACAAGCCTCGTTGGTACTTTAACTATGCCGACGGAAAATGTGAGGAGTTCGTTTATGGTGGTTGCCTGGGTAACAAAAATCGTTTTGACAGCCATTTTGAATGTGAATATATTTGTCCACCGGTAGGTCAGTACAGACTGTGTTTTTCTTAACAATATCAGGATTTTATGACTATTACTCATATAGCAAAATAAATGACAGGCTGATTCTCTATTTTATGTCGATATGATATGGATTTTATTTAATTTCGCTATTTTCTACAAGTTCACTACAAGTTCAAGTACTCCATTCCAAATGCCCATTCTGTATGCAGATATATGTGTTGTGCCTCCGGAAAGAGGGCCCTGTCTTGAAAATGTGCCCATGTGGCACTACGATGTACCTAGCCAAACATGTAAATGGTTCATGTATAGTGGCTGTGGGGGAAACTCCAACCGTTTCAATTCAAAGAATGAATGCCATACCCGATGTGCTAAAATGCTTAAGGCAGAGATAGAGGAGGAATTGCTGTTTGAAGAGCCAGGTATTAAAAATAACAGTAAATCTTATTCAATATAAATACAGTAAAACCTGTGTGTATTGAACATTTTTTTGCCAAGAAAAATACGTTCAATGTTGGTAGGTGTTCACTACAGAGAGGGTGATTTATACAGAAGTCAGTAGAGAATGTACGGAAGGAAGGGTGTCCACTGGAGACAGGTGTTCAATAGAGAGAGGCGTTCACTAAGACATGTTTTACCATAGACAAGTTTTAAACATGACTAGGATTGACATGTTCAATGCAAGTGACAATGAGAGTGAAACTTTTGTGCCAGTCTAGTTTACAGCATACACAAAACAGATTCCCAATTACCCTTGGGCTGTTCGTCACTACTATAAATAATGATTTAAATCTTTTAATATAAGTAGACTACACTTTCCTCAATTCACTACCCTTTCTGTCTTATTAAGCACTGCATGCACAATATAACCAGGAATTTCAATTACTCTTATTAGCCTTGGTATTTTTCTCTATCACTATATCTGTTGTATGTAATTTTGTGACCTTGTGAGTTATTGCAGCAAATGTGTGAAAATAGCAAGAATGACTGATAATATATTCCATTGTTTTACTTAAAGATACCCTCTGAATGACTTTGAAAAATTTGCTTCGGGTAATGTCAGTCATATGATGTTTTTAAAGGATCGTACACATATTTAGCTGTAGTACTAACTTTTAATATACATGTATACTAATGCTAGCTTGCATGTTAAACTCTAGATGTCTGTCAGCTGCCTCTACAACCTGGACAATGTAAAGCATATGCTGAGCTATACTATTTCAACGCAGCTATTAATGCTTGTGAGAAATTCCAATATAGTGGCTGTGGGGGTAACGGGAATAGGTTTCTCACAGAGTCCCAGTGCGTAGATAGGTGCATAGAGGAGAAGGGAAATACCCCCGAAGTCATTGACAGAGTAGTTGAGGAAGCTGATCTGGTCCCAAAATCAAAAGGTAGTTTAGAATTTGTGATTTCAAGGACTTATGATACTGAAGGCACGAAATGGCGAGAAAAACCAAAATATTGACAGGAGTTCTCACTGCTTATTTCATGTATTTGCATAGTAGATCTGTTAGACAGTAGTACAGTGGAAGGCATAGTAGACCTTTTAGATAGAAGTGCAGTTGAATGTTGTGTAGTGTGAACCTTAACATTAAAATCTGTCTGAAACCTGATTTATACATTACAACCTATGATACAAGATATTTTATTCTATTAATCAAAGAATCAATGAAGCATAAAGTTGACTCTTAACATGTATAGTACATAGTATAGAGTATAACTATATTATACTATAATATAGATCTAGATGCATCGTTTAATTAACTTTTATGGTATCCAAGTTCTTACACAAGAGAAATGTACTGCATCAGTTATATCAGTTGTCCCTTGTGTAAATACTACAGCACATGTAAGGAGGAATGAAGGACTGATCTCATCAGTATATATTTTTTTAAACCATTTACTTTTTTCCATGTTACAGAGGTGTGCAAGCTTGAGCGTGACCCTGGACCCTGTGATGGCTACTACCCCAAGTGGTACTTTGATGATAGAACACAATCCTGCAGGCGATTCCTCTACACTGGATGTGATGGTAACGAGAATAGGTGAGTGAAAAACATAAAATGTACTGTATTCCATAATACATTCCTTGATATTATTATAGACAACTCAACTTACACTGGCTTTGATAACTATGAGGACATTAATTTTGGGAGAAATAATTTATTACATACAGGGTGACTGCAAAAGCAAAAAGTGGCCCCTGAATATTTCTTGAACTATAAATGGAATTAATGTTTCATGGCACATAATCTAAAAGTGTAGAATTGTAAAAGATCAAATAATTGTACTGGAGGATATATGAATATTAGTAGGTATGTTAATTACACTGCAAAAATGCAGAAGTCAATGTAGACACCCAAAAAATAATTTTCCAGATTTGAGAGGGAAGAGGACTGTAATGCCACATGTATGTCAGTGAAACCTGATCAAGTGACAGATGCACCAACAACAGAGGGAGGTGAAGAGGACAGCAGTGAAGAAGAGCCACCAGTTACACATACTCCCTCTGAATCTGAAGAAGTCATTAGTAAGCTATTTGTAATACTAAAATGTCTTCTCTGGTTTGTTTTGTTCCATGTATTTGTTTGGATGTCTGCTCCTTTCTAGGTTGATATGTCATAAATTTTCCAGAAAGTTTAAAACTCCATGATGATACAATTAAGATCCACTTAAATCATGTAGAACTTTGCTCCTGTTTCGTTTAGCTTATGATGTGTGTTCTGAAGAACCCGATGCTGGTCCATGCCGTCAAGCACAGGCTCTGTGGTATTACAGCCAATCAGACGGCATATGTAAACGTTTCCTTTATGGTGGATGTAAGGGTAATGGCAATAGGTTTGCGTCAGAAGAGAAGTGTAAGAGTATATGTGTAGACAGGACATTAGGAACACCTGAAGAAACAACTGTAGCACCCACTGAAAAACCTGCTGAAAAACCGACTGAAAAACCCACTGGAAAACAACAAGGTATACTTCGAAACCTAAATTTAATCTCATAATATGTTTTTTAACTTTTATTGCTAAATATTTTTTAATAAATCACAAAATTTATTCACTGTTAAAATGATAATTTCAAATAACATTGATACGCATGCAATTGTAAGCACATATTACTATGAACCTGTCTCGAATGTCTTGCTTGCTTTATGTGCATACTAATGCCTATAGCTTGTAATATAGACATCATATAAGATTGTCTAGGTATACTGTAATATTGGTATAAAGGTAAGTACTGTAACGGTGCTGAATAATAAGTAAAAGTGATAACATGCATAACTTAGTTTTCAAACTTATTTTGTAAATATTTCAAGAAATAACTATAACATATACAGTAAAATCTGTCTGTTGGAACTGGTGTTCACACTGGAATGCGTTTGCAATAATAAGACGCTATTTTAGTATTAATACAATGGGGCATTCAAACAAAGGGACTAAAAAGTAATGCTCAATACAGAGAGGTTCATGTTTTACTGTATATGTTTGTTATGTTACATGTATTTTCTTCTAACCTCAAGACTTTCACATATCTATTTGTTCTTTTTTACTATTTCGTATTTTCTAACTACTCTATACTTATCTGTTAATATTGTTCACATTCATGTATTTGTTTACATTCTTGTGTATTTCTTACATTCTAATTGTTCACATTAATGTATTTGTTTACATTCTTGTGTATTTCTTACATTCTAATTGTTCACATTAATGTATTTGTTTACATTCTTGTGCATTTCTTACATTCTAATTGTTCACATTAATGTATTTGTTTACATTCTTGTGCATTTCTTACATTCTAATTGTTCACATTAATGTATTTGTTTACATTCTTGTGTATTTCTTACATTCTAATTGTTCACATTAATGTATTTGTTTACATTCTTGTGTATTTCTTACATTCTAATTGTTCACATTAATGTATTTGTTTACATTCTTGTGCATTTCTTACATTCTAATTGTTCACATTAATGTATTTGTTTACATTCTTGTGCATTTCTTACATTCTAATTGTTCACATTAATGTATTTGTTTACATTCTTGTGTATTTCTTACATTCTAATTGTTCACATTAATGTATTTGTTTACATTCTTGTGTATTTCTTACATTCTAATTGTTCACATTAATGTATTTGTTTACATTCTTGTGTATTTCTTACATTCTAATTGTTCACATTAATGTATTTGTTTACATTCTTGTGTATTTCTTACATTCTAATTGTTCACATTGATGTATTTGTTTACATTCTTGTGCATTTCTTACATTCTAATTGTTCACATTAATGTATTTGTTTACATTCTTGTGCATTTCTTACATTCTAATTGTTCACATTAATGTATTTGTTTACATTCTTGTGTATTTCTCACATTCTAATTGCTCACATTCTTTTAATTACTCACCTTTTCTTATTTCCAGTATTTGATCACTGACATAGCGACCCACTGGGCTGCAATGTGAACATCAAACAGATGAACAAGCTTTAATATAAAATACATGTCTCATCTATGTTTAAGAATAAATAGAACATGATAAAGTCAGAAAACATGAGTGGAAAACAGGAAAATATGAAATCATAAAACAAAGACATTCTCGTTATAAGTAAAATACAAACTAAAGATCTTATTAGATCCCATTAAGCCATCACTCGTGAAATAAGATAAAATTGTCAAACTCAGCTATACAGCCATCTGCTGTACTGGTATATCCCTGAATCTAACATGAACTGTCTTTAATGAACTTAAATAAAAGACACAAATCAAAGTACCACTCAGTGTCTTCCCCACGTTAAAATCTTTGAGGCACAGCACCTCCATCTAGTTCATAAGGCCACTAAAGAATTAACAAAATCTTCCACACAAATAATCCTGGGGAGAGCACTGCAACCCAAACAAAACTAATCTGGCAAAAATGCATACCTAACTTGCATACGATCTTTATTACAGATATTTGCATGTTGCCCTCTGAAAGTGGACCCTGCAAGGCTCATAAAGATAAGTGGTTCTTTGATGCTGATATTCAGAGATGCAGGCAGTTCTGGTATGGAGGTTGCCAGGGTAACGACAACAGGTTCGATTCTGAGGTTGAATGTATGGCTGCCTGTAAACCAAGTGAAGAGAGATCAAAAGGTACTTACTTGTTTATTTTGTCATCATTGTATGAATTTGTAGATTGAAATAATACAGTGTCTTGATCCTTCTGTATTTGTTTACAAAATCAAGGCATTTTGCTTTCTGTAAATTCAGAACTCCGAATTGTACACATGTATAACAATTTACGGTTTATTATATTTCTTACATTCCAGATTCATGCACCCTTCCAAAAGACTCTGGACTCTGCTATGCTTCATTTCAAAGGTATTTTTTCAATACAGCAACTAAAGCCTGTGAGGAGTTCATCTATGGTGGCTGTGATGGTAATGAAAACAACTTTGAATCTATTACTGAATGCAGGGAGGTTTGTGGAGAGGAGGAGCCAACTGACAAAATTAAACCTGATAATAAAGGTAAATATATTTTTGCTATTCTGAAGCAACATGAGTCTGTATATATTAACTTCCAAACATACTTGTAGTATACAGGCCCTTAGCCAACTTTTGCCAAGGGGGTTCAATTTTTTACAATTCCTGGGGTTTCACATTTGAATGGTTTGGCCCAAAGTCACCCGAAAAGTGCTCAAAATGGTGAAAATTGCATGATTTTAAAATATTTTTTTGACGGAATGATTTGATTGGTATACAGTTGTATATATCTTATGTCTGCATGCTTTTCAACTTCACATGCGAATGTTTATGACATCATTCTCATGTGACATGCAATAAAAGTTTTGGGCCGGCTCAAATGGACATGTACACTATACATTATTATTATACCACCACCAAAAGTGTTGACATATTGCTATGGTCTCCACATTTTTTTGGATGATGTTTGGCGATTGGTCTTTGGTGGTCAGTGTCTGTAACAAATGGCACGTTGTGACAGTTTGAATGTTAATACCTTGTATTATATTGCACTTTACATTTTACAATGTTTATTTGTTTTAGAAGCCTGCAATGCTCCAGAAGACAGTGGACCATGCTATGCCTCATTCCTCAAGTTTTACTATGACAACACAACAGACACGTGTAGACCATTTATTTATGGTGGTTGCCTTGGAAACGGGAACAATTTCAAGAGTGATGCAGAGTGCTATGAAACTTGTAGCAATGGCATTGAAGGACGCAGACTCAGGAAACCATGTGAGTTTTTATAATTGTTGTTTGCTATCGATGGCACGATATGAGCTGGATATACCCTTCCTCAGGACATACTCCACTGATGTCTGTATGAGTTACCATTTTTTGTAATAAGCACCTTCCAATCCTGAACATGTTTTCTCGCCCAAAAAATGTTACTGTAGTTGATACTGAGTATATATTTCCCCTAAATCAATATGAGATGGTATGTTGATATGTTTACTTATTGCAGCCGATTGCTTCAAGAAGCAAGATGCAGGTGACTGCCAGAAGTTCACTCCCAGATGGTACCATGATGCTGCTACCAGGGAATGTTCTCCCTTCTACTATGGGGGCTGTGGCGGAAATGGAAACAATTTTGAAAGCTTTAAAGATTGCGATGCTATGTGCTCTCTTGGTAAGATTATATTAGAGTCAATGGTTTCAACTGGGCATTGTTTTTATGTACCTTATAACACATAAAAATTTATATAATTTAGGGACATGTTTGTGTCTTTGTGTTAAGGGCAAGGAACAATATGAATTTTATCTTGAATTTAAACCTCCAACAAAACAGTAATTACAAAAAGTAGTAGTTATCATGCTTGTTCAACATTCTTGCTGAAGTAATTTGTCAGATAGTAAAATTACCTGGTCATTGCCCATCAGACCAGCTCTATTGCTACATGTAAATGTGTTCTTATACAACATGTTCGTATGATCTTGTGTTGCAGTGTCTCCCCAGTGTGAGACTCTCAGGTGCAACTTAGACTGTCCCTATGGCCTGACAGTCGGCCATGATGGCTGTGAAGAGTGCTCATGTTATGACCCATGTGAGGTAGGTCTTCAGTAATACCAAATTGCAACCTGGTGTTGTAATATATAGTTTCTTTGCTGTTTTTATTTTCAAAAGTTGCTTTGTAGCTTAGATTGATTCATCCTACAAGGTCTTCTGTAAAGTAAAAAATTGCAACCTGGTATTGTAAGATATAGTGTCAGTTATCAACAGTCACGTGTAGCTTGGATAAAAATTTAGTCAACCAGAACTTAGGGCCAAGGTTCAAATGGAATTGGAAACATAAAAATCAAAAAAATATTTTGTTATTATCTTGATTAATTATATTTATTTGTATTTTTGGTCTATGTGGTTTTTTTAGGGAGTAGTCATTAAAGATATACATTTGAGCAATATAATAGTGATTACTTTAGTTGCTTACCTTCATTTATTACTAACCATATCTCTTTTACCATTTTCTTGATCTCACCTTAGTTGGGGGATAATTCATGGGTGGTCTTTTTGGGGGAGGGTTGGCGGGTAAATACTTACAAGATTCGCTCAGATATCAAGAGCTACCTCCAGCCTCAATAAAAAATGGAAGGAAATTGATGATTTTCTGCGCATGCGCGCCGACCTACATTGAACTGTATTTCCTGGCAACCAGTTTTGTTTACATGCAAACTTCAGAATTGAAATGTTATAATTGACTAACTCCCATAAAAAACACATAAAACCAATTAATTTATTATTAATTGTTATTTGTAGGCCCATGAGTGCCCAGAAGACATGCAGTGTCAAGTGAGGAGAGAAGCTTGCCAGCAGGAGCCATGTGCATATAGACCAACATGTACCTTCGGTAAGTTAGAATCTAACTTAGGATTATGATATGTGGTCTGGTCATTTACAGCTGGCTTTCAGCCATGGGAAAGGATGAGTCTGGGAATGAGTCTGGGTATCGACTTAGAAAATATTGAAAATTGTAATGTCTGAAAAACCAACTCACTCACACATATTATTAAACGTCAATATCTTATCCTTCTTCTGAAATTACAAAAATATCAATTTGTATCACATTGATGAAGAATATTGGCATCAAAGACAGTGCATATCACTTTGTCAGAATTGAAAAAAAATCAATGGCAAATATTAAATGAATTATTTATGCAAAAAGTTTGAAACATATCTTCCAAAACATTGGTTACTTTCTTTGTATAGACATTGAATGGTATTTCTGGATAAGTGAATTGGTGTTTATCTGGGTAATCAAGGGATTATAGTCACTCAAAGTTACTGAGCATCCAGTTTTGAGACTTCAATTGTGTTGGTGATGTTACACATATTTCAGTCAAATTCATGCTGAGCACAACATTTTGGTTTCAATTTTATAATCTCTATACATTACCATGGTGATGAAGAGTCAGAATCAGTCAAAAAACCTAAACCGGAAAACTGTGCTCATTGTGAAAACTAAAAGTGAAGCAACTTTTTTTCTGATATTTCTTACATCAAATGGCAACCATCTTGTTTTTCCCCCTTCAAATTAAACTGGCGGGAAATTCAAAAATTTGAAAAAAATTTTAATCCTTAAATATATTTCAAAAATATGATTTTCTTTTTAATTCTTCATGGGTCTTAAGTTATTTCTTCTTTTTATGTCATACATGTTGCCATTTGTGTTTTTTCTATGATAATGTCTATTTTTTTGTTTGTTAAGATACTTATTCTAACTCTCAGCAGGGGGTTAATTATGCATCAAAACTCGTAAAAAAGTAAATATACTTATCAAATATAACTAGGACAGTAATAAAAACCATATTTCACATACATTTGACTGAGGGACCAAAAGGGCATATACCCGGACACATCCTTTAGATATCACTGCCATCTCAGTTATCTACTTTACCATACTGAGGCAGAACATATTCCAGCCTTTATAGATTTAGTAGTCTAAGTCAAAAATGGGTCAGTGAATCCAGTTAAGAGGGAACCAGTCTTGCTAATTAGTGGTCATCTTTGCAACTAATTTACTGTTATAAATATCTCAACCAGAAAAGATTAACAGCACGAAAATTGTGGCCTTTATCTGGCCCTACACATTAAAATCATTGTTTCTTTATCAGAAGAGTGATATTTTGCATAATTATGATGTTTTTAGTGTATTATTTTACGTTAGTGTGATATTTTTCATTTTTATTTTATTCATTTTATATTGTAGTTGAGAGACCAGGTATATGTCCCCCCATGGGACACCTAGTGGATTGTGCCAATCCTAATGAAGTCCCAATAAGCAGTGAGTGCAGGATGGACACAGACTGCCCCAATAATGAGAAGTGCTGCGACCAAGGCTGTGGGGACTACAAGTGTATTCCTGGAGTACAGATACAACCCCCTATCCTTGGTGGATGTGCTAGTACGCAACATGGCTGTTGTTCAGATGGCGTTACTTCCTCAAATGAGTATGGTTCGAATTGCCCACCTGGCGGTTGTGGAAGTACTAGATATGGATGTTGTCCAGATGGTGTTACTTCTGCATTAGATGAAAACTATTTTGGTTGTCCCGAAGTTGTGGAACCACCAATTAAACCAGTAACTGATGGGCCTCCCCCAGGCAGTCATTGCTCAAGTACACCATATGGATGTTGTCCTGATGGTAAGACCCCCGCTTTTGCCAACGGAGAGAATTGTGACTTTCCCGTTACTGGTGGTTGTGCTGGTACGAGATATGGCTGTTGCCCAGATGGTGCTACCTCTGCATTGGATGAAAACTATTTCGGTTGTCCTGAAGTTGTTGAGCCACCAATTAAACCAGTAACTGATGGGCCTCCCCCAGGCAGTCATTGCTCAAGTACACCATATGGATGTTGTCCTGATGGTAAGACCCCCGCTTTTGCCAACGGAGAGAATTGTGACTTTCCCGTTATTGGTGGTTGTGCTGGTACGAGATATGGCTGTTGCCCAGATGGTGTTACCTCTGCATTGGATGAAAACTATTTCGGTTGTCCTGAAGTTGTTGAACCACCAATTAAACCAGTAACTGATGGGCCTCCCCCAGGCAGTCATTGCTCAAGTACACCATATGGATGTTGTCCTGATGATAAGACCCCAGCTTTCGCCAACGGAGAGAATTGTGACTATCCCATTGTTGGTGGGTGTGCTGGTACAAGATATGGCTGTTGTCTGGATGGTGTTACCTCGGCAGTGGATGAAAGAAAGTCTGGTTGTCCAGAGACTGACATTGTCACACCTAAGAAACTTGGGAGCTGTCCCCCACAGTTGCCAGTACGATGTGCTGGTGAAGATAACGGTCGTCCCCCTAGAGATGAATGTAGAAATGACCCAGATTGTCCTGGTGACCTCAAGTGTTGTGATAGAGGATGTGGCACTCTGATTTGTATTCCAGCTGTTCATATACAGCCACCTGTACTGCCACCTGTACTGCCACCTGTACTTGGAGGCTGCGCTAGTACACCATTCGGGTGCTGCTCTGATGGTGAGACAGCTTCTAATGAATTTGGTACCAACTGCAGACCTGATATAGTTGGTGGATGTGCTAGTACAAGATGGGGATGTTGTGCTGATGGAGTTACTTCAGCATTGGGGGAGAACTCATATGGTTGTCCAGAGGTTGAAATAAGACCCGGAACTTGCCCTCCTCTGCTACCAGGTCAGTGTATTGGTCTACCAGCACTGGCTGTCCAGCTTTGCAAGATTGATAGTGACTGTCCAAGTCGTCTAAAATGTTGTGATTTGGGCTGTGGGAATGTTGTATGTACACCTGGTGTAGAGATCCAGCCTCCTGTGGTTGGCAGTTGTGATAGCACAAGATGGGGATGCTGCCCAGATGGCATTAGCTCAGCATTTGGAGAGAACAACCTTGGGTGCCATTGTTCAACTTTGCCCAATGGCTGTTGTCTTGATAACAAAACCCCTGCTCAGGGACTCGCTTACTTTGGTTGCCCAAGTGAAGAAGGCCCATGTGAGATCACGCGCTATGGATGCTGCCCAGATGGCGTCACTGCTCAGGATGAAACCGGTTCTAACTGCCCTAAACAACTTGACTGTGCACGCTCTCAATATGGCTGTTGTCAAGATGGAGTAACTCCTGCTCAAGGTCCAAATTACCTCAACTGTCCTGATTTAGTCATCATTAAATGTGGCGATTCTAGGTTCGGATGTTGCCCCGATGGTAAGAAAGAGGCCATTGGTCCTCAGTATGAAGGCTGTGATGTCCCCATTCTAGGTGGGTGCGCGGGAACACGCTTTGGTTGTTGCCCAGATGATGTTACAGGGGCACAGGGAAAGAACTTAGAAGGATGCCCAGGTAAATTACTCATCTTTATTTTCATATAAATTAGGCTTATACTGTACATTTATTGCTGTAAATGCTTGGGTGGCAACCTCATCAAAGAAAAATTTCAGGAATTAATCCCTTAAAATTACATTGAAAAATAATCTGCGCCAAAAGGCTGTGCTTGTAGTGGTGTTAAAATGGGTTACACTGTTCATTTGTGAATAATGATTCTGTGATTGCAGAACAAGAACCAAAGATCACATCAACTGGGCCACAACAAAAGATAGTAGGAGTGGGCAGCACTGTTGAGATACCCTGCAAGGCTATAGGAGTTCCTAGGCCAAGGATAGCTTGGTACAAGGACAGGTAAAATTTCTTAAAATATAAGGATCACAGTGTCATTTTAGCAACGTAATATTTAAAAATGATTATGACCCTTACTGATAATAAATAAACGTTTTGGACTTGAAGGGAGGGAGGGGTCAAAAATTGATTCCAGACTATATTTACCATTATTATCAAAAATAGATGCAGTAGATTGTATTAAATACCTATTATAGTAGCTGTTATTTATTTTTAATAACAATATGTTATTGCTTTTCAGAACACCAATTAGTTCTTTAGAGGACAGTGTCCTCCAGAGATACACGGCCACAGTTTTTGGCTTACAGATAGTTGAAGCCAAAGAGGATGACAGCTCCACCTTTACATGTAGAGCTTACAATGGAATTGGAGCAATACCAATCCGTGAAATGACACTCATTGTTTCATGTATGTAAAAAGCAATACATTTGTTCAGCATGGGATCATTAACAGAAACTTCATAAAGTTACAGTAGAGGACAATGAAGTTTATGAATTCTTAACTTTACGAACTTTCTGTTAATGGGCCCCATGTTAACACAGCATTTATACTATTCATTGATCTTCTTCATAGTCTACTATTTGGGTACAAAAATGGATATAAAATGGTAACAATTGAACAATCAGTTATTCTTTTTCTTTCAGCTGAAATACCTGCAGTTCTCCCTGGAGTTGAGACTCCCGAAACCCCCGAGGTTGAGACTCCCAGAACACCTGAAGTTGAGACACCCGAAACACCTGAGGTTGAGACCCCCAGAACACCCGAGGTTGACACCCCTGAGGGTCCAGCAGTTGGTACAGGAGATGGTGACGAGGAGCCTGTTGGAGTCCCTAAGCTGCCAGCAGGTCCATGTGGAGAGTTTGGCTGTTGTCTTGATGGTACAACCCCTGCTGAAGGGGCCAGTATGCAGGGATGTCCAGGTTTGTACATATCCATCTTTTTATTTCAACCCAGACAACCCAGGTGATTTATTACATGACATAACTTAACTCCCGTTTTAAAAAAATTGTTTTATCTTCAAAGTTTGAAAAAATGTTATTTTGAAGACATTTTCAACATGGAGTGGGATTGTCTAATTTTGGGAGCACCCCGGAGCATGACATTTTCCCGAGAAATAGCAATTATTTCACGCACTTTATTTTTTAACTTAAAGGCTGCTTCATCTCGGACAAAATAAAATGTGTGAGATTTTTGATATTTCTTTGTAAAATCTCAAGCTCCAGGCTCTTCCCAAAAATAGACTAGCCCACCCTGTGATCAGTGTCCCAAAATATAATGTACTATAACTCAGGTGAAGGATTGTATAATTAAAGCAAAAAAAAATCATATTGACAAACATGACTCAATTAGAAAGTGTAATTGTACAACTTTGTTTTCCAGAGGTTGAAACCACTATAATCTCTGATGGCTCCAGTGACATGGAAGGTGTAATAGGTGGCACTGTGAGGATCATGTGTCGGGCACGTGGGTCCCCACCACCTAGATTTGTATGGTACAAAGACAGGTATGTATGAGAGACGCATTGGAACCAAAACAAAATGCCAATGCTTTTATGAAAGTAATGTCACCCATTCCCTCCTGTTCTACTTTCAAGATCAATTCCTTTGTATGAATACTGACATTACATTAAATTCAGGTGTGTCCCATATAAAATTCAATTTATAAAACTGTGAAATTATTTTAAAAAGATCATTTAGACTGTTCAGAGTATACACTTGATGCAAACCAAAACATGAAAATGACATATCATCAGATAAAACCCAGTCTCAACCAGTTTTCAGTAGTTCATATGTTTTTTGTGAAATGCCCATTTTTGAAATGCCCAAAATTCCATATATTTGACCAACAGTGTTTTCTCTTATTCTGCAGATCTCCTATTGAAGATGATAGATTTACATTCCTAGAAGAGGGTACACTTGTGATAGATAGTGCTCAGATGGGAGACAGTGCCACCTATACATGTAGAGCATATAATGGCATTGGAGGGGCTCCCTATAGGGACTTTAGACTCACAATTAAAGGTACAGTGTACAACATATAATCATGCATTATTCATATGGGTATGAAATCATGTAAATAATTGTCACTTTAACACATATTAGTCTTGTAAACATACAAAAACTGAGTCATAAAATCTCTCGCTTATTTTGTGATGTTTCGGACCTGTAACAGACATTCATTGAATCGATGCACTGGGGTTGAAGTTGTGTTTCATTTTATAGAAGCCGCCGAGCCAACTACCCCTGATCCAAAACCAGAAACCCCCGTAGAATCTCAAACAGATGCACCACCTAGTGAGTCTTCTACTGAAACTCTAGAGGAACCTCTAGACTGTCCACAAATTGAAGACTGCTCTTTAGGCTGTGTAGACCCATTCTACGGGAAAGACGAAAATGGATGCCCAATGTGTGGATGTACCAATCCATGCGATGTAAGTATACTACAGGCAGTTGCATTACTTTCTTTTTATTCACTTTAATAATATTGTTGTTGTTTACTGTTTTATTTATTCATAATTAACAATACAGTGAACATACAGTGCAGTGAGTTTACAGTTTTTTATGGTCAGAATATAAAATGTCTAATATCATAGTGACTCATACTTAAAAGAATTACATGGCCTTTAGCTTGTAATGGGAGTATGTGGTTCAGTGGTGTCTTATATTTCTCTAAAGGTGCATGATATATAGCAGCCTTGACATAGAACCATTGAAATAAAAAGCCTTTGATACTGTCAATCACAACATTTTATTTTCTAAATTAGAATATTATGGAATCAGGGGTATAGCTTTAGATTGGTTCAAATCATATATGACTAATAGAAAACAATTTACATTTTATAATAATAGTATGTCAAATGAAAGAACATTACTTTGTGGCGTGCCACAAGGTTCTGTATTAGGCCCTCTTTTATTTTTACTTTTTATAAATGACATTTATAGAGTGTCCAAGGATTTAAATTTTATGTTATTCGCAGACGATACTAATATTTTATATTCTGGAAAAAATGATTTAGATGTATTCAACAAAATGAATGAAGAACTGACAAAATTAGCAATCTGGTTCAATGTAAATAAATTGTCATTAAATATTGAAAAGACAAAATATATGACTTTTACACAAAGAGTAAAACTTAACCAAGGTCTTTCCCTAAAAATTGCTAAAAAACAAATCGAATGTGTTGACAAAATTAGTTTCTTGGGAGTTATCATTGATGAGAAACTCAGTTGGAAAGACCACATCAAGTACTTACAGATGAAAATATCAAGAACATTAGGAATCTTATACAAAGTTAAAGACAAACTATCTCAAAATAGCTTAATTTCTATTTATAACTCACTAATATATTCAAACCTATCATATTGCAACTTGATTTGGGGCAATGCCACCAAAACATCCCTTGACCCATTATTTAAATTACAAAAACGCTTTCTGAGAATTTTGACAACCACACCTCTTAAAGAACACATTTCACACAATTTTAAAAAATTTTCGATTCTCAAACTATGTGATATTCATAAACTCTCAGTTGTATCTTTTGTACAAAAATGCATACATGAGGTTAACACAGTTATGATTTCCCACTTTAGTAATTATTTTATGAAAAATCAAGAGTGCCATAATTACCATACTAGAAGAAAGGAAAATATCCATCGAATAAAATCACGCAATACTTTAACAGAAAACTCAATAAAAGTCGAAGGAGCAAAATTTTGGAACGTGTTACCCGCTGAATTAAGACAAATACAAAACAATAAGAAATTTAAAACACAGTTAAAGTTATACCTAATTCAGAATTATCAATCTTAATACGTATAACCTATTATCCAATGATGTTATATAAAGTGTTTAAAAAAGCGATTGAGAAGGAACTTTTATTTTAACCACTCAAAATGTTGTTCAACACGTTGGTTAGTGGTGCAGGGTGACATCCTAGGGGGTACATGGGCCAACTAGGGGTTAAACTGCATCATTGACTAACATGGACGATTGTTATAGAGATTAGACACATTGAACCCATAATTGCAAACTCTCCCTTCAAATGACTCCCTTTTTCTTTTTCTTTTGTACCTTTTCTATTTCCAATAAACATTTATTAAAACTATTGTGTAATTTAATACACTTATTTTAAGTGTCATTGCATTTTCATTATTTTTCCATCAAAACTGTATGTTATTGTAAAAATTGACTAAACTGAAATATATATTATTATTATTATTATTATTATTATTATTATTATTCCTGGCAAAAATCTAAAAAAACATCTCGGTATATCAGAATTAAGAACATCAAGTGTGTTCAATTTTATTTGTTGCAAAAAAGGAAATCAATAGAATGTATTCAAAATTAAAATTTTGCATGACACATTGAAATAGTTGTGAGATTCTAGAAATATTTGAAAGGTCCAAAAGAAATATATTCTTTTTTGTATTATTTTTGAATTAAGGATGACAAGGCAACCTCCCTTAACAAAAGAATGATGTTTTATCAACCTTTTGTAACAGAGACGGGGGGGGGGTTGAAAATATAAAGCCACATACTTTAATTTTTCAAACAGGCGTATAATCATCCTAGAAAATAAGGCAATACCACACATGTTTTTACTATTTACAATTTGCGCTTTAAAAATCTACTACCTGTTTACATCAGGTCAAAAATATATTTCAGTGTCAGTCAAATCTTTGAAATTTACTTTCTATGTCTGCTAAAATTGTTTAGATCTAGCTAGAATAATAGAAAATTGTAATTTTATGGCAAAATGTTTTTCCATATTCCTTTCTCATGGTCATAAAATGGACAAAATGAGTGTAGGGAGGACACTGAATAGTATAATTTTTCATAGAAAATTCAACAAATCTACAAGATTTATTTTTTCATGAGAAAGTTAACTAATAGCTAAATGAGCAGATGCATTGTGATGCATTGTATGCTAAAATCTGTTAGGTCTTCAGTGTTTTTATGAACTGATACTCTTCTAAAGTATGAGCTATAAAAAGGCACAAAGTCACCAGCATGCAAAAGTCAATCATTTTGCTATAAATCAAGCTGGGGAGGTCTACATATTATATTGTATTATATTACTATAATTTGAATTATTTCTAATCAACATGGAGTTTCCTAAATGAAGCAACTTCTGCGTCTGTTACTGCTGGCCTTTTAGAATCATCAACTTTGAAATATTTTGTGCTGAGTTCTAGGATTCTGTCCCTTACAGCTGGTTTGCTTACTTCACTGTAGAAATGTCCTGAAAAATAGAACAGTAATTGAATTGTGCAATTTATACAAATGAAAAGACATTTTAATTAAGCTCTTGACTACCCAGAGTGTCAAGATTTCTCGTCACCTGGGAAACGACCTTGAAACCCAGAGTTACGAGAAAATCCGTCACAACATTTTTCACTTAATTTACTCTAATTTTGACAATTTTCATCCAATTTACACCAGAAAGGTTTTAAAATGTGTAGAAATGATATCTGCTGACTAATTTCACTAAATTGAGCATCACCTGTTGTATATGCATGTAGTAAAATGTCAAAGGCTGGCTGAAATGAAAAATCCTCTGGTTTCAACCCAATTTTAGAACCTGGGATTCAAGAGGTAAAGGTGTTATCTTGTTTTGGGCATGCTGGGTAATTCACAAGGTGACCATTTATCTATTTAATCCCTATAATCATCATAACATGTTATTAGACAGTGGGGAAAGGCAAAATTTACAAGTATACCATCCTTCGACCACATGGCTCCAGACATCCACTACGTTCCAGAAGGAACAAGAATGACATATGAGTTCTGGAGGCCTGTGTTTGGAGAATGCAAGTACACACTGTACATGTATACTCAATGATCGATAGCCAAGCTGATTAGAGTTAAAAATAAAGTATAAAGCGTTGTTTTATTTCTCACTGGTAATATCAGCTAGGTTTCCGGCACATGGTCCCTTGTAGTCATCTGGCAAGTATTCTCTTGGGAGACACCTCATTGGAACCAACTTATACACATCCTCCATAGTTTTGCAGTATGACAACTGAAATGACTGTCTCTCTTTAAATTGTTCTTAGGCCATATATACATCCCTGCCCCCCCCCCCAAGAAAAAGTTCATATTCATAATTACATATTATTCTGTGATATTACTCTTGCAGTTCAGTTGATAGAATTTTAAATTTTTGCCTGTTAATAATTTGAATAGGTATTACATGTATTTTAGATGTGATGATATATTTACAGTTTTACACACTTTGAATTTATTATTACATTTTGACTTTTAAGTGGCCCATACTCCATGGCAGTGCTTACAGTAAAATTTTAAATGTTAGGAACTACTTTGAATTTAAAAAATAAGCAATCAAATGACCAAATTGAAACAGTATATGTAAAAATAGAAACATTTATATTCATCCCAACTTTTGTATATTTCAGATAGTAATATACAATGTGCAGCAAAGCTTTGGCCTTTTGTAATTTAGGGAGTTTCAGCCATGTTAATTTTTCCGAAAATAACATGGCAGAGAAGTATCAAAATATAAGAGGACACAGATATGATAGCTAAACTACAAAACAAACTAAAATATACAAAAGTTAGGATAAATATAAATGTTTCTATTTTTACATAAACTGTTTCAATTTGGTCATTTTATTGCTTATTTTTTAAATTCAAAGTAGTCACAAACATTTAAAATTTTACTGTATCTTCAACATACTACTACAGCAGGCAAATCTTTAGTCTCAGCTTCCACAGTAAGGTGACGATTCACCTTAATCAATTGCACTATTAATATCATATAAAGATTGCTCTTACTCTTTCTCGTATCTTTGCAGAGAGAAAGTGACCCGTAAGGTTCCACATTGCCTCCCAAACAGGTCCAGCATTGTAGGCAATTATAGATTTCATCCTGGCAGGCAGTTGCTTCTGTAAAAGGTCATGCTTATATAAAAAAATCTTAATGAACTGCCATTTGTAAGCCTCCAAATGTAAAATATAGTATACAGGATCAATTCTCATGCCCCAATAGCAATTCACAGATCCCATTTTCAACCCCAGAGCAATTCTCAACCCAAAGACCCAAATATAAATCCCCACTCAAACATTGTCAATCCTCAGACCTCATTGTCACCCAAATGTAGATTTTCCCAATATACATTTTTCTCATCAAACATTGTCAATCCTCAGACCTCATTGTCACCCAAATGTAGATTTTCCCAAAATACATTTTTCTCATCAAACAATGTCAATCCTCAGACCTCATTGTCACCCAAATGTAGATTTTCCCAATATACATTTTTCTCATCAAACATTGTCAATCCTCAGACCTCATTGTCACCCCGAAATGTAGATTTTCCCAATATACATTTTTCTCATCAAACATTGTCAATCCTCAGACCTCATTGTCACCCAAATGTAGATTTTCCCAATATACATTTTTCTCATCAACAAATGTCAATCCTCAGACCTCATTGTCACCCAAATGTAGATTTTCCCAATATACATTTTTCTCATCAAACATTGTCAATCCTCAGACCTCATTGTCACCCAAATGTAGATTTTTCCAATATACATTTTTCTCATCAAGCAATGTCAATCCTCAGATCTCATTGTCACCCAAATGTAGATTTTCCCTATATACATTTTTCTCATCAAACATTGTCAATCCTCAGACCTCATTGTCACCCAAATGTAGATTTTCCCAATATACATTTTTCTCATCAAACATTGTCAATCATTAGACCTCATTGTCACCCAAATGTAGATTTTCCCTATATACATTTTTCTCATCAAACATTGTCAATCCTCAGACCTCATTGTCACCCAAATGTAGATTTTCCCAATATACATTTTTCTCATCAAACAATGTCTATCTCAGACAAAATCATCTGCAAAAGGTGAATACTCACGGAGAACAAACCATAAAGCTTCCTTCTGAATTCCATCGGCATAAAAGTCATATGCTTCATCGTCTGGTCGGTAAGGTCTATAAGCAGCACATAGCCATTCACCTACAGTAGGGATTTCACTGGCATTTTACTTTAATTCATATACATAATTAAGATTATGATATGTTGGGCTATGTGCTTCTATTTCCATTGAAAATTTCTCATTAACACTTTCAAATACATAATTGTAGCTGTATTTAATTTCACGGAACATAGATTTCCTTCTGTTGGTCACTTTTGCAGCCCAGAACGGTGAAAAGTCTCAAATGAATATATTGGTGTAGGATTATACCAAAATTGTAAATTACATACTTGCGTCTCTTCCTCTCTATTTGCCATCATCATTGTAACACCATTATAAGCTACGTAGTCATGGAAATTGTACAAAATATCCTTGCCAACATCAAAATGCCCTGAAATATGTGAGTCTGAGTTGTAAAAATAATGGTACATTATGGATTAGAGGTGTCAAGTATTAACCGGTTAACCGCCGATAATGCCTTGACCGGTCTGAGTTTTTATGGGCGGTTAGTTGACCGTGTATAATTCTGTTATTTCCCGCGCTTATTTTGCATGCTAATCCGATTGGTTTTATGGTGTCAGTTTCACGTAAGCTACTCATACATGTCATAAGTCCCATAACTCCTTACAAACATCCAATCAGCAACTTTAATCCCTGCCACATTGCTTTCCCGCGCTTACTTTGCATTTTAATCTGTTTGTTTTTCAAGCGTCAGTTTCATGTGAGCTACTCATACATGTGATAGGTCCGATAATTCCTTACAAACATCCAATCAGCAACTTTAATCCCTGCCACATTCCTTTCCCGCGCTTACTTACATAGAATAACGTAAAGCTTGACGAACATAAAAAATAAACGCCGATATATCATTTTCCAATTTTTTTCAACTTTCAAGATCGAAGATGAAGATTTCATTTGAAATTATCAGTTCAAATTTCCCGCCGGTTAACCGACTTTAACCGGTAAAAACCCCCGGTTAACCGGTTAATGCTCAAGCGGTTAATTGACACCACTATTATGGATTATAGGATGAACGCTTAGCAAAAAAACGTTGGAAATTGAAGGCGTGCCTATAATTCACTGCTTATAAACAATATATTGACCTACCTAATTGAAATAATAGGATTCTTCTTCCTTCGTCATCTCTATATGGCAGAGGAATATATATTCTGAAATTCGAAAACAAAATGGCTGACTAGATATGTTCCTTTACAGATGATACAAAATTGTTGCTACCAGACATTTTTACAAATGTTGGTTTTTGAGAGGTTCCTTTTATTCGTTTGAACCAATAACACCCTGGTTGACAGAAAAAACTATGATCTCTCTCAAATAAATGCACATGGGCATTAATTTGAAAGTGCCTTTGCCCATTCGCATTTAAATGAAGGATAATGACAGTCTGTAAAAGACAGCTAGGGAAGCGTGACTGAACATGGATTTGAATTCATAATGCACTTACTTTTGGTTTATAATAAGGTCTCTCAGAGCAGGTTTATGAACATCAATGTTGCACATCCAAAAAGGCAGGTGATCGCAAGTTTTGGTGTGGAAATTATCCAACATTTTTCTGGCTTCTAATTGACTAAATTTGCAACGCCTTAAGAACTGCAGCAGAAAGGTGGTCTCTAAAATACCAATGCAATCGACTTAATTTGCATATATCATGGCATATGGTGGCCTCTAGAAGACCAGTACAATAGACATTAATTCCATATACACTGTATTACAGCATATGGCATGTATGGTATTTTAAGACAACAGTGCCTCAATTTTTAGTAATGTATTATTAATAGGTTGCCTATTATTATACTTGTATAAGGTTATATTGATTATAACCACCCCCTTGACCCAAAAATATGTAATATGGACAAACATATTCATAGAACAGTAAATCCTGTCTCAGTGAACACCTCTCTCTAGTGAACACCTGTCTCTGGTAGACACCTTTCCCTGTGTATACTCTTACTGACTTTTTCTGTAGAGGTGAAGACCTACTAACATTGAACGTTTTTCTGTGCAAAAAATGCTCAATATTCACATTTACTGTATATTATCTAGGAAATTTGATATTGATATATAGAAAATAGAAATGTTATAAATTCTCACCTGTGCACACAGTTAGATGTGGCTGCTCTTTGATCCAAGTTCTTAACTGCTCCACTGCAGCATCCCTTTCTTTATCATCCTCATGAAGTTCCTCCTTTGCTTTCTTCTTGGACTTCTCAACCAGCTTACACTCATACTTATCACCATCCAGAATTGCTTGGAATCCTTGATAGCATTTGCTGTAGTCCTGTGCCATATTGGATTGTAATTTAATGTTATGTACCTACCTGTATACCTGGATGTCTTCTAGGTATTGTATGATACATCTAGATAGACGTCCTTGGATACATGCTGTATGGCGCATTTCATAAAAAAAGGCTGAATGACTTCTCAGCTATAGTAAATATTAGTATATTTGTTTTTTAAAGCCAAAGGGAATTATGTCATACAAACTTTCATTTAAAAAAGTTTGCTCTGTACTTATTTGTTGAATAAAGTTGTTCACACAAATACAGAATATATTAGGACATTTAAGTAAGAGTAAGGACCTTATCCCTAACACTGAACCTGAAAGATAAAAAAAATTAAAAATTGTAATAAAAATGTGGTTTTATGACACAAGACTTCCAGGTAACAGGAAATTCCACTCTAGCTGTATTGGAGTAGTTATATAAAATGTGGTTCACACACATCTAGGAATAAACACTGCAATGTATAAATCTGATCCCATAACTCACTGTAACCCATCAATTTCAAGTCTTAAGACAATTAATGCTTATGCATATTATTACCACATTTGTCTTTGTCTTTTCTCGGTGTATTAGTATTTGACTTAGCAATAGGTGGAACCATAGTGCCAGGCCGTAGTGGTCATTATCCACCCTTTTTCAGGACCAAGATTACCCTTTGAAATGAGGTCATTATTATTTCAAATGATAAATTACCAAACACCAGTACTTACTCAAGCCATTAATTTATATATTTATTAATTTCATGTTGTACAATCTTTAAATACCAGTACTTACTCAATTCATTAATTTATATATTTATTAATTTCATGTTGTACAATCTTTAAATACCTGAGTACTTACTCAATTCATTAATTGATATATTTATTAATTTCATGTTGTACAATCTTTAAATACCAGTACTTACTCAATTCATTAATTTATATATTTATTAATTTCATGTTGTACAATTTTCAAGTACCAGTACTTACTCAATTCATTAATTGATATATTTATTAATTTCATGTTGTACAATCTTTAAATACCAGTACTTACTCAATTCATTAATTGATATATTTATTAATTTCATGTTGTACAATCTTTAAATACCAGTACTTACTCAATTCATTAATTTATATATTTATTAATTTCATGTTGTACAATTTTCAAGAACCAGTACTTACTCAATTCATTAATTGATATATTTATTAATTTCATGTTGTACAATCTTTAAATACCAGTACTTACTCAATTCATTAATTGATATATTTATTAATTTCATGTTGTACAATCTTTAAATACCAGTACTTACTCAATTCATTAATTTATATATTTATTAATTTCATGTTGTACAATTTTCAAGAACCAGTACTTACTCAATTCATTAATTGATATATTTATTAATTTCATGTTGTACAATCTTTAAATACCAGTACTTACTCAATTCATTAATTTATATATTTATTAATTTCATGTTGTACAATTTTCAAGAACCAGTACTTACTCAATTCATTAATTGATATATTTATTAATTTCATGTTGTACAATCTTTAAATACCAGTACTTACTCAATTCATTAATTTATATATTTATTAATTTCATGTTGTACAATTTTCAAGTACCAGTACTTACTCAATTCATTAATTGATATATTTATTAATTTCATGTTGTACAATCTTTAAATACCAGTACTTACTCAATTCATTAATTTATATATTTATTAATTTCATGTTGTACAATTTTCAAGTACCAGTACTTACTCAATTCATTAATTGATATATTTATTAATTTTATGTTGTACAATCTTTAAATACCAGCACTTACTCAAACCACTGATTTATATATTTATTAATTTCATGTTGTACAATCTTCAAATATCAGCACTTACTCAATGTCACCTTGTTTACTTTCAGACTATGCTATGTCCAGCAGATAAACCTGTATGTGTACTAAAGGAGGTGGTTTGTGTCAAAGATCCATGCCCGCCACAACCTGTATGTCAACCAAGTAAGGCTTTGGTTAAAATGGTGAAATTATGAATTTAATCTAATGCATTTTGAACTTTGCTTGCTTCGCTTTGATGCTTTGCTGCAATGATTTATGACATCAACAATTTTTATTTATGACATCAACAATTTTATATTGTAATTGTTATTTATTAGTCTTGCATGGTGTCGTGCTGTTAATTGGAACCTCTACCACTCCATGATATCTTGTAGTTAGTGACCTCATGCAAGACTAATATAAACAGTTGTCAGATACAACTATACATAAATCATGTACAGCCTAAACGTTTATACTATGAGGGGGAGAGAACTAATCAGTGTTCTCACTAGCATTCAAACAATCGGGTGCCCTATCATGGTGAATATTTCGATATTATCTTGCATTCAGTCAATTGAGATGGATTTTATTATTGATCTGAATTGGTGAAACTTGAATTTTGCACCCAGCTTTGAAAACAGTGAGAACTTCAATTTGTTAACACTGCTTTGTAACGTGTTTGTTTGCCTTGGCCATTGATTTAGATTCACACTGCTTTGTAATGTGTTTGTTTGCCTTGGCCATTGATTAAGATTCACACTGCTTTGTAATGTGTTTGTTTGCCTTGGCCATTGATTAAGATTCACACTGCTTTGTAATGTGTTTGTTTGCCTTGGCCATTGATTAAGATTCACATATTTGATTGTTATGTCTTGTATTAATATTGTCCTGTATATGTGTGGTGCAGGAGAGAAGAAAGGTGTGTGCCCAGGACTGGAAGGTACCACTAACCCCAACTGTATCAATGAATGTGAAATAGATGATGACTGTAGAAGAGAACGCAAGTGTTGTCTCTCTATATGTGGCAGGATATGTACAGACCCAGCTAGCAATGGTGTGTTAGATTTCCTGTTTGATATTTTCTCTGTAGAAGTCTAGTCTATATCTATCAATTTCTATCACATCTTGGACATGCACAGTAGTTCGAATTATTCAGGGAAGGCTAATATTTTTTTTTTTTTTTTTTGATTTTGTGGTGCATTCATTTAGTGATTTGGGAATGTGAATTGAATAAGTTTGTTTTGAAATTTATATTTATAGGGTTATAGTTAAATGAGGGGGAAGTGGTCAAGATATAATGTTCATAGCATTTATTTAATAAAATTGATTTTTTGATACTTTCTTTTGTCTCATGTATAATTCACATATGCCATGGAGATAGTGGCATATGCCAATATGCCTCAGATTTTTAGTTCATAACATTTGGTCACGGATGGTACCTGGTTACGGATGCTACATATTAAAACAAAATTTTCATTTAAAGCTTATTTGAATTATACTAATAATGATAACAAAGAGTGTTTAATAAATTGTTTAAAAAACTAAAAAAAACTTACTTTATTTAATGTTTTATGTGTGATTCCTCGTGGCTTTGAGCTTTTACTTACATTGTTGTGTGTTACTATAGAAACCATTGAGGAACCTGAGAATGTTGGCCCAGCTTGTTTACGCACTCCATACGGATGTTGTCTGGATGGCAATTCTACAGCAAAGGGTTACAGTTATCAGGGTTGCCCAGGTAAAGTAAAGTTACTGCTCATTTCGGCTGTTTTCTTATGTACCTGGTACTTCTAAAGATACAATGTAGCAATTTGTGATATTAATTGACATGTATCAGATATATGCCAATCAATGTAACTTTGGACGATCTTTACAATGATCACACTTGGTGGGATGGGACTTATTTGACAACCTGTATAGTTAACATGTTCTTGATGATTCCAACTGCACTCACTTATGCAAACATATCCAAGATCTTAACCATTCTAAAAGCTCCTCTGAATCAGAATTATTGAAAATTTCTCATATTTTCGACTAAGATTTTGGAGAGTCTGAAATTTTAGGGAAACTGGAGACTACCCGAGAGCCACCAATTATGGGAGTAGTTTATGTGAGGAAAGTCATTGTAAATGTCTTACACAATATATAAATTAAACTAATCATTTTGTGAAGGTTTGATAAAATTACTCGGTTATTAATACTTTTAATACTCACAGCTTGCTGTGAGAATGTCTCGTTGGCGCAGACTATACATGTACAGTACCTTACATAATTTGCAAAAATGTTAATATATTATAGTCTCCAACTTTTCTTGTGGATGGTACTTGGCGGTTTGTGGCCGTTGTCTGTTATTAATGGCAGATGCTGATATTTTGCATGTTATCGCCTTGTGTAGAAATTAAAATCATGTTTTGTATTTCAGAGATGGCCCCAGTGATAACTAACAACTTTACAGACATAGCCACAGAGCTTGGAAGCACAGTTAGGATCACATGCAATGCTATTGGCCAACCCAAACCACAGATCCTTTGGTATAAGAATAGGTGAGGAAATGGTTATGCGTCATAATATACAGAAAAACTATTTTTTATGAATAAATATTTTTGTGGTATATTTTTATCAAACTTGGAAAAAATGCTATGTAGTCGTCACCATCTGCTGATGGATATTTGTACATCTGGGTGACTGGCATACGAATCTTGTTAATGAGAAAATTTAGGCTTTTATGCCTATGAAAAACCCAATGCCTAATCCACCTTTTGAAAATTAACATTGAACTCCACATCAGAATGAAAGGAAATAAGGACTTTGGACTCCAAAACGTTTGCTGCTCAAAAAGTTATATGGATATTTCATAGCAGTCACAAATATAGCATTACAAGCGTGTATGTTCTATATATTGTAGGTTCCCAATGTCTTTTGACCATGCAGATACCCGTGTTCAAATGCTATCGAATGGAACTCTAAGTATAAACCAGGCTGTATCAGATGACAGCGCCTCCTACACATGTAGGGCTTACAATGGAATAGGAGTATCTGCAATCAAATCAATCAATGTATTAATACAAGGTTTGTAGCATTTGTTATTATACTATCGAATTTAGCTTTGGAAGATATAGAGAATACCCTCACCCAAAAATGTATAATTTTAATGAAAACACAGAATGAAATCATGTGTTATGTCTCGGCGATAACTCAATTTATGTTATTCCGATTTCGTTCATTTCTTTATTTTAATATGTGGCCTGTGTGAGCATAAATTCTGTACAGATTTCATGTATCCAAGTTTCTCTTACATGATACTGTATTGTTTTCAGTTCCTGTCACTATGAATGGTACAAATTCCCTGGTGGTTGTCCACCCCAACGGCCAGGCTTCTATGAGATGTACAGCTACAGGGGTGCCTTCTCCCCAGATCAGATGGCTGAAAAATGGAGCTCTTCTCCTTGGCAAACAAAATACCATAGTAAGTTCTATTAATACAGTAGTATCAAGAACAATGAAACCTGTGAAGTGAAACACCTCTAGAAATGGAACCTCTGTAAGTGAAACTTTTTCAGAGTCCCAAGACCAATTGACTTAATGTTAAATGAACCTCTATAAGTGGAATACTTCCCAAGTGGAACATTTTTAGAGGTACCAAAAGTGTTCCAATTCGACAGGTTTTACTGTATATTTATAATATATTATATCTAATTATTATATATGGGTATATACAGTTTTAAGTAAAGGGTATTCTTACCTTTTTAGCTGAACCAAAACCCCAGATGCCATCTATTTATCTATCTATAAAACAACTCATCATCTATTTTCCACTCTTCCCCTAGGTGCAACCTATAGAGAATGGTTCCACTAATGGCATCTATTTATCTATATAAAACAACTCATCTATTGTCCACTCTTACCTTAGGTGCAACCTGTAGAGAATGGTTCCACTAATGTAATCTATTTATCCATCTATAAAACAACTCATCTATTGTCCACTCTTACCTTAGGTGCAACCTATAGAGAATGGTTCCATGTTGACCGTGAATGATGCCACAGAGAGGGATGAGGGAGACTACATATGTGAGGCTGATAACAGTGTAGGCAAACCTGGCCGCTGGACCTTTACTCTTAGAATTGAAGGTAGTGTACACATAAACCACATGAATTGTATATGTACATCTATATTAAAGTCTTTTTGGACAGGGCTAAGTTGCTGTTTTGTGTTTGATGAACGGTTTATATTCCTGTATATTTCCCTATTTGAAATAACAATTTAACTCTCTCCAGCCTGAGAACAATCTTAAATATGCTGGTTGACTGCCATGAGCTGTTGAACAAATAATTGTAGAATATGACTATACATAGAAATCCAAAAAAGTATGTCACGAATTGTCTCATTATTGTTTTAGCTGAAGTTACTGCAACAATACTTCGACACAACAGGACCTTTGAAATTGGCAGCACTGTAGAGCTTGAATGTGTAGCTGAAGGTATACCCCAGCCAACTATAGCATGGCTGAAAGGCAGAAGGCCTATAGATACAGATGATAGGATCACACAGGAAGGTGGTCGTCTTGTCATCAGAGATGTCACAAGGGATGATTCTGGGAAATACTTCTGTAAAGCTACTAATGAAGCCAGTTCAAGCACTGCAGAAACTAGAATTAGAATACAAAGTAAGTACCAGAACATAAAGTGCCCATGGTTGGGTGGGTAGGGGTACTTAGGGGTTTTAATAATATGAGGTAGAAAGTGAATCTGCTCACCATTTTAATCACAAGCCTTCAACCGAAATTTGTTGATGCATTGAAAGTGTTGCAAAAATCAATCTTAACTACATGTACATTTGTAGTTTTATAGAATTAATCCCTGGTGGTTTGAATAATTTGTATTTGTACATGTACGTAATCACAGACTTGTAAAATGTCCATGTTGTAATTTGATGGATCGGATGTACATGTAGCTAGTCAACCAAATATACATGTATACATATACTGTACACATCACAGAGTTACGGGTACATGTAGTGTGAAAATTCACAATTATGTAAAATGTTCAAATGAATGGATAAATAGATGTCATATTTATAACTGCTTACAAACAGCAACATTCAAATGATATCTATTATATCAGTCAGAGATAAATATGTGTACATGAAACATACATTAGAGGCATTCTTCCTTCAATCAAAGTCTCTAAGTACATAATTGTTGTTGTATAGCCATTTGGCAACATTTAGTGAATTTGATATAGCCATTTATTTCTGGCCAGGGTTAATGCGCTTTAGATATAATATCCTATAGTTTGGACCATAAATAAATGAGTAGTCAGTTTTCTATCATCATTGCCAAAACCATGGTGGTTTGAAAACCCATAGTTTCCAATATTGTCTAGATCACCTAAAACTTGTTTAATATGATACAATATGTCAATAAAAGTTATATAATATACATTTTGTTTACTCTCATCGACTGATCGACCTCTTGAAGTCTCTTATTTTCAACATTGGAAATCCTCACTTCAGCAAATCCATGACTCATTTATTTATGGTCCAAACTGTAGTCACATATCATATAGTTGCAATGATTTAACAAATATATCTTACGTTTCAGATTCTAATGTCCCTGCTGGTTGTGAAGACAGGCCGAAACTGGCCAACTGTCGCCTCATCATTCAGCACAACCTCTGCGGGCACAGGTTCTTTTCCAAATTCTGCTGTAGGTCCTGTTATGAAGCTGGTCAGATACAGAGGTAGAGAACATCTTATAGACTTGTGCATTGACACATCACAAAGATTCATGACACACCACATAAAAGTGAAGAAACGACTATGGAGAAGTGGGACACATCACAAAGATTCATGACACACCACATGTAAATGAAGAAACGATAATGGAGAAGTGGTGCTCTTAAAAATATTTTTATAGGCATTACTTTGTGCAATTTTGAGACACTTCTCAGTGGGAAAATATTTAAACAGATTTAATATAATGTCATAACCTTGCCCAGTTCCAATTTTTGGATCAACATAGTCAACAAGATTGAACCATTGAATTGAAACTCTGCAGTGACCAGAAATTGAGATTTTATCCTGCTCCTAGTCAACTAGGTATGTTGTGAAGTCGCCATGAACACATGAGAGCCAAATGGTGCCAAAATCAAAGCATTTTAAAACGATAAAATTTTTGTCAATTTGTTTTTGATTCATACAATCACATGTACATATGTAATAGCATTTCATAATAAGTTTCAAATGGCAGATAATTTATGAAACAATGTTAGCACGATCAGCGAAGCATGCTGTAAGATTGATAAGATACATGTAAATGTAAGAGACTAGGATATGATGAGATTACGTGTACAGACTGTATATTGTATGTGTGAATGACTCGATATGTCACACAAACCATTATGTGCAATTTATCCTATTTTTAGTCTAGGTTTATTCAATTTTTCAAACATATTATTAGTCTTGGTCGACTGATTCTCATTGTTGAAAATCATGTTTTAGTATCAATCATTTTAAACACTAATGCAATTTAGCTAAGTCAAAATAGTGTATCTTAAAATATCAATATTTTAGTCCATATTTATAGTTTACATTGAACTTGAAGGTACCTAAAAAGCAAAACTTCTTAGTTTTTGAACTGAGTTAGCCTAAGGAGAAAATGTGACTTTTTGTACAATGCCATATTTGGTACCCAGTGACATTTTATTTTAATGGTTGAACTTGTATCTGGGGGAATGTGAGTGATCATATTTAAATATATTTCAAAGTTAAATGATACATTTTAAATAATGAGGTTATAGAGATAAATGTAAACCAGAACTAGATATACACAGCTTTGTGTGTTGATCAAAGTAACTCAAATTGTCACCTAATCTAATAACACTGTATTCGACTTCCTCTTTGAATTTTTATTTCGCTATTAAATAGTTTTTGAAGTGATACATTATACATTATATTATACATTAAGGATACATTATATCAGTGAAAAAATTCATTCAGTCATTCATAGGTATAATGTAATGGTTACAGCATTATGTAATGAAGTGGTTACAGCATTATGTAATGAAGTGGTTACAGCATTATGTAATGAGGTGGTTACACCATTATGGATTATGCATTTTATCCGATTCAGCATTATACATAAAATGCATTGTCTTGTCATACAATCATATTGTGGATAAATGCATTGTTTAATCACACAATAAATGCATTGTATTGGATACACAATAATGAATGCATGCATTGTATTGGATACACAATTATAAATACATGCATTGTATCAATAACACAGTGAAGACATTGAAATGATTGCATTTATGAACAAGCATTTATAGATCAAAACATGAGATTTTCTACATGGAATTTTATATCATTCATTTTAATCTATCTAATTTATACAATTTTTACATTGAAATAACTGCTGATTAGGGGAAATATATGCCTACAACGTCATTTTCTACCTGTATTTACTATTTGTATTAATTTTAGTGGATAGAGAATGATAAATGTGGAATTCGTTAAAAATTGTTTTAAGATAAAGTTGCACTGAATTTTAATAGTTCAATGGTGTATGTATTTATACAATTTATGTACAATTTTACAAACTTTGATCACATTTTATCTATATTTGCATTTGTAATTAGCCATATCTTGTAAATGTGAGAAAAACTTCTGCAAGGAGGTATGTTTTATTGTGACAGTTGTACATTATAAAGTCGATAAACATGCAGTTGATAATAAATGTTGTAAATATAAGCTAAATATGTTAAGTTGTTTTTATTACATGTTGCACTAAACTCATCCTTGGCCCAAGAGTAATTCATTGCATTACATTATATGATATATTTACAATTACATACATGTCTGCACTAGTGAAAGCAGTGAACGACCGATCTTGAATGATGTACTAGACTTGATAACTTGGGGGTCATTAACAGAAACTTACGAACTCGAAAATCAATTAAGTAACCATGGATAAAATGATATCACAATAGAGGACAATGAAGTTTATGAATTCTTAACTTTACGAAGTTTCTGTTAATGGCCCCAAGGATATTCATTTATCTTCTGACTTGAGATATTTTTCATTATCCCTTTACAGTCTAAACAATGTATTTTGTGTTTCGGAGTTCTCTCTTTTCTTTATATTGGCTCAGGTGTCCATGTAATTTATGTGTCTGTATGTTATTGTATCACTTTCTGTATATTTATCCCATGGAGCGAAGTTCGGAGGGATATAAGTTCGGATATACGTTTGGCCCTAAAAGGGCATCAGTACAAATAAATCCTATTATACATCAGGGGTCCCGAAAATGAGCCGCTTTATGACAAGTATTTTCTCCGCAATTGATGAGCCGAATTATTTGAAAATTTTTATAGGGGAACTCTAGGGTATTATAAGCAAATGCTATAAATATGAAAGAAATTGGCTCCATATTATGTGAGAAGTTGCAAAATAAAAAATGCATGTCTAAAAATCCAATATCAACAGAAGTCACTCATTTCAGTGGAGGAAGGTGTTTTTAACAAGTATTTTCTCCACAATACATATGCTGAATTCTTTGAAAATTTTTATATTTGAAATATATAGGGTATCCTTAGCAAGTGCTATGAATTATGAAAGAGATCGCTTACATATAGTCTTGCTCAAAGACTGTATCCACCCCCCCCCCGTCACCTTCACTCTTTTTACCTGGTAATATCCTAGAGAGAAGGATAAAGGGGGGGGGGAGTACAGGGTCTTTTAAGCAAGACTAGCTTACATATCATGCAAGTATTGTTAAATTAAAATCAGCATGCCAAGATATCCAATGTCAATGGAAAAGTCACTTATTTCAGTCTGAAAGAAGCCATTTTCCAAGCAAAAATGCTTTTGTGCGTTTCTCCCAATGATATCACCTCCCATGACATAATTATCCTGTTCTTTAATGCATGTTTGTTGTAATATCTTGTTCATACGTCTAATTTACAGTTACATGACTCAAACTCTTGCCCTTAATTCCTTTACGATTCATATTCCACGGTCCCCATCCTTTCACCTTGAAACAATTTTCAATAGTAGTCTTATCGCTTTCACTGAAAGGCATCATTAATCCTTCCAAACTTAAAATTTTGAACAGAATTTATTTTTGATACAGCAAACAATGAAACAAATCAATAGACCTGACACACAGGCAAGCTTTTTTGAGACTGAAACTGATTGACAGATGCTATCACCTGATAGCTGGCACAAACGCTATAAAGGTCTCATTACACAACTCTGATATTGGACTTTAAGACATGCATTTTTAATTTGTCATCTACTAATAATACCCTTAGGCTACTCTATAGAATTTTTCAATGAATTGGAGTGATCTATTGCGGAGAAAATACTTGTCAAAAAGCGGCTCATTTTGGGACACGCGATATATAGGGAATGCCTCCGTCCGTCCGGTCGTACGTCTGTCCTGGTGATAACTCAAATGTCGTTGGGTCGATTTTGTTCATATTTTTACCCATGTGCTTTATGGGGGTAGAAGTTCTGCTCGAAGGCCAATTTTCAAAATGGCCGCTCCTTTAAAAATGGCAGCCATTTTAGTGCCGATTTTACATTAATTTTGGTATTGTATATAAAACCGTAACTTAGCAAGTTTAAATGTAAAAAAAAGTTATAAAGTACATCAATAAATCTAGAAATGTAAACGCTTTACACGCCTTTACACGCTATTTTACGAAATTTGCTGTAACTTGAAAAGTAGTAGAGCGATTTTGTTCATATTTGATATGTGAATATGGGATATGTTCGATGGGATTTGTTACGTTAATGGTTAGAAATGTGCCATTTAATACCTTATGCTTAGTTAACGTACTAATTTCGAATGGCGCTAGTAGAGCCCAGGGCTCCCACGATACATTATATTCCATGCATGATTATATTTAATTTCGATGCGAGCAACGATATTTACCTCACGATACCATAGAAACAAACGAGCAATGTAACGCGTAAAAATATATGGGTAACAAGACATCAAGATGCGAAATGTACCAACCGCCGAATTTCAAACTCGTGAAACAGTATGAAACTATTAATGTCCTCCTCAAACTAATGTCCACTAGTGTCCAGTGTCCCATGATTATATTTTATCTAACGATCTTTTTCTAAGTTTTTTCTCATTAAACGAAACCTTTATCCTACACTGGAGCTACATTCTATGCCAGATTACACAGGGAAAATAAAAAATGGACAGATACAATCTTATTTTAACTGTTTTTGAACATGATTTTGCTGTTTTGGAGGGCCAAAAACGATACAGAATTTTAACCGATATTCAAGTTGAGTATGGATACGCTCGTATCGTGGCTCGAGTGCTCGAGCAAATCCGAGCAATCGCGAGACCCCTAGTAGAGCATCTTGGATTTCCAAGGTTTGATTTTGAAAATCAAACTGGGAAACGAGTATGCTAGGAGAGACGAGCCACGACGACTAAATCTGACTATGTCGGACCAGCATTAACTTTACTCAGAGCTGAGAAGAAATGAAATGTCATGGTTTATTATGATGCTCTTTATTGCTAGTGCTAGTCTGTAACTTGTTGCACTGATGGTTAAGATGCCCATGATTAGTAATATTAGGAAGAGTCATACTTAAAAGTGAAACGGATACGAAGTGATCATGAAAATAAATCAAATCGCCTGCATGATTCTTTTTCGATTCTTTTTTATTATGTGATAATGGTTGATGAAATTATTTATACTTTAAACCCATTCATTTCCTTATTTGAGACGAAATTCCAGTCAAAAGTTTTTTGACCCAATGGGAGGCGGTTTTTTAACACAAACGTGTATAAGTATCATATGTTTAAGAAAATGTACATATTTGCGAACAAATAGTTCAGAAGACGACAGAATCGTCGATTTAATTCCTCACTTAAGTTACATAAACGGTTTTTCGAAAAACAGTTAAGATCTGCACTTTGAACCCAAACCGTTTATGTAACTTAGTGAGGAATTAAATAGACGATTCTGTTGTCTTCTGAGCTATTTTTTCGCAAACATGTACATTTTCTAAAACATATGATACTGATATACGTTTGTGAGAACAAACGTCGCGGGGATTCTGCCTACAACGCGTGAAATAAGGAAAAAAGAAAAATCGTACCTTCGACGTTCCGACATTTTGTTACCAAAACGAACCGTTTCGGTAACCAGCGTAATCGAGCGGATCACCAGTTTCATTTCAATCAAAGCAAGAGTACGAGTGCCGGTGATTTTAGTTGGTGACCCAAGAGGGGTAGAAAGAAATTTATCAGAATTAAAAAAAAATCCATTGTAAAAAACAAAAGAAAAAAGAAAATATGACGAACGCCGTAGCAGTAATTAGTCGAACTTTTGCCCCTTGTAAGTCATGTATTGTCAGTTTATGAACATGAATGAATAGAATCGGTTAATTCAGGACCTACTCGCCACCATTATTGGCCAATTATTGGCTTGTTTTTATGTTAGTCTCAGGTTTGGCCCAACATCTCATTAATGACATATCGTTAACCCAAAAACAATGTAGCAATGCCCTCGAACATACTTGTCCTATGTACATTTTTACAAGCATATTTTATCAAGAAGGGCCAATGAGCTAGATTTTGACGTGTACTTGTAGAAATGATTGATTGCATTTTATAATTTTGTAATTAGTCTAGTATCAAGTCAGTTTGTTTTCAAGACGGCGAATCAATATCTCAATAGCAAGAATAGATAACGTGACAAAATTTATCCAAAATATTGGATTCATCCATGAAACTATTTCGAACGCCTACAATGTACACGATTATTCTAAAAATGTCGCGTTGTGGTGACTTTATATTAGACTTTTTTCTAAGTTCTTAAAATATATATCTCCGACTGAAATAAAACCTAATGCTTATGAACACTGAAAATTGATTGATTCAAAAGTAAAATGTTTTGTAATCGAATTCGCATTAGCATTCTTCTGTTGCATATGAGATCTCAGAAGGCGCAATTACGCGAAGTAGCCAATTACACACTTGCGCGTGGTGATAGTAATTAGTAATTTCAAACAAGTGGTTTAGAAAATAAGATTATTATGGGCTCGTTCATGTTCATTCAAGGTAAATTGTAGAACACATATTACATTTTTTAGCAGTTTAGACACCTAAGCAGTTTGGCCGAGTGGGTTAGACTGTGTTCGAATGTACCGGGGGATACGGAGGTCCCGCGTTCGAGCCCCAGGTACGGAGTTGTTGATCATTGTCACTACGGGCACCCGGTCCGAAGGTCCAACCGTATACCGGCCCTTGGCTTGGGTTGGTTCTCTGACCGCTCTTGTCGGAGACAGATTGTGAGACTGTGGCTGGTTCCTCCACTAACGTGCTTTGGTAGACTCCGGGAGTCATACAGTATGGTAGCGAGCCTCCACCAAGGGCAGTAGTGGAACGACACGAATCGGTCCCAGTATGGTTGCCTTGCAACTGAAGAGACTCGAGGAAATCATGCCATTCGCGGTGACCCAGAAAAGACTTTTGCTTTTCAATAACAACTTTTTTAATTCAAACAAAAGCATGTAGCCAGGACACCCTTTGAGAAATATTCTATGATGAGTTGTAAATTTAAAATTGTATAACTTTTATCAACCTTTTATTCAGTTATGCATCATCTCATCACGTAACATCATCATGTTCTTCTATTGTCATCATTGAACTAAGTAAGTTCGTATTTTAATGGTGCTTTAAGTAACTTTACGTTCATATATCCGATGAATAATTTACATTCGTATTTTCCTGACTAAGTTACATAGCCGCCATTTTAAAATCTGAATAATGGAAATAATGGAAATAATTTTTTGTAGCGTTCAAAATGGCCGTAACTTTTCATTAAATTGTGATTTTTGGTATATACCTTAAATGCCAATTATCAGATATGGATCAGATTTTATAATTTTCAAGATGGCTATTGAATTCAAATTGGCTACCATTTTCAAGGAGAAATATTTTTCATGGTTGCAAATACCACTATCATGTTTTGTTCAAAATTTTAGAGGCAAGTGGTTCATGGCCATAGGGCTTCTACTCAAGAAGGAATTTATTATATGAAACGTCACATGGATGTAAATTTGCTAAAGGAGACAATAAATACTACTACTTGCTTGGTTCTCATAATTTATATTATGTTTGTTGATGAGGGATTCATTAAATTATGTTGTGTTCGGTGGGATTTGCTAATTTTCTAGTTGAGTGAGTTACATTTAATATCTAATAAATAAACTATATAATCTACTTACAAAACATAAATTAACATATTGCTATTTTAAATAATTTCTATCATATTTTGCAAAGAAAATCAGCCTGTTGCTATCGTGACCGAATTATACTAATGAAATATGTTGCACTCACTGAAATATCAATTTTTATGAGTTCAAGCATTTCATGACATGAAGAAGCATATAATTATATGTATATAGATATATATTCTTGTATTGACTCTTATAACAAATGAATATTATAAAAATAGATATATGTCTAGGAAATATATCAAATGCTTCGACATGTTTTTGGGGTTACACTGAATTACTTTAATGTGCGCTACCAACTCTTTTGTTAGAGGTCACGGAAATTTCATATCATGATCCAATCCTCTTTGGATGGTGGGTGGACAGACCTCTTTCATATACCCTCACGTCCAACGTTCTAAAACAACAATCACCAGGTCAAGGTATCTATCGTTATTGCTTGATTTTATAAAGAAAAGTTTGACTTAATTAAAGTGACTGCTCACAACCATTGCCACAAGCGATTAGAAAAAAAAACATTCTAGAAGAACTTTGAATTCTTTCATTTTATTAAAACTTTTGTAATTGTTAAGTGTCATTTTTTTAATTCCAGTTACACGTGAAACATTGTACTGTGAGATAATTGTAACGCCCTGATCTAGATTCGCGTTTTGTTTGAATGTATGTCTTTATTTGCGTCTATAATTTATAAATGTAATTCATTATAGTATTTCATGCTCTTATTATATTAATTCATTTATACACATTCATTAATTTATGTAAAATAAGGCGAAAAACAATTTATTCTAGACTATTCGGGGTGTATAAAAGCAAAGCAAATCAGAGATTAAATCGAGTCGCTGGGAGGAATCTACTAGAGCAAATAACACTTTAAGGTAAACCTAATTTTGTATTTTATATTTTATGCAGATATTTTTAGATAGTACAGACACAACGAACCATTTTAAAACCCATTATAACTTGCATTAGAGTTTCTTCTTGTTATGTCATGAGGTGTTAGGGTGTGTTTTTGTGCAAGCCAGTTGGACTAGTGAAACAATGTTTTTGGTTGACTGTAATTTTGGCTGGTAGATGTCAAGTGAAAAAAAAATTTTAAAAGAAAATTCGGGGTGAAAATCTGGATCTTTTTGAAGAAAAATCGGGAGAAAATCGGGATTTCTCCTGAAAAATCGGGAGAAAATCGGGGTTACCCTTAAAAAATCGGGACAGAATCGGGATGACTCAGAATAATCGGGAGAAAATCGGGGTTTACAAAACAAAATCGGGATGACTAAAAGAAGGAATCGGTAGAAATCAGGGTTAACATGCTCCTCTCTTTTCTTCATGGTAGAATAACTTTTTCAAATTCATTTCACGCCATTATCATTTTTATAAGCTCTAATTTCATTGGTCCAAATTGCAAATTTTGTACGTTATGATCATGTAATTTAACCTCGCTTAATCATGGTTTTCCGTATCCATTTGGACCTCACAGCACATTACTTGCAATAGTTAAATATAAGAAATAATTATGTAATCTGTACTTATGTTATAAGTACGATTGATATGAGTATGATAATTATGTTATCTTTCTGATAAAGCAAACCAGATTGATGTCGCATGGACACGTGTTTGTGTTACATTAAGTCAAAGAACACTGTCAATAATTAAAAACGTATGTATGCGTTCAGTGCGTTGTATTGAATATCTCAGTCCCAGATCGGTTGAATAAATTAATTTCTGGTTTCAAATAGTTTAAAGAAGATTAAATAAGCAAACTGTATGTTGGATGCGTTGTTAGCTATTTTGTTTTATCACAAAAAATGCTTTTGCATATTTGTTATCACCACGTTTAAACTTTCATTGTAATGTAATGCGTCAATTGTTCGGAATTCCTTAGTCTCGGAACGTTCGATTTATTTATTAAATAATGTAAAGATGAAAGAACTTTACAAGTGTATATTAGTATGTGCAGTTACCTACTGTATTTTGTTTTATCACAAAACCTATCGTATACTTTCATTTTTTGCGAAGGCAGTTCATTAAAAAATCGGGAGTTTTGAACAAAAATCGGTAGGGTATCATTTAAAATTCGGAAGTTTTGAACACAACCTCGGGATATAATTACGAAAAAAGTCGGAATATTTTACAAATATCTGGATATTTTCTTAAAATCGGGATAAAAATCGTTTTTTGAAAATCGGGATTTTGAAAAAAATTTGACAGGTGAGTAGATCTGGAGTACTAAACGTTTTGGTTCAGGCGATTGAAATTATCTTCTTTTGATGATTGAATCTTAAAAATCAGTCAAAATAATATCACACTTGAAATCTACATTCACAATTTCATTTAATGCATAGAACATGAGAAACATATGTTGCAATACATATAATCGAATATTTTAAATTCTAATGGTCTTTAAAAGTTATAACAAGTAACATATGCTATACAAATACAAGTAGTAGGATCACAAAGCTGATTTTATGGATAAAATCAATCATTTGTGATAATACTTATATTTTAGAAAATTACATAATAGAAAAGAATTCCAGTCAATCACTGTCTAACTTACATAGTGTTACATTTGTTTTTCTAAGTCTATTTTATTAAGTTTGTATAACTAAAGTCGTCAAAGTAACATAGTACTATATATTGGTAATATAACGGACTTTAGTCAATGTAACAAAATATACTGTGGTAGGAGTTAAATATATGAATTGCAACTTCATTTACAAAACAAATTCCAAAATCGACGAATATTAAAATCTGCAACTTGACTTATAAGTAGGTTTAAATCAAGAAAACAAAAAACTCGTAACTAGGAAGTTATCCATTTTGTTAAATTGACGTTCCGTCAAAGTAACTAGTTGTGGAACAGTGACGATGTAGAAAAAGTTTTACCTGATCGCACACATCATGCGCATCGCGTCCGTTGACGCAAATTGAAAAACAAGGCCAATGCAGCAGGCAAGGATCTTACCCTGCCGCAAGATAAGTCAAATCGCAAATGATTCCTATATCTTCACTCCAGACAGTTATCAATGATAAATGTATCAATTTTCATTTTATTGATTACGTAAGATTTCATGTTTAACAGGCGACCATTTTGTAAAGTGACATTTTCTCAAGTGAAGAATTCGGTGGATTTTGTTACGCGGTAAACACGATACAAATATACGTCATATTCCGCAACGAATATGGCATATTCACTTGCGATGTATGGCGGATTCAATTGCGGTATATATCATACTTACTAATCAATGATAGCATGATACGAAAATACGCAATTTGTCAATTGCATCGATTGAATGAACGGGCGGAAGTTTACAAATTATTGAAATGATTACTGAATCAATAGTATAGTTCATTGAATTAATGCAGAAATATCACTCAGCAATCTCAAGTAATAATCTTACACAATAAACCCAGGATTCATATATTAGTACTCGAAGCATTAACGATATTGGTAATCCAGCGTAGTTTTACATTTAGAGTTGATTTTCGTAACCAATCAAAGCAAGGCTTTCTGTATCACGTTTTCACCTGCGGTATATGTTATATTCACCTGCGGTATATGGCATATTCCGCAAGTAGGAATGACATATTCCGCAGGTGAGTATCGGGCATTCACTGAAATAAAAGCATCGCATTTTCACTGAGGAATATGCCATACTCACCTGCAGAATATGCCATATACCGCAGGTGAGTATGGCATATTCACCCGTATCACAAATACCGTGCAACAATGTTTATATGCCATATTCCGCGTAACAGATTTGTCAATGATATGACGTGTGCTTAAAACGTTTAAATATTTCAAAACTTTACCTCAATTTCGTCTGGTATCTTTAAGTTTGAAAATAATTCAGATTTAGTCGTTTTCCTATCTTACTAGACATAAATATGGAATTTTCAATATTTTGAAATTGTACACTGTAAAAAGTTGCCTTGGGGAAGTAACATGAGAAGCTTTACGAATTACTAAGACCAAAAAGGGCAATTGGCGTTGAGTTCGAGTTGTGAGAGCCGTTTCCATTCATCTTCATTATTTTCCTTAATATATGTATATGTAGCATATTTATAAAAAAAATATTTAGAGAATTTCTATTACAGCTGATGATCATGTCATACGGTGGTAGAATGAACGGTGCTTTTGTAGTACTTCTCTGCATGGTATCATGTATTATTCATGTTGCCGAGAGCAGTCATTGTTCGGCGAATAATTTGCCTGATGGATTCGTTTACGACGCAACACTCGATTCTTGCTATTATTTTATGTACCTTGCCACTGGAACATGGTTCGAGGCTGATGGAGTTTGTTCTCGAATGAATTCTCAACTTGTCGCAATAGAGACTGCAGCAGAACAGACATTTATTTGGAATAAAATAACAGCGGATGGCCAAACCTCAAAAATGTATTGGACAGGAGGCAACAACCTTGATGCCCAGTGGAGATGGAATCGTCTAGGTGCTACCTCTCTGAACAGTGTCGGTTACACGAACTGGAATGTGGGGGAACCAAACGTTGTATACCCTGAATACTGTTTGGAATTATCAACAGGAGGGGGATGGAATGATCTTTCATGCGAATTGGAACGCAATTTCATCTGCGAATATAATCATTGAATTAAACATGTAATTCATATATTCTTTCAATAAAATTGGTGATACATTGAGTCATCATAGAATTAATAATTCCGAATTGTGAAATGTTTAAAACATTCGAGTTCTAATTGGAGTTCTAAACTCCACAAATTATTTTAGCAACATTTTTGGAGCGCCTGTTGAAGGAAGGCGCTCAAAGCTCTTGAATTCTTCTTTCTGAGCACCTTATACTTAATTTCAATAAACCCAACAGGATTCTTATACCAAAGTAACATTATGTAATGTCATTTTAAGAATGTAGTCTTATTTTCTTTACGGGGTGCATAAAAAGCTGTTTGAAAATAATATTTTTCCAGAATACTACTGTTTTCCCTGGGAAATAAAAGGTAAAGATTAAAAGGTGAACTGGATCGGGTGGATTGGATTCATGTAAAAGGTGGATTGGATCAGGAATTTTCAAAATATGGAATTTCTTTAAGATTTTTTTCTATTGATCTCCCTCTTAGAAAATTGGTGCTCTCCTCACATCCAAAATGTCAAATAATAGCTGAAATATTATGTTGTTCGGGTAGGCTAGAAGGATGACATGACCTGGTACCCGCTTTCTAAAACACAATCTTCCAGGGGTAGTTTAAGGCAATTCATAAATCATAAGACAGACAGCTTTGAAGATCTGCATCATTTGTTTTCAATCCGAACAGAACATAGCAGAACATATACATTTTATCTAGAGATCTGTGTTTATTATGCATTACAAAAGTCAATTTACAAGGGAATTAGGGAAACCAGTTAAATACCTAAAATATCTGTCAATTTATTGTACGAGGGGTGATCAGGAATTTCTGGACCGTTGGCTCTATTTTTGCCATTTGTTATCCTTTCTTTGTGATTTTTTTACACAATATAACCCAAATATATAGGCTCACACCATGAAGATTTCACTGTTCTATGAAATCATTATCCTTTTATTTTTGTTACCATGGTAACCGGTGACAAGACAAGGTGGAGCTCAGAAAAAATACCAAATTTGAAAAATCAACAGTAGTTTTATATGATGTTTGGACACTGAATTCATTGTTGAATATGTTAAATACTGTAATAGGTTGTATTATATCATTAAGTATATTCATAATGTTCGTAGTAACTGCCATTATTTCCATTAATTCTAATCCTTTAAAGTAATTACCAGCATTTTGTAAGCATTTGTTATGCCTTTTCACTCAGTCCTGAAAAACGTGATACAGACCGTCTTTGCCTACAAAATGTGATTGTTTCCATCAGTTGTGGCCTTGTACCACACACACTGTATCCCCCAGAATTAGCTGGGTGTGATTTTATCTTTTCCCAACAGTGAAGAACAAATTATGAGGTATCCACTTTGAGGACAGTAATGAGATCATTCAGGAATTCATGCACCAATGTTACAAAGTAGGCAAAGACTATGTCCGTCTTGACCCTTCTCTATTATATTACGAAACTTCCTCAACATAAGCCTAAATTATTTTATTGTCTTTCCTTCTTTATTATTTCAGTCTAAAATTCTTATTTTCAATTTTCTATAATTTCACAATTTCTCTTTAATATTTTATAACCACTTCATGACTTCATTCTTCAATAGTTTTTCTAAAATTCTGTTAAATCACCTTTTCCCTTTCTATTTATATAGTTCTAAATCTCAGCACATTGTAGAATCCTCCATCTCAGAATTGAACAATATCCTCCTCGGATTATTCTTTTTGGTGAGGCAAATTCTGTCAGAAATTCTACTTTCTTCTGAGATGGAAGATTCTAACTTTTCTTCCATAAACAAACACCACAGGAGGTCTGTCCCCAGTCATGGAGATGTCCCAATGCCATACTACTCTGTGTTAAATTGTTTACAAATTGTGCATTGGAATACCTCCTTCGGCTGGCTGAGCTTCAGTTCAGTTTAGTGTCTTTATTTCCTCCACATAGGTGAAGATTTAAACATTACATATAATTACAGACAATTCACATTAACAGATTATTTACATTTGTACATATGGTTACATATAGATTTACATTTAGAGTTTTTACATTTCTGTTTGTTTGATAACTGTTTTCACCATTAGATCAATGTAATATGCACTATTCAATAGGAACTGTTCAATTGTACCATCTTGGCAATTTTGAAGTACATCAGTAGTGCTGTATTGCTATACCCTTGTACTACGAGTCTCCACGAGAGCCCATTGATACCTAAATTAAAAAGTTTTACAAATAGACCATGTCTATACAATAAATCAAATGCCATACGATTATCAAGAAATGCACAAAAAACTGTAGAGTGTCGTTCATTAAAGTGATGTAGGACTTCCTTTAAAACGTACGTTGCCATTTGGCTACCTCCACCATTTTTGCTAGCAAATTGCAAATTATGTGGAACACCTGCCCTCTCTAATACAGACATGTTTCGGTTTAGAATTATAGTGTCCCATATCTTGTTGATAACAGGTGTAAGTGTTAACCCCCTAAAATTAGTTCGTATTCTTTTGTCTTTCTTCTTACCCTTATGTAAGGAAATGATGGTACCAAGTTTTTGACTTTTTGGGACACATTCTAACCTAATCATAGTATTAAAGAGGTTTGTAATTGTTTGTATAAGCATACTCCCACCATGTTTAAAGTGCTCGTATGTTATCAAGTCATAACCTGGAGCCTTATTGGAAGAACTAGATTTAATGACGTCATATACGTCCTGTGACGAAATTGGGGCACCCATTTCTCTATCCTCATTATGATATGACTCTATGTAACATCTTTTGAAATCAGATTCTATTTTACTCATGAACTCGTTATCAAAATGTGGGTAGAGAGAAGGAGTTCCCAATTCCTCATAGTAATCTGCCCAGGCATCACGAATTTTGGCTGGATCACGGACAATTTGCCCATCAACGAGGAGCTCATGAGATTCCCTTTTTAGGTTTCTAGACTTTCTAACTACTTTATAGAAATCGTGTATATTCAAATCTGCAGCTTCCTCAAATTTTGTATCTTGAGAACGCTCATACATAATTTTAGCACGTCGTAATTCAGCCCTGAAACTTCGCTTCGCTTTTTTATATTCAATTAAGAACATGTTACATTTAGCTTTTGGTTTACCGTTACTGATCCAGACACGTCTGGATTTTCTCATTAAAGTATGTAGTTCTTTAACTCTACCAAATTTCCAAAATGGATTTAAAAAATGTTTAAAACACGATTTTGGAATTGCACTATTTGCTGCCTCTTTAATAGCATTCATAATATCAGATGTATAATGCTCTGTATAACGCCAAAACCATCTCGCTTCAGAAAATACTATGAACATACAAACAACTTTAGGGCAAGTTAATCTTCAAAGTTTAGTTGATTGAATAACAAATGTCTTTCTGGAGGTTAAATTGTCTTTAAGCATTTTCACTCACACTACCCCCCTCCTGGAATCAGACCTCCGGGCTGAGATAGAGAAAGACAATAAAAAAAACCATGCGCAAACAGAAAAGATCAACACACTCAACCCCAAAGAAACAACATTACCCCAAATACAAGCAACAGCTGAACAACTTTACTATACTCATTAACAAGCATTATCATCCAAAATCTCCAAAACACCGAATAAATACCCATTCGGAGCATTTTGGTATAGAGTGTGTTGATTTATCCAAAAATAGATTATAGAAAGCATGTAAGCTCAGTAATATAATATTTACAATAGTAACCAATTAAATCAATCAAATATAGTTGCAAAAATGCAAATTTCTTCCTAACTCTAAGTTCAATATGAAACGGAACATGATAGTCTAAAATCACATGTCCTGAACATTCATTAACGAAATCAATCCCTCACTCATAAAACGTAGAAAGTATCCAGGAATTGAATACCATTTATGAACATATAGCATATGAAGATATACTGGCTATACACAATAATAGGTTCTAATACATGATAGATATAAATCATGCTCATTATTTGAATTGTCCATCATAAAATCTAAGAAGTATTCACTAAATCGAAATACAATATCCATGGCAACCCAGTGACAATACTAAGTAACTGTCATGACATCTTTTAACTACATACAAAAATAAATCAGCTGTCTGGTCTACACTTGAAAGTGATACTTCAAATCAACCGCACACAACACAAAGAAAATAACATTTACACATATGGATGCATATCAGATCCACATAATTATGTGGAAATGTTATTCCATCTTTCTATAAAATATACATATTTCTGATATTGTTATAATATAAAATGGTATAAAATATAAAATTATATACATGAGAGTATATATAAAAGATATAAAGGTAATATAATTTGTCATACATTATATACAAAATTCTCAGTAGGTCTCAACTATTACTGTGTAAAATGACAGTACAAGGTACAGGCCATTTTAAAAAACTGAAACAATTCTTCTTAAGTTGATAATAAATCAACTTCATTTATTCAAATCAAAATCTAATCACCACTATCTCACTTCCGAAAACCAGAGAAATTGGCCCGAAACATTTGGAGACCACATGTTAAATATTCATACAATAAGACCATAACATCCACAGATATGCTTTAGGACACAGGTTTTTGTTTTTTAAAAGAAAGAAATCATGAATGAACTCACCTATTATAAACGTTTGTATGGAATTAGACTAGGTTATGAATTGCAAAAATGGGAAGTTGACGTTTTAAAATTTTATATTCACTGCAAGGATAGGATCGAACTAGTAAAAAATGAATGTAAAGAAAGGAGAGAGTGGGAGCAGACGAATGATTGTGGGTGTTATTTCTGCAAGGTTAGGCTTGGTCTTGCATAAATGTAAGTATCTATAATATATACACATATATCATTAGCATCATCAATATTCGCTATATCATCAGATTGGATCAATTTAAACCTTCGATAGGCTAAAATTCAAAGCCAGTAACACATTACATACTAAATGAAAGAATCATTAAGTACATACAATTTCTAGTACAGTATTCACTGTTTTTTTTTCACAAAATAACCTCATTGATAACAACAAGATATAAATATGCATTGCATAGCTTTGAGGGATAAGATAAACACAAGCAATGGTAGTAG